TGTACATGTACCTGAAAAGGGCATAGACACTTTCACTGAAGGTGATTTAGATAACCTGTTGTGCGGTACTGGCAACCAGGATGACTTGCTGACCGAAATGGCGGCCTTAATTGAGGGTGACGAAAAAGAAAGTTCAGCCCTAAATGACCAATTGGCTAAAACAGTAAATGCACTTGCTCAAGGCAAGATAAAGCCAGAAAAACTAGAAGAAAAATTGGGCAAATACAACAAACCAAGCAACTGCGGTAATCTTTGCCTAACTAGAGTGAACCCTGAGATATGGTCAATCCTAAAACCCACAACACGTGCAAGGGATGTTAAATTCCAAAAGGTGCAAAGCTCTTTTGTACGGGCATCAATAGCCATCGCAATGGCCACTGATCAAATGCTAAAAGCCAGAAATAACAATGAGACTATTGATACAGCTCAGCTTATTAGAACATTGCTGGTTGACGCAATTGCCATACTTGGCTCGGGCAACGCCCAACTCAACTTGCGCAGAAGAGACAGTATCCGACCTGATCTCAACCAAAAATATGCGGCCTTGTGCTCATCGCAAGTCCCGTGCACTAGTCTCCTTTTCGGGGATGACTTAGTTCAGTCATGCAAAACTATAGTGGAGACAAACAAAATAAGTTCACAGATGTTTGTAAATGACCCCAAACGTCGTAATACTAGACAGTTTTCAGGCCGTGGATCATCCCACCGTGCGGGGGACTTTCGCTCACGGGGTTTCCCGAAACAGCATTACGGCAGCCACCAGAGGGCGCCTTATTACCCGAGAGGCCGAGGCTACTATCGTCGAGCACAGAGTCAGGGCCAGGGTTATTACCGTTCCGGCGGCAGCAGCGGTCATGGCAGTGGCAATTACCATCAAACCCCAAGCCAATCCACCAGCACCGGGGCCTCGACAGCCAAGAAAACGGTGACCTAGCGGCACCATTACAGTTGGTAAGTAAGTATACATCACCTATTGCTGGAAGATTGCAACAGTTTATCCCTGCTTGGGAAAACATAACCTCTGATGAATGGGTGCTAGATACAGTTGCACATTGCCATATCGAATTTAATCGCACTCCGGTCCAGGCACATGAACCTAAGCTTATTCAATACTCTGACCCGGAGGCGCAACTGATTGACGAAGAAATTCAAAAATTACAAGAAAAAGGAGCGATAATCAGGGTCAACCCCTGTCACGGACAATTTTTGTCCAACATTTTTCTTCGACCAAAGAAAGACGGCTCAATGAGACCAATTATCAATCTAAAAGCTCTAAACAAATTTGTCAAATATCACCATTTTAAAATGGAGACCTTTGAATTTGCACTGACATTGATTCGGACAAATTGCTATTTAGCATCAATAGATTTGAAGGATGCATATTTTACGATACCCATGGCCCAGGAACATCAGAAGTTCTTACGGTTTCAATGGCGAGATAAACTGTGGCAATTTAAATGCTTATGCTTTGGGCTTGCTAGTGCACCACGTATCTTTACAAAGGTCATGAAACCACTCACATCAACATTACGTAATGCTGGCCAAATTTCGGCAAATTATATTGATGATTCATTACTTATTGGTGACACATTACAGGAATGCACCAGTAACATTGCAGCTCGTTGTGCACTGACAAATGAACTTGGGTTTGTGATTAATCAATCAAAATCACACTTTACCCCAGTCCAAGAATTGGAGTTTTTGGGATTCACCATTAATTCAGTAGAAATGACAGTGCGTTTACCGACACGCAAATTATCAACCACTGTTGAGGCATGCCATGAACTCATAGGACAGTCAAACCCGACAATTCATCGGGTGTCACAGGTCATAGGAAAACTTGTGTCATGTTTTCCAGCGGTCCCACTTGGGCCTTTATATTACCGAAGTTTGGAAGTGAGCAAAAACATCGCTCTGAAAAAATGTCATGGAAATTACGGGGCCAAAATGCCTCTCACTGCAAGCAGTAAGTCCGATTTGCAATGGTGGATACAAAATTTACCATGTACTTTTCGACCAATATTACCCCGTGTAACAGACATCGAAGTGTTTACTGATGCTTCCCTCATGGGTTGGGGAGCCTCTTGTCCAAAGGCTAACATTCAAACTAATGGCCGTTGGAATTTGCATGAAGTAAGGTTTCATATTAACTATCTAGAACTCCTTGCGGTTTTTTATGCTCTAAAGTCATTTCAAACTGACATTCAGAACAGAACTGTGTCCATTGCAATGGACAATGTCACAGGAGTTTCATATATAAACCACATGGGAGGTTGTCATTCAGCTGAACTGAATGACTTGGCCAGACAAATTTGGTTTTGGTGCATCCAACATGACATTTGGTTGATTGCACGCCACATACCTGGTGTACAAAACACTTGTGCAGACACCTTGTCACGATCCTTTAAGGATAATCTGGAATGGAAACTAGATGCCAATATTTTTAACAAAATCATATCAACATTGGGTGTCACACCAAGTATTGATTTATTTGCGTCCAAAGCCAATTATCAATTTAAGCCATTTGTGTCATGGCTGCCTGACCCAGAGGCAGTTGCATGTTATGCGTTTACAATGTCTTGGGCGAACGAAATATTTTACGCATTTCCTCCTTTTGCTGTCATTGACAGGGTATTGCAGAAAATCGAGGTAGACAGAGCCATGGGAATACTTATATTCCCATTATGGCAAACCCAACATTGGTTTCCCAGAATGCTGCGCCTGTTGATAGCTACGCCAGTAACACTACCAAAGACATCCGGGTTGTTGAGACTACCACACGATCCACACAGTCGCCATCCACTAGAGGGCCGAATGACAATGTGTGCTTCACTCTTATCCAGCAGTCGCTCCGATCAAGAGGATTTTCGAAGGAAACTATTGACATTATCCTCCAATCATGGAGACCGAGTACCAAGAAGCAATATGCATCATCCATCGAAAAATGGCTACGTTTCTGCACTAAACGGGCTGTCGATCCAGTTCATGCGACTGTAACCGTGGCAATGGAGTTTCTCACCAAGTTAGTTCATTCTGGGGCAAAATACAGCACTGTTAATACAGCACGGTGTGCATTGTCATCACTGCTTTGGTCAACCTCTGACAATAAAACAAAGTTTGGTAGCCATCCTTTGGTTATTCGTTTTATGCGAGGTCTATTTAATTTAAAACCTCAGTACCCTCGTTATTCACATACATGGGATGTTGGTATTTTACTTCGATATGTTAGTAAGATGGAACCGTTACAGTCTATTGCATTGAAACAATTGACTTACAAACTGATTTGCTTATGTGCACTCACCACTGCACAGCGGGCTCAGACATTGAGCCTATTCGACATATCTAACATGAAGGTTAGAAACAAACAAGTTTGTATTAAAATAACTGATTTGATTAAAACATCTAAACCGGGCAAACCTCAACCACAAGTTATATTGTCAGCATACCCGCATGATAAAAGTGTATGTGTTATGCGAACCCTCTTAGAGTATCTGAAAAGGACAAGAAGTTTTAGGGGCTCCAAGTCAAAATTATTTTTAAGTTATACAGTGCCGCATAAGGAGATAGGCACTGCCACCGTTTCCCGTTGGTTAAAACAGTCATTAACTGAGGCGGGCGTAGATGTGTCCGAGTTCAAAGCACATAGTTTTAGAACTGCCTCAACCTCGGCAGCCGCCAATAAAGGTGTACCAATTAACTTAATTTTGCAGACGGCAGGTTGGGCAAGCTCAACAACCTTCGCCAAGTTTTATAACAGAAGTGACAGTATTTTATGCTCAGAAGGAGCACAAAGTCAGTTTTCTCAGGCAATTTTAAGTCAAAAATGATTAGCCGAGCATATGTTGTGTAATAAAAATGAAATGGGTCAAGGAAAGTTTTATTCCATTAAATAGCACGGTAAAGTGCTGATTCGACTCATGAAACAAGTGCCAGTTTAAATATTGATTTATACTGAACATCGTCAAGAGACAAAGATAGTCTTGATTTGTTTATAATGAAGTGAATACTACTTTAGTCAAAAGACAAATTAGTCTTGATTTTGTTTAAAATGAGAATTATACTGTGTTCGGTTGTCAGAGGACAAACTAGAATTTAACTTTATTATACCGTGCATTGCCAAGAGACAATTTAGTCTTGGCGTAAAAGTGTGTATAATGAGATTTATACTGTATGCAAAGTCATGTACTTTTGTCAAGAGACAAATTATTTCGAAGTTATTAATAATGATGAGCTAGAATAAGCTCTAGAAGTAGAATGCAAAAATAAAATCTAATATATCCGATAAGGAGTACTGCAAAAAAATTTTGTGCAGTTTCTTGTTTTAAGGGACTTGATTAACATTACACTGTCCCGCTTTAAAGTCTCACGTGAGTCGGAATGGAGGTAATGGTGAGGTAGAATCTCCCAATTAAACGAGTAAAGTGATGTTTAATTAGGATTCTACCGATACATTACCGTAATGAGGAGTCACGTGACTCCCACCCAATGTGCCCAAGCACAAGTTTTGACTCCGTCTCTTTGCTCAACCCGCCCTAGTATACGGGACCAGTGTAATTTGTTATAATTACTTTAAATCACTGGTGAGCATGCCTGTGGTTGGGCCTTTTATAGGGGCACGCAGGCAGGAATTGCATTCTTTTCTTTCAATTGTGGCATACCTTTAGCTACTAAACAATACAATCTCACGTGACTCCTCATTACGGTAATGTATCGGTAGAATCCTAATTAAACATCACTTTACTCGTTTAATTGGGAGATTATACAGTAAAAATAAGACATGATATTTTATCATGGTGATAACACCAAGAGATGCACAGTATTGAGAGTCCCATTTTTGGACTGGAGCAGCCGTTTGCGAGCGGAAATTTTGTTTTTGTTCTGGTCCTGAAATACTGGCTGGACTCAATAGAGTATGATGCCAGGCTTGTAGACATCATGTAACAGTAGGAATTAAGTATTCATCAGATGGAATTAAATAGTTACCCTTGGATGAATCTTACCTGTGTGCCTCAACCCATCAATCCGGGAATTTCTGTCTTGATTTTGTGGAACCTGGACTTCACAACGCCATTAGTACACATTTGGTGCCGTTAAGAAAACACCGACATGCATGCAAACCTTAGGCTAGTCCGCCAGTTGTTTGGGACAATAAGCAGAGGCCTAGTCCGGGCTGCTTGGCTATTGTCAACTATTGTAGTCCTCTGAATAGGATGTCCACGTCCCGCGCTTGAGCTCCTTCCATTTCCCCATCCCATTCTTATCCGATATCCTTGCGCAGTCCAGTGTGATTAACAGGGGTGTGAGTGACCACAGATAACTAGCTGAAAACAGCTGAAAAAAAGTGTTAAAAAACTGAACTTTGGAAATCTCCAACACTTTTGTACACAGCTGAAATAAAAAAGAGAGAGATAAACTCAGCTTTAAATCTGAGATTTCACACCCCTGAAATAAAGAGGACACTTGGAATCATATAATTATCTGTAAGGGGACGCAAGGGTTCTGTCACGGCACAAAGATCCTCGTTTTTCATCTGCCAAAAACTCTGAGCGGGACTGATTAGATGCATAAAGATGGACTGTAGATTGCTATTTTCGAGTTTGATCCCGACAACTGATAGTTAAATTGGTTGAAATGGTTATTTTTTTAGCAGTACAAAAGCGATTCACTTTTGAATACGACATTGAACAAATCACCCCCTCCCCCAAAAAAGGCTCGAGTTTATTTATGAAATAATTACTCACAAATATGGAATTATTGAAGCCCGACAATAAGTCAGTTCGGACTGCGTAGACCGCCCCCATCTTAAATCAATGATGTTGGGAACCAGTTTTCTCGCAGGGTGGGTCTTTTTGGCGCAAAGGGCAACCCACCATAAAAAAATCTCTTGCCGAGGGTTGCAGATTAGTTTCTGCTTTAAAATGACATTCAGGATAAATGGAAACAAAAACCCCTGAATTTGAGAGCACGGCAAGTCATCTTAACAGCCTATTTTAGGTTAGTAGGGACAATTAGGGACGAACGTGGCTCGGGAAAACTTGTTGATTAGATCACCAGTATGTGTGGTTATTAATTCACCAGACTACATCTCAACATTAAGATACGAGATGCACATGGCCAATAAAATAACTACGAAAAAAACCCAAGATCATTTAAAGATTTAAATGACGATGGTTTGAAAGCTCATTTAATAGTATAACATAAACATGCACTATTTAGCAATTACTTTTTTCGGGGTGAAATATCGAAAATAGGAGGGGGGAGGGACTCGTGGCGTCTACTTTAGTTACGCCGTTGCACCACACTACCATGATTTCATCACGAAAAACTTTTCTTTTTAAACAAAGGCACAACAAAATTAGTTTTTCATAAAACACTTGAATTCACCATTTTTGTTTTATCTCTCACGCCATCACTGATTACAAAACCATTAAGCGCATAAATTACCTACTTCAATTTCAAAAAGACATTTTCTGCGATCCTCTATACAAAAAAAACACAGTACATTTACATTTTAGTCAAGTTACCTATGAAAATGTTAATACAAACGTCAAGCTTTTGATACAGTACTGATGACACAAGCTAACAGTAGATACAGTTACTGCTAAAAAAATCGAGCTGAAGCCAATAGACACTTTCCTTGGTAAAATTGGTAGCACGCATTAGAAAAATCATGCAATTAGTAATAAATAACTTAATCTAGATACATCATAATCAGTCTTTTACATTAGTAGAGTTGACACTACTGGTTCTCTTACAGTAAAACGAAAAAGACCCAAATCGCCATATGGCTCTTTGGAAGAGTGGAAATTTCACTCTTTTCGAGTGTTTCCCCCTCACCAACTATTGGCCCATGGAGGAAAAAAATACTCTAAAACAGTGAAGCTTCGACTCTTTCAAATGAACCCATATGGTGGACAAATCTTTAAGAGTGTTTTTTTTCCTTCACTCTTTACAATAAGGGTGAAAAATAATCAAAGATCAATAAGACAATGGCAAAATAGTACTTCATTTTGTTTTAAACACCGAACACTTCGGCCAACTTTTTACCATCTACACAGTAAAAATAGCAGGCAACTTTTTAGTTCCTTTTTATAACACAAGTGTAACGATGTTCTCTATGTAATTGATTCTTCAGAAAATGTAAAACACTTATTCAAAAAAAGAAGAAGCGAGAAATATTAAGGATAAAAAATAAAATGTACATGTATACAGTACCTGGGCTTGCAAAGCATTTAAAAAATGTAATAGTTTACAAAATTCATACATGAATATCGCATAAGCGTGTACTGTGACACTATAGAGATAGTTATTTTAGGTCTATAATAATTACCGAATGGTACCTCAGGGAGAAATTCCCATAGACTTGTACACAACCAAAAACCCTCCAATAACCCCATTTCAAATATACCCTCCCCACTCCAAACTTTTCAATTATACTATAATCAACCTAAAATCAACCTAACTTTGAAGCAACTTTTGACAGTTAAATTCCTTGCAGAAATTGCAGTTAAAATATGAGGAAGACATAATGTCGACCTAATCCCCAGTGTCTCCCTACTGTAAAATAATTTACTAGAAAGTGTCTCCCTAAGGAACCATTTGGGAGAATAGGCCCATAGGCCAGTGAATGCATTACAATGTGAATGCGTTTCACTAGAGATCGAAATCGAATGTTCTGCTGGTTTAGTCGATGTAGTCAGAAACTAAAGCGACATTGTAAGATTCATTGAACATTCTCGAACTTTCTTTCAAGTACATTGATGTAAATCAAGTCAATCACAAGTCACCCAGTATCAAGTCAGATGACTTGGATCGTTCAAACACCAATGATAGGTATAATGACAGGAGATCACCAGCGTAATATGGCAAACACGAGGTGTAGAGTATGACGCTCGGGTTATTTCTGCCTTTCCAAAACTTGGAAGTCCTATATAACAATAGATTAAAACGTGTCATGTTATGTAATGATTGATATGATGAAAACAAACAACAAACAAACACATAACTGAGTTGTAAATTGAAAAAAACAAAAAACAATAGGAAGCATATCTTTACACTATAAATACACTGGAAGGATTTGTTACAACTATCAATAGTACCGCTATGACGTACAAGAATACATTAATGTTAGAAAAAAAATTCTGCATACAAAACATTTAAGCAAGGCTGATTTGGTTAATAAAAAATGTCCAATATATCCAACTTCTATATTAAATGAACTTTCTTGGATATATGCATTTCCAATCGCTTGAAGCACTACATGTAGTCCATTATCTGAAACTTTTCCTTCCATAATGCAGAAACATACATTACTTGAACGATAGGAAAAGGTTTTTTGCTCATCAATATTATAACCACGTCGAAAAGGGAATTGAAACAAACTTTCCGATCTCTGGTAATAAAGTGCACCTAAAAAATACCAAGAACGTGCAATATTAAGCACTAATTGGACGAATACGAGTTATACACTAAACTGTATGATCCAGCAAGAGAAGAGACACAAGTAAATGAATAAAAACTAAATTTGCCAGAAAGTTTGGCATCGAACCAGTGCATCTTAATAAACCTTGCAATCAGGACAATTGTTGCATCATGCATTCAAAGCAAACAACAGCACCAATGATAAATTATATACAATAAACAAACAGGCCTGGTTTCTTATGCTTTTAGGTAAGACATGAGATAGAATTTGGAAGACTAAAGAGAAAAAGGAAATTGCACGACAGTGGGACTAAAGGAAGTGGAGAAATGGCTCATTATCACACTTTGATATGCCGAACAGTGACATTTTGTCAAATGTACACGTGTGCACATTTGAACATGATTCTGTAAAATTAATGTAAGACCATGAAGTTATTCTACATTTATAAGTATTAACTTTTGACTGTAAATGATTGTACAATGTACACGACTTACCTGGACTTTACTTAAAAATACTAGTTTTAAACAAATTCTTTTTTTTTTAACACATTTTCAAGGTCTTTTTTCTCTCTCAAAGAAAACATATTGAGGGTTGGTATGATTTCTTTAATCCTTTATTTGTAAAGGTACTGTGGTCTTTAACACACAAAAAAGAGTAAAAATGGAAAAATTGGTATTTTTTAAAAGCAGCTTGTACCCTGTCAAAAAAAGCAAAGGATTGTCTTTCCGTCATGAACATTTGAACAGGCAAGTAAGATGTTACTCTTCGCATTTTTTGCATGCCTAGTTGACAAAAAAACCAATTGTCAGTTGGTGTTCGCTTGAACTGCTAGCATCAAGTTGAAGTAGTTTCAGATTTTTTAGTTACAGTAGGACACAATGGAACAGTTAATACATCACTTAGTTTTACTTGATTAAGTAACACACTTGTTCTTGGCACAACCATCACTCTTAGAACACTTGTTCCATAGTTGTGGGGACCACACATCTGAGGAAGAACAGGCATTGTGTGGACCAAAAATACTGCGGGGACAATCCAAAGTCCCCCAAACTCGGTCCAAACTTTCATTACCATAGAAAACTTCCCCACATGATCACTGCTGACATATCTCAATGCCCACAACCACACAATTATTCAATGCACAATTACACATCCATCGTAAGACTGTGCACATACAAAAGTCTCATTGTTGAGAAAACAGATTGCCCCTCCCACACTTTCATTTAAGCTCCACCCCTAATACCAGCATCTTTTACAGCCAAATTTATTTGCAAGCATGCTCAAGTTATACCATTGCATATATTGTCTTTGCTATTATTACACACAACTGAAATGATGACAAATCCTCAATTGGTAATAATCGATGCATCTATGTGAAGTATTTCTCGTCGTAGTATGCAGTCTTTTCCGTCGCGGCTTTTCCACCCGCTGTTTTCTGAGTGACGGAGGCGTAATTGTAGCCCATTGTCTTCCTCTCAAAGAAACCACACTATTTAGGGAGAAAGAAATAACAGGTGAAATCGTGTAAGGGAAAAGCTAAATGAAAACAGCATCATCAACCCCTCTATAGACCCCTTGCACAGAGCGCCCTCTTATGAGGACAGCTTTTGTCATGTAATTTGAGTGACAACCAATGTACCCATGCAAATTACAGAGGAGCATAGACCAGTCCCCAGTGAGGGCACTGTGTGCAGGGGGTCTATATAAGGTCCTTCTTTATGCCAGGTTTGTAGTCAAGTCCCTCACAAGTCCAGTCAAAACGTTGATCACAAGTCAACCCTAGGTATGGTCGCACGTAACAGTGGATGGACTATGCCAAAGGAATGCCTTGGTCACGAATCATGTAAGTACCTTGTAAAACAAGTTTGAAAAGATCTGTGTCTGATTTATGATTGGCTTGTGGAGACTTGACTATTTATTGGCTATATGCCGCCCTATAGGCATAGTAGAGTAAGAATCTGTCAGATGCTGTCTTTCTGTGCCCAGTTTCTGCTCATGCACACTGCAAGTAAGCCGAATTTAATAAAAAATTTGCCATACATGTATATGTCATCAACTTTCCCTAATAGGAGAGAGTGGTAGAGAGGGTGGAAGAAAGAAGTAGAGAGAAAAGTCAAGATGGAGAAGAAAGGTCGCAGAAGACAAGAAGGTCAAGAAAATATGAGGTCGAAGTTCGGATGTCAATAAAGCAAAAAATTCAAACAACACTCATTGAAATGTCGTAGTAACTGTCTCCGAAAACAGTATGGTGTTGATTCAGAGCACCACTGTCAAAGAACTAGCATGCAATCTCAAATAAGGGCACATCTGACCGAAGTACAGTTAGTCTTCAATGTGATCGAAAGTGGCAAGGTGGCTTCAATATGCATGAGTTCGCTATTGACTGACTAAGCAGCTTGTTTAGTGCCAAAAAGAGACTGTGAACAAGTGACTGAACATGGTTGCATTCACTGGTGTGCTGACCTGGATAAAACCAAGGGGAAGGGTGTCAAGTGGGGAATTTGACCCCCCTCCCCAGTCCCATATTTCAAAATTGTCTATGACCCCACTCATCTGATTCCTGTCTGCAGAAACCTCTATAACGAGAAGCCCAATTTCCAAAAGTTGTGCCGCTGTTGTGTTTAACAATGTGCTAAATACATGTCCTTTTCTGCCATGAGGACAATAACAAATTGCTTCTTTTGACTATCTGCAGGATTAAAAGACTTGCGTTTCTCTGCACCTAGTCAGTTTGTCTCAGAGTTTTAATGACTCGAGTAGAGTAACCGAGTATCAACTTTTGGCGACTGAAGTCACTGCGAGCAAATGACTCAACTCGAGTCCCTCATCAGAAGACTTGCAACAAGTTTTAATGACTCGAGTGGAGTCACTGATGAGTCACAATTTTTGGCGACTCGAGTCACTGCGAGCAAATGACTTGACTCGGCAACAAGTTACTCTCAGATTCGATCTTCCTGAAGCCAAACCACATGACTCGACTAATGTCTCGACTCAAGTCATTTCCTTAAAGTTACTCAACTCGACTCACAAAATTCAGTGACTTGTTACAATATACTGGTTTGTCTTACCTACCACCTGAGTGCCAGCAACTCAGATATTTTTTTAAAGAACTAAAGCTCATTCAAACTGTGCAACACACGACAGCCCCTACATCTGTGCACAATCATCTGCGTCAATCAGGCACGGTTCTGCAATTTGGCACAAAGGGGGTCAACAAAGTTGACTGTCGACCTCCTGAACATGTCTGGTCATTTTTTGGGGTGTGATTTACCAAAATTTTCATATTTTTAAAAATAAAACCATAGATATTTGAAGTAGTTGTTGGGGATTGTTTTTCATGTAGGCAGGGCAGAACCCACTCATTTTAGTTGATAGATATGTACTAAATCCATATGCACCATGTAGCCGTGTACAAGTACTACTCCATAAGTTAAGTTGAACCCAATCGATCATCACTCTTTCACTTCACAAAAAGATTTTGTGAAGGCAGGACAAACGTAAGGATCACATTTTGAATTTTTTTTCTGATCCCCACGAGTTTAAGTCATGGGTGCACTGCCAACTTACTACACCCACTACACTGAAGAAACTAACTTACTACGCCCACAGAAGAAACGTGCCTGACGACAAAGAAAAAATATCTTTTGAAATCTTTGGAAATACACTCGCTAAAAGTGGGTGCAAAGGCATATTTAAATCCAACATGTGATATACATAATGTAAACATGGTGAACTTCAGGCTAATAACAACGTGACAATGAGATTTAACAAAAATCCACTCGAAACCTGAGGACAAATTACAGAAAAAATGCACAAATATAAACCAAACATTGTGTCTGTGACAGAAGAATATCGCATCATGCTTAGAGGATAACTGTTTAAAAGTGTAAAATGACATGAGAAGAAAAAAAAAAAAGAACCCCCCCAAAAAATTCACAGTTTGATCTTTAGATTGGACATTGTTTCCAAGAATACAGCTAAAACGAGAGAGACTGACGAATCATCCGTTTCAGAGCCGTCATGCTGAAAACAAACTGATATAAGCACCACACAAGTACAACCCTCCACTCCCACCCTTCAAAAAGTCTATCCTCATCACACACAATATATAAACAGAGATTTCAGAAAAGATAAATAAGAAAAGACTGAGATTACACACAAATGACATCCCAAAAAGTTCAACAAATTCAATAACACAAAATTCCTGTAAAGAGACCAACACCAAGCTGAAGACACAAAGCACAAAATAACATCAACAGAGAAAAAAAAAATCAAGTCATTCAAGTAAGATTTCTTAGATGAATTTTAGTACAATGGTGAAACATACAGTGTTATCATCACACAAAGTCATTAGTATACTACAAGGTTCATACGCTCTTAATGGTTCTTGATTCATAGAAAATATGCACCCGTTCCATTGCCTTAAAATAACTACTGTTATAAAACGCCTGAAGAAATGCCCGTCATCTGATTGGTAGGTCGTAGGTTGATCACGTCATTAATTATTCGTCCCAACCCACGGCCCGGCCGCACTGCAAAAATAGAAGTTCTATCCCACGGTCTCACTGTCTGTGGCTCTGACCAATCAGATGACGAGGATTTATCCAGGTGTTGTATAAAACAAATAATGAATGTTTTACATTCATGCAATGGAAAGAATAATTTCATTTGGTGACAGATGGAATGTTCTATTCTCGCCGAGTGGAATAGAACATTTCATCTGTCAACTTATGAAATTATTCTTTTCATTGCACTCATATACATTCATAATTTGTATGCTATTTCAAGATCCGCAAGGATCAATGTATTTCTGACCAGTTTTCAATCAACAAAATATGTCGCAAGGCGCTGATCTATTCCAGGTAGTATTACATATATCAAATCATTTTTTTGTAGAAAAACAGTTCGCGTGTGGATACAGGCTCATGTCATAAATGCACTTTCATGCCCCCCATGACATCAACAAAAATGTGAAAAATAAGTGGTTTCAATCCAAAAGTAGTTCAGATAGCTTTTAGAAATCTGTTTTACAAAAACTCATAATATATACCTATCCCTACTTTCCCTGTGTAAACGTGACCCCAGAGATTTAATTTCAAATGGTTCGACTGCAAACTTTCTCTTCCTGTTTGATCCAATTAATGTGGTTTTTTTTCAATTCTCTTAATAAGATTTTTTATTTAAGGAAACCAACCATTGACCATAAAAAGTGTATGAACCACATTCCTGGGGAAAAAAAAAATAAGTGTTACAAAAAGAAAATTGACAAGATGCAGTGAATGCAATCCAAATGAAAGACATGGCATGAGTCGAGCAGGTTGCAGTCACGTCACACTTCAGAAAAAGAAAATGCAATCAAATGAAATTAAAACGTAAGTAAAAAAACCTGGTGAGAACAGAGTAACAAATGCCTTTCTGAAAATTGTATTTGTCAGCACACTGCAGTTTTACATGTATATGTATATCCATTGCATTAAAAAAAATACAACGTGGATTTGGATTTATAACCATTGCAAGTACATATTATGCCCTGTGGACACACCTGAGCTGTATTTGGACTGCATTCAAGTTCAACAAAGCAACGGCCTTGAGTGAGAGATTTCGCCATTCTGGAATGCATATGGATACACATTATGCAGTACATGTACCGAGTACAATACAATTGTTGAAAAAGACATCCATGGATGGTTTTCATTCATTTAATGTTATAGCTGATTTCCCTTTGAAAAAAATGGTCTCGTTTCGGGGTGTTGCATTTTCTATAAGACTCGTTACCCAAGTTGCACAACAAATTTTCCATTCAAAGGCAATGCTTAGCCCACATGAATAGTCTGTCAGTGACTCAGTTATTTATCTATTAATTTTGTTTGCGGTGATGTTAATTCAGACCCACATTTCGTTCGTATTGGTTCTGCACGAAACATGGGCGTCGCCAGGATTATTTCTAAAAAGGGGGCATTTTCCCCCGAAATCCCTGTACTTTTCCCAACATATTTTCGATTTATCATTTTTCGAGGGTGGGCAGGGACATTTACCCAACCCAAACCCATTAAATTAACAGTAATATGACTTCGTGGCTCTTTTTCTTTCTCCCCCCCCCCCTTTTTTGGCTTCTTTGGAGGGGCTTTTACAGGGGGGGGGGGGGGGGGGGGGGGGCGGGGGCAAAGCACCCCCCTTTCCCCCTCGCAACGCACATGGCACAAAAGTAAAAAAAAACAATACAAAAAACCAAAACAAAATACCCCCCCAAACACCCCCCCCCCCCCCCCTATTTCTATCTGCTTGAGTACTTGTCAAAAAATCCTTGTGGTTAAACAAATTAACACCCATTCATGCTTCTGGGCATGAATAAAGCAATTTAAAATTACTTTTTTGGTCAGAAAAGCCACCTGGCCCACCTCAGAGCTACCACACTTTCAGAGACGTGTCCCGATTTTTAAGTAGGACACACACTGAATGGCATTTCGACATGGACATGTGCACAGGAATTCTTTGAATGGTAAAAAATGAAAAAAAAAACCAAAAAAACAATTGAGCTGCGCTGTTGTCAAGAACCCAAACATTCTTGTGTGTCTACGTTTTCTTTCAAACTTCCCAAATGATCTGACAACAGGGAACTGACGTCACACTTACTGAACTTTCAGAAGCCCTTGAAAAACAGTTCCTGGCTCATTGTTCAAGTTGCTTAACATGTGCGTCACAGGTGAAAGCTTATTCAATTGAAAAAAAGTGTAAACACTTTAACAATAACCCTCAAAGAGTTCATTTGGGGTAAAGTACCACGTACTACAAAATACTTTGAGTGCTGTGCCCACTTATACCCTGAAGCAGTGCATACTACAGTTTACTACTAGTAGTATTTTGTAGCTTTACGTGAGGTTAGGGTTAAAGATGTACTGTCCACGCGATTTTTACGTTTCATCCCCACAATAAATTTCTATATTTCAATACAGAAGTTCTTCACTTTGGCATCAGACAGTGAAACAGAAAAAATTGGCAAAAGTTTTGGTAATGGAACAACAATAAATCAGTTCAAGCAGGGCGAACTGGTTCCTGCCCCTATCAAAGTCGATAATGTACAGACCGGGAAACCAGTCCACTCGCAGGGAGTATTTGCAGGGTTGCAAATATAGAAGAGTAGTATTTTGGTACAAATAATCCTGACCAGTTTGAAATTTGTGAGGAGAAAAATATTGAATTTGTTCCAGAGCACAGACAGTTCATCTTTAATACCAGTCAAAAGTGCTTTTATCTGATGCTACCGATTCCAAGCTGTGACTATCATATCCCTACAGCAGCAGTGGGTACATGTACATTTTCACTATAAGAGTTTTAAGAATATGCAACTTTCCCACTGACCAACATTCTTTTCAAAGGGACACACAGCTCTGAAATGATGAGTTCATTAGAGAATGACAGGCAAAAAAAGAAAGAAAACTGGTAAGTTGATTTTAGTACGCACTGGACCACCACCACCCGATCTTGTTCCCGGCCGACGGAAAAATCCCACCTGGATTGCATGCACAATAATGAAGGCAATGGCACCAGGGAACAGGGTACCAGGGAAGGAAAGATGAAATAAAATAAACAAGATTTTAGAGTTAATGCAATGATATGGGGTACCAGATCTGGGGCGAATTTCATGGTAGTATTAAGCCTTGAAATTTGCTTGGTAGAAATATAATTGCTTTGAAAAAAAAAACACCCAGATTTTGGCCCACTATTTCATGTTAGCTATAATGACAAAATGCGGTACAAGTATTGCCTTGGAATTTTGTTCAAGGAATTTTTTTTTGGAGCTATTAAGCAGCTGTACTCAACTTCTAGTTTTGAAAGATGCAAAAACGTATACAGATGAACGAACACTAATGTATACATTTAAACGTTGCTTTTTGTGAACTGAAATTTGACAATGTATCAACTACATATGTGGCGCGGCACTAAAACGTAAACCATTGTTTGGTGATAGCGGTGGTTAAGTCAATGAAACTTGAAGTAGGTTCTTATAGTAGGTTACGCACATCAGCAATTAATATCATTATCGCTACACTGTACGTAATACACTCAGTATTATAACCACAAATTATTTCTGACAGCAACTGTTTTGACAGCAACTGTTATCACTATCAGTATCCCCCGGTTCAGACAGGCGTTCTAGAGTCGCGCCGAACCAAATAGTTTAGGAGGGACTTGAGTCGATTCAAATATATTTTGGTTTCAGACAGGCCAACTTAATACACTGGAGAATTGTGTACAAACAAACGAACACACGATCTTAGCAACAAGCTGGCACTGCGCAACACTTTTGCAATTTGTTTATAGTTTCAAACAACAGTATCACCGTGTCTGACATTGTTTTTCCTGAATATTTCTGGCCGTGTTGACGCAGCAGGAGAATGGCAGAAACCACAAAGGTCAACAAATTCTTCTCCAAATAATGGCCAAAAGGAAGAGAAGAAGGACACTATAGGCCATCAGCCTGGGGGTTTGGTCAATATCAAATCAGGGCATAAATGATTATAGTGGGCATGCGCAAGGTATACCGCCCCTAGAGTGTTAACAAGCATTTTGATGGACATTTAAAAAAAAAAGGGTGATAACACCCAAAAAGCTGCCACCGCTGCAATGCTATCACATATTTTCCAACTCCGGAGGTGTATACCTTGCCAAAAATCGCTATGACGATTATTTCCCTCATTTGATACTGGTGGCCAAAATTTTGGACCGAGGCTGATGGCCTACTACTGAACATTGTCAACTATGTTGTTGCGAGGAGGAAAAGAATACTGGACTTCTGCTTCTTGGCCGCTCCCCTGCTGCTTTCATCTAACACACCATGTTACAAATAATTCACGCTAAAATATTTTGTTTGTATGCGTGGATTGTGCAATATGTCATATGGCCACTATGTATTTACATAAATTTGCATTGAGTTCGGCTCATGACTAAAGCAACGTACGACATCAAGTTGCTCCTTAGTCATTCTGAACGACTCCGGCAGTTGATCTTTTGCCATCTAGAACATCTAGTAGCTCTTAATAGTTTCAGACTTTGGACTTTTCATGTACTTAATTCAAATCTTGACTTTCGTTTGGTTAGGTGCGTCTCTGGAACACCAGTCTGAACCGGGGGTAAGAAATCTTGGGAAACTGATGACGTTATTCTAGTTATGCTTAGGAGGGATAGCAAAGAATGTCAAGGGTCAATGTTACATGTATTCTTGTATTATGCCATGGAGGGGGAATCAGGAATGGTTCAACCCATTAGGTCAAAGTTCAGGATTATTGGCAGAAGGTTGATGGGGTCAGGTGTTATGGTTAAGGTCAAAGGGTCGAACAAAACCCCTACAAATGAAATTTTGGGCCTAAAGAATGATAGAATGAATAAGAAATGTCCAGAAGACATTTTGGCCCTCAAAACTAATTTTCTTTTCTTCATGGCCATCCGCAAGATGCCTTGACCCAGAATAGTGCAGACAGAGATAAGTTGGGGGTTGGGTACTAGACTTACCTTCCACAGCAAGAGAATCAGTAGGATGAGAATGAGCAGGCCCCCTAGCACGGCGAGAAGTATGATCCACCAGGCCAGGGGCTCCGGTGGTGGTAGGGTCTGAATGTTAGGCCTGACAATCATGGTCAACTGGAAAAGAGCGGAGATTGGACATCAATTGCTAAAGTTGGATAATAACAATTGTTACATCGTGTTCTTTGATGCTGTAATTTCATTGGGATAGAACGGCCACGTGTCCAGTCTGTACAAATGCATATACACTGTGTTCCATATGCACTGCATATAAATTTTACACGCTGCGTCCGTGTGTAGAACCTGCTCTGCCCTCGCGACTGAGAGCTGCAACCGCTCAGTCTCGTGCCCGGTAGAAATGCCTGCTGTTATCAAAGGTTACACTGCAGTGATTTCATTTATTTCTTGCATAGTAAGTTACAACCATTCATCGTTTTTGACTGATTGGCATGATATAACAAAACAATAATTGTTGACTGCTGTGATGTAAGATATGTCGAATATGTGCCATTCGGGTGTTAAAAACAAAATCCCATATCACTGCAGTCAACAGTTGTTTGTTGTATCATGCAAATAAGTCAAAAAGATAGGGGTTGGTAACTTACTATGCAAGAAATAAATGAAATCGCTGCAGAGTAGCCTTTTGATTACTGTGAGCTTTTCTGCCAGACATGAGATTGAAAGGTTGCAGTTCTCTGTTGCGAGGTGGGCAGGCCTTATACCTGCATGGCAGCGGAAATGAGGTAGTTTAAAGAGGTTGTGGAATGCTCGAAGACATTTCCGTCATTTTTCGGGTATATGTAGCCTAAGGTGTGATGAAATAAAAACGACTATTGTTTCTGTCATAAAATGAGTACAAAAGGTACTTTTGAGAGCTGTTTTTCAAGTCCTGTCATGCCTGTTTCGACCCGAACATGCAATTTGTGTAAAAGTCGTCGTTGCAGGCAGCAAACAAAACACAGTAAATCGTGACGTAATAAACAGGACTCCCGATGCAGGGTATCATAAACGAGTCCTGCTTATTACGTCACGATTTACTGTGTTTTGTTTGCTGCCCGCAACGACGACTTTTACACAAATTGCACGTTCGGGTTCGAAACAGGACCTGAAAAATAGCTCTCAAAAGTACCCTTTGTACTCATTTCATGACAGAAATAATAGTCGTTTTTATTTCATCACACCTTAGGCTACATATACCCAAAAAATGACGGAAATGTCTTCGAGCATTCCACAACCTCTTTAAACGCAATGCAGCATATGCCGTTCTAGACTAATGAAATCTGGGGCCAATTTCTTGAAACGCTAAGACACCTCTTAGGAAGAGTAACTTGTTGTAACTTGGGACTCGTCCTGATAGAGGGATGAAACTGGGGAGTGATTCGGGCAGTAATGATTAAGGGTATCCCCCCCCCCCCCAGGGTATCAATGGTATCCTGTGAAGTGTGACTGTGTAATGCTACATTAGCAGACAAAAATTGTTTTTCAGGCGAAACTTCATGTTCTATGAACGCACGGGAAAATTGGTTTTGCGTGTTTCTTATCAACGACCGTTTCCTCCAGTGGTAAAAACAAACACAAAACAGCCGTCAAATTGGCCACTTGGTCCTCGTCCGATAAATAACAACTCCCTTTACTGTATTTCCGTCACGTCTTGCTTAAGATGCGTATAGTGAAATCGGTCACAGCACGCATCTTAGCTACATGTAGGATCGATCTTAGAGCGGGGACTCGTCTTAAGTCCTAAAATGAGTCGTACGATAAGACGAGTCCGAGTTTCGTAAAATCGGCACCAGAGTATCCAAGACACAATACAAAAGTGTGGGTTTTAGAAGATTTGTAGTAGTACATCACTTTTTGAATGGCATTCTAGAACAGCATCAAACCAAATTACTCCAAAAGATTTGAATAACGTATGTTACTGTCAGATGCTTCATCATATGCTTTGTGTACTCCATCCTTTTGTTAAATAAATAGCCTGATTATGTAACAAGCCCGGTATGCAGTTTGAACAATAAATTCACCCAGAGCGGGCAATTCAGAACCAGAAACGAGGTGTGGCAGGACGTGCTTCTGCCTGGCTCTCCTGGGATCGTGATAACGTACATAACGAGTTTAACGTTTGAAATGTTAAAGAGCGACTGTGTCAAAATCTTGCAATAGTTTGTAAAGACTACAGAGTTTTGTGAATGAAAAATTCACTCAAATTCAGGTGGACTCAACATGCATGTACATACAACTTTGGGACATCAATCTGAAAAAAAAAGTGTTATTGTCTGTCAAGTGTGCACTTACATTAAATTCATCATTGTCAAAGTTATACTGCGTCAGGAATGGAGCGTTCATGATCTCAATCCTCCCCACTGAGCCCACCATGACCTGCTCTGCATTGATGTAGTCCTGAAAGAAAGAACAAATATATCACAGGACATTAATGAAAGTTTTGCTTCCCAAAATGACTTCTCTCTCCTCATTTAGAGCTCAACAAATCCTGTGCCTAGAATGCCATGAAAAATACGGGGAATTGCTCAGCTTATTAGTACATGTATTACTGTCTTGTCCTGAGCCCCTGCGGAGTTGTGGATGATACTTTCTCAAGACCTTTCGAGACAAAATATGTCAAAAACTACCCTAGAGACTTTATTTGATGAAAGAGTTCTGAAATTTGAATTGATATTCATTGTCAAGTAAAAGTGTGTTGTTTTCAAAGCACAAATCTGCCCACTGAAATAATTTCAAATGCTACTTCAACATTAAAACAACCCAACTGATCTGTATGTTGAAAGTCAAAGCACTGAGAGTCTTTGTATATTCACATTGGACTTACAAAATCGGATACTGTATTTTATGATAATTTGTGTGAGGTCATGTGATGGACATGTGATGGACTTGTGATGGACTTGTGATGGACATGTAATGGACTTGTGATGGACTTGTGATGGACTTGTAATGGACTTGTGATGGACATGTGATGGACATGTGACGGACATGTGATGGACTTGTGATGGACTTGTGATGGACTTGTGATGGACTTGTGATGGACTTGTGATGGACTTGTGATGGAATTGTGATGGAATTGTGATGGACTTGTGATGGACTTGTGATGGCCTTGTGATGGACTTGTGATGGACTTGTGATGGACTCGACCCTAACACTGGTTGTAATCACGCTGTGCAACACTTCAGTTATTATGAAACCTTTCACAAAATGTTCATAGTGCGTAAATCTGCAACTTCCGCAACAAATTATGGCATAACTTTAGGTGGTGTAAGAAAATGAAATTTTACTTTTACTTGGAAAATTGTGAATGTTGTGGAACCTGTCATTGCTCAACTTCAAGGTTGATACAAGACACAGCTTTGTGTTTGAGATAAATGAATTGGTAATTTACTTGTGATGGAATTTTTACAGCTGCCCCCAAATTTAGAATGGCAGGTGGTGGTGATTCAACGACTGTTTCGTGAGCGAACAGAAATCATAAACAGTCGTCATAAATGATGTTATTATGAACGTCCGAGATCTTTGGATTATTTAAAATGTTGCCCAAGTATTGTAAAATCGATTGTAAGTTTTTGTGTGCAGCTGCGCAACAAATTTGTTGCACGGAGTAAGTTACGCACTTATTCATGAAAACAGGTGCTGATGGCACGAGCAGTTTGTATAAACTCACCTCCAGGAAGGTGGCATTCCACAGCCTGGACCGGACAATAATCTTCGCCGCCTCATCATCCCCAAGACGATCGATGTAACACTTGAACTCAAAGCAGGTGGCTCGCTTGTTCCAACAATCCTAAGTGCAGAGAAAAAAAATTAAAAATAGAATCACTATCAAAATCCGAGGTATGTAAGGCCAAAAAAAAAAAAGTTTCCGGTTTCTGGTATGGAGCTTGCCCGAAAAGTGGTGCAGTGACGCGGCTTTTTTTTTTTTTTACCTGTTTTTTTTTGCTTCAAATGTCGGCTGATGACTGCAAATGGTGCCCGACTAAACTTAGTGCAAATATAATGGGAGTCCAGAGAGGCCACATAAAGCTTATGCTCGGTCATAACCCCATCTAAAAACACGTTAAAACTGTGCAGCAGCAGGATTCCAGTCAAACCAGTGAGTTTGGCGGTTTTGAGACATCATCTTTTGTTGAAAAAAAAACCTTTTTCATTTTGCCGACGCGCATGGCTACGGTGACGCGCGCGCATACCAGAAACCAGAGACTTTTTTTTTTTGGCCTAATAGTAAATGGAGTAGTATTATTTAGAGCATCTCAAACTTGGAGCTTTTTGTTCTAGGGGATATGATCCTTTTGTGAACAAGGTACATGTATATTCTTTTTAGATAAGTATATAACTTGTAATAAACTAATTTCTAACTACATATCATGAGCCAATTATTTTTTCAATGTCTAATCTTAAAGTTACTTCAGTAACACCAGAAAATTTGGCAAATTAAACTTAAAAATGTATTTTCCCAGCTGAATCCCTTCAAATTCACAGTGAGTCCGACTGTAAAGTTGGTCTCACTGAGCTATTTTATAGTTTCATCAGCAAGAAAACATGAGATAAATCTACTTAATTATGGAATAAATACAATTTTGAATCAGTTGCTTCCTGACAATAATTCAAAGGATCTTTTTGTGTGTTAGAGGCACAAAAGCAACCTCAAGTAAAACCTTTTTTCCAGAAAGTTGCTGATACTTAAATTTGCAAACGAAAAAACTACTTTTTCGTCAAAATAAACATAGTAGTTGAAATTCGTTTGGAGAAATAACTCAATTTGTTGAAGTGCACAGGAAAAACAACTTTAAAATTGAGGGGTACCAAAACAAAAAAATGCAAAGTCAGGTTTTTCTTTACCAGTCTGACGTTCTGTTCAGTCAGGGGCTGTGCCTGTCCTCCATTGCTTCTCTCAGGCCTGACGACCTGTTCCCCACCCTCTACAGCCCGTCTCTTCCTCCGTCCCCCACCGGTTGTGGCAGATGCTTCTGTGGATGGTACTACAGCACTAGACGGTGGTTCCTCTGCATTTGCTGGGGCAGCAGTGGAGAGCGATTCGTAAGATGGCCCCTTCGGTCGCTCCTGGGGGGGGGGGGGGGGGGTGGGGAGAAGCACAACATGATAAACTAAGTGACAAGTCACAGAGGCCAAACTCTTTTGCTGGGACAAGGCGCACACAATGTGTCTTTGGAATTTAAGTTCTGAGATTCAATCCCTGCATTAGATTTGGTCAAAGTCATGCTAGTCCTGTAAAAAAATCAAACTTGAGCAAACTTTAACGCACAGTAAACAAGAAACATTGTGGTCACGTTTCAGCCCATCTTACAATAGAAGCACATCTTAGAAAAAGCATGAAAGATACATGCCGTGCAATACAGACCCTACAGCATGGGAAAAATACCAAACTTTGGTCGCCATGGATCGACCAATCGTGATCGAGGATTCAAATTTGCTGAAAGTAAAATGGACTATTAAAGACGTCTACCAGTCAATAACTCAACTAGGTAGGTTAAAATTCCTGTCAAAGGTGGGTTTCCTTCTTTTTGCACTACCCTGTACAAACACTAATTACGAATAATAATTGTCATATCCTATTCAATTCGATACACAATCAATAGACCAAAGCAATTTTGTTGATGTCCCCTAACGTTGCATGGCCCCTAACGTTACGCACTTTGATTTTTTGCTTCTGATGTCATGCTAGAGCAAAAGTTTTACCTCAAATGTCACAGTAAGAGAAATTTCGTCAAGCTCAAAACATTCCCATTCACAAACATTGTGTTTATCTACCCGCTCCAAAGTTAAGAGAGAAATTTTACAGATAATTCTTAAATGTTTACTTGGGAATTTCCGAGATTTGTTCAAGTGTGTCACGTTAGGGAATACTCGGCCGGTTTTGACACCATCAGACTTAATTTTATGACATTAAAATTGTTTACAAGAGTTCAACAGCAAGCATTATTAAAGTAATAGTTCCAGTATTTATCTGAATGAATTTCAAGCTTTTCAGCAAAGGTGTTTGGCAACACTGCATGAGGAAAGTTGGGGAAACGTCAAAGTGTGCTACGTTTGGAGACGCCACTATAATTAACCCTAACCGCCCTGAATCCTTCAAAATCCTGTTTGCCAAAGTGGAGGAATTTTGAGGATTGAGGTTACATGGCAAAAGTGCGTTACTGATTTCGTAGGATGCACTTTGTCAAGGTCTTGGGCTGGGCCTTGTGTTGTTTTTGCTCAGCCATGCATAAATATAGGCCTGGATTATGTTTGAAATCCTCCCTACTGCTGCAGGATGTCACTGGCCAAGCCTCAACATATTGAAAGTCACTGCCGCAGGTTTTTGCAGGATTCAGGCAGTGGTCACCCCTCCAAGGACCATATTCAAGAAATAATGGAGGAATTTGCAGGATTGAGGCTAAATGCTATTTTTCCATGAGGCCAACAGGAGGATTTTGCAGGATTGAGGCTACATCCTTGCAAAAAGGCCTAGGGAGTTAGGGTTAAAACCCACTGACCTGGATCTTCAGCTCGTTGATGTAGATGGGGTCAATCTCACAACGCCCTCTGTCGTTGCTGACCACGGGCTTGTGGGTCATGTACAACAACCACTTGCCATTGGCCACCTCGTAAGGGAAGCTGATGGTCAACACCGACTCTGGCACAATGCCTGGACCTTTGTTGAAGACCTGTGTCAAAGGTCACAGAGAAATAAGTCAATGGTATTAGATTCAGAACTTCAGGATGTAGCGTTTCAGGACATGGAGGGCGTATTTTAACCCCATTCTTGTGTTGAATGAACACAAGAATGGGATTTCGAACGACGAAAACCAACATGCAAACGGTGTTCACGAACAGGATTTTCAGTCCCCACTTATTGGGGAGTACACGTAGATGAAGAACGTCAAGAACAAAGAATGTCAGGAATACAACTTGCGTTAATATTTTTGTGTAAAAATTATAAACAGTCATTCGGTAATGAAAAACAAATAAAATTGTGCAGGAGCACAGAGTGGGCTTTCTGTGCCAATATTTAATAGCTGTTGCGTGATTTTAATTATTTTTGAACAATAATTGGTTTTCCCTTCTTTTCATTTGGGGTTTTTATAAGGCAGCTGCTATCTTGTATGCATGGTCAGCTGCACTCAACAGGCACTTGGGTGTTCGTAATCGACAACCCGAAAACACTGTTTGTGGGTTACTCGGGAACAGGGTTCCAAATATGCCCAGAGTTTCAGGAATTAGAATTTTGAGAATTGGACATGGAGTTTCTGGAATCGTTATACTCACCGACCACGTGTGGATCACCTCATCACCAATCTCGTCAGTGAACTCCATGGCACTCTCCCCACGAATGTCACCGCCAAACCTGTACTGCACTGCGTTGGTTTCACTGAACCCAAAAAAAATCAAAGGAAATGTTTACAGGACTGCATCTGAAATACACTCGAAATGGTCGGTAACTAGTGCTGTTCATTTTTTTAAAAATAATTTAGAATTTGATTAATCATTCTTGGATTTGATCGAATATAGGGTAGCATCGGAACCGGGTACCCGATTACGGGATCGGGAACCCGTAACCAACTTTACAAAATAGTAACTTCTCAAAAAGTAACTTCTCAGACAATGAAAAAGAAAAGTTTTGAATGGCATTTGTGGGTATTTTCAAAATGAAAATCAGGCTACATGGAAAACCAAAACAGATTTCTCGTTTATGAGCATTTTAACACGTGACAGATGACACTCAAGAAAGTTGCAGTTTACACTTTAAAGCTATTAAGCCCTTCAGACAATTTCCGGGATTTGAATTTTGGGGTTTGGTTTCTTCTATGGGTACCTGGGTATCAGTGTTTTACTGACTAGTTATTATTTGAAAGATACCAGTGCGTCATGGTCCAATGGTAGGGGTGTTTGACTCATGTGCCATGGTACATAGGTTTGAACCCTGGGGGGGGGGGGACCACATGGTACATGTGTTCTTGGGCAAGACACTTTACTATTGTTGCTCATCTCCACCCAGGAGTATAAATGGGTAGAGACCAGAATGTGCTGATCTCGAGCTGCTGCAGAAACTGGTCTCATGGCCTGATGAACAGGGGTAATGCCGTGAAGCACTTTGAGACCTTCAATGATATAAAGCGCTACATAAGCACCACATGATTATTATTATTAAAGGTACAGTCCATCATTTGTAATTTGTGCATTTTGTTCGTTTGAAGCAACAAACGTACTCAAAATCTGAAGAAGGGTGCTGAACAACTAACCTGATGATGTTTCAGCTCAGCTTCAGCTGTATATTCGGAGAAAAACAGCATTCTAGGATCTTGATTTCGAATCAAAAGTTGCTGAATCATGATTTGAATTGGGCCTGAATTCAGCGTTCGAGACATGTTCTCACTGAGCCAAATGCAGCTATGCGATGTCGCGCACTGATCCAACGAATTAAAGCAACTGCCCGCGCGTGTGCATCCTGCCAATGCTTGCGTGCGCTTCGCCGAATAACAAAACAAACTACTAATTTGAATTTCCTACAGTGCGTCTTAAGAAGCACTGTTGGAAAGGCCTTCTTTTGTTGATTTCTTCAAAATGACAGCATGCCAGAAAGAATAATGTCACAAGGAGTTTAGTCTCCTTGCTATCTTTTAACCAAGTATGTTTTTCAACACTAATTACGTCAGTCACTTTTTGGATAGCTGCAAATGATAGACTGTAGCTTTAAGAGACAATTAGGGCTAATATTCCTCACAGAAGCTCTCACATCATGTGTGTGAGGTGACTGTCAACCGAAATGTAGCATTTGTCAAAACAATAAAACCACGTAACTTGTACGATTAAAATAACACAGAGGTTTTCCATCTTTCCGAGACCTCTCAATTTTTGTATAATACTGGAATCAGAAAAATGCTATAGCTTGTGAATGCTGATTTATGCTCAGTACCCAATTCTTCTAAGGGCCCGTCTCAATTCATATTTGGGAAGAGTTCCGGACAAGTTGCAGACATCGTGTCGGGTACAAGTTTCCTGGACAAATTTCCCAAAATATTCAGGCAATAAAGTTATTGGTGTTGGTGAGTTAAGCAGTTGCTAATGAAAATTTCCCCGGAACAAATGCAGAGTTTCTCCCAGACAAAGTGAACGATTCTACCCACAACTTGTCCGAAACTCGTCCTGGATATGATTTGAGACAGCACCATGAGATCCGGCCCGGTGTCACGGTCTCACTTCTCCGGCGTGCTAGGGAAATTTTGCTTCAACACGCATGCACAAAATTGCGCAGTAGTGTACATTTTCGTCACTGTATTAGTGTGCTGAGTTCTTCGGGGCTGTACTTGTGTACGTAAGATATTTGTATGCATAGAATTTTCGTGGCGCGCACTATTAACTCCCAATATTAAAGACTTGAAATGCACATTTATTTTAAGCCGTGGTTGCAAAAATAAGGACAAAATGGACCACGAACGAGCAAGGAACACGGACCAAGGAGTTCGTTCTTAATTATTCCTCCATGAACACACACATGCATGACGCTGGGAACACAAATCAGAATGCTTGCAAGACCATGGAATGACTTGACCCACAGAAGTGTTACATAACACATTCTTGGGTATCCCTCACTGTGTTATTAATGGGCTTGGTAGACTTCAGAAAACAGCCCGAGGAAAAGTAAGCACAGCGGACACATGAGCATGAATCGTGCTCATGTAACGTGCACTGTAACGTGCTCAATTATCCGCCGAATCAACCCGGAGAAGCTAGCACGTCGGAGAAGTGAGACCGTGACACCGGGTCACCGACATGAAACTGACCCTAGGATCTCGATGTCTGTAATACTCTCCACCTCAGCAAAGAGGGTGGCGTTGTTGTCCTCTGGGTGACTGTCTTCGTTTGTCCTAAAAATTTGAAGAAAAAAATGACATGAAATAAGGTTGTATGCTGGTAAAATTGAGATTCTCATTGGCATGCAACATAGTTAAAGTAATTCATTTTAAAGGTAGCGTCCATCATTTGTAATTTGTGCATTATGTTTGTTTGAAGAAACAAAAGTGCTCAAAATTATAACAAGGGTGCTGAACAACTAACCTGATGAAGTTTCAGCTCAGTGAATGCTGTATTTTTCGAGAAAACAATATTATAGGATCTTGGTTTCAAATCAAAAGTTGCTGAGTCGTGTTTTGAATTGGGCCTGAATTCAGCGTCCGAGCAACGTTCTCACTGAGCAGATTGCAGCTACACGATGTCGCCCACTGATCCGACGAATTATAGCAGCCGGGAGTGCGTGTGCGTTGTGTCAAAGCTTGATTGCGCTTCGCCGAATAATAAAAATGAACTACTTACGGAAATTTTCAACGATGCGTTTCTAAACGCATCGTTGGAAAAGTCTTCTTTCATTGATTTCTTCAAAATGACAGCTTTCCAGAAAGAATAATTTCACAGGGAGTTTAGTCCCATTACAATCTTTTAACCAAGTATGATGTTCAACAATAATTACGTCAGAAACTTTTTAGATAGCTGCAAATGATGAATTGTACCTTTAAGATTGTACATTGTGCATTCAATCAGAGGCAGCAACATATGTGACATGTCTTCACGAAATGAGCTTTAAGTTGGAAATCACCATTTTGCAGTACAGTTAGGAAAAGCCAAAATTTGAAGGGGTAGTCAAGTTTTTACTTTCTGGTGAACCTTTATCTGTAAGTCCTGTGCTAATTTTCTCCACTTTTTTTCTTTTGTTCTGTCAAACATCTTTAAACCTTTTTCATCCTGTTTTAGTCGTTGACTATTCATTCACTGTAACACAAGTGCAGGATTTTCAATGCCATTTTCTCAAGAATCAGTTTTACAACTTCAAGTAAATTGGTGGTCTATATTTCCGTTACTGAAGTCAGTACCCCTAAATGTTGTATGGGCTCCGTGCGCCAACAAAGAGGGCGTGTTTTTACCTCTTTTGAGAGCTCCGGGGACAGGACACAAAGCGTGCGTGTACTGGTACTGTAGGCCTACTGGTTCGCGTGTGAAGTACGCACGACTTCCTGAATGTGCAAAAGTTATAGCTACCGCGTCATTGGGTGAGCGTCAGGCGTCGTCGGCGCGCGAATACGTTTGAATTCAACTTGCCATGGTCTCCGAGACTAATCCCTGCTTCCAATAACTTTGGATACATTCGAAATATGCAGTGGATGGATCGGGAACCAGTCTAAGTCACCCCCAACTCTCCTTTTCTGGCTGTTGATGGGGTACTTGTGCACGGAGTACTTGTTCTGAGCTCTTGTTCAGCAGAATCCAGATAAATAAATAAATATATTCTGACTTTAAGCTCATTTTATGATGACAGCTCAACACTGATTTCCATAATCTGAGATCCTCCGATTCTCCCACTCTTATTCCCATCAAATGTAAAACTGGCATTTTTAGGCAAACTTTTTTTAACCGCATATACAACTCCTGGAACGAAATTCCATGTAACCTAAGAAATTCACAAGTTTTTTCTTTTTTTAAGTCAGGCCTACTTGACCACTACTCACTAGCCAGTGATGTGTAATTTGGGTAGAGTTCACCCGTATATTTTTTATTATGCTAGTGCAATAATTTGTGGCCGTTTTTTATTGTAGTTTTTCCTTCTTCTTTTTGTGATTTTTTTCTTTGAACAGTATTTCTTTGTTTTCTTCGGTTGTTTGCTTGTTGTTGTGCTTGTCCCCTGTTTTTCGGTTTTGATGTGTGAACAAGGTTCCCCATTTAGTGGGCCTTTGTGCCTGTTCGGGGTTTCCCTTTTGCACCACATGTCATTTCTAATGTATTTGTGCAATGAAGGTAATAAAATAAAAAAATAAAATAAAAAATAAAAAATATGTCTGAGTCCATGTCAAACCCATTAAGTCACTCAAATGTAGTCACTCAAATCCTCTGAGTATGACTTACCACTTTTTTCATGAGTTTTGAATGTCAAAAGGGAATATACTTACGATGTTGCTTCCATTGTGATAGTGAAGTTATCAGCATCTGATGGTACATCGCTAGCATCAAACTTGATGGTAAACCGCTCCTGTACAACATATAAATATGGTTCATGTCACTATCAACCTTAGAGATTTCAAGAAATTAAGAAGACTATATGTACTTCAATTGAGCAAGGAAAAGAGACCGATGTTTGAGAACCAAAGGATTTAAGCCCAAAACCTCAAGAATATCATGCCAGTGATGTAGTAACCTTCAAACAGTGCGACACTAGTGTTTAGCATCACAAATTGAGAATTATAAACATGTTTGGAATGTGCATATTCAGATTCAGGGGCTACATTTAAGGGAGGCCTCACCATCTTAACTCAGGGGGTCAGACAAGTAGACCGTTGAGACAACTCGACTCGGGACAAGTCGACCGTTGAGACAACTCGACCGTTGAGACAACTCGACTGTATGTGCGATAAATGGAAAGACAAGTCGACCGTTGAGACAAGTCGACTCGCATGTTTTGTGGATAGTACCGGGGACTTTTTGTTCGGGCCGGGTTGATATACGGCTGGGGTTGCCGCTGGGCGAGATGATAGGTTTAGCTGCTTTAGTTTAGGAAAATGATGGTGCTATCCCATTCAAACTAAGTACAAATGTAATTGAAAACTGGGGTTCAAATACCTTGTAAACTAAGAGGTACATTGGGCAATAGATATCAGTGTCGCTGCCATGGGCGTCGCCAGGATTTTTTCTAGAGGGGGGCAAAAAAATTTTTTGCCAAAAAATGCTTGTATTTCTCAACACAATCTCGATTTATCAGTTTTAGAGGGGGGCAGGGACATTTTGCCCCCCCCCCCAACTCATTAAATTTACACCACTTTGTCTTCGCGCCTCTTTTTCTTTTTTTTGCTTTTCTTTTTTTTTTCTTCCCTTTTTTTTTTTTTTTTTTTTTTTGCTTTTCCAGGGGGGGGGGGCAAGTGCCCCCCCTTGCCCCCCCCTCGCAACGCCCATGGTCGCTGCGCTGGGCCGACGCGACGGCCACCGGAGCGCTCACTGTGCATCGACGTGTGCCCGCGTACCGCGCGGGCCGGGACAGGTGTAGCGTGAATATCCGACTCCATGAAATGTAGACTCATTGGTAGTACTGCACACGCGTGAGTACGATACTATGCTATTTTTAGGATCGTTTCGGGAGAGTGACCTTTCACGTGCGAGGGATCAACCAATAATAGGGAAATAGGGGTCCGATTTTCATAGGAGTCGGATTTTCATGTGACACCGGTCCTGCCACAGATTTATGCAACTTTTTCCGCTCCACGTGTATACATTTCCATTAAGTCGACTTGTCTCAACGGTCGAGTTGTCCAGAGTCGAGTTGTTTCAACGATCGAGTTATCTCAACGGTCGAGTTGTCTCAACGGTCGAGTTGTCTCAACGGTCGATTTGTCCCGAGTCGAGTTGTCTCAACGGTCGACTTGTCTAACATTCCTTAAGTCACAAAGTGACACCAACACAAACGATCTGAAACCTGCTTATTCAGATTCAGGGGCCATATCCTCAGAATTTGAGATCACAACTCTGACACTCTGTCAACTCTTGAGGGCAGCAAACATCCCGCTTACCGTGTGCAGTTCTGGGTAGGGGTTGCCCAGCTCACACTTAATCACTGTGTCGTTGTTCTCCAGAGGCTTGCATCCGTAGCGAATACGCTGCAGAGAGAAAGCAAATCAAACAGGTAATGTACACAGCTACTTTAAAGAGGTTGTGGAATGCTCGAAGACATTTCCGTCATTTTTCGGGTATATGTAGCCTAAGGTGTGATGAAATAAAAACGATTATTGTTTCTGTCATAAAATGAGTACAAAAGGTACTTTTGAGAGCTGTTTTTCAAGTCCTGTCATGCCTGTTTCGACCCGAACGTGCAATTTGTGTAAAAGTCGTCGTTGCGGGCAGCAAACAAAACACAGTAAATCGTGACGTAATAAACAGGACTCCCGATGCAGAGTAGCATAAACGAGTCCTGTTTATTACGTCACGATTTACTGTGTTTTGTTTGCTGCCCGCAACAACGACTTTTCACAAATTGCACGTTCGGGTCGAAACAGGACCTGAAAAATAGCTCTCAAAAGTACCCTTTGTGCTCATTTCATGACAGAAACAATAGTCGTTTTTATTTCATCACACCTTAGGCTACATATATCCGAAAAATGACGGAAATGTCTTCGAGCATTCCACAACCTCTTTAATATTCGCACTTCCCACTATATGCGTGCGAACCAGTACGCACACGCGGTGTGTGTGTCCCATCCACGGGGCTCTCGAAAGTGGTCAAAAAGTGCCCTCTGTCGTTCGCCTCAGATTGCATCACAGAGCATCTAGAATCCAAAATTTTCTGGAGCCCTTAAGCGGGCCCTGGACCCCACGCCGTGAAGGCTTTGCACTCCACGCTCACATTAGTCCCCGGGCCAAATTGCCCCTACGCTATAATTTCACCCTGGCTAGAAAACTGCCCACATGTCAATTTTCATGTGATCAAATTTGTATTTAATCGGTAGATCCCTTCTGATGCATGCACCTAGATTTAAGGCATTGATGAAATAAGTAAATGAATGAATGAAATAAACTGATGATATAGTGTGATGAAGCAGTTATAAATGTGTGGTTCAAAACCGGTGAAGGGCCTGGCCACCAATAATGGCCCAAGCAAAAAGGCCAGGGTTATTTTCGGCCACCAGGCCCCTAACTAGTTTAAAACATCACTTTCATAATTGCACCATAACACAATTATCCCCATTCATAAATACCATCACTGTCCCAATCCATAAAAAGTTGAAAGGCTGACAAACTTCCAATGATCATAAAATGCTACTATTTTACTTCATGTTCATATCACTGGTTCTCAGACACCCAGTTGTAACCAGTGCGCGCGGCGCATACTGCGGCACATCATACGGAACACAGTGTTTCGTTTTAACCATCGGCATTTAAACACTGAGGGGGGTTAAACGGCAGTTTAAGACCACACACTTGACGGGCTCTGGACCAATAGGAATAGGTAAACTGCCTCAGGTATTTATGAATGTTGATTTATCAACACTTCTTGTTTTACCCACAAGGGAATGACTTACCTGGGAGGCTGAGTCCTCTATCTTATTGAAGCTGAGTATGTCAGGGAAGATGATGATTAGCTTGGCATCATACGCCGGCTCTTCTCTGTTCGTCAGCACCACGTCCAGTTTGAGATCCTTGTGCTCACCCACGCGCAGTATAGGGGGCATCCTACACGACAGAAACAGGCAAATTGATTCAATGGAACCCATTCACAATAGACGCCGCCCGCTGCGCATGTGAGCCCCTCCAATGCCACAATGTAATTTGCCAAGTTGCAATCTTTTGTGAGCTTCAAGACAGCATGGCACAGTGCTCGAAACAACTCTGCCCATGCATAAAAGTGGCACAAAATCGATTTTGGTGTATCGCACTAAATTGATTATATCTCTGAATTGACCAAAGCAAATAAGATCAAACAAACACTATTGGAAAGCCCAGTCTTTGTTCTTTAATATTATGCCAAGTAAGAATGACTTATATTGAAATTTCATATTTAACCAATTTTGTTTCTGATTGTACCATTTTTTTTGAGATAGGCTGTATACACCCGTGCATGCATGCCTGACCTTTGTGCACGCACGTCGGGCATTCATCATCACTGTGATTGGTCAAAACCATGATGGGGCGGGGCTTAATGAATCAGTCTATTAGTCATCATCTCTCCAATGCAAAGAGGAAGGCTCCAATACGTTGCTGCCACATGCCTGATGCTGGTGCAAAGACCATACCAGTTTATGCACATTCGGAATAAACTTAATTGGGCATACAAATGTGTCCCTCCCACGGAGTTCCTATGAGCGGTCAGCGAGCACATGTACTGTCCATATCATGTGACATTTAGGCTGACAACCGGTATTTTTTTTTGAGTACATACTTTGTGCCACTAGCAAGTATCACGGTCACAGTTCCCACATTCTGGAAAGTTAGGATTAAAGGCCAGTTCATACTCTGTGCCAAAGCCGATCACGAGGTCAAACTTTTGATGTCATGTCACGTGTTCATTGTTCGAATTTGCAAAAGTTGAACACATTTCAACTCTGGTGAATTTCGTAACGAATGTTTCATGACGTCAAATTCACCTCACATTCACATTCAAATGAAGTATGAACCGGCATTAAGGATCAAATTTCCCATCTACATGTAAGTTTCTCTCTCCACAAAGAGACTGAGCCGCTAATCCAGTGTTGTAGTCAAGGACTCAAGGTACTTGTGATTGATCACAAGTCATAACAAGTCAACCACAAGGCATCCAATCCCAATTCAACACACAAGCCATTCAAATGAGCTGTAACAAAGGTTTTCTTTGTTATTGATCATCCCCGTTACTTGTAAAAGGACTGAGTTGTGGGACTTACGACTGAGTTTGAAATTATTCATCCTCGTGACTTGAGACTGGACTTGTGATTAACTTGTGACCGAACTTGTGATATACTTGCGATCCATCACAAGAACCTCCACTACAACATTGCTTACCCATCGAGTCTCAAAGAGGCGTCCAAGTCCAAATCAGTGATGCATTTGCCGTCGTCTTGGGCACAGGCCTTGGTGAAATCAAGCTGGGTGGAGAAAAGAAAGAATGTAATTCAGACCAGAATCTCTTCGTGAGGACTGGGCTTGATTTCACAAAGCTGGCCAGCAGAAAGTATTGCTCAACATGTAGCAAATGTATAAGCGAAACAAAAATCAGCTGCGAACCACTTTCAAGCAATCTACAGGGTGTAGAAAAAAAAAAAGGTAATCCAAAAACAATAGGCTCACATGTACAAGTTAGGAAATTATACAATGTCAAAGAGGTTCCATCTGAAAGGGTAGTTCATTAGCTTTCAATTGATACCTTAACTGCACCTCTTCAGTCACTGATGACTTCACACAGGCCAAAAACCCCTCTTTTTATGCACCAACATCTCCAACATACCTCTTTTAACGCACTGTCCACAGTGACAGCGCATTCATCTGACAGCTTAACTCACCACTAATTCAGTAAACTTTGAAACAGAGGTTTTTGCGCCTTTGTTTTGAAATCAATGGTGCTCAGTCATCCATGACTGACGAGATGCAAATAAGATATCAATGAAAAGCTAATGAACTACCCTTTAAGATGTAGCCGCTTTCACAGTGCTCAAGTTCGTAACCTTTACATATTAACCCATTATTATTGGATTACCTATGTTTTGATACACCCTGTACATTGCATGTCATTTTGGCTGGTATCCTGCTTATGCTAAGCAAGTATTTTCACCGCTTAGCATATTTCTGTGCTTACCGGTGCCATGAAACAGGCCCATGGATTATAGAATGTGCAAGAAATCTACTGGGTGTAAGGTTAGTTTTATGACTGATATATGATGGTAAACACATTTTAATGGTTAGCCAGAATGATGCCTGTACATGTATTTACTGTTGTCCATACATTTAAAGATATAGTCCATCATTTGTAATTTGTGCATTTTGTCCGTTTGAAGCAACAAAAGTGTTCAAAACCTAACGAAGGATACTCAACAACTAACCTGATGAAGTTTCAGCGAAAAGCTTCAGCTGTATATTCTGAGAAAAACAGCATTCTAGGATCTCAGTTTCAAATCAAAAGTTACTGAATCATGTTTTGAATTGTTTTGAATTGCAGCTATACGCGACGTCGAGCACTGATCCGACGAATTATAGCAACTGCGCGCATGTGTGCGTCGTGCCAATGCTTGCGCGCGCTTCGCCGAATAACAAAACGAACTACTAATTTAAATTTACCTACGGTGCGTCTTAAGACGCACCGTTGGAAAGGCCTTCTTTCGCTGATTACTTCAAAATGACAGCTTCACAGAGAGAATAATTTCACAGGGAGTTTAGTTCCCTTACTATCGGATGTTACTTTTCGGATGGCTGCAAATGATGGACTATAGCTTTAAGAACAAATGTGGTAGGGTTTGAGTACATATTAGGCAATTGTTTTTATATGACGCTTTCATCACTGCTGTAAAGTAGATAGGGTGTATGTGTATAGTATGTGTGTGTTCACGAGTTTTTCACGAGTTGCTGGACTGCGAAGCGGACGACAGGCAACGAAGCCGCCTCCTATAGACCTTTATCATGCTTCCACCATTTTACTCATGTCCCCTGTATCCAATAACAGTACTGAATGATAACGTTTTGTGCAAAAAGGAACCAGACTATTTTTCCTTCCAGCCTCGCTTTGGTTACATTGATCTGAATGGGAAAAAAATCAAATGGCTGCAACATGATAATGGTCTATAGCGGGCGAGGCGAAGCCTCGAATTATATAAACACTGTAGTTATGTCAACCAAGGAATAATGTTTTATTAGTAACCGTTTCTTTGTGTTATGCCCAAACTACTGCGCCGTCCCAACTATAGTTGGGACGATCCAATCTTTATCATATAGTTTGGACATAACATTTGCATGGAAAGAACTTGAGTTATGTAATATTATTTGTTAGGTAACCAGTTGGTCAAACCTGCTGCAACCAACGTTGTCTCATACATGTACATGATGCATCCTTAAGTTTCGTTCTTACATCGTGAGTGCCACTTAATTCAGACAGGTGTTTGAGAGTGATAACGAACCAAAATGTATTTGGAATAACTCAATGGTTTCAAACAGGCAAATTTTAGGTACTAGCGTTTCCAATGCTGGTTCCTACTGCGCGATGTGGCGCAGAACACAGCGGTGTAGGAATTAAGTGTTTAAAACCAGCCGCTTTTTATCAGCGGTTTTAAACCACTCATGTGACAAGCTCTCGACCAATACGAATGGATAAACTGTCTTACATATTTATGAAAAAAGAAGAAGATAATAGTGAGGTGCAGCAGTACATGCAGTTTAAAACCGGGTAGGGGCCTGGCCGCTGATAATGGCCCGAGCCAAAGGTAATGATCTCCTGCACTGTTTAACACCTGTCTTCAATTAAAACGTCGCTGACCGGTGTTTAAGCAGCGGCTTCAGACCGACCACGTGACAGGCTCATGGCCAAAAGGAATGGGTAAACTCCCTCAGGTTTTTGTGATTGTATGATCAAACTTACAACTGTACATGTACAAATTACTACATAAATGCATCTTGGTCTTTGTTATTATAAGTTCAGCTTTCAATCTCAAAGTAACATCACTTTTTTTCCCGAACGGGCACCCTGTTAAAATGAAGAATGAATTAATAGTATAGGATTGTTACAATATACACACATGTTCATGATGTAATAAACTTTATGAAATGGATCAGGTCTACACTACTGACTACATAAGCACTAACTTCTGTATTCAACTGACATCTAATGATACATTTTTCAGAACTGAAGCTCCTTTGAGTCAAGTACAGTTAGTAACATGTACAGTGTATTATGTGTTAAGTATTATAGTGTGAATTACAAGTAGTACATGAAGGACAGTTAGACTATTAAGTGTGCAGATTTAAGTGCAGTGCTGAAGTTTGTACTGAATATCACAGCAACACACGCATAGTTTTATCATGTTCCTCAAAACAGGCCCTTTTAAAGTAGCATGGGTGTTAAAAAATGTGATGCTTTTCTGTTTGACAAGTTTCATCCCCCCACCCGGCCTTCCGGACATAAACTTGGGTATGGCAATCAAAAATTATTTTGTCGATATTTTTACCATCAGAGAAAGATTTTCTCATTTTTGTTATCTCAAAAAATTACCAAATCACAAAATAAGACCAAAATTTGGATTTGCTTATATGTTCATCATTTTTTTCTTCGGATTTAGCATTTTGTCCTGCTCCCATATTTGTAAGTCCCTTAATCATTTAGTCTCTACATCCAGGTACAAATATGTGTTGTTATCGCAATGGTGCAGTGTGTTATTGAGTGACTGCTACAGAGGCATATGGTGATCACCTGGAACTGGCTGGCTGAAGATCCTTGCTGTCAGGGGCAGGTAAAGCACAGTGCAGGGAAAGGTTAGGGCTCACAACATCAACAACAACAACAACAACAACAAAAGTGAGGACACATTGACTTTGACAAACACAAACAGAAAAACACCCTGCCAAGTATGAGCCAAATCTCATGACTTTTCAATGATTTGTATACTGTGCTCAAATTTGTATCCTTGTGGAGACACGCACACAATAGGGAACAAAACATTGTAAAGGTCTCCACAAGGCAATTTCTATAGATGAATAGGTCTCCACAAGGTTTTCACGAAATAGATATATGGATTTTACTCAAAAACAAGGAATTTCCAAGGTGGGTTGATCTGTCGCAAATGGAAGAGTTTTAGAAAAGGGATATTACATATAAGTCCGAATTTCAGCCAAGGAAATTAATTCTGGTTAAAATAAGAGCATTTTGAAACTTCACTTTCAAAATTGAAAACTTTACTACACGAGAACAAAGAAATGTCTCCACAAGGATACACATTTGAGAGTGGGTGTAAAGACAGGGCAACAACACCACTCACAAATCAAGTCAATTTAAGTTGACATGGGGAGTCAGGTTGGCATGGTGGTTCTTTCCTCGCCTTCCACCGCTGTGACCCAGGTTCAAATCCTGCCTGGGCCAATATGTGGATTGGGTTTTCAGTCCCTACCTGATTCCATGAGTTTTCCCCAGAATATTCCTCTGGGGTTTTCCTCCCACCTCTAAAACTGTAACTTCTTTTCATTGTCTCCTCTCTACAGGTTTCTTCAGGTTTGCGAGCTACAGTACCTAGGACGCTTTTGAGGAATCCTTGGTTTCATTACCAGAAACAACTAATCATAATAATGCCATTCCATAATTCTCCGAAACCCACATGTTTCTAGGGTTTTGCCTATAATAACATTGTCCACTAATCTTTGGGTTCCAAAATGGACAAGTTCCGGGAAGGGGGGGGGGACCAACTCAAATACCAAGTTTGAGATTGACATGTTGATTTGTTTCTATTTGGTTATAACCATAAGGATCTTTCACATTTGACCTAGAGGGTCAATAATGAATGCACACAAATGAACAAGACAGAAAACATGGCATAACAGGATTCCCCTTCGACTTTGCAGTGGTGCGTAAAAAAGGGTAACAGCACAACTTTGAAAAGTAACAGAAACACACCAAATAAAACCTGCAAAACAAATATACTGCAAAAGCAAACTCAAAACATAATCCAAAGAAAAAGTGCATGCAATTGGTGCTATTAAAACAAGTGTTAGGGCAACAGCTACTTGCACATATGTCCTATAATACCCCACCCAAAATATTAATATAAAAGTACTTCTAAGCACAACAGATAAGCCTAAAAAACTCAAATTTTCCAAATTTTTTTTTGGCCTTAGCTCTTTGAGTTTCCCTGAAAGAAAAGAAATAAATTTACAGCATTCTACAAATTCAATATTCCAGTGGACTATATAGCTGAACCCAGAGGGCTAGTGTCTGTCCTTAGACTGACCGATCCACTGACTGACAAACTCACTGAGTGTAAACAATGTCCTTAACTGCCTACAACCGAACATAAACCACTTGACTTTGCCCTAAGTGCCCTTTAACCCTAACTCCCTAGGCATTTTTGCTAGGATGCAACCTCAATCCTGAAAAATCCTCCAACTGTCTCCGCATAAAAATTGCATACAGCCTCAATCCTCCAAACTCATCCATTATTTCTTGAATGTGGTCCTTGGAGGGGTGACCACTGCCTCAATCCTGCAAAATCCTCTGGCAATCACTGTCAATATGTTGAGGCAGAGCCAGTGACATCCTGGAGCAGTGTGGAGGATTTCAAGTATAATCTAGGCCGAAATTTATGCACGGCTGAGCATAAACAATGCAAGGTTTGCCCCAGGACTTTGACACAGTGCATCCTCCAAAATCAACCACACGTTTTTGCCATATTTTAGCCTCAATCCTGCAAAAACCTCCATTTTGCAAAGAGGATTTTGGAGGATTTGGGAAGTTTAGGGTTAACCTATTAGTCCCTGTACCGCCCCAAAGCACCCTTCTCATACATCGCCCCATACCGCCCCCTATAGTTTTACAGATTCTTCAAAGAGGAAATACAGTGTAGTACAATGTAATACAAATGTAATTCAAGTGCTACTGGGCTAAAACCTAAAGGCATAAACCAGAAGCTACTCTTGAGACAAGCTCAACTAGGCAAGCAAGTCTTGCTTTGTGATTCTTAACAAAAATGGAGCACTTAAAGTTTTTATGTAAATTCAAATTTGTCTATTTAAGAGAGGAACCTGTTCCATCTATGCTAGAACTTGTTTCTTTCATTCTTTGTGGCTTCCACCTCGAGTGGCCTTGGAATAGTATGCAAATTCCACAACAACATCAACAACAACAACAAAAATAAATACTTGACAATTCCGGTCTTACCTGAGCTACATATGATGGATCATGCAGGCTGTTTAGGATGGGTAGCTCATTGATGTCAGGGAGGTCGTCGCCGGGGGCAGGGGTCTCCACCTCCACCTCTTTCAGCTGGTAGGTCAGTTTGAACGGGATCTTGCGGAAGATGTCCTTGAATCCCGGCTGTGGATGGGAACAAGAAACTTTCATTAATTTCTGTTTCATTTCTTTCTGGAAGCAATTCAAGGGGAAAGGACTGCAAGGAAAAGTGTAGGGAAACAGAAATGAAAGAAATAAAACCAAAAAGATGAGATTTACTGATTTAGGATGAAAGAATTAATAGTTCTCTTGAAAGATGCATTCACCGTTGCATTTTTCGGTTAAAAAAAAAAAAAGATTCCTTTTCTTAACTGCTATTTTTCAAGCAATACAAAAGTTATTCAATTGAAATGAGACCAATTTATGGCCTTACTGAGGTCACCTCAAACTCCACCCTGACTGGTATTTTTGAGAGTTTCAAGGGGATTGAAGTGTCATCTGCAACATCAGCCGACATTTGAAGAAAAAAAAGTAGGAGAAAAAAAACTTTGGGGGCAAGCTCCATACCAGAAACCGGAGACTTTTTTTTGGCCTTAACAAAACTCACCCCGAGAATAAACTAGAATTTTGCCGAGCTTTTTTTACGTGTAGAGAGTGCAAGAAAGTTTATAAACAAGACTAGGCATGAATAGTAAGGCTGGTGCCAGACTGATTAGGTGTAAGGAGTCTAGGTAGTCATCCGAGTCACATTTTTGGGCCAAGATGAGGCTGAACCAGTTGGCGCCAGAGGCCGTGATAACACGCACTGGCTGTTTTTGTGCACAGGCATGAATGACGGGTTAAACATCAAGCGTGCCTCGACTCGCCTCCGGGTGATGTCAAAACACGCTCATCCCTTGTGTATTTTGTATACACACACAAAGTCTGTAAAGTCTGTGGAGGTGCACCGTGTGTTGATCTTGAATTGGTCACTGTGCACGGCCTATTGTTCTACAATTTACGCTCCGTTGCACACCCCGGGGTGTATCGGCAAGAAATATCGTACAAATAGTGTTGAAATGACTCTTGTGAATCAGTATTTGTGGCGTTTGGCTGTATATCAGAAGTCGGCTGCCATATTTTACCTTTTTTTTTGAAAATCAAAATTTTCAGTGAAATTAATCCCGTCCTGAACTGGTTAAGCAAGGCTAATTCACCTGTGACAGTGCGTGGGGGGGGGGGGGGGGGGGGGGGGGGGGGGGGGGGGAGTCACTCAGGCGGGGAGTCACTCGGTCAGTCAGTCAGATAGGCACAGTGAGGACTGTGGTCTAGCCGGCCCTCTCAGACCAGCAAAAAAGACAGCTTTACGGAATCCTAGATCGTCAAAACTCACCCTGAGTACAGCATAGTATTTGGGTGAGCGTTTGGGTGCCTCTTCACTCTGTGGTCTGAGAGTCATGGACTTGTCCCGGATGGCGTAGGAGTTGGACCCTTCAAAGATGATACGGGAGGTCAGGCCCAAGGCCCGTCTCACCTCCTCAGCTTCAATGGAATACTCCACCTCTGTAGAAATAGACAGCAACCATGTAAATAAGTTAAGTAAATCCTTCCTATTGTTTGATCAGTCACAGACAGTCAAACATTTCTTCCACTTACCCCTGGCAGGCCTTTTTATACAGACTAGTAAAAAACAGATCACATTCGTGTCAACATTGTGACTAGTCATATTCCAACAACAGACAAAAGAGGTAACTGGTTGTTACAGTTGGCATATCAATCACCTCCAGTCAAAGAACGGCTATATCAAGCTAGGCAGGGAATTCGTAACTGTTAAAGACAGTCACTTGACTGATTTTGACTGCTGTGATGGCGTTGCTGAATTGGCTTCCTAGAGAAGGAGGGTTCACCTTAAAGTTGCATCACCAATGCTTTTCAGTAAATTCAACTTGTTTTCTTGTGAATAGAATTTCAACTTGTATGTTTTATTCAGACCCATTCACCTTTTGAAATGTTTTGGAGCATCTGCCACCCTATGAACCCCCCCCCCCCCCCAAAAAAAACCTGGCTCCCACTCTGTACCCTAATGATACTGATTGTGAGGCGGGAACCAGCCTACCCAACACAAACAAAATTATTGTCGGAACGCATGTAATTCGAAATTTGAAAAGTAGTCATTCAATAACTAAACATGGGCGGATTTTTAATCAAATTAACATCTCAGTTTGTGTGTACTTACTTATTGGAGCATCAAAGTTGTATGAGTTGCATGTGTACTGCATTCGAGCTTGGACATAAAAACTGAAATAGAAAAGAAAATAATTTGATAATTTATGTAGCTAATACACTCTCCAAGCTGAGTGTACATTATAAATTTAAATGGGCCTAAAGTGTAAACATTCAAATATCACTGAAATCAATGCATTACAAAACCAATCACAAGTCAATCACAAGTCAAACACAAGTCAATCACAAGTCAATCACAGGTCATCACAAGTCAATCACAAGTCAATCACAAGTCATCACAAGTCAATCACAAGTCAATCACAGGTCATCACAAGTCAATCACAAGTCAATCACAAGTCAATCACAAGTCATCACAAGTCAATCACAAGTCATCACAAGTCAATCACAAGTCATCACAAGTCAATCACAATCACGTGGGAAAAAGCTATTGGAATATCCTTTGGTTCTACATCTAGGTACTGCAACAGTATATGGATGAGAACAGGCAGAACGCCGAGTTTCTCTCTCAAACACTCTGATTGTGACCAGAATTGTGAAAATGATTTGTGACTGACTTGTGACTGACTCAGCTTTGTTATAGATTCCTCACCGAAACGTTGGTTTGCCGTTGTACACAGCGTTTGTGGCGTTGGCATCTATCTCCGACGTCTCCAGGAGAAGTTCTGCTGTGACGTTAACAATGGGCCGGGCTCTGTAAACACAACGATGTACATCAACGTAGTACAATTATATTTGCTATATCATGTCTTTGATACTACTGATTGTGGGGCAGAAACCGGCCGATCCTGCGGGACGGAATTTTTGTCTGGCAGCCAATAATTCAAAATTGTAAAATAGAAATTCAATAACTAAACCTTGGCCGCTTTTTTTTTGGGGGGGGGGGGTGATGTTTCATTCAAAAATGTCAAACTTTTGTATTGCTAGAAAAATAACAATTAAAACAAGCATTTTTTTCTTTTTTCGAGATGAAACTTGAAAATAGCAGGGGAATCAACTTTAAAGGTAGAGTGGACCATTTGCAGCTATCCAAAAAGTATCCCACCAAATTATTGTTAAAAAGCTGACTTGGTTTCAAGATAAATATAATACTAAACTCCCTGTGAAATTGTTCTTTCTGGCAAGCTGTCATTTTGAAGAAAAAATTAAAAGAGGGTCATTTCCAAAGATGTGTCAAGTGACACATTTTTGGAAATTTCCGTTTGTAGTTGGTTTGTAATGAATGGGTGCAAGTGTTGACATGAAACACTCGCGCGCGGCTTATATGATCTGTCAGTTCAGTGTGTGACATCCATTGATCTCCATTATGTAATGGAGATCAATCGTGATATCACATAGCTACAATCAGTTGAATGAGAACATGCCCCGAATGCTGATTTTGAGATTATGTCACGAGAGGATGCAATTCAAAATATGGACATGCAAGTTTTGAACTGAAATTGAGATCCAGAATATTGTGTTTTCTCAAAATATACAGCATTCACTGAGCTAAAACTTTATCAAGTTAGTTGTTAAAGGTAGCGTCCATCATTTGTAATTTGTGCATTATGTTCGTTTGAAGCAACAAAAGTGCTCAAAATCTAAAGGGTGCTGAACAACTAACCTGATGAAGTTTCAGCTTAGTGAGTGCTGTATATTCCGAGAAAACAATATTCTAGGATCTCGATTTCAAATCGAAAAGTTGCGGAGTCATGTTTTGAATTGGGCCTGAATTCAGTGTCCGAGACACTTTCTCACTGAGCTGATTGTAGCTATGCGATGTCGCGCACTGATCCGACGAATTATAGCAACCACTATATTCTGAGAATTATAGCAACTGCGCGCACATGTATGTTGTGTCAACGTTTGCGCCCGCTTCGCAAATTAAAAACTAATTACTAACGGAAATGGCCTTCCCTCATTGATTTTTTCAATATGACAGCTTGCCAGAAAGAATAATTCACAGGGAGTTCAGTCCCATTACTATCTTTAAACCAAGTATGCTTTTCAACAATAATTATGTCAGTTACTTTTTGGATAGCTGCAAATGATGAACTATAGCTTTAAGCATTCGTCTGTAGATTTTGAGCACTTGAAAAAAATGCACAAATGGTCGATCCTACATTTAAATCACATATCGAGGATATGCTCTAACTTATTATGAACCAACCTGAAAGTAACCACAGTGTTAGCTTCAAAGGCGCCCACAGTAAGATCAGGGTAGTCGTTACCATCCAAGTCAATTCCCCCAGACAGGGAATAACCAAACGCTCCCCCGATTTCCCTGGTATTCGGCAGGTCGGCGGGCAGATCGGACGGAGAGATCTTCTGTGACGCTGGCTGCACGACGCCGTCGGGGCCGCCTAGGTAAATGTAGACAGTGCCCTCACCGTCGTTCTCATAGGGGGCGCCGATGGCGATATCTGGTATGGGTTAAGGGAAATCTTGTGTTGGTTCGGTTGGCACTGGAACCAAGGTAACATGGGTAAGCACAGGACTACTTGATAAATGACAAGAAGCACAATAAAGGGGGCCACTTTGCTACCGTCACGTTAACAGTTTTGCCAATGGTTGTGATTGTTTGTTAAATAATTTCAACACATGAATGGACATGCAGCCTTTTGCTAAGGACAATTTGAGTTGATTATTGATGTTGCTTTTTGACATTTTCCTCAAATTTCCATCAAATAGTGGACGGAAAACTTAGGTAACTTTTTCCGTCCATTTTTGATGGAAATTTGAGGATGATTTTAAAAATTAAAAAAAGAAAGAAAGAAATGATTCAACACATATTACATGTATTATAAGCCTACATGTCACATTTCAAAGACTTTTTTGGGTGGTTTCAGGTACTGTAAAAAAAAAAATTACAACCATTGCAAAAACTGCTAACGTGACAGATGCAAAGTGGTCCCCTATATTGTGTTTCATGTCAAATAGAAAATGGTGGTCTTGGTGCTCAAAGCAGGATTTTTTGCCAATACTTTGGGAGCGCAAGATTATTGCTAACTTTCTTCAGCTTCCACTTGCATACAAAATCAAACAATCGGACAAAATATGACAAACAGAAAATAGAAAAACTAGGTGAAACACAGATATGCAGCAAAGGATTGTCTCCTTGTTGTTCAACTAATTAGAATTTCTTGAGTATTTAAATAAATTATTCACTGCCTTATATGTACCAGGGGACTTCAAGAAATACAATTTGTTTGGTCTCATTCTTCTTTACAGACAGAAAAACCCAAACAATTCCACAGTGATTACTTGCAGTATTCGTTGCTACATGTATGTATATCAGATTTTATCCGTCCAACCGACCCCGGAAAGCTTAGTGGTCGAGTGGTAAGACATCTGCACTAGTAATCAGGAGGTCGTGGGTTCAAGTCCCATCCAGGTACACAAGTGAAGTTTCCTTCTCAGCCGTCAGTGCACAGTGCTTATACAATTACGTTGGTGATAAGCGACAAAACCGATAGTCAACTTTATCTCCCGATGCAAAATTCCAATCAGAAGTGAGAATCTTCATGTGACTCACCCTCGTAACCATCCAGATTGAGATCTCCTAGGTTAGTGATGGCGATGCCAAACATGGAATCCCTGGGGCCCGTCAGACGAATGGGTTCTATGGATGAAAAGGAACCCTGCGAGGAAAAAACCCGTAAGACTTACATCAACTTAATGCACTCAGGGTCTGTTTACATTGGGAGTGGTATGGGCTCTATGTACAAGTACCCTCTCAACGGTAAGAAAGGCAGAGTTGGGGAAGACATTCAAGCACATTGCTCACGCAAAGACGCAACGGCTTCGTGCACATTTGGAATAGAATTAGCTGTGCGTAATTCTTTTCGTGCGCGAAACAGTATGTACATGTACGTGTTCTACATAACCCCCGAGGACAGACACACGAAGGGAGAACAACAGATCCTTTCAGTCCTCGGGAGTTGGGTCTTTTGTTGTTAACGGTCCTTTGTAGTAAGTTTGTGTGCTTAGTCTATGGGAGAGTGTTATTATTACAGGGTCAAAGGGAAACACAAAGCATTGTCCTCGAAATTATAGTAAAACAAGAGTGTCTGCACACGTGGTGTGTCCCATCCAATGGGCTCTCGATAGTTGTAAAAAAGCGCCCTCTCTTGTTTGCGCACGGAGCCCATAGGGATTCTGTGCAGGAAACAATGGGTTGGTTTCAATAGGCCCGTTTAAACTTCAAGCATACATCCCACACAGTAGAGCTAGAGGTTAGGAATTCCCCCTAATTTCCCTAATATCTCCCAAAATGCAGCACAATGAATCTGCATTCTGGCCAATCAGTGCATTGGTGGTGGTTACGACATACATGTACTGGGGCTGGCTATGACACACACTTGTTTTACTTTCGCTTTGCATGTGCTATAATCCGTAGCAGCATTATCACTCACGTTCTGGTGTTTGTTCAGGTAGATGTACACGCGTCCCCCGGCCTCAGTGCTTCGGTCATAGTAGATAGGTGCACCAACAATCAGATCGTCAAAACTATGGAGAAGATGACACCGCAGTGAGAAACAGTGGCAAAACACAAGTAGAAATATGAGGTGTGTATAAAAAAAACACCAAAATTCACCTGTGGATGTGTATCAAGTGAATGAATTTACCCAAATGTCGTCTCATTTATAGTCATTACCCATTTGCGATTGCTACCAGTCAAAATAAACACTATATTCTTGGTCTTTTAAGGCATTTATAGGTAACGTCCGTGACTTTGACAGAAATTTTGTGACATTTTTCTGTCCATGTTACATGTGCAATACTCTTAACATAACACCCTGTGACGTCTTAAATATACAGCAGATTGTCTTGGTGTTTACAGGTAAAAATCCTGTAGAGATAAGAATTAAATTGACAATATTTGGGCAAATGCATTTATTGTAATTACATGTATAATATCAAAAGGTCTGCCTCAAATGAGGTCATTTCCTACAGACCAGCCACATGCATCAGCATTTTGAGCGTCAACTTGCATAACGCGCATCGGCTGCGTCGTATTTCGAACACATTTCGAACAACAAGCGGGCATGTTGGGAACATTTTCAACACTGTGCAATGTGTGCTTGATTGCGTAAAATACGCAGTTGCAGTTCTCCTACAGAGATGGCCTCTTTGAGAGAGACCTATATTGACAAAATTTCTGTCCATGTTGCGTATGTAACATGCTGAGCATGTATATCTTGTAAAAGCTGCCTGGAAAGTCTTAAATACTTGGTGAGCGCAATCCTCAACAGGGTGGAAATGTACAACTTTTTTCCTGCTTCACTTCCCACTCCCACGTCACACATGTGTACCCCTTTAGTGTGGAATGACCCTGTTGCGTATGAACCAGCCATAACCCTAACCCACCTCACTCCTCCAAAATCCTCCTGGCGGTTTTGGAGGATTCTAGAGGATTGAGGATGAATGGTGATTGAATCAAATGAGGATTCTGGAGGATTGAGGATGAATGGTGATTGAAGCACATGAGGATTTTGGAGGATTGAGGATGAATGGTGATTGAAGCACAAGAGGATTTTGGAGGATTGAGGATGAATGCATTTTGAGGCAGGACTGTCTGATGATTTTGAAGGATTTGGCATTGGTTTATCCTTCATTTAAACACGAGTGCAAAGTTTTGGGATGAGGAGGATTTTGGAGGATTGAGGATGAATGCATTTTGAGGCAGGACTGTCTGACAATTTTGAAAAATTTAGGCGGAGTTGCAAAATTTTGGAGGATTTTGGAGGATTGAGGATGGTTGTAAGCAACAAGGGCCTAGGGGGTTAGGGTTAAAGGAAACGTGCAGTGGAAATTCAGCTCATCTTGTTTTCATTACTATGTGTTGCAACAATACATACAAGATCTTAAAACTTATTTTCATTGGAAGTGACAAGAAAGTGGTAATTTTTCAATTATTAGCAAAACCTTTCATCAATACATGTAAGAGGGCGCTATTTTGCTTTTGTCACACAAGGTACCAGTACTCCTTGTCAAAAGTGCATATTAACAGTACACAAATAAGTCCGTCAAAATTACCTACAAACAAATATTAGCCACTACTTTTGTCCAAACAAGCTGTTGAACATAATAAACAAGTAAAGAGTAGAACTTACTCCAAGAAAATGAAGAAAAGTTTGATATATATTTGTACACAGAGCTATAGAGACACTTCTGTTCTGCCTTGAATGACATCACACTTTGTCTCATGGAAATTTTCATTAGCATAAAAACTAAAATGTTGAAATTTCTCCCTTTTACTGCTACAAAGGAGGTGGAAAGTCATAGTAACATGACAAGAAAGCTGTTTGAAATGTATTTCAGCCGTCCAGACAGTAACTTACCCATCCCCATCCAGATCAGCCGAGCAGACCTCGTAACCGAAGGATTCTGCCAGCTGTTCTCCATATATGATCGACTGCATCGTCAAGTCCGTGCCATCTTGCTTGCTCAGCATGACCACGGCACCGATGGCGTTGTATCTCGGGGCACCGGATGCGATCAGAAAGTTAGGACCAAACTTGCCCGAGGTCACCGAGAAGCCTGAATGAGGGACAAGAAGGATGGATGAACACAACTGCTACAGTGGAATCCGGCGACCAGAATTAGAAGCTTTTACTGCGGTGGTGTCACGCTCGCACGCAAGCTGCACGCATTCTTAAAGACGATGCGTGCGCGCATTTTGGTATTCTTATTGGTTGAAGGAGCCCGGAGCACGTGCGCCCTATCTGAGTGTGACTCGCGTGAACCTTGCGCCACCGCAGAAAGTGACTGCCGTCGGATTAGTCTATAGACTTCGTGCATGAGTACCCCCTCATGTGGTTTCAGCGTGAGAGATAAGATAGACTTGAATGCATTGCAGCTGTAGGCCTGGCACTAATGCTAAAAAAGATATGGATCTGTTTACATTGTGAATAAGCTCAATACTGGATACTTCGTGTTTTGAAAATAAACTCTTCACATTGTCATGTGTGTGAGTATTGAGTAATACAACACTGGATCAATCATGGTTTCAGTGGGGCCTCTTACCCAGGTAGCTGTTCAGACCGACACCGGTCGAGTCGTCAAGCTTGGTGCGACTCTGGTCAAAGAACGGGGTGTCTGGATCGACGATGTTGGCTGCAAAGACACCCCCTCTCCAGTCTCCCGCACCTGGTGTTCCTGAGATGTATTCACCTTCTACGCCATCCTCTTCCTAATCAAACAAGTGTGACTGCACAATAAGCTCTGGCCATCTTGCATGAAAGTCTTGCATGAAATGATACAATTACTCACTTGATCGTGATTTACTCACTTGGTCGTGATTCATAATGCAACTTTATCCTCACTCCTACGCCCTGGAGACTCATTAAACTGACACAGGGCCACAGGCAGGGGTGATGCATAGTGACAGGTGTGTAGAAGCCCCCTAACTTTCTAAGTTCGTAGCGCACAAAAATACCACGTGACTGTAACATTACCACACATTATCTTGCCTCTATTCACAAAATTTCATAAACAATGTCACGAATTGTTACAAATAATTTTTGTCAAGTATTTAATATGTTTTGTTTGCTTTTTTTGGACAGTTACAATTTGGTATTACAGTTTTATGGGTGAGTTAGGGGGGTTCGTTTTTGGTCAATTTTTTTGGGGGACCTACTAACCGACCGACCGACACCCGAGTGACTTGTAGAAGCTCTGTTGCCAGAGCTTAAAAACCCACACAAAAAAAGAATGGAAAACTATGGGCTATTATCATAGTATCTGCATTCTGTGCCACATCGCGCAGTCAGTACACGCCATGCGCGCCAATTTCCATTAAGTGCATGAGACACATAGAGACACAATTTCCATTATGTGCATGAGACACATACCATACATATGGCCAGAGGGGTGTTTAAAAAAACCTGAAGTAAAATTGTTGAACAAAATAATTGAAAAGTTGTGAATGTTTGACTTGTTTTGACTTTTTGAAGTGGATAATGGCGAATATCCGCGTCCAGACCCCTAGCCGGTTTTAAACGTACTTGTTTAAAACAGGTCCAGCACATATTTATTGCCTTATTATAACATTTACTCCTCTAACAAAATATCCTCCCATTTCTACTACTGCAGCTGAACTGCTGAACCGAACCAAAATTCACGGAACACAGCCTTTGAGAACCAACCAAACCGAACTGAATTGTTCGGTTTGGATGTTTGGAAACACGATTTTAACGCCGCCTATTTTCACTGGACAATCACAATAATCAAAACTTAAAGTACAATTACCAAAGTTTACTTCTAATTGAAAGAAAACAATATTTTAGGCTGCAAGTTCTGACTTAAAATAAAAGGAAATTCTTGTACATGTACGTGCAGGCATGTACAACGCAACGCCACAATTATAGTTCCCACCCGTGTCGCGCCGTGCCACTGATGTCCACTTGACGTCGGGGGAAAAATGGTTTGGCAATGCTTCATGCACTCTCAATCACCATCGATGTGAAAAGAAGTAATATGAAAGGGTGATTTTAGGAAGGTTAATTTAGTCCGATATTAAAAAACTGTTACGTCTGGAAATTTGGCACAAACTTGGCAGAGTGTTCCCTAATGTCACGGTGGTACACTTGAATAAATGTCAAAAATTCCAACATAAACATTAAAAACACTCTTTAAAATTGACAGATTCTGATAAAACATTATTACTTCCAGCAAGATATTCAACATGTTTGTCAGAAAATTATTTTCTTATTCCAATTTGAGAGCATTTTGAAAGGGTTCACTTCACACTTAAAAAATAAAATTGGAAAATCGCGCCAAAAGTACAACTTCTCTAAACTTCATAATGGGTTGATAAACTCAAAGTTTACAAACGGGAATGTTTAGAGTATGATGACATTTCACTTACTGTGAAATTTGAGGTAAGATGTTTGTTACAGCAAAGGCACAAGAGACAAAAATATCAAAGCATGCCACTTTAAGGGCCGCACCAGGTTAGGGGAAAACAACATATCCTGGGTAAGCTCAAACGCAGAAGCTGGTTTCTATAGTCTGGTGCATGAAGCCCATTACCTGTGTGATGTAGAACCCAGTACCGGCCTGGCAGTAGCCATATTTGCTCTTGCCTAGCCCAATGTTGCGGCACATCTTCCACGGAACGCTGCGGAAGTCGTCCACTGTCAGATCGGCGTTTCTCAGGAAGCACTTGCCCAAACCGCTGATCTCTTCCGAGGACACTGTTTTGTAGCGATGGGCACAGATCTGAAGTAAAAAAAAAAACCAATCATACCAAAAAAGGTATTCTCTTTGATAGTCTAAAACAATAGTCCTGAGAGTTAATGATGTCATGTTTGTTTACATGTGCGCTTTCCTACGGGGAGTCAGGAAAGCGCACACGTAAACAAAGCGTGACGTCATTAGGTCTTAGGCCTATTGCAATATAGACATTTGTGCAAACGTTTGCAGACATTTGCTCTGAATATTTTACATCTGGCCAATGTTTGATGAAGTGATGACACCAAAGCCATTCTATCATAGTTATGTAAACATATTATGAAGCGCATGTACACGTAACTGTACATTTATACATGAATATCATATCTGAATATTGACTATATTCCCATGTTTGTAGCATTGCTAAGGGTGCTTGGATTGTGAGGTCTTTTTATTTAATTACTTAGATTAAGGATTTTTCAGGTCCCGAGGTTAGGCTGGTAGCAGGGTAAAAAACAACAAATGCCCTTTACGGCGTGTCCATAATGGTGCATCTAGGATTTGGACACAGTATTCGGATATGTATTCGTATTCGGAAGGCGATATTTTTTTTTGTCATCAAACGTGTCATGTTTTTCGGACGTGATTTTCAAATTTTGTTTTTTCAAAATCAACTTTTTTTTCAGGTGGTGATTCCGTAATCCAAGTTATATATATCTATAAAAAAATGGCCTGACTTTTGGGTCAATCCCTGGCTACATGTACATGACATTTCAAGGTTATTGGCTACTGACTACTATAACGCCCTTGAACAAAATAAAACCTGACAAATCAGGTGGACCCCCAACATACATGCAAGGCTTGTTAGCTCTCTTGGTTGAATGCCAGTACGGCGATCTGTAGATCGTAGGTTCAAACCCAGGTCTAATCAATTTCCTTGTTACATTTATAATTAAAATCATACTCAAATAACATATGCAGCTGTTGCTGTATGCGGAACATACAATGTACATGTACACACATTTACACATCACAGACCATGATGTTGGGGAAACTGAATACACTTTTTCTTGTACTGTATCAGGAAGATGGAATAAACTCCCATTCTAACTCACCGCTACTTTGCCACCACGCCCCTGACTTCTGACTGTCACGCCCAGCCACTGGTCGGTCTTATTCTCATTGGGATCATTCGCTGTGGACGTAAATATTTATCAGAGTAAACAACTAAAAGTATCTTCGATGTAGATGGTTAATAGCAAAACTTGAACACATTTCGACTTTGGTGAATAAATAACAATAGGGTACCAGATAGCGTTTTAAGTTGAGTTTTTACAAGTCCATCATAAGTCTAGACACACGTAAATCCAGTCACAAGTATAACAAAGAATCCTGTTGTGTTTGTTATGAGGTCAATATGCAAGAACTGGTACCCCCTCAACGGTAACCAACCAAAAAAGGAGAGTTGGGGAAGACCACTGGGAGAGACATTCAAACGCATTGCTGACGATACCTGGTGCGCATGCAAAGATACTATGGCTTTGTGAACATTTAGAATGAAATAAGTCATGTGTACATGTACTTCACGCCATACGCACTTGAACCAGTACGCGCACACAGTGTCCCATCCACAGCGCTCTCAAAAAGTGGTCGAAAGGCGCCCTCTCTTGTTTCCGCACGGGGCCCATAGTGACTGTAAATTACGTTGAACTACACCTTTTGAACAACCAATCACCTTTAACTAGATCTTACCATCGTCGTCTAATTTCAAGTCCTCGCAATCATCAACGAACGTACTGAGGGGGCATTTGAAGGCTGCCCCCGTCTTTGGTACCACAGCATCGGGGGATTCGTATGTTGGCGCACCGACTAAGACCCTGCAGACAAGATAAATGTGTCTAGTCAATAGGGAAAGAATATCAATGAGATACTTGTTTGAGAAATGATGGATACAGTAAGAGGGTGGTATACCCTAATACACCTGCTTAAAATAGTGCCCTCATATTGCGCTCGCCATATATTGTATCTCCAGAAGGTCAAAGTTGCATTCTCCGTGCTGTTTTCGAGTTTCAACCCGAAAAATTGATTCTTTTTCTCAATTGCTGTATTTCTAGCAACACAAAAGTTATTCACTTTTGATTGAGACATCGGCCAAAAACAAACTGGCCCAGGTTTAGTTATCGCATTATTACTTTACAATTTCAAATTATTGGCTGCCAGACAAAATTTCCATTCTCGCAGGATAGGCTGGTTTCCGCCCCACAATCAGTATGGATAATGCACAGACCGGGAGCCAGTCTGCTCGCAAAGCGGATTTGTTTGTGCCCAAAACAAACCCCTTTTTTTTCAAAGTGTTGCAGACGTCCAAAAAGAAAGGAAAAAAAGAGAGATTTTTTTGGGTCCAAATTAAAACATATTACAAGTTAAAAATTTATTTAGAAAAATAGGGAAAACGGTTTGTTGAAGAGCACGGGGGACGCAACTCAAGGGCGGATCCATGGCCCCGCTCCCCAAAAACAAACCCATTATATTTTGTTTAGTAACGTCGCAAAAACGGCAGCCATTGTGTACACCACCCACATATCAACAAAAGCAATACATTTGCAACCCTCCCCTTCCTTTTCATATTAAATTTGGGGTGGAACATTTTTGGACCCACTTTTTAGGAAACCAAATATTTTTTGCCCCCCCCCCCAAAAAATTGTGTTCTGGATCCGGCTTTGATGCAGCTTAAATGATAAACATTCACATACAGTGTATGAAGCTTTCATGGCTTTGCTTGACCTTCAAGTACAAGTGCCTTCACATAAGGGACATGTATTTATTTAAAAGCAAAGACAAATTTACATTTTGTAAGCATCACAATAATTATCGTTAAAATATAAACCATGTACTGTATAATAAGAATAGACGCAAAAGCGTTGTGTTACTGTTAGTCAACAGTACATTGTGTCAATAAAATGGAAGCCCTCTTGGAAAATTTGCCATCTTGGAGAGAAAAAAAACACCCGCCTTCTTCTTTAAAGAAATAACCTGGACGAGAAACAATTTTTTTTTTAAGTCGGCCTTAGATGAACATGTGCATGCCAAAATCGCATTGAAATAAATGACATGTTGAAACTAAATGACATGTTGCTGAGAGTGAAACTGAATTGACAATTTTAAATGTGACAACAATTGTTTCCTGAAAAGGAAACAATACAGACTTCCTGTTACATGCAGAGTAGTGGAGACATAATGTACTAAATACGATGTATGTTGAAAGCCCGGACAAATTTTGATAACTAAAATATGACTCTTGAAGTCTTCATAAGGTGGAATGTTGCGTCGGGATGATGTAATCAAATTAGGTTTGGCCCTTCACCGACATATAAACACTGTATACTCAGTGTGTTACCTCCCGAGTGAAAGTTGGAAAAAAATAACTCGGGTGGGACTCGAACCATGACCTCCTGCTTTCGAGTGCAGACATCTTACCACTCGACCACCGAGTTAATGTGATCGGTTGGCTGGTTCGAATCGGATGTACATAGCGGCGGGTTCCGCATTATAACTATTCATAAGATGGCATTTTGCATCGGGGTGATGTAAATATGACTCGTGATTACATTACATAGACTGAAACATAAGTTTACATATGTTTCCTGATCAGGAATGTAGTATTTCAAATATAACTATTGCCAAGAGTGTGGCCACAAATTTCAACAAAAAATAAATTCCTGGGCAAAAAAAGCTTCAGATTACACAGAGGAGACAGACAATACCGAACAAACTGAATTTGTAAACATTCTTCACCAGTGACTTCTTATATGCAGAATGGCATGTGCAATTTCTTCACTTTCTTGGTAAATGTATCATTGACATTCTTATGTCCTCATGTCATACAGCTGTCTTATGGTATATCCGCATTGTACATCACACGTTCACCTACATATGTTAAGGTATCCTTGCTCTATGGTATGACTAATCAAATTCACAGATACCATCTTCCTTGCTCATATGCAGTCATGAACCTACATCTTTCAGGGGCAGTCTCTATCATACAGTGTTGTACATGTATTCTCTCCTTGTATCTAATAACATCATGGGGTATCCATGCGCAATAATTGGCTGGAGGTCTCCAATGTATAAGTCAATTAAAGGTCTCCTCAAACTAAAGCATCAATAATTTTTGTGACTATATCATGCATGTACATGTACACAGTGCATGTAGAAAAAAAACCCTAGAGTAACAAATATTTACATGTACACGTACTGCAACCATATTGTACATATACGCCTGCTCTTTTTTTAAGCCAGGTTCTGCGTGCATACAGACCAAAATATTACTGCACAATAAAATGACAAATTCAACACAATAATTTGGTCACTATTTTTGCGTAGGGGGATGTAAATTTATATGTAAATATGTAATACGAAGGGCACAACCCACCACTGCATGATCATTATGTTTTCGCATTAATTTACTTTGTGACTATTTAATCTTTCATCCATGGAATGCTAATCTCTCCTCTCATCCATTATCATGGTAGAGATATACAGGGTGAGTAAAAAATACGAAACCCAAATGGCAGGACCAATTTTTGAATTAAGTTTTGCCTGTAGCACTTTCAAAATATAAGATATGAAAGCCCAGTCAATAAGCTTTCTTTTAGTAGAAGAATCAGTCAAATGGGGTCTACCCGATGTTCCCCAATACCTATGTTCCCCAAAATCCTCAGGGTTAGGGTTTAGGTTAGATGGTTAGGGTTAGGGTTGGGGAACATAGGTACATGTATTGGGGAACAAAGCTATTGGGGAACATAGGTATGCACCCATTCAAAGTACATTGTACTTTTCAAGTTACAGAATTTTGAACACAAACACTGTTTTAATGTTCTGTCCACGGACAGAACATTCAACAAAACGGAAACAATTCTCATTGGGATGCAAGTGCTAGATATCCTAGATTTTGAATGTACTACAGGCAAATCTTCATTTAAAAATTGGTCCTGCCATTTGGGGTATCGTTGTTTTTTACTCACCCTGTATACATACATGTACATACAGCACTTTTTTGCAATTTCCCCCCCCCCCCAAAAAAAAGCCCTCAATAAAACCTTGTCAGAAAAAAAAAGGTGTTTTTTTTTCTTTCAAACATTGTTCTGGGATTGCACCCATTTCTGGGATGTTTTGAATTGCACCCGAAATCAGCATCTGGGGGACGTTCTCATTCAGAAAATTGCAGCTCGCGATGTCACACACTGAACTGATGAATTATAGCAACCACGAGCACGTGCACGTCGTGTCAGCACTTGCGCACACCCATTCACGAATTTGCCCAATTACAAACCAACTACTTACAGAAATTTTTAAAAATGTGTCACTTGACACATCTTTGGAAATGACCTTCGTTTTTTTTTTTTTTTTAATATGACAGCATGTCAGAAGGACCAACTTCACAGAGAGTTTAGTGTCATTACCATCTTTGGTATTAAAGAAGTAAGCTTTTTTACAGTACATGTATTTTGGTTGGTCACTTTTTAGATAGCTGCAAAAGGTCCACTCTACCTTTAACCCTAAAGGGTTCATATGAACTACTAACGGGATGCCACACTTTGCACGGCAGTCGCTAGCTGGCATGGTCAGTGCGCCCTCAATTGATGTATTTTTGAGAAGGGGTTCATTATACAGTCAGGTTTCGAAATGCATACATGTAGTAGCTGGAGTTACCCAGCCCTGAGTTTTATCATTGGGTTATCTATTAGGGCTGGAGCGCATTTTTCTCGTAACTTGTAGTATTTGCAAAAAAAATTTGGAAAATGTTCAATTTTGTTCCCGTTACACACTAATTGCAACTGCAACTCACCCCAAACTTGCCTGGAATAACCATTACACAGGTCCTTGAAATAAAAAACGATCCACGATGAAGATTCAGCCTAACTTGACAACCTTGCTGGATTGGCCAGGACCGCTATTGGTTTGTGCACAAAAAAAATTGTGTACAATGAATGGCGGTCGATTAACAGGCACAGAGAGCGATCGCTGTCAACTACTCGTTTTGCCGGCTGCGCTGGCTGTTGGCGCGTGACGTCACGCGGAAGTGTAACACCCGTTGACTGTTTCATGTACTAGTATAAGGTTTACCACTCGCATCACAGCTTTGGTAATGGAACCGCAACCAATAGTGCATGAAACAGTCATCGGGTGTTACGCTTCCGCGTGACGTCACGCGCCAACAGCCAGCGCAGCCGGCAAAACGAGTAGTTGACAGCGATCGCTCTCTGTGCCTGTTAATCGACCGCCATTCATTGTACACAATTTTTTTGTGCACAAACCAATAGCGGTCCTGGCCAATCCAGCAAGGTTGTCAAGTTAGCGGTTATTCCTCCTGTTTTCACTGCAATTGTAGGCTGAATCTTCATCGTGGATCGTTTTTTACTTCAAGGACCTGTGTAATGGTTATTCCAGGCAAGTTTGGGGTGAGTTGCAGTTGCAATTAGTGTGTAACGGGGACAAAATTGAACATTTTCCAAATTTTTTTTGCAAATACTACAAGTTACGAGAAAAATGCGCTCCAGCCCTAATAGATAACCCAATGATAAAACTCAGGGCTGGGTAACTCCAGCTAACATGTAGTATGTTTTGGAGTGTTTTCACAGAGATTTGAATTATTTTTAGATTTTGAAAACTGTTAGATTTTGAAAATTGGTCTTTGACCTTGTATTTCTGAGTAACTTGGGATGAAGTTGGACCCAGAAGTCACTCTGTTTTGCTTTTAACATGGGTGATTATTGGGAGGGAAAATCACCCAACAGTCATCAGCTAACACCTGAACAAATTGAACAGAAAGTGAATGATGGTAAATCTAGCTTTAATCTGATGTGTGCCTTGGTCACATGTGAGAGTTGTGAGTATTTTCCCTGATTATTTTAAGTTGGGGCATTTATCATTGGTGCCCATGGGAATATATGTACAATATTACAAAGGCAGAAATGGTGTACCTTTACAAACATGTGATACTTTGTACAAACACAGGAAATGCCCATTGTGCGGTTAAGTCTGGCGGTCTGGCCCCATTCTGCGGTTTGTTTGACAGTTCAAGGGAGTGTTCCTTTTGTTGTTGTTTGTCCTGTAAAAGGTCATGAAGATTGTATACATGTGGCGCCAAGCATTGTCCACAAGAATAACAGAATTCTAGGTAAATGTATTCATTATAAGGATAACCAATTCAAACACCGCGAACACTGTGTACACACATAATGTACACTAAAATGTATGTGTGTAATGTGCAATGTTCATGTACTAGTACATGTATGAACATGTGTACGTGTTCTACATAACCCCAAGGACAGACACACAAAGGGAGAACAGATCCTTTCAGTCCTCGGGAGTTGGGTCTTCTGTTCAAAACGGTCCTCTGTAGGTTCATGTGCTTTATAGTCTACGGGAGAGTGTTACATTACAGGGACAAAGGGAAACACAAAGCATTGTCCTGGGGAGTATAGTAAGACAAGAGTGGGTGTGCGCAGCATAATCTATTGACACACTGTATGCCATACGCGCACATACATACATACATGTACAGAATGCTGACTTACTTTTTTATTATTAATGGTTTGGCCATTCAAACCACACGCCAAAAACAACATTGCAGACAATGGATTAATTGCATTAATCTCCTTATAGTTCATTCTAAGACAAATTTATACATGTACATGTATGTTTCAATATTTTAATAAAATTGAAACCAGCGTACAAACTTTACATCTCACAATTCTACTTCCATACAGTACATTTGTGCATGCCATTCTGTCCATACAATACCAACTGCGTGTAGTACTGTACAACACTGCATGTGGCATCACCAAATTTGGAGACGTCCAGCACTGTGTGCATCCAATACTCGGTGCACTGTATGACTGCATCAATCAGCATCATCTCACAGAGATTTGAATGGACACTTTCTTCTTGTCTGTCAACTTGTGGCAGTACATGTGGTCTAAGACATTGGTGGTTTGCTTAGAAAGGATGAGGACATTTTGGGGGAAGGGCAGGGCAATACTGCATCTCGTACAAAAACACACTATACATACATTGAAGAAAATATAAAATTCATATTAAAGTTAGGACAAATTCTAAGTTGAGGTGTTTTTGACTGTGAATGAAATTTCAATGGTCGAGAACAAGTCCGAAAATTTAGGACTCTCAATACTTCAACCTTATTTTAGGGTATTGAAAACATGCAACAAAAGAAAATAGACTGGCGCATGAACCGAACAGTCCACCACCCTTTTAGTACTGCATCAGTCAATTGTGTCAAAAGAAACATCTGGTACCAGTCTCTACATGTATTTCTACACATCTATCCATAGTCTGCCACCAAACTACCGAAGTGAAGAGGTCAGTCTTTTCAAACAGTTGGACATGTACCAGTCTAGTCTTAGGCTTCAAATTGAAATCACTTGGCTTCACTCTCAGGTGCAAAATACTGAAAAGAAGTCTCTTTTAAAAATTGAATTGAGACTTCAAACTTGGCTGGTGAAATACTGAGGATGTTGTCTTTGCCTCTTGAAAATTTTGGAGACTTTTGTCAGCTAAAGAGTGAGTAAAGTTGGCCTGAAAATATATTGCATGTGTTTCTGCACTCAAGGTCCCAGTCTGGTCGAGAACGTGATCTGCTTGTATTTCACAATTTAATTTATGACCACCAAATGGACGCAGCAGAGAATACATTATACATGACATGACAAGTGCATACATGTGTGTACAGGTACACTTACATGTACATGGACATCACTCATGCACACATCCTGGCTACTGTCATGACTGTAAACCATACATGACCTTGATAATCCTGTACTTTTTGAGTATTGTTGTCCCTTTCTTCTCTTTTTGAATTTGTATAAATAAGGCTTGGTTTCACCCGCCTTGCAGTGGATCTGGAGGCATCATCTTCTGTGTTTGCTAATACTTGCTCAATTAGTGATTTCTCCAGTTTTAATAAGTTTTCCTTACATTTGAGTTTTCAAATGGTATTACGTACAGTATCTTTAATGACCTGTTCAATAAAATGTGAAATGATGGATTTTTCAACTTAAAACCCATTGAAATATGATTTTTTTAATGGTGTTTTACTACGTCTTAGTTTTGCTCAAATTTTCTGGTTTGTCACAAAATGTAGCATGCGAGTTCCCACAACTTCCAAATTTTTTAGTGATCTTAAAATGGCATACATGTACAAATGGACTCATGTGTCACTTTGTTTTGACATTTCTTGATAACTCCCTGGAATTACATGTATTTCATCAGATTAACTAGGACTCTACAAATCATTTTTTCCAAGGCAGGATCATGTGTTTTACATGCAGTTTGTTTGTTTCCAATCATAACACCAGTGCTCAAAATCGAAAGAACTACATGTATGTTCAAAACCTAAGCTGTTGAACTTTCAGCTATATTATTGTATACATGTACACTTTTTGAGGAAACAGTGAAAAACCATGCACAACCGTTGGATCATGAAACACAAGTTACAAATGTAATAGGAGATGGATACATAGGCCTAATTCCTTATTTAAAAAAAAATCATTGGTTTCTTCTAAATGACAGCCAGCCAGATGAAATAATTTCCAGGCCCTAGTTTTTAGTAAAGTAAGCTGTATAGTAATAATTTGGTAGGTTCCTTTTGGGATAAATACAAATGATCCTATGTGCCTGTAAACGTGATCTTGTGACACTTGCCAGATCATGTCCAAATGCTGGGGAAAAAAAATGATGTCTGTACTGTAGAGTCCTACATTGTTACGTATTTGAACTACATGTAGGTGTTTGTATGGTAAATACAGATAAATGTCATTTATATTTTAAATATATTCTAATCAGTATGAACAGAAATATTAAAGAATCCTGCCCCTTCCAAAAATAAAGGAAATAATTTTAAGCCTAGGATGTTAATTTATTTATCATATTCATTTTAAACAAGTGAATTTTAATTATTATTGTTAATCAGCGACAGTGTTAATTTAATTAATAAATAAACAAAACAATGCAGGTTTTCAATGAGGACTCGACCTATTAGTACATGCAACGTAAAAAAAATATATACATTATTTTTATCTCAAATATGTGGTCATGGGCCACTTAAAAATTGGCAGTGACTATTGTTGCGGCAGCCTTAACGCAATTTTCAACTACTATCATATGGCATTGCAAAAACACTCATTGCAAATCTATATCAGCCGTCTGGTTCCCAGCTGACCTAGTATTCAACATTAAGATCTTTGGCTGTTGGAACCAGACTATCAACCGAATGGTTCTCGGGCTTAAGTTCCCTTTATCAAAAAAATGCTCCAAAGCCACTGATTACAAAGAAGAATATGAAATCTAGTATCTACTTATTAAATAAAAAGAACAATTTGATTCAAAACTTAAGAGTAAAAAACTATTAACCAGTTCACGCCAGGATTATTTTGACAAGAACGGAACGGGGTGCAGGATATATTTTCACTCAGCCTCAAGCCAGGTGGGTTGAAGCCATCACCCTCGGGCAGCACACTCATATTTCCGGCCTCGCTTGCTGCGAATGGATAGTTCCGGCATTGCTCCCTGCGTGTTTATCCGTCATCTGTTCCGAATACCGCAAAGCTTTTGCGTGTATACATGGCCTAACTTGTTAGAAAAAAAAATATAAAAAATTGCACGGCGCGGAGTGGATCCTGAAATCTTCAGTATATTTCATTTCATTTCATTTTATTTAGTCATCATAAGAACATAAAAAGTATTTTCCAAGTCAGTAAAAAACATTAAAACCAAAAAAATACAATTCTAATAATTACAACAGCCACTGTGGATACAACAAATAAAAATCCAGTAGGCAATTTAAAATTAAAAGGAAAAAAAAGACATGACAAAAAGAACCCATACTACCATAGTAGTTGAACGTTTAACCAACCGAAGTGCCCTGGTTGGACGGGCAGTTATAAATGTGATAATAGATTCGCAATGGTGTTTTTGCAATGCCGTAACGATAGCACAGTTGAAAACTGCATAACATTTGATGTATTTATCATATTTATCTTGAACTTGTGAATGTTTATGTCGAGCGCAATTGGTCGATCTGCGCGATCAGTCAATCGCATTGCGTGATGGGCAATGATGGGTCGATTCTGTAGGATATCTCGGACTTTACTTACCTTTTTAAAAAAATCCTCCAGAGTTTGACTTAGAAAGAAAAGGTGTTCGACTGGTTGCAGCGCAATCGTCCGATAGCATCATGATCGACCGATAGCGCAACGTGATTGACCGATGGCGAACGTCGACCAAACATGCCCAACAATTGGCAACATTTATAATCAGTGACAGTGTTCATTGTTATAAACAAAACAATGCAGTTTTTCAATGAGAACTTGAATACTAGTAGTACTAATATTACAATATGCAATGTAATTATGTATAAATTAGTTAACTCAAATATGTGGTCAATGGCCGGTTAAAAACTTACAAACTGCCTTCATAACCATTGGTGGGTGACGGCGGACTTTTCGTCACTGTGTGTTCGGCAACGGAAAGCCCAAACGCGCTGTCAAGCGGCCCTTCCTTGACGATCGGTAGCCGAATCTCTAAATTGGAGCACTCAATTCTAACAATCTGTAGACCTACGAAAACTAAAAGAGCGGAGCACAGGCATCCTCGTTGCCGTATCGTCCCCATCTTGGTGAAATTGTGAAGAAGAGTACTGGAAAATCCTACCTAAAAATACAAAAACCCGCGACTAAATCAGTGCATCAGTGCGATGTGTCACACATTTTCAACGAAAGTAAATGTAATGCACATACATTGTGTATTATTCATCCGAATTCCACAGACAAGGTCAGGTCACGACCTTTGTGCTAGAATGGAATAGTAAACGAAAACAAGGACATTTTACGTCATCAAAAGTAACATTTTCAAAATGTAACTCGAAAAAGGTTTATCCCAATAATTAATCTGGTCCTTTTATGGGCTAAAACTAAATAATATTACATTTATCAACAAAATAAAACGGCCCCACAGGTTCCTGTGGTTTGCGGTTATGGTTTACAAACCCGGTTTCTTCACCGGCTTCGTCTGCGTCTATTCTCACACCTGACTTCGGCACATAAAAATGAAGAAAAAAACACCAACCATTGGCCTTTTATGATAGAATGCATTTCTTTGTCACAAACAAAGGCGCAATATTGTTCTGAAGTTGCCCAAGCGAGCCTTAGCGAGGGGACTTACTTGTGAACCCTGGGCTGAAGCCGCAATGGAGACGAAGCCAAGATTTGTAAATTTACTGTTAAAGTTAGCAAGTCCAAAAAGTGCGCCCTCTCTTGTTACGGATTGGCTCTGTAGTGCTGTCACGCCCCAACTATCGCATCGGTCCCAACTATAGTTGGGACTGTCCCAACTATAGTTAGGACTGGAGTTGCGCCGGATGCTTGATAGATCTTGTTGGATTAAATGTTCCGCGGCGCTGGCACCGTGTATTCGTCGTGCATGCATGCCGCAAGGCTGGCCGGTCACGTGGTACTGCCTAGTTGGATGAGTTGTCCAGCTGCTGGGTTTTATTATCCAGCAACATTTTGCAAAATTCAAAGATTGCCATGGCCGGCCAACTATAGATGGGCCCCACCCATAGCTAATGTCAAAGGTCCCAAGTCGGACATGTAAGCCAATGTAAGCAGAGCTGTAGAGAATGTTTTATAGTCGTACATCAATTGTAAACTATAGTTGAGACTGCCAAATAAAAATATTGCAGTGGTCCAACTACAGATGGTCCCCACCCATAGATCATTTCATTGGTCCCCAGTAAAGTCAGATGTGTATTAGAGTTGTAGGGAATGTTTTATAATCGTACAACAATGTACACTATAGTTGGGACCGCAAAATACAAAGATTGGGATGGCCCAACTATAGATTCGCCCCATAGCTAATTTCAGTGGTCCCCAGTAAAGTCAGACGTGTATCAGAGCTGTGGGGAACGTTTTATGGTTGTACATCAATGTAAACTATAGTTGGGACACCGCAAAATAAACAGATCGGAGTGGCCCAACTATAGATGGGCCAGCCCAACAATGGAACTTACAGTTGGGACCGTCCCAACTATAGTTGGGACAGCTCAACTATAGTTGGGCCAGCCCAACTGTGGAACTACAGTTGGGACCGATGCGATAGTTGGGGCGTGACAGTAGAGAGTAGAGTAGAGTGGGACATTTTTCGACACCAATTTACCAAATTTCCTCTGATAATGTTGGCTTCCATGTTAAAGGAGCACCAAGCCAAACAGGCTACAAGGAAAGAGCAGCAAGGTATGGCCCAATTGGAACAAACTCATAATGTTTAGGAGAAATCGTTTTATCGTAAAGTTTATGAACGATTACTGACACACTGTCATGACTGTGTCACTGAGTGATGTTTTTGTTTGTGGCACCTGGTAGCCCAGGTTGGACAAAGTCTTCATTGCAATACGACTAACGTCCAGGACAAGACTTTTCTACATGAAACCATACAACATTTTTACCAGAGTTTTGTTATGTTTTACCTCGTTATAGAAGCTAATATTTCACGCCTACATACTCTATGTGTCCTTATCTGTTAGCACGCTGGGTTCAGGAAATCCATATGCGATGCTGACTGACGTTAATCAGGAAAATAAACTCCAAAGCAACGTTAAACTTGTACGTGTTTGTAGTCGCTTTTCATCAGTTTATTCCCAGAGTCGTACGTCATGTACAATGTACATGATATGTACAAATGTACGTGCGTACAATCCGAAAGCGCGCACGCACGCTAAGCGCCCTCATTTGTTTAGTTTTGGTTGGAACCGTGACGTCACTCCAGCCAACCGATGTCAGGAAAACGCTCAACCAATGACCAAAGCCGAAACGTGTTTCTGGTAACTGGCGCGAAAACACGCTCGGTCATTGGATTAGCGACCGCACCTTCAAGTAAGTGCGCGTGCGTATGAGGGTGGTTACTAAGCAAATCGCGCGTGCGCACTGCATATTCATGCAGCATAGTCTGTCCCCCGGACCAGATGTGATAATGAGCGTCGAGAATAATTGTCCGGTCTAGGGAACCAGACTACACGCTGCACCGTACAGACGTACATGATGTACGACTAGAATAGACTCGGCGGTGAGAAACTGATGAAAAGAGACTAAACGCGTACAAGTTTAACGATGCTTTCGAGTTTATTTTCCTGAATGACGTCAGTCAGCATCGCATATGGAATTCCTGAACCCAGCGTACTAACAGATAAGGACACATAGAATACTACGACGTAAAAATTAGCTTCTCCAACAAGGTAAAAATATTGAAATTATTGGTCAGAAATGTTTTCGTTCGGTTGTGAGCACATGTGTACTCAGGACTCCCTCCGTAACGTAGGGAGGAAAGGGAGTCCACCAGGGCTATGGCACCTGGCAGATATCACAAAGGGGCGTGGCTAGACTTACAATTTTAATTGAAAGGGGTCCGTAAGAGACAGGCTCAACCAATTTTCTTACTAGATTTGGATTTTGTCAGAGTATACCATGCATTTTCTCTGTGTCATTGTTTTGAAGCATGTTCAGTGTAATGCCATGTGTACATGTCATGATGAATGTTGTTTATGCCTGACCCAAGTACGACTACGAGATTTAACGGGAAAATTCGGCTATCCGATCACCACTTACCTGCCGCCAAACATCCAAATTTTCACCTCACCTTGTGATTTTAACCAAGAGGAATCCAGGAAACAGTGGACATGTGAAAAAAAATTAGTAAAAATGTGTTTTTAGAGCACATTTTGCATGCACACATGTAGTGCAGATCTGAGTTTGAAGCAGCCGGTCAAAACTGATTGAAGTGTCTGGAACAGCGGTACGTTATACGCATGACATCGATAACCATGACGTCGCATGAGCCGGCCAATGATAGTGCAATACGTCATTATGAATATTTATTTTCTCATGAATATTTAGTTTATTTCAATGGATACTTCAAATACGTCCAAAGATTACTTATTGCAACAGCGATCGTGCGCGGCCTAGCGGTTGAGAGTCTCGTGTATCAAGCAAGCGTCCGAGGTTCGAATCTCGATGAAGTAAGTGACTGATTGATAAATAGAAATTAAGGAAAGGAGAGGGTGAGAGTAGAGGAGGGAAAGTGGAGGGAATAACCATAAAAGATGTAACTTTTGGCGCTAGAAAATTAATTGAAAAAAGTGGTGATCGGGTAGCCGAATTTTTCCGATTTAACATTGATTTTACTTTATAAGTTAAGGCACTGTAAGTGTACTAAGGTATACATGATTGACATGTTCCCCCTTTTTCTTTCAAATTTTAAATTTATGATGAGTAGAGAAGAGACGGAAGGAAGCAACCATGGCAGCAATCAATGTGACAAAGGCATTGGTTGGAAACGTCAACAACAGGTAACTTAGAGGCTGACCAGACATTTTATGATCGTTTATTAACCCTAACTCCTTAGGCCTTTTTGCTAGGATGTAGCCTCAATCCTGCAAAATCCTCCAATTGGCCTCATGGAAAAATAGCATATAGCCTCAATCCTGCAAATTCCTCCGTTATTTCTTAAATATGGTCGATGGAGGGATGACCACTGCCTGAATCCTGCAAAATCCTCCGGCCATGACTGTCAATAGGCTGAGGCAGAGGCAGTGACATCCTGGAGCAGTGCGGAGGATGTCAAGTATAATCAAGGACTAAATTTATGCACGGCTGAGCATAAACAACACAAGGTCGGCCCAAGACCTTGACACAGTGCGTACTCCGAAATCAGCAACGTACTTTTGCCATGTAACCTCAATCCTGCAAATTCCTCCAATTTGCAAAAAGGATTTTGGAGGATTCAGGGCGGTTAGGGTTAAACATGATTAACTGACAGGGCATTTTTGCCTGATATATTGTGGTCAAATGTAATAAAGTCAGCCCAAAGCACTCGGTATTGTACATGAAGAATTGATACCATGGAAACCCTAAATTAGCATTTGTGAGGCCTTATTTGATGTTGTTAAAGTCATGATTAACCCAAATGTAAATCAACTAGCACCTTCCTAATCTAATGGTCACCTACTTGACCAGAGAATGCACCAGAGACATAAATTGTGGTCATTTCTAAGCACTAAATACATCAGTGTGTCCTCCTACTCCTAGAATCTGCATGTGTCTAGGTACAGATGGATCAGCATTCTTTGTCCAAAATTCCTTTGATGATGCTAACAGTTTGACTGCAGAATGCTACTTGGTTTAAATGACTGTTGGTGTGCAATCTTTGTCCATTCTGTCGACCTCAGTCAGGATGATCCATTTGTGCAAGCCTCGTGTCAGACCTGTTGGGGAAACTATCCACGCATCTTAGAATAGACCCCTGGCACAAAGCGCCCTTTCTGATGGCACATTTTGTCATAAATTTGGACACAGTGAAAGTACTAAATGTCTACTGTGGCATACAGTACCGCTGAGGAACAAGACCTGCCCACAGTGAGTGCGTTCTATGCAAGGGGTCTATCGTGGTGCTGTTTAGGGAATTCCACAACTATCGTTGGAACTGTCCGAACAATAGTTGGGGCTGACCATAGAGCTATATTAAATTACTAGAGCGCTGACCCATGTACAAAGTGATGCCTGCTGGGCGCATCCATGTTTGTGCACAAACCTATGGAAAACTGGAAATTGTGTACGGCTTTTGTACGGCTATTTGCATATCTGCGTTTGTATTCTATACAGGTGCGTTAACAAAGTCGATACCCCCAAAACCAAAACGCACGATTTAGCAAATGAGCATTTGATGCAAACTGCAACGCGTGCGTGTATCCGCTGCAGATGATGATTACCGTGATGTTTTTTTTTAAATCGTCGTGACGCGCTTAAAGGGAATATACATCATTTGCTTTTGCTGTAATTTTCAGAAATGGATGGAATTGGGGGGTTGGAAATATATAGCAAATATAGTTACACTGACTTTTTTGAGGTTTTGGGTTCGAAAAAGCTATAAAAACCAAGAAAAACGATCATTTTCCTGTAGTCTGGTTCCCTGACTCCATATAAGAAGAAACAGAGCAGTTTACATACATTGGGGAATTGTAAGGTCAGGGAACCAGTCTAGCTGGCTCGTACCCGTTCATAGGTTTGTAATCGATTGCAAACAAGTGCGATGGTCAATTGGGGCCAGTATTTGAAAAAAAAAGCCAGTTGTTTCCAACGCTGATTGGCCGATCAGCGTTGGAAATTGATACAAAAATACCACTTTTCTTGAAAATGGCAGTATACCAGGTGCCATGATTTTACAGGATGCTTTACACTGTCATTCACTAACAGTCCAGCAAGGTATTTCAAAATGATTTGGTAGTTTTATTTTTTGATGTTTGCAAATGATGTATTTTCCCTTTAAGTTGTTTGCGTACGTTCTGCTTGCGCGTTGCATTTAGAGTACACTTTTAAAATTCAAACCATCTAATTTCATTATGTTCTACAAACACGCAGAATTAAAAATGTCTGCGCCCAGGATGGCTTCAGAGCATCTCCGCGTGCAAGAATCAGGAGTTAGCGCTCTAGTAATTTAATATAGCTCTATGGGGCTGACCCAACTATAGTTGGCACCATTTCCATAGTTGGGGCGCAACAGCCATCTTAGACTTGGGGACTTTGCTTTTAGGCCCCCCCAAAAAAATATTCGGTCTCTGGTCAGACCAAAGTTCCGGAATTGACGCGGTGACACGGCTTTTTTTCTTTTTTTTCAAGTTGGATTGTACAGACAAGGTGGGGTACTATTTTGCTTTTTTGGTGTCCTCATGTACATTGGTGTCCTTCATAATTTGCTTTGGTGCTCTCGATCATTTGCCGTGGTGCAATTTCCCATTCCTTGGTGCTCTTTAGTAAAAAAAAAAATTGAGGAGGTGCAGCAATAGAGGGCGCTGTTGGAGCTACCGCGGAACATTTTGGAAAAAAAAAGATTGACGCGCATGATTAAAATCGACGCGCGCGCTGATTTTTTTATGTGGCCTTATTGCATGAAAATGGGAATGACTAGATCTATGTCTTCATTTTACTGTTTAATAATACAATTGCCAAACAAATTGAACCCTTTAAGATGCCTGCCATTCAGTACCTTTCAAAATGACCGTATCATTGACTTGGTTGTTTTCAGAGTGTCCATGGCCTATGTCAATGAGAAACGTCTTGACGCGGAGGCTAGGCAGCTACAAGCCAACGCAGCACAGTTTGCCAAACAGAGCATGCAGTGGCTATCTCTCATTGAGAACTTCAACACTGCACTCAAGGTATGTTTGCGAAAAAGTGGCATTGTTAATACACAATTTATTTTTGGAGGTTATTCGAATTCATTTGGTAACGCTTCTCAAAACCCTTGTCCCCACCCTATCCAGCACTGCCCCGCCCATCCACTACTCCCTTCCTATCCATCACTGCCCCTCCTATCTACCACTGCCCCTCCCTTCAACCACTGTCCCTCCCGTCCTCCACTTTCCCACCCAGCTTCCACTGCCCACCCTTACACCAATGACCACCCATCCTCCACTGACACACACACCCATCCATCACTTCCCCATCACCACAGCTCCACCCATTCAACACTGTTCCACCCTTCAACCACTTTCCCTTCTTTCAACCGCTGTCCCTCCCATCCTCCACTTCCCCACCCTTACACCAATGACCACCCATCCTCCACTGACACACCCATCATCACTCCCCCATCACCACTGCTCCACCCATCCACCACTGCCCCTCCCATCTATCACCACCCCACCCTTCAACCACTGCCCCACCCATCCTCCACTGCCCCACCCTTACACCAATGTCCCACCCATCCATTAGTCTATGTAATAGACCCATTGCAAATGCCATGGGTCTATGATATGTGAGCAGATTCGCTGATTAATTAGGCAAGACCCCGCCTCTTGACCTCCTAGATTTTGACCAATCAGCGGGCGCTTTCTATATCGGGTCTTCGGTCATTCAATGGATTAAAAAAGCCCTGCGTCACGCGCTCTGTATATCATGTTACGCGATAACGCGCCCGGCTGTTATTGCATTACAAAACACTGCATTCGAATTGACCAACCAAACATTTAGTCCTGATTTTGGAATGAAATGACGTCATGATTTAGTAAAGTCGACTCCGATTGGCTGAGGCGCGAGATCGCATGGTAAATTTGCATGCTTTGATATATCAGACGTTAGACAGGAGTCTGGGCTCCGTGGATAACGGGTGATACTCAGACTACCCATCCATCACTCCCACTTCACAACTGCTCCACCCATCCACCACCACCCCTCCTATCTACCACTGTCACCTCCCACCCACCCACCCACCACTGCCCCTCCCATCCACCACTGCCCCTCCCATCCACCACTGCCCCTCCCATCTACCACTGCCTTTCCCATGTACCACTGCCCCTCCCCTCCACCATTGCCCCTCCCTTCCACCACTGCCCCTCCCTTCCACCACTGCCCCACCCATCCACCACTGCCATTTCACCCCACTTCGTTTATCCACAATTTTAGATAGACATTCTGCAATCTGGGATTTGTATGTAAGCTTCATTTGTTGGTTCAACAGGAACTCGGTGATGTAGAGAACTGGGCAAAGAGCATTGAAGTTGACATGCACACGATATCAAGTGCCATGGAGTATGCACTCAAAGGTCTGTGGTCTTCTTTATGCTTTGTTTGGTTATATCTAGCTCTAAAAGCATTTGACCTAACAGTTGGATAAAATTCAACCACAAATTCTGTTGTGCAAATACTAAATTTGGTTCCTTTTGGTGTATATTTTCAGATACCTGATGATGACTGCTTGTGTCTCTTTATGGAAGCAACACCACGTATTGTGTATATAGAGGTTAATCACCGAGTACTTTAAATACTGCTGTAATTACTCCATTATTCCACTGTTCAAAAGGCCAGTCGCCTATGTGCTGACATGCCCGAGGTTAAAGAGGTTGTGGAATGCTGACGTTTTGTTTTTTATATTTTTTTATTGTAGAGTAGACCCATAATGACAAACTCCCATTCTTGTGTAATGTGCGTTTATATGTTTATAAAACTGAAATTCATCGAGTAATTTGTTGGTCGGCGAGCGCATAATTGAAATCAACAGTCGTTGGGTTCTTCGTAAAATCAGAAAAATCACGACGTAATAAACAGGACTCGTTTATACTATGCTGCATAGGGAGTCCTGTTTATTACGTCACGATTTACTATGTTTTGTTTGCTGCCCCCAATGACGACTTTTACACAAATTGCACGTTTGGGTCGAAACAGGTCCTGAAAAACAGCTCTCAAGAGTACCTTTTGTATTCATTTCATGACAGAAACAATAGTCGTTTTTATTTCATCACGCCTTAGGCTACATATAACCGAAAAATGACGGAAATGTCTTCGAGCATTCCACAACCTCTTTAATATAAATCATTCAATATCACACAATTTGTATGTTATGAGTTTTGTGATACCATACCTGCTTTTCCCTCTGGTGTGGACACAGGTTTGTGGTGTCATCACAGGAATTTAGAAAATAGAGGAATTTGGACATTAATTATTAATGAACTGAACACCAGTTAAGCTAATTAAGTTCTGTCAACTGGCTACATTGTATTGCATTATGTATTACATTGTGTTTATTCACTTATATGAATCCATAAACCCATTGAGTGCTTGGGGAGTTTCAAGCGCTTTGGTGACTAATGAGTTAATAACAAGTGGATAAAAGAATGGTGCCTATTGTTTATATAGATTCTGTGTATAGATGGCTCTGCTAAAATTGGGAGCCAGACTCGTGTGTGGTTTTTACCTTTTATGAATTGCATTCTCTGCTATTACAAAGTGACAAAAACATACCAACCATTTTGCATGTTCACAAGCCACAAGGCAAGATGAACAAATGTGATATTTGAAATTTGAGTTCCTCCCAATGATAAATGGAGGGTGTCTTTCTAATGATTTTTTTTAATAGGATCATGATGTCATTCAATTAATGTGAACAATTCTTTCTTGAACCAGATGCAGGAATTGTATCAAATTTGAGTGCAATAAATATTACTGGGAAAAAACTTGATACACTTCTGACCGTCCCACTTCTAAATTGGTCGTTATAGGAATGAAGGTTCTCACTGAGTGCGTTCGATTACTTCCCCCATGCTTACTCGTGCAAGCGCGACAGCGTTCAATTTACCTCTAACGTTACTTCTCGCGCTTACTCGAGCCTTGCCCAAGTGACCGACTCGCCGAGCCGGTTAGTTGAGTAAGTATCCCATAAGGCCATGCAATAAACATGGCTGCCAACGTGACGTCCGGCGGGCGCCTCAGGACGTGTGCTTCCAGAGCTACAGCTACTTCTATTGTCAGCCCGTCCCCACGTATTTTCAATGGGCGCGAACCCAGACCTACATGTAGTTCCAGACAATTGATTCGGATGCAGCCCAAGTGTTATGTCAAATTTCAACTTTCCAGCTCTTGCACGAAACTTTACCCGAAACCATTCGTTTATTTAGCTCCACTGCGCATGTCTGTCATCACGCGAGGAGCCAGGCGCGAGTAAGCTGGGGGAAGTAATCAAACGCACTCACTGTGGGAACAGGTCAGCATTTAATGTCTCCATCGACAAATGAACCACCTAAGCCTGTTGACAAATATTTCCGTCGGGGAAAATGCCGTTACGAAGAGCGCCACCTAATCGGATGTCCAAGATTGTTTTGAACAGTGCCATCAATAGTCAGATGATGTTCAGCCCCCCCCCCCCCCCCTTTTGATTTTGCAGCTGCCCGCTACCAAAAAAAATACCTGGCTACCTTTCAGAATAGAGGGTGTGTAAGCAAATTTGTTGACCCCACCCCCTCCAAATAAATCAATCTCGCTAAGCTATTCATGATAGCCAAGTACGCAAATCACATGCGCATACAGACCAGCAACGTGTGTTTATAGAAACAGCAGCCCATTTCACGAAAGCTTACGCAATGGCGCAACTCTGCTTGCGCCACAAATTATTGCGTAAGTTGCGCAACATTTCACGCTGTGTAATATTTCACTTATGACACATTTCACAGGAAGTGCGCGACTTGCAACAAAAATTATGGCGTAACTTGCGCAATCATTTTAGGTGGCGTACAAAATGTAAGTTGTGGCGTAGTGACTGAAAATGTCATATTTTACCAGCAAATCAGGACAGTCGTAGAGCCCGTTATTGCACAACTTATCAAGGTTGATACAAGACACTCACTTTATGTTTGAAGTAAATGAATTTCTATTTTACTCATAACATAACACTAGATTGCCGAACGATTCCGATGAAAGTCGGACAAAATAATTTTCAAAATGGCGGGCTGAGGTGATCCAGTGACTGTTTTGCAAACGAACAAATTCACACACAAACGGCTGTTGTAAACGTTGTTTTATTCCTCGTCCAAGATATTTAAATTATTTAAAACGTTGCGCCGCTACGCCAAGTTTTGTGAAATCGATCGTAAGTTTATTGTGCAGCTTTGCAACAAATTTGTTGCATACCTGTAAGTCTTAAATACGCATGGTGCAAGCTGCACACTTTTTTGTGAAATCGGCTGCAGTACGCCAAAAAAACAAGCACAAAAAGTTGAGCCTCGAAGTTAAATTAAAGACTAAATATTCAGAGCTCTGTGTGTATGATTACAATGCACGTGTTAATATTTGCCGATTCTACAGTTAGGCATAAGTAATAGTAATAAGCAATGGCAATTGGAGAAATTGGCCACAAATAATTGTGCTCATTACTGCCTTGAGAAGCATTTAGGGCATTTCTAATGAAAATTAATGAGACTGAAGTCAGCATATTAATGATAAAAACTTCTAAAATACATTGAGCAAATTCCAATGGTAGATTAACAATGTAGAAAAAAAGTCTCTTTGGGTCTGACAAGAGAAATCAGATTACAAAATAGGTGCAGACATGAAAACATGAAATGCACCTGAATTGCTCACAACATGTACTTGTGCATTGTATGGAGTCATCATTTTGAAGCACAAGCACGGTTGCACTTTCAAAACCAATATTCTTCGCATCATTGCAATGTACCGGTACGTGTAGGTTTAAAAACATTACATAAAACCTGTTCAAGTGGCTGAAGCTTGCCACTGAAGCCTGTCGTTCAACCAAGGCATACACTGGTCCAATGATAATTCGGGCGATTCACAATGCAGTGTGCCACCAAGAGTTTGCCACAGAGACTTAATTTTTCCAAGTGCATTGTGGGAGATAGTCGACAAATTCGCAGCGCGGGACATTCGAAATTGTTTGTTTTTCCGGTCAGTAGTTTCATAAGCGTATGATTCAAGTATACGTTTGCCCTTTTCTTTTCTTTATATCAATATGGTGATTTTCGGTAAGGCGGCAGAATGCTGTGCCCAAATCTATAACAAATAAGCTCAAATTGTCTACTGACACTCATTCAAATGGGCCATGTTTTGTCGACCGTAAACTTGAAAAGTTGACTCTCCATGGCAAACTCTTGGTGGCGCACTACATTGTAAATCGCCCGAATTGCTGGTCCGTATCTCTACCTCTGATCTGAACCAATGTCCAAAGTTGAATGGGGCCAGCAACAGGCCTTATGCACGAGTCGGCCATTTTTGTCGCGTTCCCTGAATCTATTTCATAAATTGTGAACTGTTGAATGGGATGGTGCCAGACTATTTATTCACCATAGCCTCACGTTTTAAATGTGGCTTAAAACATTAGAGTTTGTTTAATCACATTTTACATGATTCATCAGAGCAGACTGGTATTAATTTGTAACGACATTGCTTTAATTTCTCTACACAAGTTCCAAAAATGAAGATTTTACCTCACTCTCAATCCAATATGGCCGACTCGTGAATAAGGCAAAAAAAACAAACGACTTCTGCTTCCGATTACATGGCATTTGAAAATGGGGTAGGTAGTTAGGGAATTTTTTTTTGCCATTTTTTTCTGTGCACGATCATATGGAGGCATCTGCGTGTTGTCAAGGGTAAAAGGTAGAAATTGATGGTTTTGGGGGTTTTTTTTGGCCCAAGGCCCATTTGTAAATCTTTAAGGTGCGCGCTTACACAATGTATGTTCCACAAGGATTCCCATGGGTGGCCCTTTGCATCCATTGCTACTAAATTCATATAACAACACACACCTCTAAGTCTATATTGCTTATTTGCTAGCATCGTGACTTTGGACATGATCCCTGACATTCCCTGTTCACATTTTTATTATTTCAGACAGGTGTCCCATGCACAAAGACATGTACAATTGGTCCACTGCCAACACAGGGTTAGATGTGTGTAGCTCCATTGATCCACTGACCAGAGCAGCGTTCTGGAGGTAGCAGGTTCAAATCCCAGCGCAGTCAATTCATTGGTTCAATCTTACGGACTCCATGCACAAGTACCCCCTCAATGGTTACCGAGGAAAGTTGGGAGGGACCAACTGGAGGGTCTCTTGATAGCATTGCTGACAGCGTTGGATGCTCATGCAAAGACTCTACAGGGTTGTGTTCATTCAAAATAAAATAAGTCGTTTGCACTTCTTGCAACCAGTACACGTACCCAGGATGCACCTCCCACTGAAGCGCTCGTGAATCGTGATGAAGATCCATCTACTGTTCTAGCATGGACTCTGTAACGAAAATTTCTAAAAAGTTCACGGTGTCTCAAGCAAGATTTCCTAAACTCCAAACTCAGCGACCAGTCTCTCAAGTTCCTCCTCCACTTCTGCCCGTCGGGACAGTTTCTCCAGCTGGTCTTTGCTTGGCGATTCCAGCTCACCCGAGTCAATCTTGGCCTGGATCTCCTCCATCTGGCGAATCTTCTTCCGTAACGTCTTGGCGCGTTTGTCTGGGGGAGCTGAGGGTGCTCTACCAGTCCTCTGCGCAGCTGCAGCGGCGTCTGTGTCGCCAACACCCGCTGACGACAGACTGACTCCAGCCAGCTTTCTGCTGACTTCTTCTGTTTGTTCTTGGCTCGCGTGCCCCTCATCAGCTGCCTTTTCTTGCTTCTTCTGTTTCCGCTTCTCTTTCTTTTTAGCTGACTTGGACAGGTTCTTTGTCTCTGGTGCCAGTTTGAGTTCCGATGGTGGGTCTGGATCACTGTTTAGCCCAGGCGGCAGTGTCGGTCGACTGTTTACCCATTTCTTGCCCTTGCTCTCAAACCTGAAGAAGAATAATTTTCATACGGGTGTCATTGCCCAGAATTTCTTAGGTTAGAGTGCCACACTTCCCAAGACTTATTTTGTTTCGTCATATTGATAGCTCTATTTCCCAATGGCGGTGTGAAACATGCCGTGGGCTCGAGCTGCTTATGTTAGTTGATGGGTGGGTCGGTGGCTGGTTGGTGGGTTGGTTGGTGGACACTTTACTCGGCCATCTATTGTATTCATCCAATTCAAGTATTACAGCTTTGCAAGTATTACAGCTTTGCATTTGAAGACCGGTTTTGCAAACACTGCTGCGCATGCGTCGTATTTGTATACTTTTTGCATATTTGATCACAACCCCAGTCCTTTACGTTTTCTGTACTCTCGAGGTACCGTTACTTCCCGGGTGCACGGACGGTTCTGTATAGCCATCTTCACACGTTACCCGGCCTCACTTCTACCCGGCCGCCGTGGGTTGTATGCAGCCGTTTGCCAGAGACTGGCTGCATGGGGGAACTACATGTAATCCAATCCCAGACAAAGAATATGAACTTGGTTAGGATAAGGCTCATCTAAACTTACACTGGCACTTCTTCCTGGGGTACGTAGCCCTCTTTGACACGCCTTGCCTTCCGCCAGGTGCCATCAGGCCTCTGTGAAGCTGGTATGTAAGTTCCTGCAAAGTAACATCACATAGGATCACTATCAGTATCTACCTTGTCTCAAACTCAAAGGCAAGGCTTCGCCCCAACTATACTGTCGTTCCAACTATGTACATGATGTACATGTATGGTGGGGACAGTCCCAACTATAATTTACCTTAACTCCCCAGCCTAATATACTAGGAACCATACCCATTCAGGCAAATTCCAACACCCACATGGGAAATTGTACACGCACACTGTTGGACTTAGTTTCTGGAGGTATGCCAACCCCAGTGTAAAAAAACATCAGCTCAGGGGTACTGTACCGATCGATCCCAACAGAAATCAACAAAACCTGCTGTTGAACTTTTAATGGGTTGAGTTCAGTTAGGGTTAAGATGATCCTAACTGCATTTGTACTGTCTGGATTGTCTCAATGATACATGTAGTTGGGATGATCTCAACTCTAATTGGGACTATGCATCCCTAGTATAGTTGACATCGATGCTATAGTTTGAGGTACAATATCTTTAACTATAAGTGCACATATAATGGTACACTACACACTTCTGAATCTGCTCTAGACATAGCATGTCTAGTAAAACAATGGAAGAATGTAACTAAATGGCACTGGAAGGGAGACAAATTTGGCATCTGCTTTTTGAAGAAAATAAAATATATATCTTTTTTTCTTTTTTGAAGGAAGTGGCTTTACTTGTTAATAAATGCAACAGTAACAAGTTTTCAATGGCTATAATTATGACATTGTTACATTTTTACATGATATCACACATCTAGGTAACTTGGGTTTAGGGGAAACCCCAATTCTAATGGCATGCTCATGACATCAAAAATTCCCAAATTCCAATCGGCGAATTTCTGACTTAACTTTCCCTAGCTTACATCTTACCTTAGGTACCGGCACATTGTAGGGTTTTGAATAAAATACAGGGAAAGAATTCGGAAGACGGTCATAAATTAAAGCCAGTGAAAATGTTTGTAAAATTGTATTAAAAAAAATAATTTTAATAATCAGGGCCTACATACCGGTAGGGCCAAGGCTAAGTTAAGAGTCTAGACCAAAAACCATTGTTGAAAACTGACGCAATATTGTCAATAGCCGTAATGCTATTTCACCTATAGTCATTAGCCTACATTGTAAAACTAAGGCAAGCGTTTATTTTAAATTCATAAATACCACAGACAGTTTGCCCATTCCTATTGGTCGAGAGCCCGTCACATGTCGGGTAGTTTTAAACGGTGGGTAGTTTTAAACGGTTGATAAAACACCAACTGGTTTTAAACACTTTTTCCGGTGTCACATGAAATTTGGACTCCAATGAAATGTGGTCCCTTTCACCCTTTTGTTGGTGTGACCAGTCACTCTCCTAATTATCTTCACTTACTGCGCAATACTACCAATGAGTCCGTACATGTATTTCACTGAGTGCCTAAATTCACGCTAACCCGCACCGCTGCGTTCTACGCCACATTGTGCACCACGCGCGTGCCGATCTACTCGCACGAGGCACATACCATAAACATACATGTAGCTAGTACTAGTACTAGTAGATAGAGGGGCGTTTCACAATCACAAAACATGAAGTCAAATTGTTGAACAAAATCGTTGGAAACGGTATTTTTAGGTGTTGGGCCTTGAGCCCAACACCTATTGTTATTGTAAGAATTTTTTTATTCTCCAAGACACAAATCGTTTCCAGAACTGTTTGTCAAAATGAAAACATATATGAACTTCAATTGTCAATACATGAATGCACAATCCACTGAAGACGTGCTTTTTGCAATTACGTCATTTTGACGTCATCATGGGTCACGTGACGTCACTTCAATAATTAATAAATTTAATCTTTGAAATTCAATATAAGATCAACTGTTAGAGACCGGAACTTGAATTTTGCGGGAATTGACATTATAATACATGCTCTTTATATTAGGCCAAAAAAAAAAAATAGTTCTGCTTCCGATTACATGCCTTTCAAAAATAGGGTCGGTCGGTCGGAATTTTTTTTTTTTGGGCCAATTTTTTTAATGCAGATTGAATGGGGTATTCAATTATATGCGAAGTTTTAGCCTGAACTATTTCCATTGCACTACGAAAGCTATACACGAAATACCTATAATTATTGTCAATATATTTACGTTCGATAATTTCAAAAAATAATGGAAAATTCAGGTCGTTCGCACCATATGCACAACGCTAGTCAAGACGCGGGGAGCTGGCCAAAACTCTGAGGTGTGTGATGCGAGCATGTGTGGCGAGCGGGCCGCCATGGGCCGACAGACCTGTTTTCACGGTCAAAAATTTCGGGAAACACGCGGCATGTATCACTCCAAATACGAGTAGTGCGATCTCAAAATGAACTCTTGAACACAGAAAATACATACACAGACAAGCTAGATCAATTCTGTAAATTAACTTGCAAAAATGTTCTTTCTCCATCAGTGTTTTCTTGGCATTTTTCACGATGTCGAATCCGACCAGTTGACAGTGGCCTGCACTGCTAGCGCGCTATCGGTCACATAGCTATGGACTGGTTACCGCATTTTTATCATGTCTTCTAAATTGGCCCCTGCGCGGCGCGGCGGGAACCAGTCGTCGCCACGTGATATAGTCACTGCGTACGGACATCGTTTATATCGCGAAGCGAATTTGTAAAAATAACGGAGGTTTCTTTTGAAAAAAAGTGAATGGTAAGTAAGAAAACAAATAAATACAAGCATTTTTTGATGCAAAAGGGTTGTTGAGAGGTATTTTGTGAAGACAGAAAAGACAACAAAATTTTATTTTTATTTATTCAATCTTTTTGTTTTTTTGTTTTTTGGAATTGCCGATAAATTGTTTAGGGTCGCAGCCTAAAAATAGGGTCGGTCGGGTAACCGGAAGCAGAACTATTCTTTTTTTTGGCCTAATCTTGTGCGCGTAAACTCACGTGACCCTTCTTTCCGGTCGAAACCGGAAGTGCCTAATAATTTAGAAGCAGAAAAAGATATGAACTTGCTGTCAATGATTTTAGTCTGTGGGTGGGCTGACCGTTTCAAAAAAATGATCGGTGACGCCATGAAGTGTTCGCGCGCCCTCTAGCATTGTCTAGCGGCAGGTTAAAAAATGCCCAAAAACGCATTTTCAGTTGATGTCTGTGGCAAAATTTGCAGTAATCGCTTCAAAATTAGAATGCATGATGACCTTAATGCAGACAAGACCTGTGGAAAAAAAAAATTGATTACGTCATCAGACCGGAAGTTACAATTAAAAGACCTTTAACCTTCAAAAATTGCTAAAAAATCAACAGTGATAGATAGAATCAAGATTTGGCTATATATAGCACAGTTAACATAGCTCTTGAACTTTTGGTAATAACGTCACAATGACGTCATCAAGTATCACATTACAAGCAATCAAAGATTTCTAGATTTAATCTTTGAAAATCAATACAAAATCAACTGCTACAGATTTAATTTTGTTTTTTTATGGCAATCGATACAATATTGCAAAGTCTTCATTTTCGGTGTTAAGTGCAAAATCACGTGACCCTTCCTTTCGGTCGAAACCGGAAGTGCCTTATTATTTGAAATTGGCAGAAGATGCGAACTTGCTTTCAACGATGTGAGTGTCTGTCTAGGCAGTACTGTACAAAACTTTTACAGGTGAGGTCATCAAATGTTAGAGCGCCCTCTGGCGGCATGTTGAAAAAAAGTCAAACATGGATTTAAACATGCATTTTGAGTTGATGTGTGTGGCAAATCTTGCGGTAATCCATGGCCCAACACCGTGACGTTGTTCCTACAACCTCTAGTTTTTAACTTATTTTGACTTTTTGACTGAAAGGTATTTATGAATGGGAATAAATAGGCCTATGTGCGTGCTTGGCTATTCTGAGTAACTAGGACTCTACAAATCGCCTTATTTAACATTCAGACACGGTCGGGCAATATTAGTAGACTATCGTCTACTAAAGTCTACGATCGCCAGACCATGTCCGAATGAATAAAAAGGCGATAAGTTGGGTCCAAGTTACTCGGACTAAGCTTAAGTGCCTACATAAATGCCACAGAGGCATTCTATATAGGGCCTATGCATAGCATAGGCATGGGCGTCGCGAGGGGGGCAAGGGGGCACTTGCTCCCCCCCCCCTCCCGAAAACAAAAAACAAAAAAGGAAAAAGGAAAAAAAAGAAAAAAGAGGTGCGAAGCCATATTGATGTTATAGGCCTAAGTGTTAATTTGAGGTGGGGGGGGGGGGAGGGGAGGGCAAATGCTCCCCTGCTAATTATATGCTCACACTCGGAAAAATGATAAATTGAAAATATTGATAAAATAAATTGAAAAATTGAAGATATTGATAAAATGATAAATTGAAAATATAATGAAAAAGTTAAGGAATTTTGGGAAAAATTTGCTTTGCCCCCCCCCCCCCCCCCCGGAAAAATCCTGGCAACACCCATGACATGTGCATAGATAGAATGTATCTGAGAAATCTGAAGACCGCCCACAATCGAAAAGAAAAAAACTTGTCGTTCGAACTAGCTGCGATAAACGCAAGACTAGCTCCAACTTCCAAGAGCCTGAAAATCTTGTCGTTTTCTTCTCATGTCCGAGTTGCTCCTTCTTCTTTTTAATATATTTCTCACCTGTCTCATCTGTTACCGTTTGAACGGAAGCCATTGTCCCCGGTATAATAACTTCTAATGTCAAATTTAAAGACCAAATTCCACACAGACATCATCCGATTTCGCTCTTCACCACGTTCACTGTGTGATTGGCTTAGAAATAGACTGGTATTTCAGTCTCTGTACAGTTTAGAAAAAGTCTTGTGCATTGGATAGAAAAAAAAGTACTCCTCCGCACTTCGGATTAGGACATATTTTTCACTAAAGATAAACATAAGCATTGACTGACACAGGAAAATAGAACAAATTAGTTGATCTTGGCTCCCGAGAGATATTTCGTCTATTGTAGAACTCTAGAGAACTTGATGCTAGTCTAGTAATATCCAGAAAGATAGAGTAAAAATAAGACGCCAGGGTATAGGACCGCAAGTACATCACAAAGATAAACAAAATAGTCGGGGGTCATCATATATCAGCACTATGACCGTTTTAGCCGATTTTCGGCTAACTTTGACAGAATTTTTGTTAAAAATGAGTTTGACAGAAAATTTGACAGAATGTTTTTTTTTGGCAGATTTCTGGCGGAATTCTGCAAAAATGGTTATTTGACAGAAAAACAGCAAATTTGAACGAAAAAAATGTACATTTGTTTGAAAAAGCTTCAATCCTTTCAAGCAAACCCTTGCATAATGGGACAGGTTGGCTGGTCAAAGTGCTGAGGTTAATCCCCTTACAAAAAAGCCCTATAAGAATCCTATAGGATCCTATAGGATTATAAAGAATCCTATAGGATTCCTATAGGACATGTAAAAGTCCTAGTACTTGTGCATGGAAAATCTTTTAAAGGGAATATACAACATTTGCAAACATCAAAAAACAAATTACTGTTTTTTTTACGAAAAACGTTACTAGGATGTTTTAAGCATCCTGTAAAATTATGGCACCAGGTGTGAAGTCATTTTCAAGAAAACTGGTATTTTGTATAAATTTCCAACGGTGGTCGGCCGACCACCGTTGGAAATACCTAACTATTTTTCAACTACTGCTCCAAATTTATCATTTTTTTTTCAGTCCAAATGTTGTTTGCTATTGGTTACATGTTCATGAACGGGTACAGGCCAGTTAGACTGGTTCCATTACCTTGCAATTTTCTGGCATCTATAAATTGATCCATTTCATCTTTAGTGGAGTCAGGGAACCAGACTACTTGAACATTGGTGTTTTTCTTGGTTTTTCAGCATTTTCGAACACAAAACTTCAAACATGTCAGTTTAACAATATTTGATCTGTTATACTAACCCCTCAAAATAGTTCATTTCTGAAAATTACAGCAAAAGCCAATGATGTACATTTCCTTTGTCAATGTTTTATTTTGTGCTTTAATATGCCTGATGTAATGTAATTGAATGTAAGATATAATCTAGATTAAAATATTGGACTTTGGCTGTGTATTTCAGTATTTACATGAAAAAGTGGTTCAAAATTTTAATACTTCTGTAAAGTAGTTGAAATAACTAATGTTTTCTTTTTCATATTATACTTGTTTTCCCCTTATTGTTGAACCAAATTGAATGTGATATTAGCATTGTGTGCTGTACATTGTACATTAACATGTAAATTTAGCCTCCCATGATATGACAGTACCGTAACTGTGACCTTTGGTGAGGGTATTCCAATGATCCGTCTTTTATGTGACATTTTGATAAGAATAACATGTCGAATTGAACATTTTAATTTTCACGACTGAGATCTGACCTTCTTTTGTTTGTGGTTGTTTTGAAGTTACATTATAAAATACTGTGTAGTTCATCACAATTAAACCGAATTTTTGGATCTGAGCATTAAAGGACTTGAACTTACTTGTTTATCAAATCCCTTGAATCTTGATGCTGTCATGCAATTTAATTTGTTTTGCAGAAAAAGTCTTGTAAAGATCATTTAGGAAATGTCATTCAGTCCTGGCTTCTTTTCAGCCGCTTATCAATCAATCAATCTGGACTTTTGCAGCGTGTTTTTCACCTGCCCATGCAGGCTCTTCCAAAAAACTGATTTTTAGACTTTTCCTATAGGATTGTTAACATATTCCTATAGGATTCTGAACATATTCCTATACTGGATTCCTAAATTATTCCTATTAGGACTGCTACATGATTCCTAATTAATTCCTCAGGATTCCTAAATTATTCGTATAGGACTGCATTCCTATGGATAAATCCTATAGAAAGTGAAGAAAAACCTATACGAATCCTATAGGAATCCTATAAGATAAATCCTATAGGATTCCTATAGGAATTTTCGTATAGGATTCCTATAGGACTTTTTTGTAAGGGTCACGCGTCGTCGTGGCCGGATCCAAAATTTACCAATAATTTCACAACATCTTTACGTGACGAGATTGTTTATGTAATTTGAAGCTTAATTATGGCAATATTACCAATCTGCATGTGATTTTAAGTTTTATAGTTTATTTCGAGTGATTCTGGGGAATTTGGCAGATTTTCGATATATCTGATAGATTTTTGATGGGCATTTAGCAGAATTTGGCTCTGAACTTACGGTCACCCTGTGTGTATCAGTAAATCACATGCGACATCCCGATCGACAGCGCTGCCGCGGATATCCGGAACGGGTGACCGAACGTCTGGAAGCCAACTTTCGATATTTAGTTTTGTTCAGTTTTACGCTTGCATTGAAAAAAGGTGAGTTAGGGTGTTTTCCATGTAACTTAAGGTACATGATCCACATGGATCACGTCTTTGTAATCGCGTTTAGCCTGAGGCTTTGCTCCTTTACTGTGGAAACTAGCTTGGTTTCGATCCAACTCGGACCCAAACCAACTCGGACCCAAGCCAACTCGGACCCATGCCAACTCGGACCCACTACCAACTCGGACCCATGCCAACTCGGACCCACTACCAACTCGGACCCACGACCAACTCGGACCCACGACCAACTCGGACCCACAACCAACTCGGACCCACTACAAACTCGGACCCATGCATGACCAACTCGGACCCATCGTTTTCAATCATTCGACATCGTTTTCAATCATTCATTTCATAAAGTTTGTCCACTTCTCATCTGTTATTACAGTGATGCTGTTTAGTATAAATTTTCATTGTAATTGTAAGGTAAATTATCTCATATCTGTCATGTCTGTATTGCAGCAGTATAACATTTTTGTCGTTGTAAAGCGCATTAAAATGCTATTTTGAAATGCGCTTTAAAAGTGTAATTAATTATTTATTATTTTTATTTGTTTCCATTAAAACATATTATGCTTTAAAAGTTTAACCAATTATTTATTTTCATTCAAACATATTAATTTACATCGTTTACACCATCTTGCTAAATTTAACAGCAATTTATTTCTTTTTTACTCCAAACTTCAACATAACGAGTATACAAATTAAGAACAGATCTTCATAGAAAAATAAAATTGGAAAGTATGGCATTAAAACAAACACTTTCAAACATAACATTATTAACTCAATAAATATAAGTAAACATTAGAAATCAATAAATAAAATAAAGGTTCCATATTAAACAAAAAAGTTAAATCAAAAGAGTATAAAAAGTTACATTTGTAATCGGATTCGTAAAAAAACCCACAAAATTCAAAGCCAGCATGTGAATTAAAAAATGATCAAGTTTAATCCCCTACAAATAGATGCAATGTCAATCATCAAAAAGGAGTATTGGAGCTCTGGGAAGATTATCCTTCAAGGCCTTGCAGGTAGCTGCCTGTATGTTCCACTATGATGTTCCACGGGGGGGGGGGGGGGGGGGGGGGGGGGGGGGGGGGGGGGGGGGGGGGGGGGGGGGAAAAAAAAAAAAAATTATTAAAAGTTAAACAGATTCATAAAAAAAACCCACAAAATTCAAAGCCAGCATGTGAATTAAAAAACCCTAAACAATTACATGAAATGAAAGGCCCAAATAGTTATTTTAAATTAATAACTTCCTCACTGAAACAAAATGTGCCACTTAAAACCACTTGTTACACGACACAAAGGCCTGCAAAAACAAACAAGTAATTTATTTTTTACTGAAAATTATAATCCTTTGATTTTCGTTTGGAAAAGAAAATCGAGATTTTGAAAAAGCACGTATATATCAAGTTGTACAAATGACATACGATATGCCTAACCTATACTATACGCTATTAATACCTCTTGGTTTAGCTTCACAGGTCACGGTTTCAAAAAGCTAAGCACGTTTAGTTTCATGACGTTCAAAACAATAAGCGTTTAGCAACAGTATTTACTGTACGCATCATAAAATACCGCTCCACACAGCGGCAATACAAGAAAACAACAAAACTAAAAGCCCCATTCTGCCCAATGTAGTTACAGAATATCTTCACTTTATAAGCACTAACATTAAGATAACCTAAAAAATATAATCTCTAAAACTAATGATTGAGTCATTGTTGGGTCCGAGTTGGTCGTGCTTGGGTCCGAGTTGGTAGTGGTACCGAGTTGGTCGTGGGTCCGAGTTGGTCGTGGGTCCGAGATGGTAGTGGGTCCGAGTTGGTAGTGGGTCCGAGTTGGTAGTGGGTCCGAGTTGGCGTGGGTCCGAGTTGGCATGGGTCCGACTTGGCATGGGTCCGACTTGGTTTGGGTCCGAGTTGACCTGATACCACTAGCTTGAGTAACTCCAGCTGACAGCTGACATGCTCCATATTCATTCCCATGTAATGAATATGGAGCATGTCAGCTGGAGTTACTCTAGCCCCATAAATGTGGCCTATTTACTGGACTGCCTCCGTAAACATAGGCCACACATCCACATGTACAAAAACGTGTCGACTTTGCCAAATTTTGATTTTCACATTTAGGCTTACTTTGTAGGGTTTTTTTGCTTTAGAAGCATTCTCACCCTCTAAATAGGCTAATCAGAAAGTGCTGCCTTTTTCAGATGTCTAATTTTTGTGAAATTTTATGTTGAAATTTTGATACGCAAACGTGTGCAAATGTATCTGGAAATTTCACGAAAAATGGACATCTGATAAAGGCAGCACTTTCTGATTAGCCTATATAGTGGGTGAGAATGCTTCTAAAGCAAAAAAAACCTACAAAGTAAGCCTAAATGTGAAAATCAAAATTTGGCAAAGTCGACACGTTTTTGTACATGTGGATGTGTGGCCTATGTTTACGGAGGCAGTCCAGTAAATAGGCCACATTTATGGGGCTAGAGTTACTCAAGCTAGTGGAAACCCGGTTTTGGACAGTGACCACTCATGCCATGCCACTAGACTAGCCCAGGCTAGGTGGACTCCCTTTCCTCCCTACGTTACGGAGGGAGTCCAGGGTATGAAGTGCTCAAAACCGGGCGAAAAAAAATATGAGTCATTTTCAATATTTAATTTTACCTTGTTTAAATCGTAATCCTACCTTGTTTGTTACGTCTTAGTATTCTATGTGTCCTTATCTATTGATCCGGGGGCACAATTGCAGAATACCCCGCCACTCACCTATCCCACCTCGTATCCGGATACGTGACAAAGTCACGCTTGGTCGTAGCCCAGGTTGGACGAAGTCTTCATTGCATTACGACTAACGTCCAGGACGAGAATTCTCTACATAAGACCACCCAATATTTGGACCAGATTTTTGTTACGTTTTACCTCGTTACAGAAGCTTATTTCACGCCTACATTTTCTATGTGTCCTTACCTATTGGGCCGCTGGGTTCAGAAATTCCATAGGGATGTGATGCTGACCGACATTAAACTCTAAAGCAGCGTTAAACTTGTACTTGTACAGCGTTAAACTTGCCCGAACAGGTTTTAAAGACTCAGACAGAAAAGATTTCTGAACTGCCTGGGTAATCACATAATGACCGTGTACTTGTCAGACTCGAGGTTTGTGCTTTAATAAGCGGTCAAATTCTCCCCTGCCCCACCCCATCCCCCCCCCCCCCCAAAGAAAACAATTCCATTGAGAAACTAAACAGGGGTGTGAAATCTCAGCTTTAAAGCTGATTTCAGCTTTTTTTGTTTTGGATTTCAGCTTTTTCCCCTCTCTTGCTGTGTACAAAAGTATAGGAGATTTCCAAAGTTCAGCTTTTTTACACCTTTTTCAGCTGTTTTCAGCTATTTTTATCAGTGGTCACTCACACCCCTGCTAAATCACCTTTGGAATTTCTGAAGTTGGCTCATACGTGTGCTCATACAAGAGAAATTTTAGTTTAGCAATTAACAAGTGTTTTTGTTTAAAACTTCTTGTTAAATAACAGCTTTCGGAGCATAACTATGGGTATGTATGGTTTTAATTAAACAGGATTAAACCTATTTATAATTGGCAGTTTGGCAATGAGGGCAATGGTGTAGTTAACGTGTCAATATATTTTGCATATTCCAAAATGGTTTTAAAATTCTTAGGAGCCTATAGGCCATGTTTAAAAAAAAGGTTTTGAACAGTGTCATTTTAAAGTTGAACAAAAAATTGACTGGAGCAGGGTTTGAACGTGCAACCTGCAGATTGCCATTCCGGTGCTCAACTGAGTTCTCCAGCTCTTGTGTTGGCCGTTCTCCATTTTGTCAATGTCTTTGTTCAAAGGGTGCTAGTTTACTACTAGTCACTAACGCTATGTAGACTGCAGAGCCTTAACCCTAACCCACCTCACTCCTCCAAAATCCTCCTGGCGGTTTTGGAGGATTCTAGAGGATTGAGGATGAATGGTGATTGAATCAAATGAGGATTCTGGAGGATTGAGGATGAATGGTGATTGAAGCACAAGAGGATTTTGGAGGATTGAGGATGAATGCATTTTGAGGCAGGACTGTCTGATGATTTTGAAGGATTTGGCGTTGGTTATCCTTCATTTAAACACGAGTGCAAAGTTTTGGGATGAGGAGGATTTTGGAGGATTGAGGATGAATGCATTTTGAGGCAGGACTGTCTGACAATTTTGAAAAATTTAGACGGAGTTGCAAAATTTTGGAAAATTTTGGAGGATTTTGGAGGATTGAGGATGGTTGTAAGCAACAAGGGCCTAGGGGGTTAGGGTTAGGGAAGATACAACATTTGCAAACATAAAAAACCCGAAATGATCAAATTATCACGAAATACCTTACTGGATTGTTAGGGAATGACAGTCTAAAGCATCATGTAAAATCGTGTCTCCTAGTGTGCTGACATTTTCAAGAAAATTTGTAATTTTCCAACGCTGGTCGGCCGACCAGCATTGGAGAAAACTGGCTTTTTTCAAAAACCGCTCCGAATTTTTCATAACAGTTGTTCCGTATTATCTTTGCAATTGACTACACACCTGTGAAGGGGTACAAGCCTGCCAGACTGATTCTCTGACCTTACAATTCCCCCAAAGTCTATACATTTTTCTGTTTCATCTTAATTGGGGTCAGGGAACCAGACTACAAGAACATGATTGGTTTTCTTGGTTTTTCCAGCATCTACAAGCCCAAAACATGAAACAAATCAGTTTAACAATATTTGCTATAACATACTCATCCAAATCCATTTATTTATGAAAATTGCATCAAAAGCAAATGTTGTACAATGTACATTCCCTTTAACTTTAAAGGCATACACCTGTGTAGGATAATGCAACATGCTTGTAAAGGCATATAGGAACATTTGCCGTTAATGCATGTTGTTCGTTTCAAATAATAACACCATTCAAAATCAACAGAAGATTGTTCACAGCCTGACCTGTTGAACTTTCAGCTCAGTGAATATTACACTTTTTGAGAAAACAGTGAAAAACCATGCACAATCTTTTTGATCATGGAACACGCCCTTGTGCTCTTTATTCCAAAACTCGTCAATTAACTGATCATTGGAAATCACCTACATTTCCTGATTTCCTCTGAATGACAGCAAGCCAGATGGAATAATTTCATGGGGTATTTAATACCAGTACGATCTTGAATCCAAATGAGCTTTTTTTAATAATAATTTGGCAGGCTACTTATGGGATTTATTCAAATGATAATGATCCTTAATGCCTTGGAGTCTGCCTGTAGGTTTTGAGGAAATTCATTGCATTAACCCTAACCACCCCAATTCCATCAAAATCCATCCCCCCATTTTGGGGGACTTTGTCCAGAAGGCCTGGCGTGACTAAATATTGATGGAGTACGATGGACTTGGGCCTAATGGCCTGAAGCAGTGCTAGATGTATCCGATTGATTTTGCCTAGTTTCCTATACTGCCATCGTGATAAAAGCCATGTGTAGTAAGTCCATGAATGTCAACCAGTGCGTCAGTGGTGGATTGCATTATGTCATGTACAGTTTTGTATTAGACGCACAGCGATTGATGGATTTTGATGGAATTGGTCCAGTTCCTAGTAAAAGACACTCTAGAGGGAGTTAGGGTTAAAATAATGGTGTGCTTGCACTTGTATTTTAACGGCATACATGCAAATCTCACAAGGGTCAATCAATAACTCTTTTCTGTCATATTTCCATGCATGTAGTGACTGCAATTGCAGATTGTAGTATAATTGTGTTATGCACGCATTAAGGTTTATGGGAAAAAATACTTGCCTGGTTTTTGGTGATACTGTACATGTATGAGTGTTGTATGTGTGTGCGAGGGTTCATGGTGTTGCATGGTTATTTTAAATGTACATGTACATGGTATGCTGTAATGTGTCTGGATTTTCCCCCAGCATTTGTTTAAAATCTTACACGTATTTCCTGAGAAGTGCGAACATTCTTTGGTATGTCCTTTTTTCAGTGGATACCAATTGTAAAAAACTGAGATACGTGTTAAGCAGATAAATTTTTTTTTTCATTCGGTTAATTTAAATCACCCAATGGGTTAAACCCCACCCATTTCAAATTGGTTCATATTTAGTGTATGGGGTAATTTGGATTGAAAAAGTTGAAATCTTCAAGTTTTAGTGCCACGGGACCAATGGTTTTTGCGCTACCCCTCATCCTTTTTTATCCCCTGGCTGTAAGCCGGAGGGGGATATTGCGATAGCATATTCCCATTTTGACCAAAACTGCCAAAAAGTGGAGTAAGATTTAAATTTCAGCTTTTCAACCTAAATTACAGTGTACCCAATACACTAAATATATGTACCGGTATGAACCAATTTGAAGGTGGGGGGGGGGGGGGGTAAAGACTTTCAATTTTTTGTTTGGTTGGGGGGGGGGGGGTGATTTGATACGGAATGACCCACCATTTCTGTGACTGAAAATGGATCCGTAGATTATCACAATCAAAGGATATTGACACACCCCAACTATAGCATCATCCCAACTTTAGTTGTGATTGTCCCAACTATAATTAGGACTGCCCCAAGTGCAGTTGGGTCCTTTGCTAGTTTGGGTTCTTTGCTAGTTTGGGTTGTAACAATATTAAACATTTTGAAACTGAAATTTATTGGAAGTGAATCAGCCGGAAAAATGTGAAAAAGTAAAAGAAAAAAATGCATTTGAACTTGTGCTTGAACAATTTTGTTGAAAGAGATTTGTTTTATATAACTTATTCTAACTTCTAATTTGTTCTTTTGTTTGTTTCATGTTAGAGGCTTACATTTAGCCTCAGACAATGTCCGTTGACAATGAAGATCTTGTAGCCAGCATGGGACAAGCTAAATCATCACAGAATAACGAAGATCTGGGATCAGCTGGAGAATTATCACTGAGTAAGTGTACGACACCACCTTACATCAGTGTTTGTTTTGTATGCGTTGTCCGGGGTACACGCAGTATCAATTTGTCGTGGCGTGAGATAAAAAAACATGATTATTGCAAAGTTGAAATGTTTTAAAGTTGAAATCTTTACCCATCTAATCTGTAGTACACTCAACCAAAAAAGTAAGTCCCCCCCCCCCTTCCAATACTTCTTTGCCTAACTCCAAAACTACTGAGCACTTCTCGCTCAAATAATGACTAATCAGTACAGAAATTCCTTAGCAATCCAGCCATATTCTCTATTTGGCCCAAAACAGTGATAAAGTGTACGAATTCATGATACCGACATGACCGAAATGATTTATGATACCGAAAACAGTTGCACTTTTGTTTTTCGTGCAAGTTGTGGTTCACACTCGCCTTGCACTTTATATACAAAAGTGCAACTTTTTTTTCGGTACCATATGTCATTAATTGCATAATTTTAACTGTTTTGGGCCAAACAAAGAGTATGGCTGGATTGCTAAGGAAAAATATACTGATCAGTCGTAATTTGAGCAAGATGTGCCCAGTAGTTTTTGAGTTAAACAAAAAGTATTAAGGGGGGACTTTCTGTTTTGGTTGAGTGTATTACACTACATTTGTACATAGTAGCAAAATGAAAAGGATTTTTTTTTCTGAAGAGGAGAGGACATTTATCATTCACATGAAGGTTAATAAAAATCACAGAAGTACACAATATAAATCCACTTACTTGCTATTACAGTATCAAATCAAGATACAGGAAGCAAGATTCCAAACATAGGGCTACTATCGGAAGTGAGGTTGTAAATAAAGTAACCCCTGCGGACGAGGTTGTAGTAAAGCATGTAACTGCAATTGTTTTCTTTTTTTCCCTTTTTTTGTGGCATTAGTGGGACCTCAACCACAATACGGACTATTACAAAACCACTCAGACGACAGCCTGTCCGGCCAGCCTGAGACCACCAGCAGCGTCAATGCTGTGAGCGGGGATCCCAGCCGGAGTCTGGGCCCAGTGCCTGAGGAGGACCCTGACTTTGAGCACCGCGTGCCCATTCCAGAAGAAGAAGACGTAAGTCTTGATAAAACCTGAAAAAGTTTAGCTGTGCTGGAACATGCCATTTAACCCTAACCCTGCCAGACGCAAACGCAGTGCATCAGGTGTAATAGCCTGTTGCAGTTTGATGCATTCAGCTATCAACACCAGGGCCCAATTTCATGGCACTGCTAAGCACATTATTTTCTGCTTACAGAGCCTCCGTCTTCATGGAGACCGTAAGCATAAGCACAGCAAAAGGCACACTTACTTCAGAGGAAAAATGTCCTTAACTTAGTGATGTAACAATAGAAATCTTCGTGCACGCGCGACTGTTAGCACATCCACGCCGTGAAGTAGTGCTTGAGGGTAGCACATTTTTCTGCTATGCTAAGCACAACTTTTTTGCTATTAAACTGTTAAGCAGTGCGGTGAAATGGGGCCCAGTGCATAAACTGCCATTTCTGAGACAATGAGAGCCAGTCCCATTGACCAATGCCACAGTTGTGTCCTGCTGCAGTTGGTGACCACAGACTCTGATGAAGCAGTTTGGCCTTGGGATTTTTGACCGGTTGGATTTTGTTACATTTTAATTACAAAAAAAATATACACTCTGTACTAAAATTGTTTTTTTTCAAGAGTATTTCAATTTTAATAGTACAACAAAACATTGACATGTATAATTCTTCTGTTGGAATTAGGTATACATGTATGATAGTGCTTACAAATGCAACATTTGAAAAAAGTGTTGTTGAATATGGCCCTTTATTAAAACAAAAATTAAAAGAAAACAGACTATTTACTGATTGGCTTGCCCCGCCCAAAACGCATGGATGTACTGTCTTAAAGACCTCCAACTTCCTGAACAAATAATGAAAAAAATAAAGAGGACACAGAAACAAAGAAAAACCTTCGTTCCACAATAACAATATTGGAAACATTAGAAACCATTTTTTGTTTTGTTAGCTACATACATGTACATGTACCTCGAAAAAATGTATCGATGTACCTCGAAAAAAATGTATCGTTGTACATGAAGCTCGTAATATTTTATTAGCTCAATGTCAATGTTCAAATATTTAAATAGTAGATCAACTCCAGTTTTGAATAATTGAATGCTAAATTATTTGAATTGTACGGCACTTACCATATGTGCAAAATTCTTATTATAATTTTTTTATTTTTTTATTATTATTATTATTTTTTTTTGGGGGGGGGGGATTTCAGCATGCAACAATTTGTCTGTAGACCTCAATTTAACGGAATCACAGGAAATGGGTATACATATATCCTTCCGTAACTTGTACTACGTATACACGTAGTTCATCATTGTCACAAAACTGTTTGATCAGTTGAAATTAATTGATCTGGCAATTAGCAAAAACCATTAAGCTTGTTTCAAACAGCACAAATTATAGTATGCATTGAAATGGAGAATTTTTAATGCTGGTAGTTCAACGTATATACTTGTGAAATTGCCATATGTCTGATTGCCAAGTGTCCTGACAAGTACTGTACATACGTAAATTTATATACATGTACAAGTAATGAGGTACATTACATGTATACATGTAATTATGCGAACAAAAAGTTTTTTCTTCTTTATGTACATATAAATATGTATTTTTGTATTGTAAAAGATATTTACACATTCGTACAATACACAAAACCAACCGTTTACATGAACAATACACGCACTGGACAGTGTTTATCTTTTGAGTAAGTTGCATGATTTTCTTGTTACTTGGGTTAGTACTTCTAAAACCTACATACAATTATAAACAAAATGACAGTTACCTATGTCAGAATACTGATCTGCTAATACAGTGACGGCTACATACATGTATGTGTGTTTTGTCTGATAAGCAAAGCTGACTAATATTTTGTAAAAACCGGAATGATTTTCCGGTCAATATTTGTAAACGATTACACATGTATTCAAAATGTACAGGTAGCATTCTCATTATGTGTAAATGTAGGTAACTCCATATGTCTGCAGTCTGCAGCCCCGCACTGTAAAATATATTTATACATTGTATATTGAAATGGACATAAATTTGGAAATTGTCATTTTACGGTTAAGTGGAGACAAATAAAAAATTTGATGGGATGGTAAGTTTTGTTTTCAGGTGAACGTCAATCTGTAAGTCCTGTTGGACCTTTCCCATTTTGTTATGTTCTATCGAACATTTTAAAAACCTATTTTCATCCCATTTGATTAGTTGACTGTTCATTCACTGTAATGAAACAGCGCCATTTGTAAGTGTCATTTTCTAAAAAACAGCTTTTACAACTTTAATAGACCTAATACCTAATGACATCACGCTTTGTTTACAAGTGCGCTTTCCTATGAGAGCTCTCATAAGAAAGTGCACATGTAAACAAAGCTTGACGTCTTTAGGTCTTAAGCCCCTGTCACACTTGTCCGAATCTATAATTCCGTTCATAAACCGATCTGAAATATTATTAATTCGGACACGTTCGGAGAGAAATGTCAAAAAACCAGCCAGAAATGAAAATACACCGATCATAATCGGGTCTTATTCCGGATCTAATAAGTTGCTATTCCGATTGCAATCCGTCTATATTCAGGACCTCTCCGATCATCACCGGACATGCCAAACTCATTGATCTCAAGACCGACCGCTTTCCGAACTTTCCGTTTATATTCGGTGCGTCCGTTTTTTGATCGGCATTACAATGGTGTGGGTTCGGAATGAACTCTGAATACATACGGTTATCGATCGGAATCGGAGGCCTGTTCCGTACTCTTCTGTACCTATTCCGCATTGCAACGAATGGCAACGAATGAGTACAGTGTGTATTCCGTGCATTCCGTGCATATTCCGTGTGTATACCGGATACCGTCCGTATTGAGGTTGCCGCGACAATTCGGAGAAATTATTAAACAGGTTCAATAATTTCTCCGAGTTCCTCAGTGCATCACCGAACGTACACGAGTATATAGCGTTGGAAAACCGAGGGAAATCCGTTTGAGTTCCGTTTGAGTTCCGTTCAAACCGATTAAACACCGAATCCACAATGTTTTACTCGGAACATGAACGGAGTGACGATTCGGACAAGTGTGACAGGGGCTTTAGGTCTGTTGTGTTGGAGGTCTACATGGACTTGGTTCAGCAACCCCAAATGTTGTATACTATTAGAAAGCTCCTGTTTTGCAAAATCCAGAAATATTATTCTAACTTCTTAAAATAGTCCGTATTTAAGCTCACTTTGTGGGAACAGGTGATGCATGCAAATTATAATGAAACCCCTCAACTGCCAGCTGTGAATATAACCTTCTGTGTATAATCAATGTCTTTCAATTACAGGCTCAGCCTATGAAACTGTTCCAGCTCGTGTTTGCTAAGCCAGAGAAAGTAAGGCGCAAAAAAGAAACGCTTATTGTCCAACATTTTCAGCTGTGCAATAACAGCTGTCATTATTGCTTATTTCTCTCATTTTTGTTTTGATATAAAACTGTTACGCCCCAACTATTGGAACTGGCCCAACTATAGTTGGGACGATCCTAACTATAGTTGGGATGATCCTAACTATAGTTGGGACGATCCTAACTATAGTTGGGATGATCCTAACTATACATGTAGTTGGGTCGATCCTAACTATAGTTGGGACGATCCTAACTATAGTTGGGACGATCCTAACTATAGTTGGTAGCTCCTAACTATAGTTGGTAGCTCCTAACTATAGTTGGGATGATCCTAACTATAGTTGGGACGATCCTAACTATAGTTGGGATGATCCTAACTATAGTTGGGATGATCCTAACTATAGTTGGGATGAACCTAACTATGGTTGGGATGATCCTAACTATAGTTGGGATGATCTCAACTATGGTTGGGACGATCCTACATGTACGTGTAATTGTAGTTGAGACAGTCCTGTGCTGTGAGTTGGGGCATGACAAAACCGTCGTCATCGCAAAATCTGTCTTGTGCTCTGATCTGCTCTAATGTCAAAGTGATGTGAAGACAAATGAGCATTTTTGTTCTCCATTCCTGTCATGCCTGTCTAACCTGTGTTTTTTTTGTATAACTGTATGATCCTTTGTATTTCTTGCTTGAGGGCTGAATATTTTTTGTCAAATTTTTTTGTCATTAATTTTCTTCTACATACATGTACATGTACATTGTACATTATATGTTTAAATGCATAATTTCCATTTCAGCGACCAGTATGTACTTTTCTGTGTTAGACATACCGGTACATGTACATGAAATGTAGGCACAGGCACATTGAACCCCTAACAGTCAAAGCATAGCTGTATCAAGTTACCGTACATAAACAGTCACAGCCAGTCAATGTTGCTTTACATGTATGCAGGCTTGGAGGTTTTACAGTCACTTCGCCCATTTTCCACTTAACCCACAACCAATTTGCCCACAACCACTTCGCCCATTTGCCACTTTGCCCACTTACCACTTCGCCCACTTACCACTTCGCCCATTTGCCACTTTGCCCATTTACCACTTCGCCCACCCCCTTGTTCGTAATGTACGTTCGTGGGTATTGTGCACTGAACTAATTCAAGTGAGAATTTCCGTCTGAGCGAGTCATTAGCGTAAAAAGTGCCCTCGCAATTTCTTTTGAAAACGGAGACTGTTTGGCTTTAAAAACGGTGGAATTGTGTAATAGACCCAATGATCAACTCCCTGGTTTTGGGGCTTCCATCTGAGGGCAGGCTTGATAAAATTGCGGATGAAATATGGGTCTTATTTGCCTGTGCAAGTGGAAGGATTGTAAAATGGCTACATGCAGGATTGGGAACTATCTCTTTTTGGGAGGTGATTTTATTTGGGTGTGAAGGCTTAAAAATGTAATTGGCTAATCTACCTTAAATTGAAAATAAATGAAAAGAATCAAAAGATGAATGACAAGACAAAAATTTAATTTTGTTTGAGAAACCCAAGTGATGTTGGCCTGCATGTTATTTGGCCCTGAACTGTTGATTTTACACTGTTTTCAATATAATTTCAAACCAAACTATGCATGAATTGATGTTAATTTAAGCTAGAAAATAAAAGTCTATGATGAAAGTTCGCGCAAAAAAAGTGTTTTTCTTTAAAATAATTTTTTTGTTCAAATTAGGTTTTGCCCTTCACCGACGTTTAAACACTGTATACTCAGTGTGTTACCTCCCGAGTGAAAGATGGAAAAAAATTTTTTTTGTTGTTGTTTAACAAGTGAGATTGCTCTGAACGTCATTATTATTATAAATATTTAAAAAACGGAAGCTAAACTATTCGAATGTAATAATTAATCAAGTTCTGAAAATGAATTTCCAAGTTGTCAAACTCAATAATACTTGTTCTATGCATAAACCATCGAACCCGAATTATCCCCCTTCATATACCCGTACGTACATGTACGTACATGTACACACGAACAAGGGGTGGGCGAAGTGGTAAATGGGTGAAGTGGCAAATGGGCGAAGTGGTTGTGGGCGAAGTGGAAAATGGGCGAAGTGGTAAGTAGGCAAAGTGGTTGTGGGCGAAGTGGCAAATGGGTGAAGTGAGTCGTGACCGACACCCACTGGGAGCTCTTAAATGTTGAAAACAGTCACTTGATTGAAAGGCCAACTGAAACTCATTGGCACATGTACTACATTTTATTGCGTTGTATTTTTTCAGCGGTGAATCCATAAATCCGTAGAGTGCTTGTGCGGTTTCAGATACTACAGGGAGTAATAGGCAAGGAGGGTTTTTTTGGGGGGGGGGGGTCCACAATGACTAATGGGTTAAACGTAAAGTAAATTGAAGTAATGAAAGGGTTTAAGTAAAACTTTGGTGTCTTTGCTTTAAAAAAACACCCCAAAATTTATCAAGCTTTTTTCACGAAATGGCACTTTGCTGCAGAAGCCCTTTTGCAAACACATTAGAACAACAGCAAGCAGACTCATCACAATAATTCTTTAAGCAATCAGACCTGAAAGTGAAGTTTAATGGCATGAAATGGACATTTCTTGTTGAGCATAAATATTAAATGTGGATCCTCTCTGTTAAATTCTGTAGCCAATGAAGCTTTACACAATACTTGGTTTTTTTTTTAACATCTTCATTGAACTGTCAAGGATTCCTGTGAAACATGGTGTGATAGCGCACCTTTAAATGTGGAATCAAATGTGTCTGTTCTTAGTGGACATGATTGACGTTAGAGACAGTGTTGTTGAAATTAAATAAATGTGGAAATTAATAACACTGATGTCTTTGAAATAAGTAGTGATATCTCTGTTAATTGATTTACACATTTTTGTTGTTTTTGTTTTTGTTTTTTCTTTGTATTCATCTTTTTTATATATGGTTGTGTTTATATTTACTCTGTATCTTGTGCCGTGAATTTGAACAAACAAAGATGTAATTTTTCTATTACAAAATCAATTACATGTTTACTGCATACCATGCATACTTTAATTGTATTCACTCAAAAACATTTATAGGCTTTAATTATAAGTTGCTTTGACGTCCATTTTCCTCACGCGCTGTTTTATCCGTATCATCTTGCATGACACTTTGTTCAAGTCTTCCACTTGCTTCAGATTTGTATTTTTAACAACTTAAGGGAAAATCTCAAACAAAAAAAGACTCACTTCTCCAGCATTTGTGGTGTTTGAATAATATGTGTGTACACTCTTGTCACAGTGCATGTTGACTGCCCAAACTTTATGTCGTGATTGACAAATATTCAGAAATGCTATTCTAGCTCCGTATTTCTTTTTATTGGCCATTACATTGTATGTGAAAATAGAGCATAGTTTTCTACTTTTTTATGTTAAAGAGAGAAGAATTTTAAGTACTGGAATTTTCTTCTTACATCACGTTGGGATTTTTTTCCCGAATATGAAAAGAAGGAAAAGTCTTTAGACAAGAAATTCATAGTTAACTTAAATTCATGGTTGAGCAAAACATTTCAGATATTGACTTAAACTTTTTTAAGTTAACTGCAAACTTTTGTTATAACTACCATGGCAATTTTTTGTTTCATAACAAATTCATTTTTTCGCTACATGTACTGTACCGCATCTTGTACAAAGCACACACATCACTACGTGTACATTATTAGTTAGTCCATGAGCGTGAGTGGAACACGGAATAATGGAGTACTGTGTCCCGTATTCGGCCTTGTGGTATGAGACACAAAACGCACTACATGTACATGTATACACAAGCGTGTATTTGCCTGCAATCGGGGACCCTGTATTGTTCCTCTTTTGTTTGTAGTTTTTAGGAAGCTTAGACCTCCTATATGTTTTGCACAAGAATCCGAATTGGGGACCTCTCGGGAATTGGGGACCCTATTGTCCTCTATAATTGTTCAACGTCGCCTATTGAAAACAGAAACAAACTCATGTACATTTTCCGTGTTCCACTAGCGCGAGCAGGATAACAAATTTATCTTCAAGCAAACTTGACGCACAGTGAAGATGGAACATGCACGCTGTACACACACTTCTCAGCAGTTACCCTACTACACATGCCTGCAGCAAGAATGGCGCACATCTTAGAATAGCGCAATATGTGGAGTGCTGTATGGACAATGGCATATATGGGATAATTCCACATTGTTGTTGCCATGGATCAACCAATCAGGATCGAGGATTTAAGTTTGGTTGAAGATAAACCTTCATATTTAACTGAAGATGATTTTTGAGTTGTAGCAATCATGTCATTTTTTTCCTTTGCGCATAAAAGTGATCTTTTCAGTACTAAAGTCTGGACTATGATGTCATGAGTGGTTCGTGTGAAATTGGTACTTCACACACACACATGTGTAACAAGCTAAATATGGAATAGTGCAATAATATTATACGTTGTATACTTTTAACTTTTTTCTTGCAGTATTCCTTCAGTTTCCGCAAGCTGTGGGCATTCACTGGGCCAGGTTTTCTCATGAGCATTGCCTACTTGGATCCTGGCAACATTGAGTCTGATCTGCAGTCTGGCTTCCATGCAAACTTTCAGGTATTAAACTAAAGGCCATTTCACACTTCAACCCTAACTCTGCTAAATACAACAGAAAACAACAAAGGTAAAAACTTGTTGCATACCATTGCATTTAGCAGGCAACTCAATTAGTCCCTGTGCTTTGTTGCATCTTGTTGCATTTAGCCGGGTAACTGCTCATAGTGCCAAGGCAATACAAGAGAATCCACTGTTGCATTTGGTTGCATTTAGCAGGGTAGCTGCTTGGCATCAAGGCTGGTATGCACTGGGTTCACTGCACAATGCAACAGAATCCACTGTTGCAGTTTGTTGCATTCAGCAGGGTAACTGCTTGGTGCCAAGGCTGGTATGCACTGGGTTCACTGCACAATACAACATCATCCACTGTTGCAGTTTGTTGCATTCAGCAGGGTAACTGCTTGGCGTCAAGGCTGGTATGCACTGGGTTCACTGCGCAATGCAACAGAATCCACTGTTGCAATTTGCTGCATTTTGGCCCAGAGAAAATCTGTTGGGTGTTAGAGTTAATGTGTATTTATAAAGCGCACGTATCCACCAGTATTGGTGCTCAAGGCGCTGCATCATTATTACCCTGCTCATTGGGCCAATAAAACATTCCAAACACCATCTCATGCTCTCATGCTTCTTTGTTGCTGAGCAGTCACAGAGATAGTTATGTTAAGTTTTAATCAAATTCCAAGCATATTTTTTTTTAAAGAATGACTTTTATGATAAAGAGTTGGTTGCTCTTTGGATGCAAAGATGGCGTAATAACATGCGTGTACCAGCAAACATTGAGGAACAATGTGCAAATATGAACTGTATGTTTGTAGAGTGAACCAAGGACATACATGTACATGGACATGTATGTTGGTCTTAGTTTGCATTTTGCACATGTATGTGTTCTTGCAATGTGTTCTTTGCAGTGTACTGGTACTTCAAACAACTTTGATCGGCTTGTCATACTTTTTTGTTTAAGTTTTGTGCGCTAACAGCAGAGTGATCAGTGATACTTGTGCACATGTACATGTACATGTGTAAATATGCCTAGATATGCATGTGTACAGTACATGATAAGATTACGAGAAAACCATCAGGTTACACATTGAATTGTCCATCTACCTAAAATGCTTAACCTTGCATGGGATAATTAAATACAAAGTGAGTTGGTATTACTTGATTATTCGATATGTGATATCATGTCGAATAATCAAGTCATTGTAAGCTGGTGTGTCTCTGCGTAACGGAGAGTCATCGTACAACTGGAAAAAAAACTCAAATGTGTCAATAGAAATCAATGCAGTATTTTTTTTGTTTCTGTCTTAATACAAAAAACTTCCCTTGAAGTGACAAGTAGGTTTAAAAAAAAGAGTTGTAATGTAAAAATACAATGTACATGTACGTGTTTTTCGTGATGTCCACTTATTCGCATCCGAAGGTATCGACATTTTGGTTGTGTGGACAATTTGATTTTTTTTGGGGGGGGGGGAGGCTTTACACTTTGTGTATGGCTCAAGAGCTATTTTAAGCAGTTATTGTTATAAGAAGGCACTATTCGAACATTTAAAAAACGATTTTCTATATATTATGAAAGGAAGTTGATATATTTGCCCTAACAATTGCAGTTTCAATAACATGTCCTGATGACTAAAACCCCTCACTCAAAAATGACGCTATTCTGAGCGAAATAACCGAGCTGAGCTGAGCACATACATGTGTATATGTACATGAGATCCCTTGCAGTGCAATGCAAAAGTACATGTAACGTCTTCCTGCGTACATGTATACATAACATCTCGTCTTTCTGTGTCTCACATGTACATGTATTAATTAATTTGGGGTATGTAATATGACAAGCGTGATAACTTGTCATATTTGTTGACTAGGCCAAGAAAATATTCCTCTGCTTCCGATTATTTTCTGTTTCGACATAGGACAGGTAGGCCGGGATTTGTATCAAACTAAATACATGAAATCGGAAAAGACATCCCAGAAAAGAGAGATCCAGTTCTGTGAATGAGCTCGCACAAACCTGTTGTCTTACAATGTTTTAATGACATTTTTACGATGTGGAGATTAGACTTTATGTTCAGTGCTGTAGAGTGTTCCCATTTCTTCCAGCATCAGCCATTTTTTTTTCAGCGGCAGGAGCATGTCTATTGTCGCATGCACGTACATGTACAAGTACCCGCTTTCATCAGCATGAAGCAAAGCTTACCGGTTTTGTCAGAAAACGGAGGTTTCCTACTGAATTTATTGATTGTAAATTAACAACAGTAAAAATGCAGACAGCAGAAATGTTGCAGTTGTTGACATGAGAATGTTGTTGAGAGGCATGTTCGGTAAGACAAATGGCCATACAGGCTATGTTACGTGCAGTTATAGGAGTTTTCAAAAGTTCAGCTTTTGACACCTTTTTCAGCTGTTTTCAGCTATTATTATCAGTGGTCACTCACACCCCTGCCAATGGTTACGGTGTTCGACTCGTGTGCCGTGGTACATGGGTTCGAATCCTGACCGTGGGAACATGGTGCTTGTGCTCTTGAGCAAGGCACTTTACCATTATTGCTTCGTTCTTCGGATGGGATGTACCGGTAAAGCCGTAGGTCCCGTGTGTTGTGTAATGCACGTTAAGGAACCCAGTAACACTTATCGCTAAGAGAAGGGGTTTGCCCCGAGGTTTCTGGCAGAGGCTGCAACATGCGCCGCAGCACCTTGTCAACCCTTATAAGTGCTACATAATGGGTCTCGTATTTCTCATCAACTTTATTTGTCTTTCTTTAATAATAGACATAATTTCCAGCGCCTTGAGTACCTAATTGTTGGTAGATACGTGCGCTATATAAAACTTCGATATTATTATTATAATATTATAACTTGAACCAAATAACCGTAGGCTGGTTGAAACCAGGTTAATTGTGCTTCTGCAGTACAGGTATATTTCTCAGACACTCTGTCGTACAGGCATGGACATGAAGTCTAATATTTTGGGCTTTTTATCCTGAACTGCAGTTGCTATGGATACTGATGCTAGCCACCCTGATGGGTTTGCTCCTCCAGCGCCTGTCGGCCCGCCTTGGAGTAGTGACGGGGATGCACCTGGCTGAGGTAATGTCATAATCATAATTGTATGTTTTTAAAATGGCGTTTACACAGCGCTTTATTCAAATATTTCAAGTTGTTGCACAATTACCCTGTTGAACAGGCAATGATGGTCACCAACATGCAGCAGTTGAAACTGGCACAGTTTGTTTCTTGCCCTCATTGGCTGGCATATTATGTTGATAATAATGAGGATGGTTTGAAGGTTAACATGGTGAAGCGAGCAATAAAAGTAGGTTCACAGTTGCACCATGTAACAAATCTCTTTAGTGAGTTGTTTAGGTTCTGTAAAGAACCGGGGGAACTCAACGTTTTGCATGCTCTGCCCTGACAACGGGCACAGTGTCCGAAACCTTGAGTTAACCGCGGTGCTCTTCAGACCATCACAAACTCTGAAAAAGAGATTTCTCACATGGGCAATTCCACAGTTACTCACGGTACATTTTGTAAAGTGAGTAACCGATTTTTTGCGTCTTGTTTATCATACATAACACATTTTTCTGGATGTCATCTTTGGTGCTTAGGTAGGTCTAGGTCTACTCTATCTATCATAGGGATAACAGTTATTAAACCTTTTCAGTAAGGTAATTACAGCCCAAGGAAACTCAAAAGTACATCAAAAATGTAACGTGAGTAACCGTGGAATTGCCCACATGGTGCAACCGTGAAGTTACTCTTAAAACAAAGAGTGCTGAGGTTAAATACATCAACCTCATTTACAGGTATGCTTCAGAGAATACCCCAAGGTGCCACGCATTCTACTGTGGTTGATGGTGGAGATTGCTATCATTGGATCAGACATGCAGGAAGTCATAGGCACGGCCATTGCCTTCAATCTGCTATCCAATGGAAAGTGAGTAATTCTCAGTGAATCGTTTTTTTCTTCAAATAAACCACAAACTGAGTAATTCTGGTAGCAAAATGTTAAAACACTTCAAGACTTTCAGTTTGAGACATACATGTTACATTTGACAGTTCACGAGCGTTTGTTCATATGAGCTTGGAAAAAGATACACAGTGATCCCAACTTAATATTGAGGCTTTTAAGTACACAAAATAAAGTCAAGGATATTCTGAAAAATTTGACACCGGTCAATACTTTGTAATAATAAACGGCAGTATTTTATTACAAAGTATTACTCATTAGTAAATAATAAATGCCAGATTATACATTGTAATAAAAAACTTTCAAATAATAATTAGAAAGATATTTGTTTGAAAAGTGTTCTGAACACTGATTTTGTTTCTGAATGAAATATTTGCAGAAACACCATGTGGGAATAATTTCTCAACTAAGAGAATGGTTCTGAAAAGAACCAGAGGTATAAACTTGACGTTCTGGTCAGTATGCTCTGACCGTCTTCAGGAGAGTGACGTCAAAGCATACTGACCGGAACGAGTTTATACCTCTGGTCCAGAACCATTCTCTCAGTTTGAAAAAGTATTCCCACATGGTGTTTCCGCAAATCTTTCATTCATAAGTACATGTATCTCCACCATGCAAATCCTCAAATCTTACTTGATTTTGTTTCTGTTTCCATTTTACTTACATGTATTGATGGGAGAGAGGAGTTTATGTCACAAGAAAAGAATTACCCCAAATGCACCATATTTTTCAATTAAGTATTAACCTAATAAGTAGTACAAGACGTGTACTACATTGTATTACATTGTGTTTATTCACTGGTGAATCCATAAATCCATAGAGTGCTCAGGCGGTTTCAGACGCTGCAGTGACTAAAGATTTTAAAACATTGAAAGTTTTGCAATGGATGGTATACAAATCCCCCACCAAATTTTACAATTTTTCCCCTGGGCCCAAACGGTGTGTGTACTCCCTTCCCATACCCTCTTTTAAAAGTCTGCATACAGGCTTTGAAGTGTGGTACATGTATATTGGAATGGACAATTCTCACAAGGAAATGCGGACAGCAAACAGCAGTAGGCAACTCATACTATAAATAGTAGCGCTCTATGGTTGTGCAGCTGTTTAATTCTATTTGTTTGGATTCTTATTGTCTGTTTTCTGTTCTTACTTACAGGATTCCGCTGTATGGGGGAGTTCTGATCACAATCACAGATACATTTGTCTTCCTCTTCCTGGATAAGTATGGTGAGTGTTAATGACTGCTGTCCATTTGAATTCAGTGCTATCAAAACGAGATTCAAATCGTCTTTTCCCAATTGTGCATCATCATTGTCCAATTGTATGGAAGCATTTTCTATTCAACAGTGTTTAAGGGCATATAGGAATATATGCATTTATCCCAAAAGTAACCTTCCAAATTATTATTAAAACTTTACTTGGATTTAAGATCCTAAATACCCTGATACCATTATCCCGTCTGGCTTTAAGAAGAAATCAAGAAGAGTACGTGATTTCCAATGATCGCTTAATTGACTGATCATTGGAAGTAAAGAGATCTGTCGATACAATTGTGTGATCAAAAGGTTGTGCGTGGTTTTTCACTGTTTTCTCGAAAATTTAATATCCACTGAGCTGAAAATTTGAACAGGTTAGGTTTTGCAGATTCTTCTTTGGATTGTGAGTGGTGCTGTTTTCAGAAATGTGGTTTAAAGTTGCATTCTCCTTGCTCTTCAACAAATCCATTTTTTTTATCTATTAAACTAACTCCCTAGTCTTTTTTGCTAGGATGCAACCTCAATCCTGCAAAATCCTCCAACTGCCTCCATGTAAAAATTATATACAGCCTTAATCCTCTAAAATCCTCCGTTATTTCTTGAATGTGGTCCTTGGAGGGGTGACCACTGCCTCAATCCTGCAAAATGCTCCAGCAATCGCTGTCAGTGTGTTGAGGCAGAGCCAGTGACATCCTAGAGCAGTGCAGAGGATTTCAAGTATACTAGGCCTAAATTTATGCACGGCTGAGCATAAACAACACAAAGTCCGGCCCAAGACCTTGACACAGTGCATCCTCCAAAATCAGCCACACAAAATAGCCTCAATCCTGCAAAATCCTCCATGTTGCGAAGAGGATTTTGGAGGATTTGGGAAGGTTAGGGTTAATAAATTTCCAAGTTGTATGTTTTATTCCAACCCCCCTAAAAAACCTCCTGCAACCGTTTGAAAAAAGTAGCTTTTTGTTTTGGGCACAAACAGATCCGCTTTTTAAGCAGACTGGCTCCTGGATCATTCATCATTGATACTGAATGTGGGGCAGGAACCCGAAAACCCTGCAAGAACGGAAGTACTGCATGGCAGCTAATACCTTGAAATTGTAAAGTTATAGAATTCAATAAGTAAACATGGGACTGTTTTCTTCTGTCGATGTCTCATTCAAAAGTGAATAACTTTTGTTTTGCTAGAAAAAATAGCAGTGTAGAAAAGGAATCTATTTTTGGGGATGAAACTCCCAAATAGCACCAGGAATGTAACTTGAACATGCGTGTTACTGCATCAAAAGTTGAACGTCTTTTATTCCTCTAACACAAACATACACGTGCGAACATATCACCGACCACTTTTCAAAACAAATGCATATTAGTTTCTTGCTTCTCAGTATTGCATTGCTTTTCTGTAGAGTACTTTTGTTGCCTGTTGGGTAATCAATTGGGAAAAATGCCTACTTGTTCATACACCCGTATACAATTTCACAATGATGTTGTTTTGTAATATATCCAAGGAGTTGCATTGTAACTGAGAGACAGAGGTGTTTATTACACCATGGGTCATTGCATTCTTTACTATTGTGTATAACATTATAACAGAAACTGTTGGCTTCGTATGACATCAACTGTGCCAATTCATATTCAATTTATGCTGTAATTCGTGCAGTCGATCTCCTTTTACATGCACAGCATGCTGTGTTGATTAAATTCACAAGCCAAGACCAGATTTAAAGTAGGGAATAAATACGTGCTTGGAAAACCGGCTAGGGGACTGGACGGCTGTTAATGGCCGAGCTGAAGGTGAGGGTTATTAAACCAACTAAAGCCAAGCACATATTTATTCCCATTTATAAATACCTTTGTTTAAAACCAGTTGGTGTTTTACAACGGTTTAAAATCACCGACGTGATGGGCTCTTGGCCAAAATGAATGGGTAAACTGTCTCAGGTATTTATGGATGGTATTTTCAAACCTTTTGACTCTATCTCACACATGCAATATGTGACCCGCTCTGCAAATATGAGTCACATGTCTCCAAAGCCACTTTTGAGCTAAAGGTCTTTGAAAGAATGTTGCACAGTGTTTAAGCAATTGGAATCCTCAACATTTTCAATTCTACACAATGTCCATTTGCATCAAACCAAACTGTTCAGGATTCCAATTGCTTAAACACTGTGCAACATTCTTTCAAAGGCCTTTAGCTCAAAAGTGGCTTTGGAGACATGTGACTCATTTTTGCAGAGCGGGTCACATATATACAATGTATGTATGTCCTCAGTTCTGGCAGAGAGTCTTTTCACACCAGGCATTCTTTATACAACCATCTACATATATAAAGCATTCTTTATACAACCGTGTACGGTACATATATAAACTATATGGTCTCAATAGAGTATTTATAAAGTTCTCAGAATATAAAGTTATCTTATTATAATGGCCGGCTCCTTTTTTTCTAAACATACTTTCAAACTTGTTTTGTTGAAGTAAGTGATATTGATATAAGTAAAGCTTCATTATTGAGAAACATTTGGTTGTACAAACACACATGTGAGTATATGGCATGTATGGTCCATTCCAATGTTATGAAAGGAAGTGTAATGTGTGTGATAGCCAATGAAGGATGATATCTGATTAATGACTCAGAGAAATGATCCCAAACTCCTAGTCTGTAATCTCCTTGACCATTACTAGATGATGAATGTATAAGATTTGAAAAAAAAACCCATACATTTTCAGGTTTATTCACTGAGCTCTTAAAGTCTCTGTCATGGACATTACGTAACGCTGGAAATGCCCAATTCCTTAAATAGACCTTGATCATGCTGCCACCATTTCAGTCACGTTCCCTGTATCCAATAACAGCACTGAATTATAATATTTTTTGTGCAAAAAGGAACCAGACTACTTTTCCTTCCAGCCTCTCTTTGGTTACGTTGATTTAAATGGGAAAAAAAATCAAGATAGCCGCAACATGATAATGGTCTATTTTATCCCACTGACCACGGTTACAATGCACGTTCATATTTCTCAAATATTGTTTGTGAATATTCCTTTCATGTTGATGTTGATCAATTTCGTTGCAGGTTTGCGTAAACTTGAAGCATTCTTTGCCTTGCTCATCACAATAATGGCCATCTCGTTTGGATACGAGGTTTGTACTTGCGATGTTCTTGTAGTGATATCAAACCTTGTTTATTGTGCATGTTTGTCACACTGCGGCCTCCCACAAATAGACCCCATGTGTCTGATGTCACATCTGTTATATACATAAGTAGACACTTGTAGACACTTGCACGGAGTCAAAAAGAAAGTGACTGAGTCTGAAAACAATACTGAAAAGATCTGTGGCTTGCTCCATTTAATAAAGGAATAAAATGTGTGCTTGGCCTGCGTTAAACACTATGTTTAAGACTGGTTGGAGTGTGGATGCTGATACTTACCCGAGCCTAACACATTTTACATCTGTTTACAAATTTTCCAAAACATTTAAACGAAACACGAATTTTAGAAAAGGTACCTACATTCGCGAAATCTTCCTTTCAGTTAAACATACATAGCACAAATAATGTTTTCAAATCTGTTTAATTTACAAAACCTTAGAAGCAGTACCGCAGTACTTGATTACATTTGGGGGTACCCGTAGTTAAGGTTTTAATGTTTCAATGACTGCCCGCTATTTATTATGTCAACGATTGTTGATCTATCATGTCAATTACGCCGGTCTGATAACGGGCAGGCCTCGGCCTCTGTTAACCCTTTAGTCACTGAAGCGCCCAAAACCGCCCTGACTTTTACTCCCTGTAGCGCCCGAAACAGCCCAAGCACTTTATGGTTTTATTGATTTTTCAGTGAAATACATCATAATACAATGAAGTCTAGGTGCTAATGGGTTAAATGGCTAAAAGTTGAAATGGTTCTTAAACTATTTGCTGAACGTTTACAAAAATTAAACGCAAAGTCACATTCTTATTCCACATTCTCCCCTTGCTTCAGATGGACTGGGAATGTATATTAGATTTGTAAGAGGCGTGTATTAGATTTGTAAGAGGCATCTATTCTTTCCAATCTGTCCAGTACATCACTGTAGCTCCAGACCAGAAGGCAGTACTAGCCGGCCTCTTCATCCCTAGATGCCAGGGCTGTGACAGCCAAGCCAGCCTGCAAGCTGTGGGCATCATAGGTGCCATCATCATGCCGCATAACATCTACTTGCACTCGGCTCTCGTCAAGGTAAAGACTGGCATATGATTGAGATACTGGGTCCCAAGGATTATTTGCAATAACCTAGACAGATTACTTGCAAGATATTTAGAAACACCAAGCTTCTCTTAAAGCTATAGTCCATCATTTGTAATTAGTGCAGTTTGTTCGTTTGAAGCAACAAAAGTGTTCAAAATCTAATGAAGGATACTGAACAACTTACTTGATGAAGTTTCAGCTCAGCTTCAGCTTCATATTCCGAGAAAAACAGCATTCTAGGATCTCAATTTAAAATCAAAAGTTGCTAAATCATGTTTCGAATTGTTTTGAAATGCAGCTTTACGAGATGTTGCGCACTGATCCAACGAATTATAGCAACCGCGCACGCCTGTGCGTCGTTCCAATGCTTGTGCGCGCTGCGCCGAATAACAAAACGAACAACTAATTTAAATTTTCCTACGGTGCTTCTTAAGAAGCACCGTTGGAAATGCCTTCTTTCGTTGATTTCTTCAAAATGAGAGCTTGCCAGAAAGGATAATTTCACAGGGAGTTTAGTCCCCTTACTATCTTTCAACCAGTATGTTTTTCAACAATAATTACGCCGGTTACTTTTTTGGATAGCTGCAAATGATGGACTCGGGCTTTAAATGGCTGGTACAGCGAAGTATTCAAGTTTCCTCCATCATTCTGCGTCTGTACTAAAACCGATTTTCTTTCAATTAAAAATAAGTCTTATTTCAAGAACAATTTTCTTGTCTCACTTTATAGACAATTTTTTCATTTAGTCAAATGAAAATATGTTTTTAAAAGAAAACAGGTTGCTTATGTTAAGAAATGCAAGAAAACTTTTTTTCAGCAGTGCTCACTTTGCAACTCCCTGCTAAAATCTTGCTTTCTTCCCTTATAATTTATCCAAGTGAAAATGCAATATTACCAGGGGCCGTCATTACAAAATGCTGAGACGCATCTTGAGAAGATGAACTCGTCTTAACTCACAACTCGCCCTAGGATCGATTTCACCAAACTTAAGATGCGTTCAACGCGTCCTAACTTCCTTAGCAATGCGTCTTAACTTAAGTTTGCTCAGGGTTGTCTTATCTCATGAAAACGTGCGTTAATTTGAATATCATCTGGAAATCATTGCAATATCTTCTTGTTTAAGACGAGTGTCGGCCTAGACTAGAGCCATACTTTCATGGAAGAAAACTGATTTAGAAACAGATTTGAAAAGATTTCTGACACATGGGTTCGTTTAGTAAAAATAAAATTATTTACCAAATTTAATTGTACAACTTTTTTTTAATTGGTCAACTTTTTAAAATACAAATACTTTGGGTTCATGAAATAGAGTAATGAACTGGGGAGCAAGATGTTTAGTCATGAGGGTATTGATGAATCTATCTTGTGTAGACCTACATGTACTTTGCGTGCGAAATTTAATAAGCAGAACATTTTTAATGCTAAAGTTCATGTTTTATGCACGTGTGTGGGAAAGTGACCGTTTCGTCAAGTGTTTTATGAAACACCCATCAAATTGGTGATTTTGATGCATCGTGCTTACGTTACAGTGAAATCGGTCTTACAGAGATGCCACTTTTCCGGTTTTAACCGGAATTCCGGTTTTTAAAATAAATCTCACAAAATTCCGGGTTTTCCGGCCGTCAAATTAACCAGAAAAAGAGAAGAAAAACTGTGGAAATGCGTTGATTTTTACCTCGATTTAGTACATTTGGGCGCACGCATGGCACAACGTTGTTCGTTGAAGTAGACTTAAAAACAGTCTTTGTGTATGTTGTTGCCGAGCCTGCATGTGATACAAGCGGCCAACGTACTTGCACGCAGTATACAACGGCGCCTCGCGCGTGCTTCACCGCGTGCGGGCGTGTTGTGTGCTAAGCAAACGTAGCATTCAGCCTGGAAATCAAGTCTATCATTTCAGCTATCGGTGGTTTCCGATCGCAGTGATATATGTGAATACAAAAAATGCGAGTACCAACCATGTTTTCGTTGAGCGCATCGCGTAGTGCAAGGATCATGTACACCGACAGCAGTGTTGTGGAATCATGCATGTTTCGTGTCGAATATTACGTTGGAAATTCGGGTAGGCAGAATAAATATTAGGAATATGGAAAAAGTCAAAGTGATTGAATGAACCGACAGCTTTAAAGGCCATAGAAGCAAAATTAAAAAATAAACAGAGCTTGGCTTGGCTACAAGATAAAGATGACAACGGGGACTTTGTGTCGGACACGGAGTGGCTTTTTCACACACAAAAAAGTCCAGTTGTTTCAAGCAGCCGTTCCGTTTTTTTTTTCAAGCGACCCAGTTCCGTTTTTTTCAAGCAGACCCTGTGGTATCTCTGGTCTTAGGACAGCATCTTAACTAGGATCGTTCTTATCTTAGCCAGGATTGACCTTAGACCGGGGACCCGTCTTAATAAGTCCCAAGATCAGAAGAGGTTTCTCTGTTTAATTGCCTGCTTCCTTCAATTTTCTTATTTTCCAATTGCCACCACCTGAATGGAACTTGCCGCCAACTAAGTGGACCTTTGCCCTTGGCCCTGTGGTTGGTGATCCTAATTTTAAAAAAATGCTACATGTTTTTCTTACATTTGCAGCATTGCCAATGTTACTCACAACGTGACTTGGGTGTGATCCCTGGCTACATAGCATAAACAGGTTCATGGTTTCTGACCAACGCCCCTTGATTATTGACATTGACAAAACAGGGAACTGCCAACAGAGGGCTGGATAGCTCAGTTGGTAGAGCACCGCAACAGCAATCCGGAGGTCGCAGGTTCAAACCCTGCTCCAGTCAATGTCTATGTTCAACTTGAAAATATTTGAAAGAATTGGAATTGGCAATTCCATTATTCATGGATTCTCCATTGTTCCTTTCTCATAGTCGCGTGAGATTCATCGAGAGAAGAAAGAAGCGGTCAAGGAAGCCAACATGTATTTCTTCATAGAGGCCTGCATAGCTCTCCTGATAGCTTTCATCATCAACCTGTTTGTGGTGTCTGTCTTTGCTCAGGGGCTGTACAATCACACAAACGCTGAAATCGTAAGTACATGTCAATATGACCAATCTGCATTTGTATTCACTCACGGGAGCTCCAGTGAGGGAGACATTGACACTGTGTGTGCGGGTATGGATTCGTGTGCGTATGGTGCAAAGAAGGCACACAACTGCTTTTATTTGAATACAAAAACCTGTATCATCTTCGTGTGATTGTTTGACACTTTCAGCAATGCTGTCTAGAGTCCCTCCCAGTTTTTTGTCACAGCTTCCTCTTTGTTACTGTTGAGAGGGTTCTTGTGCAAGGAGTCCATAGCAGAGTTGTAATGACTCGAGTCCATGACTCGACTCGAGTCCGATTCGAGTCACATTTTTTGGTGACTCGACTCGACTCGAGTCCTAAGGGCAATTGACTCGACTCGAGAAACTGCGAGCAAATGACTCGACTCGACTCGAGTCCCTCATCAGAATGACTCGACTCGACTTGAGGAAGGTTAATATGACTCAAGTCTGCAAAACTGCGCGAAAAATATTTGCAATGACTTACGCCGGTGCCAGTTTTTGTTCACGTCACGTTAGAATGTTCGCGAATAATGTATACATATACATTTGGGTTTGATCAGTGTCCCCATTAGTTGAATGGCGATCAGCCTGCATCCCCGTTTTATTTTCATAAAGAGGCAAATGTGGTGTCACCACATGTAGTAGCCTGAATGTAAAATTTAAAAAGCCAAAAAATGACTTTCTCTTTGTATTTATTGTATAGTGTTCAAATATTTGTGACTCGAATTGACTCGTGCTAAATATGTGACTCGACTCGACTCGACTACACTACACTCTGTGACTCGACTCGACTCGACCTTCTTCACCTAATGACTCGATTCGACTCGAGTCACTTCTTTAAAATGACTCGACTCGACTCGAGTCACAAAAATCAGTGACTCGTTACAACTCTGGTCCATAGTGCATACATATTGTGTGCACATAAACAGTTCACATGGATGCAATCCATGTTTTATTGGAAATGCATAGAATCAAAGAAACTTAGTGTAACAGTATTTGTCATTTCTTTACTAGATGACAGAATTTTTTCACAGAGCCCTTAAGCCTGTTAATTGGAATTTGTGTATTTCAACGCCTTGATGCACTCTCAGAAATGGGAAGGGAAAATGAAATTGTGTCCCTGCCTGCATATTTTGGAATAACTGCCATAAATATGTGTAATTTCAATTTAATAGAGGTGTTCGCTTAAAATTAGACCGAAGATCTGAGATTGTAACACGCATACATGTATGTATGTGAGCACATGTATTGACCTTGTGCCTCAGATATCTTATTGATTGCTATGCATCTTGGCTGTGATGCCTCTCTTTTAGTTTGATTGGCCTAAATTGCCTGCACACTCACGCATTGCACTTCAGGTAATGCAGCACCCCGTTGGTAGTTGAGTTGATACATTGTATTTAAATTAGGTTGACCCCTACGTCATAGGTCAATCTGACAATTAACTGGTATCAGAGTTTAAATGGCTGTCCATAAATAATCCGCCATTTTGAGTCTGTGTACATACTGGATAACATTTTGTTTTGGTATAAATGATGTCACATAGGAATAATAAGGGACTAAAATTATGATGGCCCTGCATTTATATTGTCCTTATTGATTGGGCATGGGCATGGCTGTGGTAATGTTTCGGCTGGGCCAGTTTTTGCCTGTTTTGGTGTTGGAAAAGTTGAAGTAACCTTTTTCTTTTGCTTGCAGCATGACATGTGTGTTGAGCAGGGTAGCATATACACCGAGTATTTCCCCAACAACACGGACCTGATCAAACAGATGGATATATTCAAAGGGGTAAGAATATCAACCTGTCTTCAACATGTCTGAATTTTGACTGGGTTTCAGCTAGGACCAAGAATGAAAATGTGGGTCTTGACATTAAAATCGGATTCTAATGCATCATCAAAAACTTATAAATGATAAAACAAAACAACTTGACGAGGCTGGAACACCTTGAAAGCACTTCACAGTTTTCTTTTTCATCACAAGCATCATTATCATGCAGAGCAGTTGGCCATGATCTAATGAACCCACCCACTTAACGTATGATGGGTAACAACATGTGTGCTTCCCCCATGCCTCTCTGCATGTGCCAACTGCACACGTCATACGAAAGTGTGCGCATATCAGAATTTTGTCAGATATTTGGTTGCTCAATCGCGGCTATCATTGGTCAAAACATCACGGTGTGGCGTATTGGATCAGTCTGTTGCATTTGTCATTGTCTTTGTTTTTCTCCAGAGATTAGGTGAAGGTGTCCTCATTATTTCTCTTGTTAATTGAATTCTTGTCAAAGGAATTTGCTAGAACGGTGTCGTCATATCTTAGTTTATATTTTCCAAATAGTATTCACCATATGTCTGAAAAATGTTGCCTTTTCTTTGTTCTCCCCAAAAATGCATAGCTTGTGTGTGCAGTATAATTTACATATTTGTGATGCAATCAAGCTAAATGAGTCGTTTGTCAGGAACTTTCATTTGGAGATACGGGCCAAAATAGGGCCACTTCATCACATCACTTCATCACATCTCTTGGTGTTTCCACTTCCATAATTTTTGAACTAAAGATGGTATCAGCATGCGGTTTTCACAGCAGTAATGCTGAGATTGTGCTCTTTTCAAATCTGTAAAAAAAACAAAATTGACCAGTGTCGACAAACAATTCATTTAGCTTGATCGCGTCACATTTGTTTGTTAGGCCTACCTCTACAACTGTACATAAAAACTTATATTTCTGAGTTGTTTGATTTATTGATTATTTGCCAACCAAGCAGTTACATGGAAATCTTGTTCATGAACAGGGCGTATACCTTGGCTGTGAGTTTGGTGCCGTAGCGTTGTATATTTGGGCCATAGGGATCCTGGCGTCAGGCCAAAGCTCAACAATGACGGGGACGTATGCTGGACAGTTTGTCATGGAGGTAAAAATGTGAATTTGCAATACAGCTATATTAACCCATTAGTGCCTGTACTACATTGTGTTACATTGTGTTTATTCAAAACCCATAGAGTGTTCGGGCAATTTGGGTTGATACAGTGACTAAAGGGTTCATTAAGTCTAGAATACTTTTGGATGTGTCCTTCCGCTGTAAATGTGACATGGAAGTACAATAGACAGACTGCATATAGGCCTTTTTCAGGAGTCGGCCATATTGGATTGACAGTGAGGTAACATCTTCATTTTTGGAACTTGGGTAGAGAAATGAAAGCAATGACGTTACAAATTAATACCAGTCTGCTCTGATGAATAATTAACAATTGTGATTAAACAGGGCTATAGTGAATACTTAATCTGGCACCATCCCATTCAACAGTTCACAATTTGTGAAATACATTTAGGGAACATGACAAAAATGGCTCATAGGTCTGGTTTCATCGTAAGTACGAGAGAATCACGAGCACAATGAAACACTCTTTTGCTAATTGTGCATGTTGATATTTGGTGTATTGGCTTCATTTATGCAACATTTTTAAATACAAATGCAGTTGTACAAATAGCTGTACAAAATGTTGAGCGTCCATCCCATTTGAGATGTGCCCAGCAGGCCACATTGCATGTGACAAGTTTGTAGCTGTCTAGTAATGTCATACCCTCCTTGTGTAAGCAGTCACAGAAAGTCAAAAAATCAATTCTTTTTCCCTGCCATGCCTTGATACAAAGGCTAGTCAACAACAGTCAGATTACATCTCTGGTAAGCACATTGACCAGTTAAATTCCATCAACAGACAAAAGCAGGTAACTGTAGGTACACACCTACAGTCAAAGCATAGCTGTATCAAGTGACATAAACAGTCACAGCCAGTCAAGCCTGTAGACAGGGAGCTCTTAACCGTTAAAAACAGTCACTTGATTGATTTTGGCTGCTGGGATGGCTTTGTGGAATTGCCAGCCAGAGAGGGAGGCTTAGTACAGCTGTGTGGGTAAGGATTGAATCAGAGATCTAGCCGTGTCCATCACAAGTCCCTGCAAGTCCTCCTGTCCATATTTTCATATCACACACTATTCAAATGAGCTTTGATAAAGACATGCCTTTGTTTTTGTTCATCCATTGTTTCTTGTGACTGGACTTGTGATTGGACTCGTGAATTACTTGTGACTGGTCTTGTAACTGGACCAGTGACTGGATTTTGTGACTGGACTTGTGACTGGACTTGTGACTGGACTTGTGACTGGACTTGCGACTGGACTCGCGACTGGACTCGCGACTGGACTCGCGGCTGGACTCGCGGCTGGACTCGCGGCTGGACTCGCGGCTGGACTCGCGGCTGGACTCGCGGCTGGACTCGCGGCTGGACTCGCGACTGGACTCGCGACTGGACTCGCGACTGGACTCGCGACTGGACTCGCGACTGGACTCGCGGCTGGACTCGCGGCTGGACTCGCGGCTGGACTCGCGGCTGGACTCGCGGCTGGACTCGCGACTGGACTCGCGACTGGACTCGCGACTGGACTCGCGACTGGACTCGCGACTGGATTTTGTGACTGGACTTGTGACTGGACTTGTGACTGGACTTGTGACTGGACCTGTGACTGGATTTTGTGACTGGACTTGTGACTGGACTTGTGACTGGACTTGCGACTGGACTTGCGACTGGACTCGCGACTGGACTCGCGACTGGACTCGCGACTGGACTCGCGACTGGACTCGTGGCTGGACTCGTGAATTACTTGTGACTGGACTTGTGACTGGACTCGTGAATTACTTGTGACTGGACTTGTGATGGACTTGACTACACCCCTGGATTGAATGTAGATATTTTTTTTTTGCCGTCAGGGATTTCTGAACCTTAAGTGGCCGCGCTGGAAGCGTATCATGCTGACTCGATCCATCGCCATCCTGCCCACCATATTTATAGCCGCCTTCAAGGGAGTCCATGACCTGACTGGAATGAACGACCTGCTGAATGTTGTCATGAGTCTGCAGGTAAGATGACTTGCAAATCTGTGGTAAACTCTTAATTCATAAATACCTAAGACAGTTTACCCATTCTCTTCCTATTGATTGAGAGCCTGTCACGTGGGTAGTCTTAAATCTAAAACACGTGTTAGCAATTTTTAAGACCGGTCCTGAGACCTGTGCTCTGCGCCACATGCGCGCAGTACGCGCCTTGCAGTGGCTACAACTCATGCTTCAGGACTACTGATATAATCTCATTGTAAGGAGATATTGAGCAAATTGCACGCGCGATGCACACCATAAAAGTGTGGACTTTTTGACATTTTATGGCTTTTTGCTTCAGGCCAGTATCTGTGGCCAGGCCCATAACCGGTTTTAAACCACACGTTATTATACTGCTCCATCACACTTATCCCTTTAATATTACCCCAACGTGAGTGTACATTTGTACATGTTCCCCCCCCCCCCACAAAAAAAAAAATGGACTGAGAGTAACTGTTTTTAAAATGATGCAGTAGACTACTGATCCACTTTCCCGCCATGGGTGTCGAAGTATGAAAAGAAAATATGAGGAAAAAGAGTAATCCCTCGTGCCAAATGTGGTCCAACCTATCCCCCCTCCCCTTTCAAATTTGTAACAGCCTGTTTCTGTGGCTGTCTGCTTTCTTCCTGTTTTGCGACTGGGAGTGAAATGAATACTATTGGTTGAGTGCTGCTCATTGACTAAGGGTCAGATTTGTGAAGATTTGGCCTGATTTGTGGATTTTTGGTCAGGAATTTTCCTGATTTCAAGGTATTTTGTCAGGAAATTACTTGATGTCAGGATTTTTTGTCAGGAATTTTCCAGATTTCAGAATTTTTAAAGATCCCCCTACAAAACCTGGACTTCCTGATGTTTTACAGCATAGGATATTTTACCTATTAAAGTTTACATAAAAGAAACGAATTGGATGTTTTTAATATCACAATAACCTGCAGTACTTTAGGGCCCACAGCGACCCCAAACCCTCCGCTGATTATTTAGTAGATTTGTTTTGTTTTCCCCAATCTCACCCCTGCTGCTATATTATCCGCTCAGCTGCCTTTTGCCTTGATTCCAATCCTGACATTCACCAGTGCTGATGCGTTAATGAGTGACTTCAAGAATGGAATGTGAGTATATTACAAGCAATCACGTCACTGTAGTTGGTTAGCCTAACAAATGCGTGGAGAGAAGACAATGCAGAAATGTTCACTTTGATGTGAGATATGGCGCATAGCACCCGAGGCGAAGCCAAGGGGACTATGCACCCAAGGTTAAAAAGGCTTTTTCCACATCACAGCTATTGACAATTGTGTTGTTACAGTGTTCCAATAAGTCTAAAAGATAAATGTGTTTAAGACACTGTTCAAGGAATGAATGAAATCGCCGCAGTGTAACTTTTGATTACTGTGAGCTTTCCTGCCAGACATGAGATTGACAGGTTGCAGTTCTCTGTTGCGAGGCACACGGGCCCTACAAAGGTACCCTTTACGTGCCCGTAATATGCAACGCGGTGTGTTTCAAATGAATTTAATGGAACGTGGTATATATGCAGGGGCGGATCCAGGAATTTTTTTTTTTTTGGGGGGGGGGGTTTCATCAGCAAATCAATGCTGAAATGTAGACAGGTGTTTTTGTCCGAATACTTGGCTCCATAAAATCAATAGGGAGGGGGGGGGGGGTTCTAAATTGCCATGTCCCGGCAATTATTAGTTAGTACCTGTACTTCCTATATTACATTGTATTTATCCCTAATGAATCTATAAAAACAATGCAGCGCTTTGGGTGGTTGGAGGAGTACGAGTATTGGGAGTAACAGGGAGGGCGTTTTGGGGGCCGTTCAGGGACTAACCCTAACCCTGCTAAATGCAACAGAAAGCAGTACTGGTAAAAAGTTGTTGGATACTGTTGCGTTTAGTAGGCAACTCAGATCCCCCTGCTTTGTTGTATCATAGTGCCGAGGCAATATAACAGAATCCACTGTTGCATTTGATTGCATTTAGCAGGGTAACTGCTTGGTGCCAAGGCTGGTATGCACTGCACAATGCAACAGAATCCACTGTTGCAATTTGTTGCATTTAGCAGGGTTCTTATTTCAGCCAAGTTGCATTTTGTTGCATTTGGCAGGGTGCCTAGAGAAAGGGTTAGCTAATCGGTAACAAAGTGGGAACTAAAGCCACATAAATATTCTGGGAGATGTTCCTCAGAATTTGTTAAAAACTGCAAATCCAATCCACATCTTGGCCAGGGAGTAATGCAAACTACAGTCAAAGAGGTGTTGGTTACACTTTTGTACTTTATCTTTGTATTTTGTACTTTATTTTTGTTGTTTTTCTCTTTTCCTTTTCAGAATTGCCAAGATATTTTGTTTTCTGTTAGCCATTGCCGTAATCGGAATCAACATGTTCTTTGTGGTGACGTACATTCCAAGTTTACCTCAGCACTGGGCCATGTACGTCTTTGTGGCCATTCTTCTCTGCGCATACATCATCTTCATATTGTACTTGGTAAGTGAGTCAGTGAAAAGTCGAGAGTGATTTTGAATGGACTCCGTGCGTGAACTTTAGGTGGGGCTGTCGGACCGCTTATGCAAGCTCCTTGGAAGGGACACACTGCGGCACGCATACAAAACCATTACATTGGGCGCAGGGTGTGAAGTACGTATCAATAATTTCTGCTCTGTTTGCACTGGGTCATTTTTAACCCTAACCGCCCTGAATCCTTCAAAATCCTCTCTGCCAAAGTGGAGGAATTTGGAGGGTTGAGGTTACATGTAAAAAGTGCGTTACTGATTTCGTAGGATGCACTTTGTCAAGGTCTTGGGCCAGACCTTGTGTTGTTTTTGCTCAGCCATGCATAAATGTAGGCCTGGATTATGCTTGAAATCCTCCGTTCTGCTCTATGATGTCACTGGCCAAGCCTCAACATATTGACAGTCACTGCTGCAGGATTTTGCAGGATTCAGGCAGTGGTCGCCCTTCCACGGACCATATTCAAGAAAAAATGGAGGAACTTGGAGGATTGAGGCTATATGCTATTTTTCCATGAGGCCAAATGGAGGATTTAGGCTACATCGTAGCAAAATGCCTAGGGAGTAAGGGTTAAATTTTAGAAATCTTAGCTGTTTTAATTCTAAATACGTTATCCTTGGGTATGGTCTGATGAATTGGCAAGGCTAAGTCTGTGTTTGTGTTTTTAAAAAGGTGTTTAGGGAACTAAACAAAGGACAATAACTTTCGGAATTCATGGAAAATAGCTGGTACTTGCACATAGTGTGATAACGTCACAAAATAAATGACTGTTTCAGATATACAAGCTGACAAACCATTTAACTTCCATGATTACCCTACGACAAAAGTTGTTATATCATTTGATTAGGATTAAATGGCATAATATTTCACAATAGATGTTCAACATGTAATACAACTTGAAGGTTAAAGCCATCAAGTACATGATACAAATTCTTTTTTTTATTTTTCAGCAGCCAATCAGAATAAGGGAAAGCGTTTATGATATTAGCAACATTAGCAATGCTGCAGACCTACAAAATGGCAGTGAAAAATTATTCATAAATACCTGAGACATTAACCATCCTATTGGTCGAGAGTCCGTCACATGGGTGGTTTTAAACGGTTGATAAAACACCGACTGGATTTAAACACTTTTTCCCGGTGTCACATGAAATTTGGACTCCTATGAAATCTGGTCCCTTTACCCTTTTATTGGTTGAACCCTCACATGTGACCAGTCACTCTCTTATTTATCTTCCTTTAGGCATGTGCAATACTACCAATGAGTCCGTATTTCATAGTCCTCAATTCACACTATACACCGGCATCACTGTGTTCAGCACCCGATTTCACGAAGCGCTGTGACGCGTCGCAACCCGAGTTACGACGTGTAACACGTCGCAACTAACAACGTGTCGTGTGATCCATTTCACGAAACTTGCGATGTGTTGAATGTGTCGTAAGTTCCTTGACAACGGCTTAAAACATGTCGCAAGTTACGACGTGTCTAGTGGTTATCGCAAAAAAAGAAGCGTTTTTCTTGGCCATTTTTATGCCATAAAAGTGCATAAACGAGACTGTAATACCGAGACAATGTGTGTAAAGTTGAATATTGCAGTTGAAATTTCAAAGTAGCTATACAGTCCACTGAGGGCTTGTTTTCCTTTAAAATTGCATCACACATCTGCCATTTTGTTTTACGTTTTAAAACTTTTCGAGAGTAGATTCGACGACTCTTTGTTGAATATCAGACGCTGAATAAATACATAAAACAGTCATCGCGTCGAACTTACGTGTTTTGTGAAATGGATCGCAGGACGCGTCGCAGCTGCGACACATCGTAGGGATATGACGCGTCGCATCGCTGCGATGCATCGCAAGTTACGATGAGTTTCATGAAATCGGGTGCTGCTCCACATCGCGCAGTACGCGCTACGCACGCAGCAATCTCCATGTAAGGAGATTTTTAGTACTACTCGCGCAAGGCACATACCATAAACATAGCTGGAGGGGTGTTTCACAAAACATGTAGTAAATCATGTAGAACATAATCGTTGGAAATTTAACATTTTTGACTTGTTTTGACTGATTTTTATGAATTGGAATAGATATGTGCTTGGCCGGTATTAAACAAGTACTTTTAAAACTGGCTAGTGGCCCTTGTGGATAGTGACCCTCACCTTCGGCTCGTGTTATTATTCGCGTCCAGGCCCCTTAGCCGGTTTGAAATGTTCTTGTTTAAAACTGGCCAAGCACAGATTTATTCGAATGAAATATGTTTGCTGGAAATGTAAAGATGCAGAGTTTGATGCTTCAGTTGAAGCACTTTTATTTTGTGTTCTTTTCTTTACAGTTCTGGTATTGTCTCATCACACTGGGGTTTACGTTTCTTCGGAATATACCCATGCCGGTAAGTAAAGTTCATGTATTTACCAGACCTGCCTACTGTTAGGGTATAAATTCCAGCTGCATTAGGGTATAAATTCCATAGCAGTCTGGGACCAAGACTAGGGCTGTGGAACCGGGTACCCGACTACCCGACATGATGACAGGAACCAGTTCCAGATTATGGAATCGCGTACTCGTAATGAACTTTACATATTATTTAGTCACTTCTCAATGAAAAAGAAAGGTTTTGAATTTCATTTGTTGGGAAGTGAAAACCAGGCCACATGGGAGAACAAAATATCTTTCACTTTTATGACGCCTGCAAAAGTTGCAGTTTACACCGTAAAGCTACATTTGTATCTTGCTGTATTGACACACCGATGTACATGTACATGTAGAAGTAGTATCTTGTGGACCTTTATGAACAATCTGAACAGCGACTTCCGAGATTTGAATTTTGGGGTTGGGTTTCTTTCACGGGTAATCGGGTACCCGGTTCCCGTAATACTTCTAATGTACACCCCTAAGTAAGATAAATAAATATGCTGAACATTAAGACAAAAATGACAGGGATTAACTTTACATATAAGACTAATAAGCAGTGCACTTTTGTATCATTACAGTGCTGTAGTCTTAATGCACAGTCGTACAATCTGGAGGGCTTAGCGGAAGATACAGACAGAGACACAGCAGAAGATAAAGACGGAGACACAGAGGACAAACCCAACACAGCGGAACGCGACACCTCCATGGACGACGGCCATCAGTAATAATCCCTGGGACTGGACAACAGAGGGCGGTATTGATCAGTACGGAGGGAGCTTGATCAACAATAACCACATTGTTCAACTTACAGAAAAATACATAATATTCAGCAATGGCATGATCTAGATCAATGTTCAGGACCAGCCTTGACACTTTCCTGTGGATGTCATGCACAAGCTTTTTACCCCCTCAATGGTTGGATAGTCACTTGCCCAGCGTGCAAGCACAGCTGCTTCACACTGTATGCAAATCGATGCGAATCAATGCGTGCATGTTCACAAAACAACATCTTCTCTTCATGTGACATATACAAGGTCCTCTCATAAATACATGTACATGGTATCTGAATAAATGTTCAGTTATGAAACAGCAGCTCACAGAAATGCAGCTCTATGTATATAAAATATGTTGGTAGAAGCAGACTACTGTTTCATGTTCGCTATCACTGAGGTTCTTTTTGCCCATTGTAAACAATAAACACATGAACGTCAGCTTGGTGAACCAGTGTGATGTGCTGGTCTACTAGGGGCCACTATTAAAGGCACATAGGAACATTTGCATGCATCCCAAAAGTAACCTACCAAATTCCTATCTGAAAGCTTACTTGGATTAAAGATCATACTGGTGCTAAACACCCTGTGAAATTCCATCTGGCTTGCTGTCATTTTGAAGAAATCAAGAAATGTATTCCAACGATCAGTCAATTGACTGATTTTTGGAAATGTAAGAGTGTGACAGAGCATGCAAGTCACGCCAGTGAATGTCTTGGTACAAAACACTGAATTTACCCAATTGTTTGATTTGAATGGAAGTTGAGATCAACCGTTTCAATTTGATAATACATGTTGTCATCAATTGGCAGCATTTTCAATACGTTGTAAAAAAAAAATGGTAATGCTTTCTTTTTTTTCGAAGTCCCCATTTATTGCCCTTGATTGGTTGGGCCCAGTCAGGACATAAAATAAATGCAAAAAATAGGGCCTCACACTCGTCATAGATACTTGGGGCTCCAATGTGCTGCATTCTCAAAAAATCTGGCAGGTTTTGGGGGTCAACTTGCACGATGGACCAAAACAAGTTTTGTGATCAAAAGGTTGTGCTGGGTTTTTCACTGGTTTTTGATAAGTGTAATATCCACTGAGCTGAACCTTCACCAGGTTAGGTTTTTAATATTTTCTTTGGATTTTGCGTGGTGTTACTATTGGAAACGAACAAAATGCATGAAAAGCAAATGATCCTAATTATACCTTAGTGTTATTTTCTTAACAAAAACTGGTTTCCAGCCAACTTGTTATGCCTTGTGTATTGCGTGTGACTGATTACCAGGTGTTATTTTCCTAATGTATTTTTGCTAAGCGAAATTCTCTCTTTAGCGGCAACTGGTCTCTGTAATATATAATGTACCATCAAGTCTTCCATTTTGTGCCTCTATGCTAAAATGCTGCTTTTACTCAGCATGTGTGGTCTTCAGTCAAGATTTGGATATTAACCCTAACCCCTTGAGCATTTTTACTGGAAAGTATCCGAAATCCACCAAAATCCACCAATTTTGTCATTTAATTTTTTTTTGGTGTCCTGAGTCCATCAGAATCCACCAGTGAGTCCATCAGAATCCACCAGTGAGTCCATCAGAATCCACCAGTGTAGTACATATACCTCGTACACACCAAACATATACAAGGAGTTCAACTGTTGAGATCCTGAATCCATCAAAGTCCCCCAACTACTCAATATGGCGGTATCCTGAATCCATCAAAATCCTGCAGTAGCGCTAGGCTTACAATCCTCAATCCATCAACATTCCTCAATTTTCAATATGGAGGTATCCTGAATCTGCCGAAATCCTCCAAAACAGGGTGGGGATTTTGACGGATTCAGGTATGTAATAGCCCCCAACAGTCCTGAATCCTCCAAATTCAATACGATTTTGCACACCCCCTAGGGAGTTAGGGTTAAGGTTAAGAAGTAGGTGCTCACATGGTGCTAGCATTAATGTGTTTCTTGTTTTAAATCTTGCAATTTGAAGAAACTTACCCAGCATGATCTTTGGAGCGACACAGTCTCGCAAGTTCTAGCACAGTAACAAAAGGGCACCTGTCCCAGTGGGGTGTGCAACTGCTTGCGAATTGAACGAATATAGACCATTTGCTATCTTTTTCCCCAAATGTATTCATATTTGTGTTTCAAGAAAGTTTTTTTTGAAAGTCAATCCGAGGGACATTCCGAAACTATCGGTTGTTTTAGGGTGCGGCAGAGTCCAGTAGAGGATTGCATAGATCATAGAGCAAGGAACAAGCTTGTTGTTGTTAAAACAACAACATCAAATGTTGAATAACAAACATGATTCAAAATCTTTTGGCAGCTGTGAATTTTTAATCATCTTAGAAATTGTAAAAAGCAGAACTTTCTGGATTGGAAACGGTCTTTAAAAACAGTGCTTCTCAGTAGCATGAAAACTCTACGTATCTTGACAAAGTCTTGACGTACGCGGTGTATTAACAGTACTAATGCATGATAATTATGAAACTGGACAAAGAAATTGCCTGGAGCGGGGTTTGAACCTGCGGCCACCAGAATATCACACCAGTGCTCTACCAACTGAGCTATCTAGCCCTATGTTGGCGGTATGTTGCTTGTCTTCCAGTAAGTGATGTGATAGTACATTTTGTATTATAATTGCACTGTAATGAGGCCTTAAAACATTTGTGATGAATTTATGTATGTACTGATAAGCAAAGCATTTATTTTTATCATATTCTATTTGTGGATGATGGTTAATTTTCAACAACAAATAGGAGCTGGCCTAATTGCTCTCTAGCCAGAGAAAGTTGAGAGCAATTTCCCACATTGCCAGTAAGATAGCCAGTCGCGTTTATTTATTAGATCAACTCACCTAAACGTTTGGTTTAGATTCTTCTTGTCAATTACTTTGTAATGGTGATTATGATTAATAAGCCAGTTCGGTTTTTCAACTGCGCACATTCGCAGTGATATATGGTACAATCGAACGCTCATCGATGGGGCATGAATGTGCAAGAAGACGGTAACACGACGCTCACGCGTTTATTACAAGCAGAAAGGGCATTTGCGTAACATTGCAGTTACAAGACTCTCAACGCTAATATCCCGAAAGACCTTTGACCTGGACTACTTCATCGAGACACCGAACTGGCTTAATAAGGGGGATGACAATTGACACTTTTTTAGCTATGAAATGACATGGTGCTGTTGGAAAAATTAAAAAATCAATTCTTTAAAACAATAAGAATTTCACAATGTCAGTTTACACCATGGGCGTTGCGAGGGGGGGGGGGCAGGACTTGCCCCCCCCCCCCTGGAAAAGAAAAAAAAAAAGAAAAAAAAAAAGGAAGGAAAAAAAGAAAAAGAGGCGCGAAGACAAAGTGGTGTGAATTTAATGAGTTGGGGGGGGGGGCAAAATGTCCCTGCCCCCCTCTAAAACTGATAAATCGAGAATGTGTTGAGAAATACAAGCATTTTTTGGCAAAATTTTTTTTTTGCCCCCCTCTAGAAAAAATCCTGGCGACGCCCATGGTTTGCACATGTAGTTGGTGAAAGGTTTTGAAAAATAATGTGCTCGTTTAGATTGCCGTGAGAAAAGTCAAATTATTTTTTATAAAAAAAGAGAACTTTTTAGATCCTGTATAAAGGCATTTAAAAGTTACAAATGTGCTATGAATAAGTAGTGTGAAAGTGTGTTCATTGTTAGTTTATTTTCTCTATATGTTCATGGAAAACATACACATTTATTATAATTGCAATGTTTGATTATTTACATATTTTTTTGGGGTGCCCAATACTATTTAAATTTTCTTGTTCCCATCTCTCTTGCGAAAAATACATCTGAAGAGGATGTGCTTCTACACATGAATTATCCAACGAAAAGTCCTGCACAAAATGTAGCACGAGAAGTTTGTAAGTTTGCATATTTTATTTCATTATAATTTCTTCATGCACAAAACTTGTTCACATTTTTAATTTAAGGGAGAAGGTAAAATGAACGTAAACTGGACATTTTTCCTGACATTTGCTGTACTACATAAATGAAACTTAGGTTTTCAGATACGAATGACGTTATATAGAGTTTTATATGTGGTTAACTTATAATAAAGTTCAGCCTCTATAAAGAAAGGAGATATGTACACCAAGTGCCTTTTTAAAAGTATTCCGCCGACCTTTTTATGCTGTAATTCTGGTTTTTGATTGAAGAAACAATGCATTTCTGCTTCGAATGCAGTTCTCCTGTGATTTAACAACATACATGGTAGGCCACTTTTTGGGTTTTTTTTTGTCTTTGTTTTTTTTTTTAAATCTTTTGTTATTGAATACACTACTTGTAAGGGAAATACCCTTAGATTTTATTCCCCTTTTAAAAACAATTCCCCTCCAAAGCCGTGACTCACAAACTACCTTTGATTGTAACATCAGGAAAGGAGAACTTGGTGTTATATTTTCAAGAATACAAAAGAAATTTGCAATTGAGTTTACATGCCAAACCCACCATCACCAAATTGTGCCGACCTGCATTTAATACAGCCTATGACTTTACCTAGAATAATGTTATTGGGGTTATTGTAAAGAATTCAATTTTCAGTGAGCTACTAAGCACGAAAATTTGTTAAGTGCAGAAACTATTTGCTTAGTTCAAACAGGTTACCAGGCAAAGTATCGTGTTATTTTGTATGTTCTTTGTGGCTGGTTGTCAGTGGATGTTTGCTGATAGCAAATATTGTCTGCTTAGTATAGCTCTATGAAAATCTCCCCTCATGTTCATAGCTGCTGTGTCTTGAAAGATGTGTTTCTGCCACAAATCATGAAGCACATATTTCTCACAATTTCATTGCATATAAGTTGTATTAGCTCCAAAGGTCTGTTGTAAAAGTGTTGAAAGTCAGTGTTGTAGTCGAGTACTTTTATCCGAGTACAAAGTACTGCCGAGTGCCAAGCAATTGAGTACCACTCACATCCCAGTACTTTGACCCTTGAGAATGAGAACAGGTACCGGAGTCCAAGTACTTGGAGCTTTGAGTACAGGTTTTGTGAAGTCCAGTCTGAGTACTTAGACCTCTGAGTACTTGGACCTCCAAGTACAAGTACAAGTATGATTACTTGGACCTCTGAGTACGAGTACTTACCAAGTGAAAACAATTAAAATCTCTATGATGGAAACTGAAACCACCAATTCAGATTACTTTTGAGCAAGACTTCCTGAAGCAAATTTTCCAACTAAGATTTTGTTCCATTTAAAACTAAATTACTCAATCTTTTCCCCCTGCCCCCGAGTCCTTATAAATTAATCAAGCATGAGTACTTTAATGATGGAGTACAATATCGAAAAGGCAAGTCCAAGTACTTTGCTTCAGGCCGAGTACCATGAATTTGAGTACAAGTATTTTGATATTTGAGTATGAGTGCGAGTACTGTACCGAGTACGAGTATGACTACTACAAACACTGAGCGATTGTCTCCGTCTTAGGAAACTGTGAATTTGTGCACTTGGAGATCTATGAATTGGAACACTGAGGTAAACACCCATTTCAGTTTAACTTTCCAGAGTCGCGCCAAACGAAAAAAGTTTGAGCACCTTGAGTTGACCCGAGTGGAATACTAATGACGTCCCACTTTTTTTGTTTACGTGTGTGCTTTCCTATATAATTATGGTGCTCAATGGACCGTGGCTCCCACTGGCTCCATAGGAAAGTGCACATGTAAACAAAGTGTGATGTCATTAGTACAGAGGCTTATTGGGTTTCAGACTGGCAAACTTTTTATGAACAGTAATTTCCATTATTGCTGGATGCTTGAGTCATTATAATTGTGAGGTCACTCTGGAATTATTTCAAAAGTTGAACTTATTCTTTGTGACTAATTTAGGTCCGCAGTGCCAGTCTTTAACAGGTGTCAGGCATTATGGGAAGTATTTTCTAAGTTGTACACAGGTGATGTTTCTGCGAATGGAAGTTATCGCTTTGCACTTCCATATGGTTGTCAGTGGCCTTAATTTCGATGCAGTAATTGTATTAGATTTTGAGCAGATACAAAAAGAACTAAAGAAACCTGTCTTGCTGTTTGTTGACATTTGTTCTGTGAGTTTGTATCCGATGGTCACCCTAGGTCCATTGTTTTGTGTATAGCTGTTCCTGGTTTTGCTCTAAAGATCTGATACACCGTGCCCTCTGGCGACATGCACATAATAGGGAACAAAAGATTGTATACGTCTCCACAGGGCAATTTGTAAAGATGAATACGTCTCCACAAAGTTTTCACGAAATAGACATATGGAGTTTACTCAAATACTAGGAATTTCCAAGGTGGGTTGATCGTCGCAAATGGAAGAGTTTTAGAAAAGGGATATTAAGTCTGAATTTCAGCCAAGGAAATTAATTCTGGTTAAAATAAGAGCATTTTGAAACTACACTTTCAAACTCGAAAACTTTACTACACGAGAACAAAGAAATGTCTCCACAAGGCTACAAATTTCAGTATGCGTGGTTTGGTTTAGTTTGCCATATGAGAACAAATTGCTTTGTACATGAGGCATTTCCGCGGACTAAAATCCATTCTGGAACTACTCCATAGTAATACTGGTAGCCATCCCCATCAGGCAGCTGAGAACTGAGATAACTCTGTCTCAAAGATGCATGCCCTGTACTGCTCAGATTTTTTCTCCTTACAAATTATTGTCGGGCCTCATATAATTCAAATTTTGTGAAGATATACTTTATTATAATTATAATGAAACCTTGGTGGATTTTTTTCATTCAATGTCTTATTCAAAAGTGAAAAACTAATTGCTGGGAAAATAGCAATTGAAAACAAATACACGGGGAGTTCATCTTTAAGTTTGTGAAGGTTGAATCTACTATTGGCACAGAAATCAGGCTCAATACAAAATGAAAGAATTATAAACTCATGGAAACTGAGTATTTAAACCAAGGAACTAAAAGATTAAGTGTGCTACTGGTTCATTACTCAGAGACACTCGTTTGTGACTCAAAATATAAACCATCCATGGCTGACCAGAAAGCTTGAACATGTAGGCGCAAATTGCAGAATTTGTTCTCTGCAAAATACTTTTATCTCCTGGATGTATGGTTGCATTTGTCAGCACAGTTGTTTGTGATGATTATCCCAATGACCACCCCCACCCCCACCCCCAGATATAAAAGGCAACTATTTTGGTTCCTGTTGCGCCATCTAATTACAAATGTATAGGGATGAGGTTGGGTACGGGTACAAGTTGAAATATTGGCACTCTGCCAATTAAACTCGGATCTGTACTGTCCTTGGTGTCTGAAGATTGATTTTCTCGCTGCAGTTTCTGATGTTTTTGTATGTTTATAAATAGTGCAATAATCATGGTAAACAGCTGTGATTAACAACTTTAGGAGTGCTGTGGAAGAATTTCTCAAATGACTAGCATTCAGCCAATTATACCTTCCTGTTGCACCTGACATCATCACCTGGCCAATAATCAAACCTATATGGACCAGCTCAGACTATGAGCACATCGGACTGTGGGACATGAACAGGTTCAACAGACTTTGGTATTTTTCAGCAGGAACTTCCCACTCAAAAAGCCAAGCTTCGGTAAGCAGCTTGGAATTTGTGTGTATTATTGTGCTAGAGTCATTGTATTTTCTGGCCTATAAATATGTGTATAATCCAAGGACACAATGTGGGACTAATCTGACACTCCCACCCTCCCAACAAAAGGAACGCCATGAAAAAAAGGATGTGTCCTCATGATTTTATATTGTGCAATTTAACTGTGATGTATCATTTTGTTGTAGATTTGTTGTGTCACAGGCACTAACATAACCAAACAAACAAAAGTCTAGTTCTTGCACATGTACAACTATCTTCAGAGGAGAGATCATTGTCTCACCATGAGGAAGGAATTTTCCATGGTCTCTCAAAATTTGGCCATTCTGAAACCTTCTTTTCCAACCTTATTTTTTTCTCAATTTAATTAACAAACTACTTTTGGGAAATCAAACAAGTTCAATGTACATGTAAGCTAACTACCCTTCCTTCAACTTTAATATTTTAAGTGTCCCCTCTACACAAAACAAATAGAGTTCATATACCGTTTATTGTGTATTGATATAGAACATCTCTGGAAAGTGGCAACCAGGCAGCACTAGTCACAAGACCAAGTTTTGAAAGATAGCGGAAGATTGGCATTCAGCCAAAGACTTTCAGTACCACCTGTTGCTTGGCGAGTTGCCAGCAGACTGACTCCCACCTGCCCACCTGGACCAGACAATAAAAGCCTTTGTAACAAACCACCTGTATTTCATCATACACTGTATCCTGGTCAGACAGATAGAGTTCGTGGACTTTCAGAAGGGCAACAAACTTTTAATTCCCATGGCGTTGTGGTCAGCGTGGGTGGGAGAAGTCAGGCTGTCCTACATAAAAAAAAAACGACCATCACCGTGATGAGAAGTCATAACTCATCCCCCAAAACAAGATAGAAAATGATAGGAACTGAATGTATTTACCTCATAATACTTAGCTTCAGATGAGGTCAGAACAGAAAGTCTGCTGGCATTACATTAAGGCCACAAACAATAATAGTTCTGCTTCCGGTTACCCTACCTTCCCTATTTTGACAGCCCCTACCCTAATTGTTTATACATACGACCATCTCCAGAGCAGATATCACACATTTATTATGGCAAACTTTGGCCGTTCCGATACCATTTCAACAATTTTTTTGATCTGAATTAACTGATCAACAAACAAATGTTTGAAAGATTGGCATTCAGCCAGAAGCCTTTCAGTTTCACCTGTCACTTTATACCCAGCACGATTTGAGACGAAGGGGACCCCCCCCCATCTCGCTATACCCTATTACGCAAACTCTAGACTATTGATTCTGGTAACACAATGACCAACACAAAGGAGGGGGGGGGGTCCCTCAGTCTCATATGGCCCTTAATGGTCACTTGGCGAGTTGCCAGCAGACTGACTCCCACCTGCCCACCTGGACCAGACAATAAAAGCCTAGGTTAGTAGGTACCTGTATTTCATCATTTCCTGGACAAATGTTTACAATTGTGGTCAGGGTGGGAAAGTAAGGTTGCCCTAAATAATTCTTGCCCCCAAAACAAGATAGAAATGTATGATGAGATTTCAAGATTTTTCGTTTCAAATTTTAACCCAACTTAATAACTACCTTTTATTAGAGAGGCAGTGGCATTGGGGCGGTATAAGGAGTAACAGGCAGGGCGCTTTGGGGCGGTACGGAAACCAATAGGTTCTAAACTTTGATTTATTCCTGTGATATGCCACTGGTTGTTAAACATAGCTGGTGTTATATTATTTTACATGTATGTTTTTATTCCAAGAAAAATAGTACATGTAATGTCATTCACACGTACATCAGGGTGTCGACAAGGCTTCTCTAAGCAGTGTTAACATATTCCATTTCTGATGCTGTGGCAATCTTGTTGTCCAACTCCGTCTCATCAGCACAGTCAGAAGCTGTCAAACATTTGGAAATGGAAATACAATTACAGTATATTATTTTAAGTTTTTACCAAGTCTTTTTTGTAGATAAGACAAATGCTGTTATCTTTTGGGCACAATGCCATCTGCCGTACAGTAAATTTGATTCAGGATGGGAGGTTTGAATATTTTTGTTAACATAAGACGGAATTTTGAGATCACAAATTCTATCTTATCAAAAGTTTGGTTGCAGCCCACTGCTACATCAGACTCGACTGGTGAGCTGATCCCTGCAAGCTCGGTGGTCGAATGGTAAGATGTCTGCACTAGGAGGTCATGGGTTTGAGTCCTACAAGAGTATGCTAATGCTTTTGAATTTCTTTCTTGCAAGCCCTTGGACAACACTGATAATACCGTGGTTACAAAATGGTCGGAATACACATGGACAATACAGTGCTCCAACACATGACTTGTAATTACTTTTATAATGGAGTTCCAAATATCCTCTTTTTAATGTATTAATGCATAGTTTGGATTAATACAAATCATAATAATCCCTAAAACTACCATTTGTATAGATAATCCCCCCCCCCAATCCCACTGCACAAACTTTTCCCGAGGCAGTGCCATAAATAATTCAAACCATATTCATTGATCAGTAATAAAGCTCAGTGACAAACTGACCAATAGTCTACAACCGAGTCTATTTCTCATGGTGGTGCAACCTCATACACAAAAGTCTGCTGGCATCACATTAATCAATGATTTAAATAACGTACAGTGCCACAGTAAAATGGATTGATTTGTCCTCTCCACATATTTTTTAGTTTTGACTGAAATTGAGCAGTTAATATGTTAGAATATTAAAACTTGTGCTTGACGGAGCCCACATGATTTCGTTTTTCAAAACGCTCTCAGGCTAAAATTCATGCATGCTGAACAGAAATAAACAAACTCTTTATACAATCATAAATTCAAAACTATTTCATGTTGTATGAATAAGTTGTACAAATAACTCGACAACAAGCGCAGTCCTGTGTAATGTTTGTGGATAATTTCATCATCTACAAAAATAACACAAGCAGACACTGTAGTACATGTACAGAGTACATCGTACATGTACATTGTACACTGCCCCACTGCATGATTCAGTGCCTCTATTCATACATAATTTGCATACTGGGCGCCCGTGGTCCAATCTAATGAATGGATTCCGCACACACCCACAACCCACCCCAACACACCTCCAGCACTGCCATATAAGGCAATGTTTTGCTCAGGTATTTTACTTCCTCCAATGACTCACAACAAACCAAACACTGGGACTATTTTTTTTTACACAAATTTGAAAACAACTTCTGGTCAAGTTAAGGTCATGATGACTCACTGGTATGCAATTTGCTCCAGGGGCAAGAATATTCAACAATAAAATTTACTTTCATTTTAGGCAAGGTACATGATGGATCACAAGTGCATCACATTTGCATTACATGTCCAGTCACAACTCAATTCACGAGACAATCCACAAGTCCAGTCACAAGTAAATCACAAGGCCAGTCACAAGTAAATCACAAGGCCAGTCACAAGTAAATCACAAGTCCAGTCACAAGTAAATCACAAGTCCAGTCACAAGTAGATCACAAGTCCAGTCACAAGTAAATCACAAGTCCAGTCACAAGAAGATCACAAGTCCAGTCACAAGTAAATCACAAGGCCAGTCACAAGTACATCACAAGTCCAGTCACAAGTAGATCACAAGTCCAGTCACAAGTAGATCACAAGTCCAGTCGCAAGTACAGGGCACGAACAATAACAAAGGAATGCCTTTGTCGCAGTTCATTTGAATAGCTTGTGTGTTGACTTGGGACTCATTTTTGAAGACTTGTAACTGACTTGTGATCAATCACACGTCCCTAGACTACCACACCAATTCCAGGGATTCTAATTCATGTACTCACTAAGTGTTCATAAAACCAACATATCGCGTACCATATCCACTCCACCTTGGAAAATATGTACAGCCAAATATGAAAAAAAATACATATTGATATTTGATGTATTAATTTGCAACTAAAGAGACACTTACTTTTGGTCCAAATTTAAGATACCTTAATTCATTGCATTTATTTGTTCATTGATTATTACATGTATTTTGTAATATCAGAGTAAGAGGTTGACAAATTTTCAAGCACTACTGTAAACTTAAGCCATCGCAATCTTTAGCAGCAACAAAAATGACACTACAAATTTAGAAAGGGAGAAATTCATTGGTATGAATTTAAAGTCATAGGACTCAAAGACTCCCATGTAAAAGTTGTTGCCAATTCATCTGCACCCGCAGAGAAAAGCTCAAAATCAGTTTAGCAAAACTAGAATCATACATGTACTTGATTCTGTATACAGAACACTACTTGATATCACATTCATCGGCGATAATTTAAAGGTTCCCTTTTCGTATTGGGTGCACATGCCCATCTTGTCCCCAACACATGCCAAGCATATGCCTATCATGTGATCATACCCCACGATGGTACTGGGCTGCAAAAACCTGGAAGTGTACCAAGTTTATACTTCTAATGCCCCTAATGCAGACTGCTCCAGTTTAGTCAGGGTCGCTTCTTTTGTTGCACAATGGGGCTCAGACAAATCCTCTTAGACTATTGTTGCTTTTTGTTCTCTGTTCGGGTTCTGACGTAAATACAGATTACAAAACTAATAGGGTTATTTCCCAGTGAGGCTCAGCACAAAAGGAAGTATAGCCAAGTAAAGCAATACATGCACGTGATGACCTCCTCATACAATGGCTACATCTGTTATATAAGCAGCGCGCAAACTGCAGGCTAGAAGTTTCAGTTTTGATTGACTGCTGAACACTACACTTCAATCTGTGTACACATATGTACATGTAGACCTGATTCAAAACTGGATAAGAACTCATGTAGCTATCAAATTTGATTCATGCACATTTACCGGTACGTGTATGGGGATGATACACAAACAGCAATCACTGAAGTTTATGTAAATGCAGTAAGGTTGCAGTCTTTAATGCGGCACGTAATTTAGTGCTGACTGTTAAAAGGCACATGCAAAAAGATTTGTCAACTTTCTTTGACACTATGGCATCAGCTAGTGATAAGAGAGTCTTTGACATGATTGAACTGAAACGTGCATTACTGGAGTGCCCTGTATGTATTGACACTACTAGAGCCGGGCAGGATTTGGAGCTTAAGCTCTTAGAGTGCCATCACACTGTGTGCAAGGGTTGTCTGGATCAACTCATTGACGGCAAGACTGACTTCCACTGTCCACTGTGCTGTCGCCCAATGAGAGTTCCAGCCCAAGGTGTAGATGGCATCCAGAACAACTTTTACGCCCAGCAGATCCGGGACTATGCCAACAGCTGCAAACCTAAGGATGATGTGGGCGACGCCGCATTGAAGGAGAGGGTGAAATGCGGACGGTGTAAGGACGAGATCAGGAAGGTCCTACATCAGTGCGTCTCCTGCGGGTATCTCTGCAGCACCTGCACTTGGCAGCACCGAGACAGCAAGGATCTACGACATCACACCATCTTCATCCAGGGTAGGAGTTCCCAGACAAAAAAAACGACATCCAATTTCTGTGGCACTCATGACCTCTGCCGACTGGACTTCTACTGCCGGACATGCCGAGTGGCCCTCTGCAAGCTCTGCAAGGAGTTCCATGACACTGGTCCACTCCACTCAGTCAGGGACGTCTGCAAGGAGGCTCAGGAGACCTGGGATGAGACGGATAGTCTCCTGGATGTGGTCATCAACCGTCAATCACTTGCATTCGAGGTGTTTCGCAAAGTCCGCTGTGAGGAAGAACGCGTTGCCACCGAGAGCCGCGAGGCAAAGGAAAAGCTCAAGGCTTTCATCCGAGAATGCCACAACGTCTTAAGCAGACGAGAGATGGAGCTGATAGGGTCCATAGATCATCGCTCCAAGCAGATGTCCAAGTGCCTCAAGTACTCCAAGGAGCGAGCTCAAGACCTGCTGGCTAAGATCGGCAGCAGTATGGACTATGCTGACCAGATAAAAGAAGAGCGCGATCCACTCTCAGTTATCAGAGCAGCCGCTGCCTTGAAGCCGGCCTTGCTGGACATAGAAAAAACCTTGCTGGATGCAGACATTGAGCATGACGACAGCTTTTTGTCGGTGACCGATGGTGACCTGCAGTTTGACGTCGCCGCCTTTGAGCATATGGTGTCCCTCCTTGGTAAGAGCTGCGAGAAATCTCAAGCTGAAGATGCAGCTGCACAACAACAGTTTGACGAACTGTAACGATGCTGCAATGTTGGATGCTCTGGGCCAACTTTGTGGCGCCACTAAGCACAGAACATTTTGCTTAGCACATATACATGTTACCAGCCAAAGAGTCGTGCATGCATTTTGCCTGTAACTGGTTCTTGGGTGAGATTAGATGAGCACATAAATTTGCTATGCATTATTTTCTGCCAAGTGGCTCCATTAAATTGGGCCCAGCTGTCTTATTTTAGTAAAACGTTTAGCAGATCTTAGAGTAATGAGGCAGCAACACAAAGGCATTTTGCAACTAAAACAATGCAGAAATGCAAGGGCGGTACCATATATAATCCAACATTTTTCTATTTTTGTATATAGTAAGTATGTATTTGGCGTCCAGCGCATAAAAATCCTGACTGTAATGGAGACGGTATTCCTGTGCATAAATTAAGAGTTATTTGTGTTTGCACGTTATGTGGATTAGCATTTATTTTGTTCAGTATAAATATTTCTTGGTGGCAAGTGGTACAGGTGGTTTGGGGTTGGTGAATACGGGTATTATGCTTAGGGCAGAAAAATCATAAGATACACACTGCACTGGTGGCTGGATTAATTGATCACTTATTTATTAAGAAGTTTGTTAATAATTTTTTGAATCATGCTTTTACTACTAGTATTTCTGATTACATTTATTAATCTCACATGTGTAAATAACTCCACGAGTGGCTTGCTATATTTATGTTACAATGATTCACATTTTAAATACCTCTTTTCCGTAAATACTAAATTATGTGTAAATGTAAAATCTTAGTATTCCAGTTCCACAACATTCATTCTGACTTTACTGAGTGTATAATGCATAACATGTCTAATTTTGCGGGAAAATATTTAAAAGACTCATCGATTGTTTTTGTTACTATTATACCTTTCACGTAGAATTTGCCGAGTACTTTCCGTTTTGAGGAACTATCCGGATATTCAAGATTTGGGTGATATTTTCTGTTTGTTCAGCTTTTGAAGACTCTCTGTGAAAAGAACAAACAAATTGAAATCAAGTCTTAAATCAAAGCAGATTAAGTGTTCTGTTGGGAAAAGATGCAACAGGATTTTATTTCATTTTACTGTTGTATTACATTCAATAAATTCATGCTTTTGCTTTGTTGATTAAATATAACCGGCCAAAAAAACTCATCATTTTTAAGCATGTTGAAATATTGCAGGCCTGTCCTTTTACCACTCACAAAGAACTCTTGGAGTGTTACGCTCCACCCACGAGTATGAATGGGTACTGGGAGTAGCCTGCCATGGACTGGCATCCCTTCCAGGGGGAATACAAATATTCTGTCAATCCATGCCAATTTAAAAGAAACCGGAGATAAACACAGGTGTGAATGCCATATTGGCCCGTAGCAGTTGATGACAATTTTGTAGGGGCTGCCTCATAAGTCCAACGCCTCATTAGTCCGACAATGGACAAATGCTGTTTTGGACTTATGAGGCGTCGGAGCTATGAGAAGTCAGACTTATGTGGCCTCGGACCTATGAGGCAGAATAAATAAATGTTATGCCTCATAAGCCTGACGCCTCATAAGTCTAACGCCTCAGAAGTCGAAATTTCGGACTTGTGAGGCGTCAGAGCTATGAGGCGTCGGAGCTATGAGCAGACCCCGTTTTGTAGATATCTGGGTGTGTGGGGTGCTATGGGTTCAATATGGGAAATTCCCAATACAGTGCGCCACCAAGTGACCAAGAGGTTGCAACGGAGAGTCCATTTTATGCAGTGCATTGTGTTAACCGGTCAGTAGGTTCGTAAGCGTATGATTTCAGTATATTTTTCCTTTTCTTTTTATCAAGATAACTCTTTTTGGCGAGGCGACAGAATGCTATGCCCCGATCTATCAACAATTTCCTCAAGTTGTCGACCGTAAACTTGAAAAATGGACTCTCCGTGGCAACCTCTTTGATGGCACACTGTATTGGGAATGGCCCGTATTGGGCCCACAACATAATGGGATGTAATTGCATTGGCAGTAAAATGCTGGAGCGGTGAGTTCAACAAAAGCGCATATATGTTGTTGTTTACGTAACCTAAAAGCCACAATAAATTCTTGACCAATCACAGCCACTGTTGATTGACAAAGATCGGACATGCGTGTACTCGCATGCACAACTGCTACAACAGCATGGTGTTGGTGAGATGCATGTGTTGTTGCCATGGAGGGGGGGGGGGGGCCCTTCATGGATCTGTCTACTTTTCATGAGGAAAGTAGGACTTGGCAATTTGAATACCAGACAGTATCCTGTATAAGACCTACTGTGGCAGTCCTGTTGGCACTGGTTTCTGTCGGCTAGGAAGTAAACATTGCTGTTTGATTGCTGTTGGTAAACATCCTGAAACAACATGAACAACAAAAACAAAATCAGAATCAACAAAAACAAAATCAGAATAAAGTAAGCATTAAAAAAAACTACCCCCAAAACAAAAAACAGATAAAAAGTATCAAAAAAAAGGGAAGTATTTACGGTACTTTTAGGACCCCTCTGTTTTGAACTCACCTAAACAGCTGGTAACAGCCAGATTTAAGTTTTATTTTGGATTCATCGCTCTGAAGGATGTTTTGAAGAGAAGCAAAGTCTCAGAAGCATTCGGTTGACAACTGACGCATACACAACGATCAGCTTTTGTAAAAAAAGAAATAACAACTGCGAAAAAAATAATAGAGGGGTCCCAAACGTAACAACTACCCGACACAGCTTACATGTACATCACTGGGTATGACGACAGAAATTGTAACAAAGTGAACTGTCCTTTAAAGTTGTATTGTGCTTTGTTGTCTACTCACCCGCCCCTTCTTGAGTGTTGAAAGTTCATTCTGCAAAACTGTCAGCTCATTCATCTAAAGTGAGCCAAAAACATGAAAGAAAATGGAAGGAAAGATTATAATGGGGTAAGTAATTTTAACCATTCTTTCCTTAAGTATTAAAGTGGCCACACTATTATTATTTTCACAACTAGCACAGTTCTACTACTACTAGTCAGTACTAGTAAAATATTATAAAGGAATAATGGCCACCACCCCATTAACATTAAAATGCCACACTTTAATTTAAAGAGGTTGTGGAATGCTCGAAGACATTTCCGTCATTTTTCGGGTATATGTAGCCTAAGGTGTGATGAAATAAAAACGACTGACTAAGTATTGTTTCTGTCATGAAATGAGTACAAAAGGTACTTTTGAGAGCTGTTTTTCAGGTCCAGTTTCGACCCGAACGTGCAACTGTGTAAAAGTCGTCGTTGCGGGCAGCAAACAAAACACAGTAAATCGTGACGTAATAAACAGGACTCGTGTATGCGAACCCGCAACCTCGCGGTGCAAATTAGCAAAATCCTACCCTCTATCGACTGAGCTGTCGCACTGCTCGCTAAAACGTGGGGAAACAAATAATTAGATACCTGCGTGCGTATCAAAAAAGTATCGTAGAGGGCGCTAAACAACGGCTGCCGTAACGATAGCCACTTCGTAAAAATAATTTAGGGCTGGGTAACTCCTCCTCCCCTCTCCACATTATGTGGTTCGAGCCACAAAAAATTATATCATGGGCTACCTACGTAGGAACTACCAAAGTACATCGTTTTTTGTTTGGGCTAGCTACCTTTGTTTCAGAATCCTTCAAGGCGGGCTCCATCGTCAGATGGTCAGATCGTGGTTGAAAAATCAAAACAATCAACAGGAGGCCGCGCCGGCCGACACAGCCGGCCGACAGGGTGACCGTAAGGTCAGAGCCAAATTCTGCTAAATGCACTTCAATAATCTGTCAGATTTTGGAGTGTGATGGCCCATGGCCTAGCGGTTAAGAACACCGGACTCACGTTCTGGTGTTTCAGAGGCAACAGTGACGTGGGTCGGAGCCGAGCCCGCCGGCGGACACTGTGCTCTTAAGCAAGGCACTTAACCATTATTGCTTCGTCCTTCGGATGGGACGTTAAGCCGTAGGTCCCGTGTGTTGTATAAATGCACGTAAAAGAACCCAGTAAACACTTATCGCTAAGAGAAGGAAGGGGTTTGCCCCGGTTTCTGGCCTCCTGTATAAACTCCCACGTGGAGTATTTAGGAGAAGAACCAACCAAGAACCAAGAACCAAGATTTATCAAAAATCTGCCAAATTCCCCAGAATTACTCGAAATACACTATAAACACTTAAAATCACATGCAGATTGGTACTTTTGCCTTAATTGAGGTTCAAATTACATTATAAACAATCTATAGCCTCGTAAAGATGTTGTGAAATTATCGGTAAATTTCGGGCAAAAAGCGGATCCGGCCACTAGACGAAGTTTGTTTCCCAGTGAATCTCAGCACCTATAGACCAGCCAACCTGTCCCTTTTAGTAACAAGGGTTTGTTTGAAAGGATTGAAGATTTTTTTAAACAAATGTACCGTTAAATGTATGTTTTCCTGTCAAATAACCATTTTTGCAGAATTCTGCCAGAAATCTGCCAAAAAAAAATCCATTCTGTCAAATTTTCTGTCAAACTCTTTTTTTTACAAAAATTCTGTCAAAGTTAGCCGAAAATCGGCTAAAACGGTCACCCTGCCGGCCGAGGAAACCCTCGCCTGTCAGAAGTTCAAACTATTGAGGGCGCTATATAGCGCATAGCAGTGATAAAAAAAATTGAGGATATACAAAATGCAATCTCAGAATTGTTTGTAACAATTCGTCAATGACAATTTAGCAAAAGGAAGCCAAAATATGTGCAGTAATGTTATAGTCACGTGGTATTTTGTGTAGTGGTTGGACTGTATCCAGAAGGGCATGAAAATTAAAGTATGATGTTCCATGCAAGACGGCCAAAGCTTAAGCATTGTGCACTCGCACTTGTTTTCAAACAATGGGCCTTTTTGAATAACGTGCTTTCGTTTGTCGTCTTGGATTCTGCACCCCTTCAGCAAGAAATGATCTAGTTTTTAAGAAGCTCAGTGTTTGTTTTGTCAATTTATATAGTTCAAGTATTTAAATAAACTTTTACTGTGACTTTTATTTGGCAGTGTCTCAGGAACGGAGCCAGAAAATACAATACAATGGTGCTACTTTTCTGAACGTAAAAGATCCAGAAGGGGTTAAAACAAGCTGTTTGTTGGTTTGTTTATCTTTGACTGGTATGGGTGAGGCTTGAGCCTCAGTATCGTTATTGTCATAATTACAGCGAGCTGCAAGTATTCCTGTGAAAGTGGACATGTGCTGTAGTCTTCAATTATGAAGTTAGCACTCAACTGGAACAAGGTGGTTTGGCCCCAAATTCAGCTGACACCTCTAAACATTAAGGTCACTACTACTGAAAGAGACTATGAATAACAGATTCCTAACAAAGCAAGATTCAAAGACCAGAATCAGAGGGATATAATTTCCCAACTTTTTAAGTGTTTTATAATGCCTTTTGATAAAAACACATCCTTTAATGCTCTTTCACTACAGCATTTCACAGATGAAAGAAACCTCAAGCTCTCAGTAAGTATAAATTACATTTTATTTGTCTTGGTCAAACTGAAAAGCCTATCAAACAATTCTGGAATCCTTCCTGCTTTGTATTCTGAGCTCTTCATGCAGGGCAAGTTTTTTGTTGTTAAATGGTGGATCCATTGTTGCAAAGCCTGTTGCTCATGGACATAATGCACCGCTGACTTTGCTCTGCAGAAACCCAGTAACTCTGCCAAATATTAAAAGCACATCCCCTACTATAATTCTCTGTCGAGTCCAACTGGAAACCCAACCTTCAGCATTTAGTAGATTGAGTTGTCATCAGTATGATCAGTTCCTACTTGATTCCGTGGTATCTTCCAATCCTCTTTTGCAATTTCTTTCTCAAATGAATCCGAGCAAAGCTTAAGCTGCAGGCTAGTGATAGAATTTACCTAACAGTATTATTTTCACCAAGAATAAATAAACAAGTTCAAAGCTGTTCAACAGTTGATTTAAGATACAAGTCCTGAAGATCATTTCTTCACCAAAAAAAACCAAAAAAACCTAAAGCACAGTGTGCAGATTATTTCAAATGTCCACAGAGGCAAAAGCCTGGTACTTTTTAATTTCATTTTTCTATGATGCCAAATTCTCGTATCTTGTTGAAGAAGAAGCGTTCCAGCGTGTTGGCGCACTTGACGTACTCCGTGTCGGCCGCGTTGTAGGCCCGGCAGTTGCTAAAGATCCGCTGCATGTCAGCAATGAACAGCTTCTTGGAGCAGTAGTACTTGTTTTTCAATCTTTCAGTCATTGTCTTCAAATCTACGAGCAATGCAAAACACAATCAAGTAAAACCCTGGAGGAAACTGATTGGATTATTACTTGTAATCAATATGAAGCAGAACAAACCAGTTGACTTGAGCAAGATTCGAACAGGAAACCTCCAGAACAATGTAACAGTGCTCTACCAATTGAGATTTCAAATAGAATGAGGTTTTCCAATTGAGTTTGGAAACATATTGTTTATATCAGAAGCAAAAGGAATATCCAAATGGAGATCTTAATTTTTCAAAATTCTTTAGCTGCTTCCAGTCAGCAGAATATCAAGTCCTATGCAAGTGTTTTAATGTGATACATCTGAGAAATAATGTTTATTTCAGTTTAACTTCTGTATATTGTGATCCCAATTATGTGAGTAATTCTGGCAAAATGCGAACTAGGCAGAGGTCAAAGTGAAGGTTTGCGGGTATTAGAAAAAAAGAATACAATTCTCCTTACAGTACTGTTGGTTTGTACTTCAATTAGAAATTCCGTTGATATTATGGTTGTGTAAAGTTCCCATTTATCGACACGTCAAAAGGTAAAATACTGAGATTTCAAATTTCGACTGTTTTGAAGTCGTAAAAATGAAAGATGCCAGTTCCCCCCCCCCTTAAAAACACTTGTATTGCACGACTATTATACTATTTATTTAAACTCTGTGTAGTAGACATATCAAAGATTACAAATATTAACAAATCTGACAATGGCAAAATAAAAATCCCCCCATTAATTTGTGTGTATTTTTCTCCACTATGGCCCATGTCCAGATCCGTCTCATTTCACCAGAACACCTCATATATGCTGTGTGCTTTATATAACCATTGTTTTGTTAATTTCAACTCACCCATAGGGTACTTAATGTGGTCATAGTAGTCTGGTGCTTCGATAGCCTCAACAGGTTTCAGGAATGGCCATGCACTGGTGTGATTCTACAAAGAAAGACAAATACATATACGTTGATATTACTATTTTATGTAATGCCTTTACGGCAAACTTATAATTATTATTACCCTAATAGTTAGGTCGGTATATGTCTATATTTGCCTCTAACGCATTGGGAGCATACACAGAATTATTCTGCTAGATGCTCTTCTGGTGTGGTCACTATTCGTAACTATACACTTTAACCCATAAGCACCTGTACAATATTGCATTGTATTTATTCCTCAATAAATCAATCAAACCAAAACCGTAGACTAGCTCGGACTGTTTGGGGGTACAGGGAGTATAACATGCAGCTTTAAGTTTGGGGCAGCACCACTGATCTCTATATAAAGACTGGATAGCTAATAAAGAGCCGCACAATGTACGAATTTGACGCCATATTGGTGAGACCGGCTGGTGATCTACAAAGGACAAGTTGCCGTCTTTATAGACAGCATGATTTCTTTTGTAACGTCGCGGTTCACTCACTTGACTTATATTTTGGCCACCACCACTGACCAACTGACCAAGGTTTACTACAATTTTTCTAACGTCGTGATTACTTTTATAATGCCGCAAATCACTTTTTCGGCGTTTTTGAAATAATAATCACTACGGAAATGTGTCCTTTTTAGAACATCATAATATGTGTACGTGACCAAAATGCGCGTCAACTGTTGATACAACGCGCGCGTATTTACGCGTAGAACGTTCGTTCAATATGCAAAGTCTACTGTGTGAATGTTGTATGCATATCCGCTATCCAGTCTTTATATAGAGATCAGTGGGCAGCACAGGGACTAAACTGACCAAAGAAACCACCAACCCCACAACATAAATGTTAGTGATGGACACTTTAAAGCCATAACCCTAGTGCATAATGGCCATTATTTTGAGGGCAGTGTTGTTTTCTTTACGAGGGTATATGCAGGAGTAGGCATTTTGTCACTGTCACTGAATTAAAATAACAAGACGGTTGCTGTGCATAAGCAGATTTTGACCATAACGGCAGTCCGCTCGCCAAATGAGAGTAAAAACAGCAGCGGACTAGTCATTCTCTGAGTAGTCCACTTGGCGAGTCAAAAATTATTGCAAATAACATTGTTGTTTATGACATTCTGGGGCAAAAACTTAAAAATTCTATTACAGACTAGTGAATAGGGCCCACGGACTAGATACAAGTCTGGTTCACTAGTCTGTCTGGCTAGTGAAAAATTAAGGGTGAACCCTACATAAGGTTTATTGCTACTTGGCACCCACACTGTCATAATTTGCATTTGACTTTTGGATATGGTGTATGCAATATAAGGGTGCTAATCAGTTTGGATAAGCCTGGTTGTATCTACTAAAATGTACCCAAACCAATAGCATCTTTCTATTGTGTCTAGCAATATCTCGAAAAGGCTAATACAATTAGGAGTCACAGATGTTTGCAAAACGTGTACCTTGTTTTGAGATTCATTTCATAGCCCTTTCAAGCCAAAACCTATTTTTAAGATTTCTTTCCTACCTTTGTAGCAGTCAGGACCGTCTTGAACAGTTGGAACACCTGATCTTCAGTCATATTGCAAAGTTTTGTGGGCGGTGGTTTCTCCTTGGGTGGCCTCCAACCAGCCTCAACTGCGTAAGAAAAAATAGCGAGATGGTAAGCGCATGAGTGACCATACAGTTGACGTCGAAGGGCGTAACCAGAGATGGATGTGACATCAGTGGGTTAAGGGTAATGTACAACATTTTCTTTTGCTGTAATTTTTGGTAATGGATGGATCTGGGGGTTAAGAGATGTATTTTATAGCAAATATTGTTACACTGACTTGTTTGAAGTTTTGTGTTTGTAGATACTGGAAAAACCAAGAAAAACAATCATGTTTCTGTAATCTGGTTCCTTGACCCCACTTAAAATGAAACAGAGCAATTTACAGACATTAGGGAATTGTAAGGTAATGAAACCAGTCTAGCTGGCTTGTACCCGTGCATAGGTGTGCAATGGATTGCAAACAAAATGCCGACTAACTATATATGGTAAGCTGAGACAGTAATTGAAAAAAAAAAGCCTTTTTTTCCCCGACACTGGTCGGCCGATCAGTGTTGAAAATTGATACAAAAATACCACTTTTCTTCAAAATGACAGCACACCAGGTGCCACGATTTTACAGGATGCTTTAGATTGTCAATCACTGACAGACCAGTAAGGTATTTTGTAATAATTTGGTAGTTTTGTTCTTTGAAGTTTTCAAATGTTGCAAATTCCCTTTAAGCACAGGCCAGACAGCACTGCAAAACTCTCAAATGCTTGAAATTTTGAAATGTGAGGGTCTCTTTGAATCAGGGCCACAGATAATTCCGACTGGATACAGCCTGGGAGTAACAGGTAAGACAATTTTTGGGTGTAAAACAATAGGCATCACAGAATTTACCAGACATTCATCACAGAAATTTGATTAAGCAATATTTCTTATTTCGCAGCTCCACAAAACTGGTCCCTTGTTGGGGAAGCATGAGACTACATGAAGCTTACCCAGGCCTGGGATGCTCTCTAGGGGTATCTGTCGCACTCCTTCCTTGAAGCAAGTCAGCCCCGGGTACACCTTGCGCACCTCCTCTTGTTTCCGTTCGATCAGCTTCTTGACAATCTACATCAATGTCAAAATATCTTGTAAACATTTTGGACCACAGACTTTACTTCCTTTGGAGAGCAACCCGGACAGTCCTGAATCCTCCAGTTTGAATGATTTTTCACAGACTGAAGGGGGTTAGGGTTAATCATAGAACCATTTGAATACCAAAGTACTGATTCCTGATGTACTATCTGCCTGCATGCTAATATTGAAAAGTGAATAACCTCATCCAGACTCTGGTAATCCATCATCATGAAACCCAGCAGACCACACTCCCTACTGAACACATGTGTACACTGTATTGCTAGATCTACTGGTAACCAGCAAAGGGCCCGATCTCAGTAAAACGCTCCTGAATAGTAAAGACCTCCAGTCCACCATCTTCAACTTATAAAACTCTTATTCCAACTTTTCCCCAGAATAACCTCAGTGTTGTAGTTGTGTTTGTCTTGTTGTCCGTGTGTCCTGTGCAGGTCCACGAAGAAGAAGATGAGGGTCTCTGGTGCAGAAGACGACGCCGGGCAGCTTCTTCGAGTACGAGTACGAGTACTTGTATTTTGAGTACGAGTATTTCAATTTCCGAATACGGCCATACGGCAAATGGTTCATTGTGCGTAATTAGCCCAGGCCCATTCAGACCGATATACAGACCTGCTCAAGGCTACTGTTAAATGTGTTTGTCCAGACGTGCACAGAGGAAAATCAGGAAGTACTTACAAGTACTCTGCTACCCGAGCACGAGTACCGTCATTTCGAGTACAAGTACTTTTACATTCAAGTACGAGTACAAGTATGAGTACGAGTACGAGTACTCTAAAAAAAAAAGGACTCGGGTAGTTCTCGAGTACGAGTACCAAGTATGAGTACTACAACACTGGTTAATATCTAGTTTTCTTCTTTTTAATGGCCTTACCTCTTTTTGTCGCCTGATGATCTGGGAGAACTCCGTGTGCGGGATGCGCGGGTTGAGCTGGCAGCCCATCAATGTAGCGCCCTCATAGTCCTTGATGTAACCAACGTACGCAGACTTGGGCAGCTTGATCTCCTTAGAAAAACCCTGTCATCAAAATCACCAAAGGAATACTTTGTTTACCCTTGCAATATCTGAAACCACACTATTTTTGGTTTGTCACTCTCATGTAATTTAGCGTATCAAGGTGTACATGTAGCAAGGTCATGTGATAATGTGGCAATCGCTGCATTATGTTGTGTTACAGTGAAAGAAAGGGGGCTTTTTTCAGGAAATTTTCAACCACGAGGCCAGGAGCCACTCAAGGAAGTGGAAATAAAGAAGCAAGTTACAAACTAGACATAAAGAAGCAAGTTAAAGAGAAAGAAGGAATCTGTGGATATTTTGCTTGAAGGTGATAAGTTATAAGAAGGGAATAAGTAAGATCTTGGCAAGGAGTCCCACAGTGAGGGGAAAAACTGAAGAGTACTTCATGGTACCAGCCATTGGGGACACAAACAATACGTGGATGGGAGGAGTTAGCCAATCAAGTAGACTGGGTGAAAGTATATGACAGAGGGGTGAGAAGTGACAGTCCACTTTAACCCCTCTATTCAACAAGGGTCCTTTACTGCAGTCTGTTTTTAATTACTCTGAAATTTATGGCTAAAACAATTTCACATTTCACAAGTTCCTCCTTCAAACATGGGTAAATAACATGCGCAAGCCCTTTTAAAATCAGTTGAATCACTGACCCAGAATTTCATATCCAACCACCAGCCCCAGTAACAAGAACCATCTTTTTATGTCATTAATTCCCCGGGAGTAGACGGTCTTGAGCTGGACAGGGCAGGCATAATCAATCATCCTGTATCTAGAACTGGCAACAAACCTTGAATGACTGGTGTTACCAATCCTTTGAGATATACTACACCCCAAACAGCCTCAAGATCATTGTTGTGTGGGAAGTGAAGCAATATAACGACATACTGCAAAGTGTAGTACCATTCGGGACTATGCAAAAACAATGTGGCATACGGTAAGGCCAAAAAAAAAAATAAGTCGGTCTCTGGTCAGCGTGCGCGTCGATTTTAATCATGCGCGTCGATCTTTTTTTTTCCCAAAATGTTCCGCGGTAGCTCCAACAGCGCCCTCTATTTCCGCACCTCCTCAATTTTTTTTTACCAAAGAGCACCAAGGAATGGGAAATTGCACCAAGGCAAATGATCGAAAGCACCAAGGCAAATTATGGAGGACACCAATGTAAATGAGGACACCAAAAAAGCAAATTAGTACCCATCTTGTCTGTACAATCCAAGCTTAAAGAAAAAAAAAGCCAAAAAAAAAAAAAAAAAGCCGTGTGGCCGCGTCAATTCCGGAACTTTGGTCTGACCAGAGACCGAATATTTTTTTTTTTGTGGCCTAACAGAGGGATTTTTAGAAACAATTCAGCTTTTAAATACTTGTTTCTTAAAGTATCCGATGGCGTACTCATCAGCAAATGTCAGGAAGTGCAGCAAGCCGTGCTTGATGTGGTAGTCCTTCAGGTGGTTCATGAGGTGGGTCCCGTAACCTTTGACCTGCTCGTTGGAGGTCACGGCACAGAAGACGATCTCTGTGAAGCCCTGGGTGGGGAACATGCGGAAGCAGATGCCACCTATGACCCGGCCATCCTTGACCAGGGCTAAGGTCTTGTGCTTGGTGTCAAATACCAATCTGTCGATAACAATGTCAGCAAAGAAATGATCATGAAAAAACGGACTAGACACACACATCTGTAATCAATATTCAATCATCTTCTTCTTCATTCATTCATTTTCATGATGACTTGATGAGTTGGGCCCAACTGTCCCTGTCGAGCATAGTGTTGGAAAGAGATGGACCACTCAGACCAGTTTCTAGCTCGATGGATGTTTTCAGGGTCATGTTGGGACGACCTTTTCGTCGAGGGGCTTCAGGGTTCCAGAGGAGAACTTGACTAGCTGGCTCATTATAGTATCATCAACAACATGTAAAAAGCTCGATAAATCCCTCAATGTTGCAACAACAATAGGGGTAATCCAAACTCCTCTACACCACGCTCTGGTGATCAACAGAACAATAGAAGGGACAATCGCAATGCTTCTTAAAGCACCGGTCCGTTCCCACCGCCCATTTTGAGCTGAGGAATCGACCCAGATAAATCCTGAAACTGTTCTCTATCTAATAAGTTTGAGTCCAGTTGTCTTGTTTCAATTTTTTCCCAATTGATAAATCTCACCCTTGAATTGGATGACGAAAATTAAATCTAGCTTCAAATGTGCAAATTTTGTGTTCCACATCGGTGTTTTGGAAAAACAAAACCCAATTTTATTGAGCTGCCTGGCAGAAAATGTTGTATTTATTATATTTCTGGGCTCAGTTGATCCACAAAATTTGCCCAAATTGATGGCACTGCTGATTACATGGCACCACTAAGCACATAGTTACTCTGCTAACAGAGTTTTTTTCCCTTTTCATGGCGAGTGTTTATGTATGTAGGGGACACAGCGAAGAGCACAGAAACTACAATGATAAAGTTTTCTTAAATTCGTGCAGAACATTCTGTTTCTTTCAGACCGTTGCTGGCAAAAAAAAAAAGAGTTCTAAGCATGTTTTAACCTGAAACAGGCTGTTTTCAAGTTAGCGTGCATAAACATGGAAACCAGAATTTGAGAACATATGGGAAACCTGGTAATCCCACATATAAACATCATAAATAAATTTAAGTTAGAACAGGCGGAGTTGAAAGTGTAACGTTCCAAGCCTTCAATATTTTGAGATCTTCCCAATGGGCCTTATGCATGAGTTGGCCATTTCTGTAGAGTTCCTATTTATAGAGACTATTTATGCAGCCTTATTTTACTATTGTATTTTTTTAATCTGGCTTAAAACATTAGGGAATGTTTAATAACAAAGTTTAAATTATTCACTGAAGCAGATTTGAATTAATTAGTAATTTACTTGCTTTCATTTCTCTTTGCAGGATCCAAAAATGAAGATTTTACCTCACTTTCAATACAATATGGACGCCTCGTGCATAAGGCCCAGTATTTGATTTGATATTCTACACATACCTGGTGATATACTCCTTGGGCATTCTGGGCAGCTGGTGGGAGAAGACGTTTTGCAGACCGATCAGCCAAATGAGCGTCTGGCGGGACGGCTTACGTGTGATGGAGTTACCGATGACGTGGAACTCTATGACCCCACGACGTTCTTCATTACGTGCCGCCTCGTCACGGGCTGCATGCGCTGAGAACAGGCTACTCTGTGTAGGTTAACGAATTAAAAATGTTTTACTACACTCTGAAGCTGCCCTCAGGTCGACCTTGCGACGACACAGATCAGTCGACGACTGACTTTTCAGGATCAAGCTGCCTTTGAGATATGACCATCGGGAACGTTTCAGGCGCTGATTTTTTTTTGCGACCTGATTGTAACTGCGACAATATTAAGATGATCGCAATCAGTCGGCGCAAAACAAAAATATTAACAGTCGCAAGAGTAGAAACATTTCAACTTTTGCGACATATTCCCGACAGGTGAAATCAATCGCAGTCGACCTGTGTTTGAATATACAACGTCGTGCGCGCATAAAGATCATCCTTTTTTTGTGTGTAGCCAATCAGCATTGACAGATCATCTATGAACTCCAATGGAATGGACAGATCCAAAAGGACACTCCTACTGTGCACGTGGGCAACAACACAAGCACCTCAGTCCAAATTGCATGTTCCACCCGCCCTTGTCCTATGCGCATACACGCATGTTGGACATTTGTGCCCGCATTTTCGGACATATGTGAGGCATTTTGGCAAAATGAAACGGAACTGGGCACAGGTCATGATGGAAAAAATGCAAAAAAAGTGGGTGGGGATTTTTTTTTTTTTTATAGATTTATTCAAATTTGTAAAATTTGATGTGTCTACTACACATATGTTAAAGGGAAAATACAACATTTGCAAACATCAAAAAATAAAACTACCAAATCATTTTGAAATACCTTGCTGGACTGTTAGTGAATGACAGTGTAAAGCATCCTGTAAAATCATGGCACCTGGTATACTGTCATTTTCAAGAAAAGTGCTATTTTTGTATCAATTTCCAACGCTGATCGGCCGATCAGCGTTGGAAAAAACTGGCTTTTTTTCAAATACTGGCCCCAGTTGACCATCGCACTTGTTTGCAATCGATTACACACCTATGAACGGGTACAAGCCAGCTAGACTGGTTCCCTGACCTTACAATTCCCCAATATATGTAAACTGCTCTGTTTCTTCTTAAATGGAGTCAGGGAACCAGACTACAGGAAAATGATTGTTTTTCTTGGTTTTTATAGCATTTTCGAAACCAAAACCTCAAAAAAGTCAGTGTAACTATATTTGCTATATATTTCCAACCCCCAATTCCATCCATTTCTGACAATTACAGCAAAAGCAAATGATGTATATTCCCTTTAAAGATATAGTATAAAATATGTGGAATAAAAGTGTTTTTAAGGAAAAACGTCTTTCTTTTTCACGTATACAAAACTTGAAACTTTAATGGCCTTTTTCTCAGGTAATTTACTTTTTTGACATGTCGATAAATGCAAACTTTAAAAACAGCCATAACTTGTTAACGGAATGTCCAATTGAAGTGCAACAAACATTATTGTAAGGAGTATGTTATTCTCTTTCCTAATGCCCACAAACCCTCATTTCGACCTCTGCCCACTTCTGTCTCATTTTGCCAGTGAAGCCTCGCATATATCATGGCTGTGATTGGCCAGAATACCATAGGGCGGACCTTTGAGGATCAGTCTATTGCTATGTTCTAATAGACCGACCCATCACAGCTGTGATTAACGTCCGACATGCATGCACAAAATGTCCCATGTGTGGATTCCCATAATGAAGCAAGCATTTGGAACATACAGGCATCGGAGAGGCGCACGTATTGTTGCCAACCTCGTAGTGGGTGGGGCCCGAACGGATTGGACTATTGTTTTACAATATCTCATACATATTCATAGCTGGCCTTGCAACCTCATTGGTCATATCACCCGTAACAGGTGAAACAAGTTAAAAGAATTTTCTGGAAAAAAATCAGTCACCAGGAAAAAAAAAGAAGATTTTTGTTCCTCTTTGGAAAATAAATTGAGAATTTGTATCATACCTCTGGGCCCACCATGGCTGCAGGATCAGTGATTGTTGATAGCACTTCACTCACAACCTTCATTGGAATATCCTCTGCAAACGAAAGATCATCCAAACCATTAAAACTAAAAACCATTAAAAACTAGTTTCGTAGTGATCGTAGTGGTTAACGATTTTGAATCGCGATCAGAGGGTCCGGGGTTTGAATCCTGCCACTTGCCATGTGCCGTGTCCTTGGGCAAGCCACTTCACCTCCACTTGCCTCTCTCCACCCAGGAGTACAAATGGGTACCGGCATTAGCTGGGGAGTAACTTGCAATGGACTGGCATTCCATCCAGAGGGAATAGAAATATTCTCGGTCGTTTCATGCCAAGAAAACTGGAGATAAATGCCGGCCTGGTGAGCCATGGCTTATAACAGACGTATTTTATAGTGACTTCAACATATTTATAATTATAGAATAAAAATATTAGGTGTTTTTTGTCTTAACCCAGAAATCTATGATTCCAAATGACCACTCATGCTAGAAAACACAAAGGAGACTAAATAGGTTTTTTTGCAGTCGGGCAAAGCTTTCCTTATCAGCTGAGTAGCACTGAGACTTCAAACCTGTGTCCAATCAACTTTATCTTACCTTCTAGAAGTCTCTGTCTTTTCGCATCTTCAATTGTCTCCGAGTCATCTGACTTTCTCTTCTCCGATACTAATTGAAAAAGGGTTTTAAATATACCGAAATGTTACTGGAGAATAGAGGGTTACTTTCGCAAAAAAAGTAGTAATGACCTGGAACAGCCTGGCCAGTTTTTTTTGTATGGCTAGTTACCAATAGGTCTCTCTCAAAGACGGCAATCTCTGTAGGAGAACTGCAATTGCATATTTTACGCAATCAAGCACGCATTGTGCAGTGTTGAAAATGTTCCAAACACGCGCGCTTGTTGCTCGAAGCGTGTTCGAAAGGTGCATTATGCAAGTTGACGCTTAAAATGCCGATGCACGTGGCTGGTCTGTAGGAAATGACATCATTTGAGAGAGACCTACAGCTGAGAGTATTGTAGTCGTCTTGACAAGCACTGAAAAGCTGCCACAGTGTAGAAGATGTTATCAACAAGATCAATCCAATGTATTGGGATCTTTGGCAGCGCTACCCAGAACATTCCGAGCATATCTCATGAGCACTGTATTCAAGCTAACGCACACAGGTGAGGTATGCTGTGAATTTCGCCGGTACTGCTGCCGATGTTCACAAGACTGGATTTGATTCATCTTGTTAATAGTGATCCCTACCACAGCGGTGGCTTGACTTTATTTGCCAACTAAGGACTGAATGAATTCGGGTGATTCACAACGCAGTGCGCCACCAAGAGTTTACCATGGAGAGTCCAAGTTTACGGTCGACAAAACATGGCCCATTTGAATGAGTGTTAGTAGACAACTTGAGCTACTTTGTTATAGATTGGGGCATAGCGAGCTGCGCCTTACCAAAAGCATCATGTTGATAAAAAGAAAAGAGAAGCAAACATATACTCAAATCATACGCTTACGCAACTACTGACCGGAAAAACTACAATGTCCTGCGCTGCGAATTTGACGACCATCTCCCACAATGCACTGGGAAAAATGAACTCTCCGTGGCAAACTCTTGGTGGCGCACTGCATTATGAATCGCCCGAATTAGGGAAACAAACTCTGAATCCCAAGACTAACTGGTGTACTGTAAATCACTCATATCAACCAAAGGTTAACCAGGAATTCTCGGTAAATGTTGCTCACAGTGGCAGAGTAATAACTGCCTGCTTGGTACCTTTATCGGTAGTTGCTTCATCGGCGTCGCCAGCCTTCCCCGATTTCTTGATACCGGCTAGGCCAGGACTGAGGTTAAATGTGGTACCATTGTCGGTCAACGAGGGCGCCGTAGCTGTGGTGGATGAGACGGTGATACGGCCTGGTGTGAGCACGCTGGTGGACGGTGGGGCCAAGACTGCTGTCGGACTTGCTGTGTAAACCGAGACAAATTTGAAAAAAAAAGAGTGTTTTCATAACTTTTTGGTTGCATGGAGTGCGCATCAAAGAACAAAGCAGCTCAATTTTGAACGTTTTGTGGAGCGAGAGTGTTACTGTTAATCTGAACACTGACTCAATATAAAGAGTCAGAGAACGGGCACCACATCATTGTCCTTGTGACCTCTGACACGCTGTCATCATAATTTAAACATTCCAATGAGCACAAAAAAGTCACTAGAATTTGCCCAGACCGAGGAAGTAGAGTCGTCATCATCATCCAATACATTTTCAGAGGCTTTAAGGGTGTTGGTTGTCCTCATATAACATGTATGAGGCAGTGTTTCCCCTCGAGCAGTGTGTTAATAATGGCTTCTTGAATTTATACCAGTTGAAACACAGTAGTGTTGTGGAGTACTTTTTTCCGAGTACCGAGTACTGCCGAGTACTTAGGTTACCGAGTACGAGTACAAGTACTTCCGAGTAAAAGTACAGGTCTCCAAGTACGAGTACTTGTGCTTCCGAGTACGAGTACTTGTACTTCCGAGTACTTCTATTTCAGAATACGGCCCTACGGCAAAAGGTTCATTTTGCGTTATTAGCCCAGGCCCAATCAGACCGATATACAGACCCACTCATGGCTAGCTTTTAAATGTGTTTGTCTGGACAAGCACAGAGGAAAATAAGGAAACTTTGATTTCTCCGCAAGTTAATCTACTATTTCAAACTGAAAGTATCGATAAAATAAGGCCATGGTAAGTCAAGCTGTACCATTTTTTTTTTTGAGTACTGCTATTCGAGTACTTTGACATTCGAGTACGAGTACGAACACGAGTACTCTAAAAAAAAAAAAAGGACTCGCTGCTCAGCATGGAATGAGTGTGTGTTCCAGATTGTATGGGTGGTTACTTTGGATCATTTCATGCATTCAGTTTTTAGATGATCCCTGTGAGGTCACCCCTCCACTGAAAAAAAAATTCAAGAAATAGCTGATGATTTTTAGAGGATTGCGGCTGTATCCAATATTTACATGGTGGTAATTGGTGGATTTTGCAGGATTGAGGATGGATCCTAGCAAAAGGGCCTGTGCGGTTTGCGTTAAAAGATGATGACTGTCAATTGGAATGGAAGACCTACAGCTGTCAGGTGTTGGCGAAGTTGCAGGAAGAGGCATACTGCCAGGCATAGGGGAGAAGTCAGGGTCCCAGATCGGTGAGCTTGGCCCATAGACTTCCTCTTCCAACATAGATAAGAACCTGAACGAAAAGGAGGCAAGGGAATAGGGTTTGTTACTCAACGAAATAGACAAAAATATTGCGGGTAACACCATGTGGAAAGAAATCTCTCCTTGGAAGAGCACACTGTCTGAATGTTGAGTTCTACACTCAACCAACCGGTTCTTTTCAGAACCACACTTCTTCCAAGAAGAGATTTCTTTACATGGTGTTACCCACAATGTTATTTTGTTTTGGTCTATTTTTGTTTTTGTTTTGGTCTATTTTATGTCATCCGCCATGCAAAGCTTCAAGTCTTCTATAAGTTGAAGGCTTGCGATAAATGGCTCAACTGCCTGCCAAACTTTGCCAAAGCAAATCAAATGTGAATTTTGTTATAAACGAAAACATAAAAGGCTTTTCAAATATTCTGGGCCAAAAATAATTCAAAATTTGTAAAATAATTATTCCATAACTAAATGTGGGCCGATTTTTTTTCATCTGATTCTCATTCCATCTTTTGTTTTGATAGAGAAAAAGCAATTTGAAACAAAATATATCTGTATGGATGAAATTTGAAAAAAGCATGAACAGTACATCTTCAGTGGTCCTTTCAACCTATAAGTCACTGTACGGCCCCAAACTGCCCTGCCTTTTACTCCCTCAAGTGTCTGAAACTCCCCAAGCACTCAATGGTTTTAAGGATCCCTCAATGAATAATCACAATGTAATACAATGTAGTGTAGGTGCTAATGGATTAACACATTTTTGGACCCATTCAGGGACTTGACGCCAACCTTGGGAAGTGAGTGAGCACCAGGGTGCGTTTCTCCGGAGGCATCTTTTCCTTCTCGGCGCGGAACTTGTCCAGGAGCTGCCGCCTCATGACAGTGAAGACGGACCGGAGGAGGGACCGGCCGAAGATGTGGGTGGTCTCGTAGCGGGGGAGGCTGTCGCAGAACGCAGGCACGTGGCAGTAACACAGCCATCTAAAGGAAGGATGCAAGCAAACGGCAACGTAGATTGTTTGTTCTGGAAGTTGTTCAGGAATTGTTTCTGATCCAGGACGAGTTACAGACAAGTTGCAGACATTGTATCTGGTAGAAGTTGCAGGATTCTAAACAACTTCCACGCAATCTTCCTGTAAATTTACGTATTGATGAGTCAAGCAGTTGCTAATGAAAATTCCCCGGAACATGTCCAGGACAAACGCAGAGCTTCTTCTGGACAAAGTGAATGATTCTACCCGCAACTTGTCTGGAACTCGTCCTGGATATGAATTGAGACGGGCCCTAAGCAGCTCTATGTAATAGAGCCTTGGTTATTAGCTTTTAAGCAGAACTACAGCTTTATAGTACAAAGCAAAAATCAGCTGAGAACTGGATCCCATTTCTGCTTATTGTTAGCAAAAACTCCCCGCAATAGTGTGGCAGAAAATTACATACTTACGTTTTTAGCATATTTCACGGGTCAGCGAGGAATTTTAGCTTCCGCGCATGCAAGGAGTCTGTGCTCACAGGGTTAGCACAGACTTATTTGCTAGCGCTGAAAGCACAGAATGGTGATTGTAAGCGCAGAATTCTGTGGTAAGCAGAAACTGGGCCTTGGTCCAAAGGAATACACAAAGTGTAACTAGATTTTGTTAAAGTTGCATTCCCCATGCTCTTCAACAAATTCAATTTGTTATTTCTATTTAATAACAAACATGTATGCTTTATTCCAACCAAAAACCTCCTTTTCCCCTTTTTTGAAAGTTTGCAAACCTCTGAAGAAAAAAAACGGTTTTGTTTTTGGGCACAAACAGATATGTTTTGCGAGCAGACTGGTTCCCGGTCTGTACATCATCGATGCTGATTGTGAAGCAGGAACCAGCCTACCCTTAGAGAATGGGAATTATCGTTTGGCAGCCAATAATTCAACAATTGTAAAGTAATAATTCAATAAATAAACATGGGCCTATTTTTTTCAGTTGTTGTCGCATTTAAAACTTTTGTATTGCTGGAAAAATAGCAATTAAGGAATCTATTTTTCAGAATGAAACTAAAAAATAGCACAGGGAATTATCTTTAAGCAAACAGTGTCCTTTGCTCGGCAGATGTCTCAGCTTAGTAGCTCTATGACACTGGCCCCAGCTCTTCCATCGCAAGCAATGGCTAACCCTGAACAGAATCCGCACCCTCCATGCAAGAACAGCCCATCGTCTGCATAAGTGGGGGATGACAGAGAGCCCTGCTTGTGACTGTGGACATCCAGACCAGACCATCCAGCACATCGTGGATGACTGCCCACTGCGGCTTTTCCCTGGCGGCATCAAAGCCATCCACACCGTAACCGATGATGCCCTGGCCTGGATGTCTACCCTTGGCCTACAACTGTAGGCTGTGCACGCCATATGAAAGAAAAAGACTGGTCCCAACTGGTTCGCACCTTGTATAGTTGACTTTGTAAGCGGCCACGTCGTCCGTCTGGGCCCTCTGCTTTCTGACGGTGGGTGTCTCCAGCTTCCAGTGGTTCAGGCAATGCAGGAACATCTTGGCCAGGTCGTACATTGTCTGCCAGTCCTTCTGGGGGAGGTGGCCAAACTTGTAGACGACGAAATTGGTGACACCCTTGTGGAAAAAAATATATTGAATTGTTGATTTTGCATGACCATGAAAAAAACAACATGCAACTCTTTGCTAACTTACGTTCACTTTTTGAGTGCACATCTCGGTACAAAACACTGACTGGTTTAATGCCAAATTGGGAAAGAGTTCCATACCTGGACATCACTTGACACCCTGTGCACAAACCCAATGAGACTGGTCGGAAAAATGCCAAGTGTTTTCTCAGTAAATGCTTCAATATTTTCCCTGCTAAATTTGACTTGTTAGGACATAGTTATTGCTTTCTGATGACTGAAAGGTCACTGCAGGAAAATATTAGTGATGTCCATGAATGGAATTCCTCCTGCCAAGTGCCAATGGCTTTGGGCATGCTAAAACAAACGGAAGTTGATGTCAAAATGGAAATTAAAATGACAATTTATCCAAACTTTAACCATGTTGTTATATCTAAAAGGCTTATCTATAAATCCCTACCTTGTTGATACTTGGTTTCTCAAATGGTGGGCTACCCAGCGGGCCTTCCACGGACGGTTTGCTCATTTGAAGGATGCATTTCCTCAAGAGCTGGTTGAATAACGTCACAACAAAAACAAAAACAGTCAATTGTCAGGTGGTTTCTTACTTCACATAATGACCTTCTCCATTCTGTATGGGGCTGAACATCTCGGATCCATTGCAAAATCCGGTCTTGATCGAAAGTGGTTGAACGAATGCAAGATCGAATCCCACCAGAGATAAAAGTTATTTTGTACTATGGGGAAGCATAAAATGAACATGATTTTCTGATGACACAGCAAGTATTCATGCCGCAAATGTGCAAAATCTGAAACACTTCAACTTTTGCAGATGTATCCTTTTGACATCAGATTCACCTGAAGAATGAACAGGCTTTCAGCTCAAAAGACTTCCTTCAATGGCTTATTATTGGGGAACCCTCATTAACCAAGTCTTCATGGTATTTTGGCAAGACACCCAATAACGTTCTACATTCGTCAAGATTACCCATTGCAACTGGATTCATTAGGTTAAAAGTTTCAAGGCCAAACTGCCTAGTGTCTGCGGTCGCTAACTGAAGCGGGATATAAACACAGCATTGTTCAAGGGGACTAGCTCCCATTGTCTCAGTATTGGCAGTTTATGCACTGGTGTTGATGGCTCAGTGCTGCAAGGTCCCACAGATTTTTACACCTGTTGCAAACGTATAGCTCCATGCAGAAGTACCTCCTCAACAATAAGAAGGGAGGGAAATAAATGTTGCAACCTGACGCCACTTCAGCGGTTGTGTACAAAGTCTATGGAGAGTCAAGAAAATTTTGTATTTCCTAACAAAATTGAAAATGTTCATCAGTCCCAGATTCATGTCTTATCATTTTGCAATGACTGACCTTCATTGAGATGATATATGAAGAAAAATGTGGCGTCAGGCTGCAACATTCTTTCCCAAGGGAGAGTTGGGAGAGACCACTTGGATTGACATTGGAACGCATTGATGACGACGCCTGATGCTCATGCCAAGACACTACGACTTTGTGCACATTCAGAATAAAATAAGTCGTGCGTACTTTGAGATATTCGAGCGTGAAAAGTCTATGGGGCTCTCGAAGGTGGCCATTAAGCGCTGTCTCTTGTTCGCGCACAGAGCCCATAACGTCCCGCAGGGTTAGGATTGAGGAGACTGACTGTGGCTCCCTGAAAACAGACTTGCCATTTCATACGCATATGACCAGGGGCCAATTTTTCACAGAGCAATTCAGAACAGAAATTTGCTAGTCTTGAAAATGAGTTACTTAAACAGAAACGGCTTACCAGCCAAAATCCCACTCAACTTTTATGGGTTCTGACTGGTTCTCCGCCAATTCATGCTTAACACGTTAATTTGCTATTTAAAGCTAAAGTCCATCATTTGCAGCCATCCGAAAAGTAACTGGCGTAATTATTGTTGAAAAACAAACTTGGTTGAAAGATAGTAAGGGGACTAAACTCCCTGTGAAATTATTCTTTCTGGGAAGCTGTCATTTTGAAGTAATCAACGAAAGAAGGCATTTCCAACGGTGATTCTTAAGAAGCACTGTAGGAAAATTTAAATTAGTAGTTTGTTTTGTTATTCAGCGCAGCGCAGCGCGCACAAGTATTGGAACGACGCACACGCACGCGCGGTTGTTATAATTCGTCGGATCAGTGCGCGACGTCGCGTATAGCTGCAATTCAAAACAATTCAAAACATGATTCAGTAACTTTTGATTTGAAATTGAGATCTTAGAATGCTGTTTTTCTCGGAATATACAGCTGAAGCTGAGCTGAAACTTCATCAAGTAAGTTGTTCAGTATCCTTCATTAGATTTTGAACACGTTTGTTGCTTCAAACGAACAAAATGCACTAATTACAAATGATGGACTATAGCTTTAAGCAACATTTTCCACTTGGCAGCAGCATGAAACTGGGCCCAGGCAAGGTGCATCACTCACTTTGAAGAGGTAGAAGTAGACCTGCTTGGTGTCTGCATCCTCCTCTTTGTGAACACAGAGGAAGAGGTTCTCAACGTCAACGACAATTCCAAGGAGACGGTTGATTTCTTCATCTGGAACGTTCTCCAGATGGGAAACATGGGCAGCTGCTCAGCCAACAGTGATAAAAACAACATAATAGAGGAGAATATCAAAAAAGCTGTTGACGTATGTGACCCTAGTGTGAAAATGTGGTACTCTCAAATGGATATTAAAACACCTTTCCTAAGTGTGATTACAATTAACATCACAGTATTCACACCTGCTTGGGTTTTTCATAGAATGCTTTAAATTAATTTAAATTTTTTAATTTTTTTTAATAAGCCATTTGCGAGTGACCTATACCCGTTGGGATTTAAATTTGAAAAACATCTGGTACACTGACTTGCTCAGAATGCTTGGCACATTTTAACTTTGAATTCTCCAGACCAAAGACACTGTTGCTAATCACATGATTTGGGGCAAGCTCTTGCATAGTTACGTAGGAGACGCTCAGCATCAATACATTGTTCACAATGGGTGAGAATGGCACAAAGACACCAGACCATGCCAGAGCTGGGGGTTGCTAGCATAAGGCTTGCCCCGAATCACGTGATATAGTAACAGCCTCTTTGGTCTGGAGAATGCAAATTTAAAACGTGCAAAGCATTGGATTAAGTCAGCGTTCCAGATTTTATTCAAATTTAACTCGCAAATGGCTTATTGAAAACTCTCTTTGACAATAAAATACAGGATATCAGATTTTGCAACAAAACAAAAATGACTGCAATTTTTTTCAAGATTATAATCGGCTGGGACAATTTCATGGTGCTGTTTAACAAAATAGGTTTTATTTACAAAAAGGTTACGTGCCACAATTGCAACTGTCTTGGGTCATTCCATGCCAACTCAACAAATGGTGCACACCATCACCTCTTGGATTTTTTTCTTTTTTGGTGTACTGAAAGATACTTAGGAGAAATGCAAATTCTGAAAATTTGGGGTCTCTACGACTTTTCGTTCTTGCGCAACAGCATTTTGAAATTTGAGGTGGGCGGGGCCAAAAGCGCGTCGCGTCACAAAATTCAATGTTTAAAGGGCCATATATTTAAAACTATACCCCCCAGACATTTCAAACTTGGTAATCTGGGCTAGTTTTTGCTGTAGATTTCAAATATTTAAACAGAAAGAAAGTAGCTTGTTTCATTTTTAAGTTAGAGGGGCCCCAAAATGGCCCAAAACTCATCTGGACCAATGTTCGGGGGGGTGTAAGTCAAAAATTGAAAATATTTTTTTCACCAAATTTTTTGCCTGTAATAGCCCCCAATTGAAACTACTTTCATGTAAAATCTTACACTTATATTAACTTCATTGAATGAGATATAGCCCTTGCAAAAAGCAAATTGTTTATTTTTACGATAACTTGACCCCCCCAAAAACCAACGTCAGACATTCCGCACCAAATTTTGCTTCACATATGTTTGAGGTTGGTCCTTAGTGAAGTCCTCTGAAAAGTTTCATGTTGGTGTCTAAATGTCTTCAGTGGATAGCTGGGCTTTATAAAGAGTCTATATCTTATGATGCTGCAGGTTCCGTAACATACATGTACATGTATTTTACGGAACAGCACAACAAAATCCCCCGACTGTTGAAATACTTTGGTCAAGACTACCCATTTCTTGTGCAATAAACAGTTGCTTGTAGACCTACGTGTGCATTATATGCAAATTAGGTTAAATGACTTGAGAGTCTTATTCTTTCCATGTGCTCATCACACAGCATGCATGTCATGTATGTAGTAATTAACCAGTTCTCACTTGCAAAGCATAGTATAGCACTAACCTGAACCAAAGAGAAGTGATTCAGTTTGAGTAGAGGGTCTATGGTTTTAACCTGATTGATCTTAGTTTTCATTATGGATAAGGGGAAACCTAGTTCATGCAGGAAACTCATCATGCACCAATTGTAGCAGCTGACCTCAACCCAGGAAAATATGTTTGTGTGGTCTATGATGATGTTTGGTACATTGCTATTGTAAAAGATGTATCACAACTTCATGAGGATGTGTATGTCCGCTTCATGTACAGGACGGAATAAACAAATACTCTCTATTGGCCACAAAGAGAGGATAAATGTTAACATTCCATTTGTTGATGTGTTGTGTTGCGTACCAACACCATAACTTCTACATAGCAGTGGAAGGCAATACAAACTTAGTGAGCCAACCATCATGCAACTCATTCAACTTCATCAAAACTACATCACAAGGAATGCATAATATCAACTGTGAAACTGTATTAACAATTATATCAACTGTCTACATGTACAAATGTAAGCTAAGTTTCATACCCAACTTATTCTTTATGTACCGACTGCTGTTATTCTATGTACGCATGTACTTGTATGTTACGGAACCAGCATCGTAAGATATATAGACTCATTATAAAGCCCAGCTATCCACTGAAGACATTTAGACACCAACATGAAACTTTTCAGAGGACTTCACTAAGGACCAACCTCAAACATATGTGAAGCAAAATTTGGTGCGGAATGTCTGACGTTGGTTTTTGGGGGGGTCAAGTTATCGTAAAAATAAACAATTTGCTTTTTGCAAGGGCTATATCTCATTCAATGAAGTTAATATAAGTGTAAGATTTTACATGAAAGTAGTTTCAATTGGGGGCTATTACAGGCAAAAAATTTGGGGAAAAAAATATTTTCAGTTTTTGACTTACACCCCCCCGAACATTGGTCCAGATGAGTTTTGGGCCATTTTGGGGCCCCTCTAACTTAAAAATGAAACAAGCTACTTTCTTTCTGTTTAAATATTTGAAATCTACAGCAAAAACTAGCCCAGATTACCAAGTTTGAAATGTCTGGGGGGTATAGTTTTAAATATATGGCCCTTTAAACATTGAATTTTGTGACGCGACGCGCTTTTGGCCCCGCCCACCTCAAATTTCAAAATGCTGTTGCGCAAGAACGAAAAGTCGTAGAGACCCCAAATTTTCAGAATTTGCATTTCTCCTAAGTATCTTTCAGTACACCAAAAAAGAAAAAAATCCAAGAGGTGATGGTGTGCACCATTTGTTGAGTTGGCATGGAATGACCCTCTTGTTCTCAGGCACTGAGAGTTTATGCTGTTTGAGGTTCTCTGGTTAACACTGTCAGGCTGCATCTCAATTACTTGGCTAAGGCCAGTATGCACCTACTGGTAGCGGCTGAATCCACTTCTCATATATGTATGTGTGTTAATGCCAGCCATAGCCAGATAATTTGGAAGTGGCTTAACTTACCCAGCTGATGGCTGCAGCTCCTGCAAGGGTCCGACAAACTGGCGAGGGGCGTGGCAATGTCCAGACGGCTGGGCTGTGTGGGCGTCGGGGGTGGATTGGGGTTCTTCCATCCATTACACTTACAAGAGTCATCAGCCTGCGGGTAGGTAAAGAGTGGGACAATGATAGTGAGCAGCAAATAATGCAGTGGCTATATGGAAGCCGACAATTGCACATGTGTCACTCACCTCAGACTTAACTTCCCTGCAGAAAGAATCCTCTGATGAAATGTACTTCAATAAAAAGAAGAACGACTAAACAGTAAAACCTGAAAAAGGGGAAGAAACTTGATAGCTTTGGTTGATATTTTAAAAAAATCTCCTGGCATCATAATCCTCTCTTCGCTCCCAGTTGATCAGCCTGAAAGACAAGACTCCAGAACTCAAGAAATGTAGCCTCGTATACCAGATGTCGTGTGATGGCTGTGAAGACACTTGGGTTCTTATATTTTTCGTGAAATTTCATTTTGAAATTTGGCAGTGGATATTTTGCCGGAGACGGCAAATCTTTAGTAAACGTTAGCTTGCCGGATATGCACTGAACATGCGCAGTTACTATTTTTTTGTACTTAGACATTTTCCGGTGACAAAATTTTAGTCTGGCTCCATGCCAACATTATCGTTGTAACTTCGTATTCACAAGATGGGAATCAGACCATTTTACAATTTCAGACTTTATTTCCCTTTAAAAAAATCCTCCAGAGCCACAAATCTGAAAAAGAAAATGTAATACCCTGCAAAAAAATGTTTGAGAACATGTTAAAATAATAAAAGAATAATATTCATATTTTTTGGGATGGGGGAAAAAAAAAATCAGAAATGTCGAGCTAACCGTACCGTACCCTCCGCGGCGCGCTCCGAGCAAACCGAAAATCATCGCTCGATCATATGCGTGCACGTTTCAAGTGTTTCTGTGTGAAATGTCTCCATTTTGATGGACGTTTTTGTACTTTATTAGTGTTTTGTGCTGCAGGCAATTTTGCGGGCTTCTTGATCTATGAGGGTACGTGGAGCCTCATAGTTCTAGGAGTAGGCTAGCTGGAGTTACCCAGCCCTGAGTTTTATCATTGGGTTGTCATCTAGGGCTGGAGCGAGTTTTTCTCGTAACTTGTAGTATAGGCAAACAATTTTGGAAAATGGTCAATTTTGTCCCCGTTACACACTAATTGCAACTGCAACTCACCCCAAACTTGCCTGGAATAACCATTACACAGGTCCTTGAAGTAAAAAACGATCCACGATGAAGATTCAGCCTACAATTGCAGTGAAAACAGGAGGAATAACCACTAACCTGACAACCTTTCAGGCATGGCCAGGACCGCAATTGGTTTGTGCAAAAAAAAAAATTGTGTACAATGAATGGCGGTCGATTAACAGGCACAGAGAGCAATCGCTGTCAACTACTCAGTTTTGCCGGCTGCGCTGGCTGTTGGCGCATGACGTCACGCGGAAGGGTAACACCCGATGACTGTTTCATGCACTAATATAAGGTTTACCACTCGCATCACAGCTTTGGTACTGGAACCGCAACCAATATTGTAACAGGGACAAAATTGAACATTTTCCAAAATTTTTTGCCTATACTACAAGTTACGAGAAAAACTCGCTCCAGCCCTAGATGACAACCCAATGATAAAACTCAGGGCTGGGTAACTCCAGCTAGGAGTAGGCCGGTTCCACAGAAGAAATGTCGGAAATAGGCATCTTACCCATGTAGAAATAACACGGACAAAAACAAAACAAAGCAAACCTTGCAACTTGAGTACACGCCCAACTTCTCCAGCTTCTTCGTCTTCGGGTAGTTTCTGACCTGCGTTTTTCTCTGAGCGATCCTCTGAAGATTCATCGGCCGGCTGATTTCGCCCGGGTTGATCTGCGTGGCTGAGGCGCGGCGCTGGCTGACGAATTCCGCGTTTGCAGAAGCGGAATCCCCAGCAGCAGCCGCCATTTTGTGCTAAAAATGAACAAAGAATGAACCCGAACTAAAACTCATCATTTAAAAGGGGTGGTGTAGCAGCGGCAAAGAAGGCCCAGAATGCTACGGAAGCGTATTTAGGACATAACCGAAAAAAAAAATTCTGGCGCACTATTTCGCCTGGGCAGAGTACTATTTCGCCCGGGCGAACTACTATTTTGCTCGGGCGAATTACTATTTTGCCCGGGTGGGTTACTATTCTACCCGGGCGGATTGCATTTTGAGCTGTTTTTGAGCTCAAAAATAACTCAAATTAACCCAATTTTGGAATTAATATGAATTTGCTGGTACACTTAATTAGGAACAGGTTGGGGTGCTTAATATTTAAAAAAAAAACCAACAACTTTTATTGGGTAATCGGGCTGTTAATCTCACCTTTTCAAGTTGGGATGATTTGGAAAATATAATCATATATTCCGCTACTTTTCTTCAAAACGGTTCATATCATGAACTTGAAACTTGGACTGAACATCCTGACACAGAGTACTACATATTAACTTGACGTCATTGTGACGTCAACAGTTTTTTACGTGATTTTCGGTCGTTTATAAATCATGAACTGTACAAACGGAAAATAAAATTTTGTTAAAGTTGGTATATACGTGCTTTTCCAAAGTTTGATTTTCTTTTCCGAAAGAAATATAAAGTAATATAATGTGCTTAACAAATAAATTGGCTTTTTTTTTTTTTTTTTTAGTTTTTCAAGCTTTAGGCCTATATACGGAAGCGTATTTAGGACATGACCGAAAATATTTTGTAGGCCCACTACCTCGCCTGGGCGGATTACTATTTTGCCCGGGCGGATTACTATTTCGCCTGGGCGGATTACTATTTCGCCCGGGCGGATTACAATTTCGCGCAGACGAATTAGTAATCCGCCCGGGCGAAATAGTAATCCGCCCGGGCGAAATAGAGGGCCGGATAATTTGCGTTTGGTCATGTCCTAAATACACTTCCGTACCTATACCATTTTCAAAAGTGGTTTTGAAATGGCGCGCTCCAGTTCAGAAATTGTGCGCACTATCTATTTTACGAGGTGCCATTTCCCCAGAAGTACCAACTTTAATGCTCTCTAGATCTTATGTAGAACTTCATCGACCAGTTAATTGATAGACAAATTGGAAATTCTGTAAAACTTATCTGTGTTGTAAATTTACAATTCACATCACTTGCTCAGGCTCCGTTTCGAATCACGAACGGTCGGATCATGGTCGGATTGCTTATGCGACGCTCAAAATTTTGGCCACATGGTCCGCAATGAAACAGAAAAACACCCGGTATGTAATGTACGAATTTCTATTGGAAGTTTTCGGATAGCATTTGCGCACATTGTCTAGCTGCGGTCTTGAACAGCTGCAGCTAGATGCTTTATACATAGGTCATGGGCCACTTCTTTCACAAGATTCTGTGAACTTGAAGCTCATCAGAGTATCCCAGCACCCTGTTTGCTAGGCCGAGGTTGTGAGCGAACAAAGCATTATTATTTTTCATTCAATTCACAACTTGTACTTTAAGTGAAAGAAAGTCACGTTGATGAAGAAAATCAGTCGTACGGTAATACCTGATGACGTCACAATAACGTCACGGTAATATCTATACGGTAATATGACTCAGCATTGAAGTTCAATTACGGGTAGTAACATCAAAGTTGATCGCCAACGAGCTGAAATGTGCCGGGGACTGGGGATAGAGGATGATCAGAATCCAAACCTTTTCCTCACTGGCCGTTGAAATTCGAATGGGGTAAGTTTATTTCTGCATTCAATAGAGGGCAATAGCTGAGGGTCCCCAATTCCCCGGAAGTCCCACATTTACGATCGTGTACAAAACATATTGGAGGTCTTCCTACGAAGAGTACAAACAAAAGAGGACAATACAGCGTGTATAAAAAAAATGCAAACAAAGTATAACGGAATGCTGGACGTAGAATGTGTAACCAAAATGGATAATATAAGTATGATTGGAAGATACGCCTTTCCTCTTTAAAATGAGACATCAAACGTCTAAATCTGATAATGTTTGACAGAGTTATGAGTAATTTTTCAAGAGAAGTCCAATCGGCCACGGGACCAAGCTTTCCATATTTGTAGGCGTTTGCAGCCATGTGGTTGCTAAGGCAAAGTGTCTGGTATTGTTAGGCAAAGCCAATCCGATTACGTACTTAGACGCTACAATAGAGCAGTGAAATCCACGCACCCCCCAAAAAACATGGCCTTTTGAGCGCTGTGTTTCTCAGAAAATATGCTCAGTATGATAGAAATATTAAATTATAACGGAAGACGACATGTTAAACTTCATGTCAATGAAAAATAAGCTTGCAGTGGTCACCGATGCCAAAACGTCAATACTGGTTACTGGTAAAGCTGACCTTCAAGTCTGGAAGAAATCTTCCCCAAATGTATGTATTAACCTCAATTTCTAGGAATCTCTCCAAGATGTTATTTCACGAGTAGTTCAACTCTAGTATCATGTAAGAATATTTCGAATTTCAGCTTAATCTGTTGTTGCAACGCTAACTAGAACTATCTCCATGGAAATTTCGAAGAGGATTTTCCGCCGACACAACCGGCGTGCATTGTTCAGCAAAGCGCCATAGGCGCTAAGGTTGACCGATTTCGGCCAAGCGACACAATAAAGTATGGTAGATTAGCATCATTCCGTCACTAGGCGTGTTTTGGCGTGGGTCTCGACCAATGGAAGCCGGCAAAAAGGGTGATATTTATCACTTAATTTACTCGTGATGAAGGAGGCTTATCTCCAATTTTTTTTTACTGCACACCATAATGGATAGGAACCTTATTAATATTCGTCAGGCTTAAAAAGATTGACAGATATTGCAAACGCCAGTGTTCCAACTTTCAAAAATGCACGTAGCCAGGCCTACGTTGAGCTAAGTCACTATACTGATATCTGATTGGTCAAATCCTCTTGTATAGAGTTAAGCACATTGTGTGACAAGACTATAAGGAAGTTGGCCTATAAAAGGTAAAGCTGATGAGAATAAAACTCACTTCTTGATCAGATGGGGCCAAAGATGTCCAACAAATCTCCTGTGCCTAATTTATTGTTGTTTTGTCTAATTAATTAAACTTAGTTAAAGGGTGTGGTCCCGACAGTGATCCACATTAAATCCACCCGTGATCCACATTAAATCCACGGGTCCGTGATCCACCCAATCCACTATGATCCACCCAAATCCACCCGACTCGGAATCCACCCCATTCCATAGTGATCAACCCAATTCACTAGGTCATCCCGGCCCCGATACAAATCAACCCAAAAGTAATTCACCGTACTACACAGACAGAGGGCAGAAGGGCTCAACTGGAAGAATCACTGGAGCTGAGCTATTCAACCGCAGGTGCTGACGTCTTTAGACCTGGCAGTGCTAGGGAAACTGATTGGCTACGCCTGTTACAATATTTGTTACGTGAGCAGATTCGCTGATTAATTATAGGCAAGACAACCGCCTCTTGACCTCCGAGATTTTGACCAATTAGCGGGCGCTTTCTATATCGGGTCTCAGTCATTCACCCGTTGCGCGTCATGCATAGACAATGGTAGAAAAAAAACTGTGATACGCGCTCTGTATCATGTTATGTGCATAATGCGCCCGGTTGTTGTTGTATTACAAAACACTGCATTCGAATTCTGCATCAAGCCATTTATTTTGAGTCCTGTTTTTGGGAATGAAATGACGTCCGTGGCGATTTAGTACTGGTTCATCAGCCCTGCCAGCGTCCTGTTTGCAGGGCGGGGTGCGAGCGAAGGAAATGGTGGGCCTTTCAAGTTCTGGTAAAGTCCAGTCAATTTGAGGGTGTGGTGCATTTGGTATAGGATGTCATATCTGAACCGAGACCAGTTTTTTTTACTCTCCACGCGAAGGCTTGAAAAAGACGATCACTCTCGAGAATTATATCCGATCATTGTTGAGAAAAGAATAATTCGGGATGGCATTGGTATTGGTGTAAAAATGATTTTTAGAGTCCCGTCATACTAAATCTTTAAATTGCATCTTTGACCTCTCCATTAAGAGCAGAAAGAACACGCTGTTATAATGAATGCGCTGAGTACATGTACTTGTGACACGTGGGGCTTTAGCGGCTTCCGTAGCCAAGTGATTTCGGGCACGGACCTAGACTACATCCTAGACGACAGCTATTCGATTGCAATAGCAAACCTAATCATTGTCTTGTAGCCTGTCTATTTTAAAGCGCGCCGGCGCCAAAGGTTGAGCAGTAAATGAACGGTGCTGCTGCAGTGTTGATAAGTACAGTGTCTGCTCAGCTGATCGGGACTCAATACTCAACAGCCGGCCCTAGACATGGAGGAGGGACAACCTAAACCAAGGATAAATGGATCGATGTTGCCTAAGTTTCAAGGAAGTGAAGTTTGTTTGCTTGGTCGGGTAAAAGAAGTAAGCCGTGTAATTTTAATCTTTCAATCCAAACAGCGTTGATCATGTTGATCTGACTCGGCCTACATGGCCTATGTCACTGTCACTGAGTGTCAATGACAGTGTCTTAAGCTTGCCTTTGCCTAGCCCCATAAATGTGGCCTATTTACTGGACTGCCTCCGTAAACATAGGCCACACATCCACATGTACAAAAATCGTGTCGACGGAGCCAAATTTTGATTTTCACATTTAGGCTTAGTTTGTAGGTTTTTTTGCTTTAGAAGCATACTCACCCTCTTTACATTACAGGCTAATCAGAAAGTGCTGCCTTTTTCAGATGTTTAATTTTTGTGAAATTTCATGTTGAAATTTTGATACGCAAACGTGTAAAAATGAATCTGGAAATTTCACGAAAAATATACATCTGAAAAAGGCAGCACTTTCTGATTAGCCTGTAAAGAGGGTGAGTATGCTTCTAAAGCAAAAAAAACCTACAAACTAAGCCTAAATGTGAAAATCTAAATTTGGCTCCGTCGACACGATTTTTGTACATGTGGACGTGTGGCCTATGTTTACGGAGGCAGTCCAGTAAATAGGCCACATTTATGGGGCTAGGCTTTGCCACAGTCGGACAGTGGTCAACTGGCACTGTTCGGCGCCACCCGTCCGCCGTGTTTTTTTTGGGGGGGGGGGATGGGGGGGGGGGTAATTACAAACAATCCAGATTACTGGCGGTTTATTAACAAACCGGTATTGGGTTGGTGAACCTTGTCCACAACCTGTTAATTATTCAATTATTTTTTTCATCAGTCATGCCAATTGTCGGTATTCCCGTTTCATTATCTGATCATTAATTTACATATGAATTGAATGGGAAAGAATGTTGCAACCAGACGCTACTTCAGCGGTTGTGTACAAAGTCTATGGAGAGTCAAGAAAATTTTGTATTTCCTAACAATTGGATTTGGAAATGTTTCTCAGTCCCAGATTCATGTCTTATCATGCTTATCACTTTTGCAGTGACTAACCTTCATTGAGATGATATATGAAGAAAAAAAGCAGCGTCAGGCTGCAACGTTCTTTTCAATGAATGCATATAAATTATAAGATTAGAATTAATATTTGTAAATAAAATTAGGTTTTTAAACTGTAGAGACAAACATGACAACGAAAGAGAAATAATCTTGGAATTTCTGTAAAGTTAGACCTGCCACTGCCAGCATAACAAGTCTTTTACCAGTCAGCAGGTCCAGAGAAGCGATTGTGATTGGTCAGTCAGTGTTCTGTATCTGGATCATTATACATGTGTACAGTGAAATTTCGATAAGTTAAACTCTGATAACTCAAAACAACTGTTCTCCGACAAAACGGCTACCCGCATCACATCATCAGTGTTTGGAGGCATGAGTTATGAAACTGGTAGTGGTAGGGCCTATCTCAAAAAGGTATTCTTGAAACTTTCTTCTTTCTGATGAAGCTTTGAATTTGAAACATGATTTATTTTTATATTTAGATTTCCAATTGCCAATTCAACAATGTGTTGACAGATCATGATCACAAAATTCTCGATATGAGAGGCATTAAATGAAAGTTTTAACTGGTTCATGGTCCCATTAGTTTAATTATGCACACATTTCCTGGTTTGTTTGTCGTCCATACCCAAGATGCATTGTGAATATCGAAAAAGTTATTGGTCGGGTGTCAATCAAATCAGTGGAAATCAAAATCGAGACTGTTTTTCATAAGTAATAATGTCGTACAGCTAAGCTCTCAACGGTACAGTCAGCCAACTGGTAAGATTGGGGAGGAGAGTTCTATATTTGACATAGCCCTCAAGACATGTAAATGAAAGTTTTAACTGTTTCATGGTCCCATTGGTTTAATTGTGCACACATTGCCTGGTTTGTTTGTTGTCGTAAATGATACTTGATATCCATGCACAGTTAACATGTTCAGCCAAGTTCCTTTCCCTTTTATTATTGTTCAACAGATTGATCCCAATGGAACCTCATTTGTGCTGGGACTCAGTGATGGTGTAGATGTTCAAGTGCAGCTGCAAGATCCTGTAAGCTATTTATTTCCGAGAGCGAGCCTACATGTACCGTTGTTGTAGGGCTGTGCATCGGAACTGAGTACCCGAGTACCCGACCGTTGATGCCAGGAACTTGGTTCCAGAGTATGGAATGGATACCTGTAACCAACTTTACAAATTACTAAGTAAATTCTCAGACAGTGAAAACAGAAGGTTTTGAATTTTGTGGGGAATTTAAAAAGAAAAGAAATCAGGCTATACGGGAAAACAAAACATATATTTCACGTTGATGACGATCTTGAAATTTGCAATTTACAAAGTAAAGCTATAGACAGATCCAGCGGCAGCACTTTTTCTTCGGTGGCACCAGGCTTGCGCGAGTCGCACTCAGGGAGCACTCATGCACTCCAGGCTCCTTTGACAAATAAGAATACCATAATGCGCGCACCTCGTCTTTAAGAATGCGTGCAGCATGCGCATGAGTGTTTCACCATCGCAGTAACTGGCTTCTAATTCTGGTCTTGTCTTACCTTTGTAGACAATTTGAACAACAACTTCCAAGATTTGAATTTTGGGGTTGGGTTTCTTTAATGGGTACGCATAATTTGTATCCATCGGGTACCCGGTTCCTGTACGACCTGTAAATGCACACCCTACGTCGTTGGCAGTAGCCAATTTAGTCAAAATTTTAAGAAAAAAAGGTGTTTTAGGCCCAAAAAAATAATAAGTCGGTCTCTGGTCAGCGCGCGCGTCGATTTTAATTATGCACGTCAATCTTTTTTTTTTCCAAAATGTTCCGCAGTAGCTCCCTCTATTGCCGCACCTCCTCAACTTTTTTTTACCAAAGAGCACCAAGGAATGGGAAATTGCACTAAGGCAAATGATCGAGAGCACCAAGGCAAATTATGGAGGACACCAATTTACATGAGGACACCAATTTACATGAGGACACCAAATAGCAAAATAGTACCCCACCTTGTCTGTACAATCCAAGCTTGAAGGAAAAAAAGAAAAGAAGCCGCGTCCCCGCGTCAATTCCGGAACTTTGGTCTGACCAGAGACCGAATATACATTTTTTTTTTGGCCTTAATGCTCCATCCTTGAAATCAACCGGGTGCTTTTGGAGGAGTGAGGCAGTGTGCATTTTGGAGGCTGCATTACATGTATACCTTGTGTTGTTTGTGTGTATGCCTATAGCCATTATGCACAAATGAAGACATACCGTAAATTATACATGATATCATCGGCACTGCTTCTGGATATCATTGGCACTGCCTCAACAGGCATTCACAGATTGTTGTGAGGATTTTCATGGATTGAGGCACTGAACCAATGGGAGATTTTTGAGGCGCTTGGTGGCAGCAAATACAACAGTTCTTTTCTGTTTGCGTCGTTTTGAACATGCGCACATTGGCTTAAACATGAAGTAAACAATTGAAAAGGACCGGTGTGTTTGCTGCCAAGCGTCTCAAAATGATCCCTTTTAAAACAACGGATGATTTTTGAGGATTGAGGCAGTATCCATTTTTTATGTGGAGAAATAAAATCCTGTCCCCACTGGAGACAGGTTTTTTTAAGGATTGAGAGTGCATCCTTGCCAAAAAGGCTGAGGGTGGTAGGGTTTTACTTGTACTACATGTATATTTAAAGCCATACTTGGGTTTTAAGCAAGCATAACTTAGAAAACCTAAAATTGCAAATGTACGGTTTAATAACATTTTACAAGTTGTTTTTGCACATTAGACAAAAAAGTTATAGCATATCAAATAATATTGCTACTTTCATATTTTTCTTCTGATTGATACGTTTACTTTTTGCTTGAACCGTTGTTTTTTTTCCAGCTTCAGGATATGATTGAAGGCATGACGGAGGTCATAGGTCACGTCTCTCAAAACCCAAGAGTCATTAATTCTTCACAATTCGTAAACCTTGGAGAAATGGACTTTGGTAAGTCTAATACATGTTTACATTTCAATTTAATTTGGGTGTACATGTATGTACTGTAAGCATTGTGTCAGCCAATTGTACAAAGCAACTGGCCCATTAAGGAACAATAGCTGGCGCTATTCTTTCACCATTGCAGGGGCCTTCGTGAGTGTTCAGTGATAACAAAGTCTGAACACGGCCTCAAATTCTCTCATGGTGAATTAATAGTCTGAGAACAACATGCCTGTCATTGGCCAATTGACCTATGACATACATGTAGAGGCCTTCTTAAATTAAAGATGTACTATACTGTGCTGCATATATATCGAGTTTTACCCCCCAAAGTAGATTTTGTTTTGAGACCGTACCTTTGCTGTACCACCCTCTTTGTAATCTGAATGGCCTAATTCCTTAGCGTCATGTTGAGCACAGCACCCTATTCTGAGTATTCATGCGCCCTGTAGATATTTAAATTTAGTTGACCCCGACACCAGAGGTTTTTGAGGCTATGCATTTCAGACTTGGCGCAAGTGAACTTGAGTATTGTCAGCATGGCTGCATCGTGATTGGTGATTTGTCATGTTTATTGGCTTGGACCTTTGTCAGTGTTGTAGTTGAGTCCATCACAAGTCCCTGCAAGTCCATCACAAGTCCCCCAGGATCAGGTCAAATTTTGTCATTGTTCATCCCGTTACTGGTGACGACACTTACGAAAGGACTTGTGACTGGACTTCTGAAAGGACTTGTGACTGGACTTACAAAAGGACTTGTGACTGGACTTATGAAAGGACTTGTGACTGGACTTACGAAAGAACTTGTGACTGGACTTACGATAGGACTTGTGACTGGACTTACGAAAGGACCTGTGACTGGACTTACAAAGGACTTGTGACTGGACTTACGAAAGGTCTTGTGACTGGACTTACGAAAGGACTTGTGACTGGACTTAGGAAAGGACTTGTGACTGGACTTACGAAAGGACTTGTGACTGGACTTATGAAAGGACTTGTGACTGGACTTACGAAAGGACTTGTGACTGGACTAAGGAAAGGACTTGTGATTGGACTTACGAAAGGACTTGTGACTGGACTTACGAAAGGACTTGTGACTGGACTTACGAAAGGACTTGTGACTGGACTTATGAAAGGACTTGTGACTGGACTTATGAAAGGATTTGTGACTGGACTTACAAAAGGACTTGTGACTGGACTTACGAAAGGACTTGTGACTGGTCTTACGAGCAGACTTCTGAAAGGACTTGTGATGGACTTGACTACAACACTGACCTCTGCAGTCATGGATGTCTTATAGCATCATTGATGTCAAAACAGACTTCTAATTCCATCATTTAAAGTATTTGTTCTCGTCGGAATGTAGGATGAGGTGTCCTACTTTTATTTCTGTCCTGTTACTCTTTTTTTTTTAAAATTCATGTACGGTGGCTAATTTGTTGTAATTCAGTCACTTTTCAATCTAAATTGGCACAGAATATGTTTGCGTAGGAGGGTTAATGCTACCGTAGAGTTTAAAATAATCACCTATGGAAAAATTGAACTTGGAAAGGTCTTTAAATTGGTCTTGATTTGACTCTCTATAACGCATTTTTACCTGAACTTGATTGTTGATCTCAAAATAATATCTCTCAGTAGTCTTTCCTCAAGTAATACTCCGTAGCATAGTTATTTGACTTATTTTGCCTATAAAAGTTCAAATGAGTGCGGTCTCAAAAGGTCTTGGAAAGGTTTGACTACAACACGTCATCTAGGGAAACTGTTAAATGCATGCTTTTAAGAAAGTCATAACCCAAGCTGAACATCCATGATTTGGCTTACTGTTTACATGAGGCTACTGTTTCTCTTTTACAGATATGACACTGTACGATGAAGCTGTCAAGATCACACACGAATTCCCTAATTACTACTTGCAAGGCAGTACTGCTCAGTGAACATTCCAGAGCTCATCACAGAAGAGTTAGCTACAATCCCAATCAGCCAACATCACATTGGCCTTTCCACAAAGGACTGTACTTATCAATTTTGAGCCATCAGACTTCGGAATTCCACATTGACCACTTGCCCCAGACTGTGATCTCACATTTTCATGTTAACTTTAAAAGTTTACATGTTAAAGTTTTTAAGATTGCTCTGTCCGTGCTATTTTAGGGTATCACTCTGAACAATAGAATTGTTTTCTTTTTCAAATGCTGTTTCTCTAGCAAGGAATAAGATATTGACCAAACACATCTGTCCGTATTTTAGTTATTGAATAATTACAAATTGACTTGCGGCCCAACAATAAATCAGTTCTTGCAGGAGCATATTGCTTAAAACAAATCTCAGCACTGACAGTATGTTCAGAATGGGCAGTTTCTTTTGAGGTTTCGCATTGGGAAGACTGCGAATCCAGTGAACGCAGAGCACAAAAAGACAGCAAACGTTAAACACAAAGTGAAAGCACAAACGGGAGATTTATTTTGATGATAATCTGAAGCATTTTAGATTTTATTACTCAGTATCGAAATTTCGATATGATTAAAAGAATTGCTATCAGTGATATCGATATCAAAATAATATTGAATAATAGAGTAATATTGATATACCGACGGTGCTGGGGGGGGGGGGGGAACAATGTCTGTATTTTGTCCAGAATTTTCCAAAACATATGTAGCGCAAAGCTTTTCTTCACATGTAAAGTATGTGTGTCATTGCAGCATGTAAATATATGTCCCTTTTTAGATACTGTTACTCTTTTCCCCACATGAACATACTGGAAAAGTTATGTATAGAGAGTATATCTCACATTGCTGATTGGTACATGTAGGTACCAACCAGCAATAAAGCTAACTTAACACATTATTGGAGACGTCTTATAAGAGATGTCTTATAAAATCCAAACATACTGTTTCCAAGACTTTCTAAATGACTGCAACGGTTGCAAATCTTGCACATGTAGATGCCCCAAGCTTTTCCAAATGTCAAACTTAATTCCAATCTTCGGAAGACTGTATGCATAACGAATAAAGAAAAATTGTGTGATTACAGTAACCAAACCTACCTGAATTTTTTTTAACGTCAAATTGTCGACCTCAAAACTTTTCATTGGCCAAAATTTTTAAAATGACGTATAGTTTGAAAATAAAAAAAAATTTCCCCATGAATTGCACAATAATTTTATTACACTATAAAATTGGGCCTTTAAATGGTTCTCCAGATACTGTGCGCCTTATAAATTATCTGTTATTAATATTATTATTACACTATAACACAGGTTAATTAAACAATACTGTCTATGGTACCCTAAAATATACAAAGTACATGTATAAGGACCGACAGACAAACATTAGCAAAATGAATTAATTTTCCCACCTACATGTACCCACCTGGATAATTTTTAGCGTGTTACTGTAAACATACATTTTTTCGGCTTTAATTTGGTGTGACTCTCGTATGTCAGTGTATTCGCTCTTTTCACGCTCCGCCATTGGGCATGCACAGCCTCGAACTGGCAACTTTACACAATGAAAATAGCTGATTCAGTGATCTGAACCCCGACACGGGAATCACTGAACCGGCTATAGTCATTGTGTAAAGTTGCCAGATCGAGGGCTGTGCATGCCCATGGCGAAAGTGTGAAAAGAGCGAATTAAAGTGACCTGGTGTGTAATAAGTGACTCGCACTAGGAGCCAGAATTGTCTGAAACACTTTTGTTCCGGACAAAATGTCTGAAACTGAACAATGTTCGCCGTTGTTCAAATTTCAGACTTTTTGTCCGGAACAAAAGTGTTTCAGACATTTCTGGTTCATAGCGCCAAAAAGAAACTTGACATTGCCTGTACATGTAAATATCCAAGCTGTGTTTAACTGAAGTATTTCACAAAAAGTACATTAAATGCCAGAAATAACTTTTGAGCCTCAGCTGTGACTCAATTATTTGTGTATTTGTAAATGAAGTTTTCTTTCAAGTTATTTGATAGATACTTGTACGACTACAACCTGCGTGAAAACAATTGACATGTTTTTAAACTGAAAATGTCAATGCTGAACATAATCCCAGAAATACTGGCATCCTGTCTTTTCTCATTTGCTACGATGAATATCCATGAATGGTGTACACTGAGTGCTTATGGGTAATATTTTGGACATATAGGGTGACATAGCATTACGTCATGGTCAGCCGAGCCAATGAAAAGATCTTTTCAGTAGCGTGTGTGTTGTCATTGGTTGCTATGTGTTACCATATGGTCTGGTACTGATATTAGGAGATTTCAGAAGTTTCTGATGGCCGCGCCAACCTACATTTAAACCTTTAGGTTTAGACCTAAACTCAAATTTCAGCAAGAGCTGGTCGCTCTGAAGGATGAGCTCAGGATTCTGGCCCGAGAAGTCCCTGGTTCCAATACTGGGGTGGTCCTTGGGAGAATTTTTTAAGTTTTTTGATTAAAATGTGCATGGTGGGTACTGAACCTGAGACAATTGGCTTGGTTGCCCTATGACTTGTCCACTGCCCTACTGGGTTTTTCTTGCTAGAAGTGAACATTCTGATAATTATAAAACCTTGGGTTGTTATGAAAGTTGGAGGCCGAGGGGTAGAGGCCTTGGGTAGAAATTTGGGACTAGGGTCTGGGCTAGTCAGCTTGCTGGTTTAATTTACTGGGTGGATGGTTGATACTTCGTCTGTCTACTGTATGATATTCTAAAGAAGTATTCAGCCTGGATGATTGGCTTGTTGGGAATTGAGTGCTCATTTTAAGTGCTTCCAAGAATATTATTCACCAGACTGGGTCTAGAAAGTAAATTTAACAACTGGAAGACATTGGAGCAATAATGTAACAATTCTAATGTGTTTAAATTGCCATTTCATGGTTCGGGATTTATTTCTGCATTTTGTTACAAAACAGCAGTAAATAGGATACATCAATGTATAAGCTTACAGTGCATTACAATGAAATGTAACAATTTCTTTTAAAAACACTTTTACCGTAATAAAGCATATTAAACTAAATTTTAACCTGACAATTTGTAAGAAAATTTCAGACAGTTAAATGGCCAACAATAGCTCAGTGTGTGCCCAGTTTGTTGGGCATACACTGATTAAATAATAATACATGTAATTGAACACATTATATGGCGGGCAAATTCAGCTCCGCCATCACAGCAGTCAAAATCAATCAAGTGACTGTTTTAACAATTAAGAGTTCCCGTGTTCATTTGACCTAGCCATGCTTTGACTGGAGGTGATTGATACGGCAGTTGTACGTAACAGTTACCTCTTGTGTCTGTTGATGGAATTTGACTAGTCACAATGTTTACAAGGATGTGATATGACTGTTTATTACTAGTCTGTATACAAATGCATGGCAAGGGAAGTGGAAGAACTTTTGGTTCCCGACCCAAAATCAGTATTGATAATGTACAGACCGGAACCAGTCTGGGAAAAAATGTTGCAACCTGACGCCACATTTTTTGTCATATATCATCTCAATGAAGGTCAGTCATTGCAAAAATGATGATAAGACATGAATCTGGGTCTGAGAAACATTTCCAATTTGGTTAGGAAGTACTTAGAAAGTTTTCTTGACTCTCCATAGACTTTGTACACAACCGCTGAAGTGGCGTCAGGTTGCAACATTCTTTCCCCGGTCTGCACACAAGGTGGGTCTGTTTGTATCCAAAATAAAAACCTACATTTCATAGGGTTGCAGATAGGGTTGCAGATTTTGTTGTTAGTTGAAATAAAGCATACAAGTTGAAAAGTTACAAAAAGAAATAAAACCCGAATTGGTTGAAGAGCACATGGAAAGTAAGTTTAATATTAGTTAATTAAAACACCAGCCTATTATGATCTGTATTGCCTGAAACCACCCAAGAACCCTATGGTCTCATAGAATCTGCAGGGAATAAGTACAATGCTATAGTGGCGCTTATGGTTTTAAATGTAAGCATGTAAATGCTGGAAGCATGTCTTTTGCATGAGGCTGTCAGTATACAAATATATGGTTTGAGTTTGAAGAAGTGTCAAACTACTGGTGCTGATGTGTTGGCTGGTTTGACTACTTTCTGATGTGAAGCAGAGGGAGGTAGTCAAAACCAGCCAACAAAGAGGGACCAGTCATTTCACACTTTGTTCCCGACATAAAGCATAATGTATTTGTTTTACACTTCATACATATTTGGTTTCAAAAGTGGAACATTTCTGTGGGTAGTACACAGAATCTGCATGACCATTTGCCTGTCGTGACGTTTTAGTATGGCACCACCAGAAACCTCACTTGCGACTGCACCCGTCGCATGGTGGGAGTCTGGGAGCTAATCTTCGGGTACTACGTACTTCTCTGGTACTGCTGACCAGTTGGGTAATAGTATACATCACGCATTCAATCATGCATGTCGGTAGCTACTTTTTTCCCCAGATGCATTGGCACATTGACCAATAAAAGCAGCGCATTTGGCTCACAAATATGCATGAGGTGTAGCAACACAATTTTTAACAAATACACTATCATGACAATTCCGTGCAGATTTCTTTTATACATAATGTCTTTTACACAAGATTTATTGAGAGAATTGTCGGGTCTTGTAGTACAATCAACGTTTCCCAAATACAGTATGAATGATGGAGAGAATGAACTCCGTGTACTAGTACCCCTCAACGGCTCCCATAGAGAAAGTTGGGGGAGACCACTGGGAGTTACGCTTGCAAGCGAAGGTAGATTTGTGCAAATTCAGGGTAAAATAAGTTGTGCATTTTTCATGCCATACACATAAGAACAAGTACAGGCATGCGGTGTGTCCCACTGGAGATCTTGAAAGGTGTTGCACAGCGCCACCTATTGTCCATGCACTGAGCCCATCAGCTGGAGTGTACTGCTAGTCTTGCTTCATGTATTACTGTCAGCAGCTGAGAAGACTGTACCCACTGAATCCATCAACATGCATCGGCATACACAGCCTGTCACTGGACACTCTGTGTGCTCCCTAGACATCAAACAACAAATTAAAAATTTCATTTGGTTATAAGTAAAAGCTAGCATTTCAATAAGGGAATAAATGTGTGCTCGAGAGGTTTTAATCACTCTGTTTAAGACTGCTTAGAGTCTGGGTGCTGATAATTACCCGAGCCGGAGGCGAGGGTAATTATCAGCACCCAGACTCTAAGCAGTCTTAAACAGAGTGATTAATACCGACCGAGCACATATTTATTCCCATTCATAAATACCTTTTCGGTAAAAAAAATTCAATTAATTCCTTCAAAAAATCCCGATTTTGTTCAACAAGTTCACTCCAGCTTTTTGAAACATCCCTCTAGCAAAATAATGGAGTGTTCAGCTGGCGAGTAAGATGTAAACAACCCTTTTATGGAGATTGACGCGCGCGTGGCACGTTCTGCGCGATGTCGCGCAGAACGCACCTGGGGCGTTGCGTTTTGAATCTAGAACTATAAAATTCTGACTCACTGGTAGTGTTGCGCATGCCTACGTGAGGATTGTGAACGTTCAACCAATGAAACGGTAAGAGGCACTGGATTTTTAGGAGTCCACATTTTATTGTGACACTGGAAAAGTGTTTAAGACCAGCTAGCCATGTCTTTATCATCCGTTTAAGACCGGCCATGTGACGGGCTCCCGACCAATAGGAATGCGTAAACTGTCTAAGGTATTTATGAATTGTGATTTAAAGGTAAATGCAAGCAATGATGAGTGTCAAATCTTAATGCTGATAAACTAAAATGTGACTGGATACCACTATATGAGTCTAAAGTCTGGTTTACACTTCACGTGAAAGCATGAAGTATGAACCGGACTTTAGAAGCCAAGTATGAAGCCAAGCCAATTTCAAGACGTAAACAATTGGAATTTCATTGTGATGTTCACAGTTACCCAAACAAATTCGCTTTGAATTAAATTTGTGTGAAGTGTGAACCAGCATTTAAGGACACTTTTTAAACACTTTATTTATGTATTCTTTGAAGCAACCCAAAATAACAGCCTTTTTTTCAGAGGGCTGTGGATACCCAAAATAGAAAAAAAAGGAACTCATTGTTAAAATATAACATACCGTATGTGCACAAACTGAAAATTTGCAAGAAGAAAGCAAACTGAATTTGTTCAAGAGCTCGGACTGAACATCTTAAAAAAATTAATAAGAGAAAAAAAATATGAACAAGTGTCAATAAATTAAATCTCTGAATTTCTTTTTGTGAATTGACAAATGTGAGTAGGCATCTGAGATGAAACTCACTGAAAACATGGTAATTGAATTAGACTGATCCATTAAGCCACGCCCCATGGTGTTTGGAACAATCACAAGCGTGATTAACATACATGCACCAAAGTCTGACATTGTTTGTGCACATTAACATGTAGCCTGCGGCTGAACCATGCAGTGTAGCATTAGAAACGCACACATGCTGTTGCCCACATGCTCAGAGGGCAGGGCCTAATTGATCAGTCAATTGTTGAATCGCTGCTACTTACTTGAACCATTCCATTAGATGACAAGCATGGCCTCCATGTCGACAGGATTGACACCATGTAAACCACTGGCTGAACTCCGTCTGTTTACTCTGAGTAACAGCATCTTAGTCAAACACAAAAGTACACAGACAACTATTCAATAATATATTGAGTTCACAGGCTAGATGAAAACACTGAAAGAAGTATTTCAAAATATAATAAATGCATGGGAAAATAAGCCTTGTCACCTTTTCACGTTTTTGACCAAACAAGGTATTTCTCAAGTCTGTGCTGACAGGCTTAAGGGGGGACTTTTTTTGGTCATAAGTTATACCTTTAGGGAGATACTGGACATTAAGAAGACATTGCAATGTCTCCCTAATGTCACAACTCCTACTTGATGGCAAAGTTGTACTGTCGCAAATAGGCTAGATCCATTGCTTGTGGTCAAAACACAAACATTTGTGGGGGTAGGATAAGGGAAACTTGGGGTTGAGGGTCATCAAAGTTGGAAAAATGTGTGCACAACCCTATGGGAATGTCCCCCTAAAGGCCCTGTCACACTGTCTGCGATCTTATATGCGCTCTCACTGCGTCCTTGAAAAATAGCTGGGGCGCAACAACAACTACTACATCTCAGCGACAACTACATAGGTCGCCAGATGGGCGCCAGAAGGTCTTAATGGTCTTCGATGAGCGCAAAGGTCTTTGAACATGCTCAAAACAATCGCAACACCTCTGCGCTCTAGCCAGGGCGCCCTAATGACACAACTCGGGCGCTGTGCGAGCATGAATCGTGCGACATTGAAATGGCATTGAGGCAGCTTAGGCGCAAGGCAGTCGATGTAGTCTCCCCCCATAAGAAAGTAACTCGACTGCGATGAACTTGTTGAATAATTTTTGAAACTGGACTATGTATTGACCGTTTTGTCGTGGTATACAGCGCAAGTGACCGTTATACAGCGCAAGTGACGTCACATGAGCGTATTTTGGTCGAACAGAGAGAGCGACGCGAGCTACTAGGACGTATCAACAGCGAGCAGAGCGTAGTGCAGGCGTGGTGACAGCGCAGCGGCAGCGACTAAATCGAGTAATTGAGCTTGACAGGGGCGCATAGAGAGCGAGTTGAGCGCATCGTAAGCGCGAGAAGAGCACAGTATGAGCGTAGCATGAGCTTCTTTGAGACAGAAAATTGTCATTTTCTTGTGTCCTCGCTGCGATTGTTAAATTTATGAAAAAAAATTGGTCACCGTAAGGTCTCCTATGAGGGCGCATATAATGTGACAGGCCCTTAAGGTACATGTACTATTTTTTGCATTCTGTAAATTATTATTATAAGCATTTTTTATTAGAGTCGCCCATCACAAGGCCCTATTTAAAGGCTACTCAATGTGAGGGCTACACAAAGAAGGGATAGAAAATAAAATCTAGAAAAATGGAAAATTACCTTCAAGTAGAAAGATAAGTATTGACGTTGCGCTTGAACTTGGATAGATTATCTGGTAATTATCCTATATAACTGTACATGTGCTAGGCAGCAGACACAGTCTTACCTGCTTTCTGATCTGTCTTTGTGGAATGCTTGTCTTGCGGCTGAATGGACTTCAAGCCAGCCAATGTACCCATATTCATTAAGCACAGAGCGCAACGGGGCAGCGGCTTTCTACACTTGTAGCATGTCGTTGCCTGCAGGTCAAACAACAAATATTCCAAACTAGTTTAGTTAACAGGTAAAATATGGTAAATCTGCCTTGCATGGGACAGCATTAGAATGAAGTGATATCGCTAAAACTAATTTTGTGCTGGTCTCTGAGGGCTTCTTTGTACCTGACCGATACTAACCGACATCTGGCTGACTTACCAACACTGCAGACTCTAGGGGTAAGATTGGTTGGAAGGGGTGGGGGGGGGGGGATGAAAACTCCACGAAATAATCAGCAGGGGTTTTAAGGGACACCAAGGGCCCCAAAGCATTAATGTTGCACCCCTTAATAGACCCATTTCTTTTGTTCTTTATAACATTTTTTTAGGTTAAAACAGCTTTGTGGTAAAACCTCAGGAATTTTATATTTCATTCATAAATACCTCAGACAGTTTAGCTATTCCTATTGGTCGAGAGCCCGTCATGTGGCCGGTCTTTAACGGATGATAAAGACATGGCTAGCTGGTCTTAAACACTTTTCCAGTGTCACAATAAAATGTGGACTCCTAAAAATCCAGTGCCTCTTACCGTTTCATTGGTTGAACGTTCACAATCCTCACGTAGGCATGCGCAACACTACATGCGAGTCAGAATTTTATAGTTCTAAATTCAAAACGCAACGCCCCAGGTGCGTTCTGCGCGACATCGCGCAGAACATGCTACGCGCGCGTCAATCTCCATAAAAGGGTTGTTTACATCTTACTCGCCATCTGAACACTCCATTATTTTGCTAGAGGGATGTTTCAAAAAGCATGAAGGGAACTTGTTGAACAAAATCGGGATTTTTTGAACGAATTATTTGATATTTTTTTACGGATAAGGTATTTATGAATGGGAATAAATATGTGCTCGGTCGGTATTTATCACTCTGTTTAAGACCACTGAGAGTCTGGGTGCTGATAATTACACGAGCCGGAGGCGAGGGTAATTATCAGCACCCAGACTCTAAGCGGTATTAAACAAAGTGATAAAAACCTCTCGAGCACACATTTATTCCCTTAGTAAATCAAGAAAATTCCTGACCAGCAAATGCAGAAATCAGGCAAAAATGTTGACACATCTCGCCCATTTCACTGACTGCCTGACTGATGAGCTCACTCCCCATGTGACAGTCGGGGAGACACTCAGTCAGTCAGCCAGGCAGTCTGTGAGTCAGTGGACACTAGGCTGGCCCTTGAAAACCAGCCAAAAACCAGATATTTAGATGAATACATTCCTATGGCATGAATGTTAAGTGTTTAAAAGCAAGCACGAAATTAAAAAAAACTATCCCGAATGTTATTTGTCAAGCTGTTCTGAATGGATCAAAACTAGGATTACCTTGACTCGCTGGTGCATAGGGCCCCGTAAATGAGGCAGTATTGTTTGCAAGGACCTCTGAGCTAGGACCGTAGGAGATATAGCACTCTGACAGAAGTGACAATTGACAAAGACTTGCTGTGGGGAAGGCACCTTCACATTGCCTTGGTGGTAGTACACATCAAAACGTGCTCTGCATAGAAACAATAAGAAGTACTGCATTCAACTACATCTAGCATACTACATTGACAGTGGATACTACACATTTTGAGAAATCAGACCAAATCTTTGCACAAGTATTTTTTTCTGGTCTCGAATAGTTTCTATTTCATATTCTGATGAGCGCCTTCTCTCATGATACAATCCCTATATCAGCAATTGGGACATGATTCTCATTCAGCCGGTAATGATTCCGACGATACTTGTCACCAACTCGGCAAGCATTGACACTCTGCTTACTATAGCGTAGACTTGAGCCCGTTTACAGATTTAACCAACTATGAACCACCATCATGGTATTATCGTCATATGTTAAAAAAGTGTGCCAGCAGGGCACACTTTTTAAAAGCATCTTCAATGATTGTTTTTTACCGATTGATACCATATCAGGAAGAACAATTTCACAGGGTATGTGGTACCAGTGCTATCTTCAGTTTGGGCAAGGTTTTGTCAGTAAATCGGTAGGTACGTTTCCAGGTAATAATAATAAATAATAATCACAAGTTCTTATATTGCGCTTTTAACAAAGATGTTAACAAAGCGCTTTATATTATTATTACCCCTGGTCATTGGGCCAATTGAACATTCCAAATGCCATCTCAGCTCCTTAGGGAGTATACAGCTCGTATGTAGCCTGTTAGTAATCACACGCTAATTTAATCACACTAATCATCTCTGGCCTCACAGGTACCCACTTACTCCTGGGTGGAGAGAAGCGATGAGTGACAAAGTGCCTTGCCCAAGGGCACATGTACCATAACCCCAGGCTTGACTGGAACCCACAACCTGCAGCCTTACCCGCAGACCACGAATCCAGTGCCATTAACCATGAGGCCACAGCACTCCAATTGCACATGATCCTACGTACTTTGAAGTAATAGACCCTGAGGATTTACCTTTGATGCCACAGCCTCCATGTATCCAGCAAGCTTCGATAGCTCTCTATCCAGTGAGTGACTCGCTGATCTTTACGCAGCTCGGAAGGGAGAGCATGGACAGCAACCCAACTAGCTGTCTGGATGTCTGCAGTCTGTTAACACCAGAATGACACAAGATCCATGAAGATTACAAAGATTACTCATTCAATGACCACATACACTTACCGGCTGAATGAGAATCGTGTATATGCAATGGTAGCTTTTGAATCGGAAGGTCTGACAAACTTCAGTGGGTTATTTGTTATGAACCCTACTGAAGATACTGAACAATTTTGGTGCCGCAAAAAAAACAAAGAGTCCCAAAAGCAAATGATCCTATGTACTTTTTAAAGTATTAACCCTTACTCCCTAGGCATTTTTGCTAAGATGCAACCTCAATCCTGCAAAATCCTCGAAACGCCTCCATGTAAATATTGCAGACAGCCTTAATCTGCAAAATGCTTCGCTATTTCTCTAGGTCCTTGGAGGGGTGACCACTGCCTCAATCCTACAAAATCCTCCAGCACTCACTGTCAATACAATAAACTCTGGCTAAACCGACATCGTATAAACCGTCATATCGCTTAAATCAGCCGTCTGACAAAAGTCCCGATTGTCTCTAATGCATTTCCATTGACATTTTCATTTCTAAATCGGCCTTTGTAAGCCGCCATTTCGCCTATGTCGGCGTATTACTTTCAGTCCCATTTCCTCAAAACCACACAAATTCCTCTGTATAAGTCGGCATCGTGCTCTGCGGTTTGCAAGAAGTGTCGAGTGAAAGTCCCATACACTGCTAACTGACATCTGTTTATCAATGGCACGGCCCGTGATTGATGCATCGGCCAGCACGTGCACACTAATCGCACGTGTACACTGTTTTCATGCAGTCTGTACATTGTGTGCATCGTTCGCTTACACGAAGTACATGTCCATTCCGTAAAAGAAAATGGCATCCAAAACCAGTTCAAATAAACGGAAAATGGAGACGAAATCATACAAAGAAAAGTACGATATCGTTAAGTTTTGTGAAGCCAATCCTGGGATGAAAAAGGTGGATCTGGCTCAGAAGTTTGGCCTTAATTCCTCGAGGAACCTTGTTTGACATTTTGAAAAACAAGGACAAGATCATCGAAGCTGTCGAAAAATCAGATGCCAGAGAAAGGGCAGTATAAAACGCGTCAAACAAGTAACTTTTTTTCACAGCCACATGTGCGATCAAAAAGGAGTTTTCCCGATAGCACATCAATACCAGTACCCCCTCTCGACTGCACGCATGTGCTCTGTTCATTTTGGGGGTCCCCTTATTGTACCAGTACCATGCACACATTTAATTCGTGACTGTACACGTACGTACGTGCACAATGTGCAGTACATGTACACTACATGTACATGGACGTACAGTATGCAAGCGATCTGTATATCGTACCACTGTTAACGCTAGCCGGCCGCGCCGTCCTTGCTTCGTACATACGTACATGTACATGCATGACTTTCTGTGATCAATACCACAGCCTGTTTGTGATGATAAACATTGAGGATATATTTGCTGGAATCAACCATGGACGTAAAAATAAACCAGGGTAAATCAAAGCTTTTGAATTTTAGCCATGAATTTGTTTGCATGATCCAGATACAGATGCACATAGGCCATTAATTCAATCTATTTTTTTCACTCCGTGATTCAATTTGTGTATTTGTGTAAGTCGGCAAAATGACGACTTGCAGCAGAAGCCGACATTCGCGTAAGTCGTCACAAATTCTCTGGTCCCTAGACTGCCGTCTTAGCCGGAGTTTACTGTATGTTGAGGCAGAGCCAGTGACATCCTGGAGCAGTGCGGAGGTTTACAAGTATAATCTAAGCCTAAGTTTGTGCATGGCTGAGCATAAACAACACAAGGTCTGGCCCAAGACCTTGACACAGTGCATCCTCCAATGCAGCACTGCTTACCCTGTCAACATAGGACTGTAACAGCTCTACACAATCCTTGGTCAAGCCGACTAGCAGCATGCCTTCCAGCTTGCCATTCTGTATCGCGTCACTCGTCAGTTCATCTATGAAGATTGGTAGCTGCTGATCATTCAGAAACAAGCAGGCAAACGCAACACGGTCCTCTATGTTCAAACCCGTCTCTTTCTGCAAAATTAAAGACATTTTGATGAAAAAGGTATTATATTTGCTCCAAATTGTTTCCTCAGAACTAGGCCAACCTATCACCTTTTTTAATGTACTCTTTCTTTTGTAAGCAAAACACGTCAATAAATGGGTGGAGAGAAGCGATGAGTGACAAAGTGCCTTGACACAAGAATAATATTGACTGCTTTGATTTGTGCAGTAAAACTAGCCTCCCGGGGTGATCCAATGAGCATTCTATTTTCCCCAGGAGAAACCGAGGTAAAATAGAATGTTTCATGGATCCCTGAGGGAGGCTAGTTTTACTGCACCACAAGATAAAGCAGTCAATATTTGTTTTATAACACCTCTCCCACAGATTCTGCTTGATTTCAAGCGATAACTGATAACTTTAATCTAAATACAATTAAAATGTTCTTCTATTTGAATACGAAATTAAGTGAAAATGTACTAGCACTTTTCCAAACTACCCCTTCACGAAATGTTTGCACCCAGCTCTGTAGCGCAAACGCTTGGGAACAATACGCGCAACATGCAACGCACACGCCCCTATAACAATAATACTAATAGCAGGCATTTATATAGCGCTTTTACGCTGCAACGAACTCGCTTTACAATTATTATTTTCCCTGTTTCAACGGGCAAACGCTCCTGAAACCTTCTCAGCTCCCTGGGGAGTATACAGCTCGATGCTGCCTGTTAGGTGCAAGGGAGCTAAATCAACCACAATAACCATCTCTGCCCTCACAGGTACCCATTTACTCCTGGGTGGAGAGAAGCAATGAGTGACAAAGTGCCTTGCCCAAGGGCACATGCACCATGACCCCAGGCTGGACTCGAACCCACAACCTGCAGAATTACCCGCAGACCACAAATCCTATGCCCTTAACCACGAGGCCACAGCACTGCCTATGTATTAGTACTTTGGTTGCTATGGATATAGTTCTTTTGGACGTGTAAAGCAAGATACCAAAAATAGCGAATGTACTGTGACTCTCTCTCGGCCAATCAAGATACAGAATCTGAGGGTGAGGTGTTATAATGTGTGATATTAAGCATCGTTACACTCACCAAAACCACATCAAATGTGTCATCAGAAGCGGTCAGGAAGCCAAACATCGCCCGTAGGTATGGATGCGTTAGCTTCTGTCTGAGGGTACTACACATCTTACACCATAGAGTGTTGCGTTGCTGGGTGAAGCCAGCTAACGCCATTGCTATGCCACTCAGACTGGAATAACCTAGAAGACACCAAGCAATATAGATCATATGCTTCCTATGCCCAATACACCAATCCATTCAAACTCTCCTCACTGCCTAAATGAGAAACAACATATGCACCTCTCCAGTATATTCCACTGCATGTTCTAGTTCTGTGGACATTAATGACAGCTGTTATTGATCAGAACATCATGAGGGCTAGCTAGGGGTGTGCATTTAAGGATAGTATGGAAATCCGGTACCCGATTTAAAAAACATGGATACCCAGGTACCCGCTAAAGAAACCCAACCTCAACATTTGTGACTTTGAAGTTGCTGTACAGATTATTCATAAAGGTCTGCAAGATGTACTACCACAATGGTAGTATATTTGTACTTATATACTAAAATAATACATTGTCCTTTATAGAGCATCATAGTACGTGTATGTGAACAAAATGCGCGTCAAATCTTGATACAGCGTGCACTTGCTGTATTTACACATAGAACATTCGCATGTCGGCAGCCATTTTTGGAAGACCAGGGCGAATTGGTCAAAAAGTAAGTAAATGTACGGCATATGCTATCTAGTTTTTATATAGAGATCAGTGGTAACAATGATTCTTACTATTTTGTGACGCATCTGTAGTTACTTTGTTGAGCTCATCAATAGCCTGTTTGATTCTCAGCTGAAACACACAGATAGCTGCTGCTCTCTCATACTCATTATCCTCCATTAACCTACACGAGACAAGAAAAGTCCAGTAATCTGCTCTCACAGTGCACAACATTTATTCACTTGATTCTGAATAGCTAAGAAAGTTTGTTGTATAAGCTGTGATGGTAAACAACGCTTTCCAAAATGAAGTGTTTTAGATTGTATACTTACTACATTTTAAAGGTCTGAAAAAACAAAAGGAAACCCACATACAGAGATGAAACTGGCCTATGGGAAAACAATCGGAAAATAGGCCAAACAAAAATCTGTGACTGAAATCTGGGCCATGCGCATTTCCACATGTACTTTGTACCCAGTTTCCAGACACCGCCTCCTGTTTTATTTAGATCTGAACGAAATTTTACAATTTGAAAAATGTGCAGTGCTCCCATAAAATTAAAAGTCTAAGTTAAGGTAATAAAGAAGTTGACTTCTTTTCTTACTTGAGAAAGTCAAGGAAAAAGTCCAAGACAAGTGCACCATTCAATCAAACAACTCCACTAATGTATGTGGAAAAAAAATCAACATTATCGTCTTTTTCTTCAAACAACCATCAATGAAATTTCTCTTTGATGCTCTCTTCACCATCCCCCAAATCATCATCATAATTTTTAAAGCATTGTATTTTGTTCAACTAAATCTCAAACCTCCCAAAATAATGCAGCATGTTGGATTTTACTGCAGCCGAACTCCACGTGCAACAGCCTAGAACATCTGTACGCAGTTTCAGACATGTCATAGGTTAATGCTTTAACTTATTTCCAGCTGTAAACTACTCCCATCCAGCTAACTTATGTGCCTCTACCATACAATCTGTGTGCTGATAACTGGTAGAACAGAATAAAATTGTGCTTGCAATACAGATGTCGCGGTGCCGCTTTCATCAACTTTATTGAAATTTCATTTAAAAATCAGAACTTGGGGGGAAAGGATCGTTAGAAAAATAGGACCTTTGGAAATAAATTTGAAAAATTCGGAATTCCGATTAAAATCATCTCTGCACATATTGTCTAACATTTTTGGAGAAAAATGTTGAGAACCCTGTTTATTGACACCTAAGTGATGCGGATGCCCTTTTTTGTGCCTTGGATATACGTGATCGTCAAATCCACACAGCAATGGTACTATCTGGACTTTAGATCATACTGATCATGTTTTCTCATTTGAAAACATTACTAATAAAGTGTGACAGATTTCAGGGGTCATTAATTTCTGACTGAAAATTTATAACATGCACTAAGTCTACATTACCTGTTAATGAACGCGTTGAATGTAACGTCATCTTGATCAAACTCCCAGCCACACAACTGAAGGGCAGCGGACCTAGGACAGCCAAATAGGAATTCAATAATAATTCATCTCCTTGGTCAAAACAATAGGTTGGTTACTTTCAAAAACTGCATGCAATTACTCAGGGGGGAGGGGGGGGGGGTCTGGGGGCTCTAGTTTTACGAGACCAGAAAAATAGTAGCATATAGCATTCACTGAGCTGAAATTACAAAAGATAAGTTGTCATGCACCCTACTTAGATTTGAGCAATTTTGTTGCTTCAAACAAAACAAAACAAATGTTCCTATGTACTTTAACATGGTCGATCTGCTACATACTCTTCGAAAGGTCTTCAAATGTGTAGTTACTCACATTTCCATGTGGTAATGTGTTATGTTTGTTTCAGTCAAGCGTATCTGAAGGTTTCACATGAATAGACCAATGCATTAGTATGCCATGGTCCAGTGGTTACTGTGTTTCACTCATGTACTATGGTACATGGTGTTTGTGCCCTTGGGCAAGACACTTAACTATAACTGCCTCACTCCACCCAGGAGTATAAATGGGTACCTGTGAGGGCAGAGGACCGATTGAGTGCTGATATCGGCTGCCACGTGGTCTTGTGGCCCGATGAACAGGGTAATAATTGTAAAGCGCTTAGAGATTGTTGATACGATGGAAAGCGCTATATATGCACTACAATTTATTTTATTTATTTTTATTCATTAGGCACTGCCCACTGGGCATGTGGGCAACAATACGTGCACATCTCCAATGCCAAACTGCATGATCCAGCCCCATGCATCATATACGCGTGCACATATTTTAATAGAATTTTGTGCATGCATGTCAGACATTTATCACGGCTGTGATTGGCCAAAACATCAATAGGCGGGACTTCATGGATTGGTCTAGTACCCTTGCTGACATATTACCTTTCTGGACTTCTGAAGACATTAGACTCCGAGTACCAGTCTACCCCTTTCCAATCCACAGCATCTACAGTGCTCTTCAATCCAGACTCACTCTTAAGGAGCATCTTGGCTCCGTAGTACCTGGCCGCTCCCTTCTGTGTCTTCAAGCGGCCTTCTTTTTGTAGATACATTAATCGTTATCATAGAGTTAAGGAATAATTGGAATATACATTATAACGCATATCTGTAAAGTGCATTGTTATATTGTGTCTTAGATACTGTAAATTCACTGGTCTACAACGGCCACTTGTCTATAAAATGACTGTTGACTTCATATTCACTACATCGCCTATGAATGATCTCATATACACTGAGCTAGTAGCTCGTATACACTGCATCACACGTGCGTGTGTAGGGTACCTGTGTAGGGCCCGCCTGCATGCTTCAAGATAGAGAACTGCAACCTGTCAATCTCATGTCTGGCAGGAAAAACTCACAGCATTCAAAAGCTTACGCTGCAGTGGTTTGATATATTCACAAATCTTATTGACTTTATGGGAACTAGATAACAAATCAATTGTTGACTGTTGTAATGTGGGGTGTAGTTTTTAACTCCCTCGTGGATGCACCCTTAAGGCATAAAAAAACAAAGAAAAAAAATTAATGAATGGGAGGTTTGATGACGAACAGAGCATACTGTCTCCTGATGACCAGCAGAGCATACTGTTCGAAACGTCGAGTTAAATCAACTGGTTCTTCTCAGAACCACACAACTCACAAAGAGATGTCATTCACATGGTGTTAGCGCAAACCTCCCATTCACTGATCATGTCCACCATGCAAACCATTAAGTCTCATTTAAGAAAAAAACATGTTCCACATCACAGCAGTCAACCATTGTTTTAAGCACACTTTCAGTCACCATTTTTTTTGTTAGTTGGCCCTCCCAAACTACAATTACCTTTGCTCAAGACTATTGCATAATTCAATGACCTCAATTAGAGAGCCATTCCTTAGGTTGAGCCACGTCCGTGCGCTGGCTGTACGCATGCACTCGGTGCTCTTTTGACCAATAGTATTAACAAAATGTGTACAGGCCCTGAATTGAACAACGCATTAGGGGTGTGCATCAGAACTAGGCATCCGAGTACCCCACCCGTTTATGTTAGGAACCAGTTCCAGATTATGGGATCGGGTACCCGTAACCAACTTTACAAATTACTTTAATAGTAACTTCTCAGACAATGAAAAAGAAAGGTTTTGAATGCCATCTGTAGCAATTTTCAAAATGAAAACCAGTCTACATGGAAAATCAAAACAGATTTCACGTTAACGTGCATTTTAAAGTTGCCAGTCCTTTGGCCCGCACTGTACACAGATATCTTGCTGCACTGATGCACTGATGTGGTAGTGTTATCATGTGTTCCTTTATGAACAATCTGAACAGCAACTTCTGAGATTTGAATTTTGGGGTTGGGTTTCTTTTACCGTACCTGGGTACCCGTGTTGTGTTTTACTTCAACTGGGTACCCGGTTCCCTCACTAATGCACACCACTAAAATGCATGTGACATATGCGCGGGCTGTTCCACGAAATAGAAGCCATTACTGATGCATCAGTAACGGCTTCTACTTTAGTTTGCCAGAAATCAGGAGGTTACAGGTTCAGATTCCACTCCGCTGTAATTTCTTTGCTCAAACTCATATGTCTCATATTGTAGAATAGGGATTTCATGAAACAACTTAGTCTTTGTTTTTCTTGCTTGGACTAAAGGAAAGTAATCCAAGCATTATACACCAATGTATGCAAAGGATATGATCAAGCCACATCCACAATTTCTTGAGTTGAACTTCTTCAACAGAGTCTCCAAGCAGATCACCGTTTCGACCTATCGAACTCTGTCAAGAGAAGTGAGGAAAGAAATATGAATGTAAACTGCAATGATGATAACCCTCTGTGAAGAAAAGAACTGTGCAACAGCATATGGGCAACACCACCTACGCCTCTTCAAACCCACACTGCATGTTGCTGATGGTGTGAGCTTCAGGAGACTCACAAACCTCAAGCCAGTCAAAATACCAATTGAACAAAGCTGGCTGTGCAAATGGAGCGGTTATAAATTGAGTATATCAATTGTCATTTGTGCATTTTTTCATTTGAAGCCCCCCCAAAATGCTCAAAATCTAAAGAAGGGTGATTAACAACTAACTTGATGAAGTTTTAGCTCAGTGAATGCTGTATATTCGGAGAAAACTCAAGAGTCATGTTTTGACTTGCGCCCGAAATCGCAGCTATGCGTTGTCACGCACTGAACTGACGAATTATAGCGCGCGTGTGTGCGTCGTGTCAACGCTTGTGCACACCCATTCATGGCTTTGCTGAATTAAAAAACAAACCACTAACGGAAAATGCGTCTGTAGATGCATCTTTGGAAATGACCTTCATTAAGGGAATAAATGTGTGTTCGGGAGGTATTATAACACTCTGTTTAAGACCGGTGGGAGTCTGGATGGGTAATTATCACCCATGCAGACTCCCACTGCTCTTAAACAGAGTGTTTAATACCGACCGAACACATATTTATTCCCATTCATAAATACCTTTTCGGTCAAAGAAAAGCAAATCGTTTCGGTCCAAAAATCAAAACAAGTCAAAAACTAGACTTTGCCAACCATTTTGTTCAACAATTTTACTTCATGTTTTATGAAACACCCCTCTGACTATAATATGGACTGCCCCTCCACAACTTGTTACCTTATAAGGACATTGTCGTGCGCATCGTGCATACTGCGCGATGTCGCGCAAAACGCAGCTGGGCTGGTGTAGTGCGAATTTCGGACCATGAAATACTGATTCACTGGTAGTATTGCGCATGCATACGTGAGGAATGTGAACGTTCAACCAATGAAACGTTAAAAGGCACCGGATTTCATGGGAGTCCAAATTTCATGTGACACTGGAAAAGTGTTTAAGATCAGCTAGCCATGTCTTTATCACCCGTTTAAGAACGGGCACGTGACGAGCTCTCGACCAATAGGAATGCGTAAACTGTCTTAGGTATTTATGAATTATTGTTTTCGGCAAAATGACAGCATGCCAGAAAGAATAACTTCACAGGGAGTTTAGTGCCATTACTACCTTTAAACCAAGTATGCTCTTAAGCAATAATCTTGTCAGTTACTTTCAGGATAGCTGCAAATGATATATTCTACCTTAAAAACCAGTTGGGGATCTGAAGGCAGGGGCCATTATCAGCAACAACATCATATTGATGTTATACTGGGCAATTCCATGATCATGTGGACATGGCTGAATTGGAAAATTTATGAAATCCTCAAAATTACAAGCACCATAGCCTCAAATGTGGTATCAAATTAAAGGGGACATCAAGACCTTTGATGTGAGTGATGTGCCAGTGAGATGCAATATGGTTAAGTGTTTTTTGTTGTTGTAATAAAAAAAAACAGTGTTTTGTCTAAAATTATGGATTTTAGGTAGTCATTTTGGCATATTGTTTTTACATGCAAAATAGTTTTTACATGCAAAATGCAGCTTTTGTTTTTAACCCAAGTAGGAACCACTTTTTTAATCTGAATGTGCAAAAAACTGTAGCGTCAGGTGCCATCAGCAATACAGTTGACTCCCAGTGGTCTCTCCAACTGTCTCTTTTCAACTGTTCAGGTGGTACTTATGCACGGGGTCCAAATGCTTAGAGAGACATACCTGTAAGCCCCAGCCATACGATTAGAAAGACATACATGTACCTGTAAGCCATAGCCATAAGTTTAGAGAGACATACCTGTAAGCCATAGCCATAGGTTTAGAGAGACATACCTGTAAGCCATAGCCATAGAGACATACCTGTAAGCCATAGCCATAGGTTTAGAGAGACATACATGTAAGCCATAGCCATACGTTTAGAGAGACATACCTGTAAGCCATAGCCATACGTTTAGACAGACATACATGTACCTGTAAGCCATAGCCATAGGTTTAGAGAGACATACCTGTAAGCCATAGCCATCAATGGCTCGTTGTTTCATCTGAGCTGATATATCCTGCACTTGATGATTGTCAGCTGGGGTGACTAGTAGCAAGTTCCTGCCAGATGCTAACATGCAGGTAGACTGAGGTGATAATGTCTGTATAATAACCAACCATTCAATCACAACGATGGTTTGCAATTACTCAATGACAAATGTTCAAAGGTACATTGTACATAGGAGCACTTATATTCTGTGCATTTATTTGTTTGAAGCAAACAAACTGTTCAAAATCAAGTAGGGTGCATGACAAATACACATGGGACATAAATCTTCACAATATTTGAAACAATCTTCACAACATTTGACAAAACTTGTTAAATTTGTAAAAAAGTGTGCCTGCGAAACTACCTTCAATTGTTATTTTCTTCTGAATGATACCACTGTGAATGTATATTATGAATGTGAACTCACCAGGGATATAGGATCATGGATTGTAACATCTCGTAATTCTCCAGAATGTGTGATGGTTAGAATGCGATTCTCACACGTCGGATGCCAAGCGAAAGTAAACACTTCCCTGGCACCACCAGCTACAGGTAGGAAAATTAAACATCACACAAAATTACAGATAAACATAATGCAGTACAACATAACGTGGTCCACAGTAGTGGTTTTCGACAGCTAGGAGTACATTCGAGCAAGCACTATGGTTCACCATAGTTTGACTAACTTCACTTGAATGCAGGAGGGTTGGACTACTCAAGTTGACTGCTATCTAAACGCACAACAGGGAGCCAGAGTCAAGATGTTTTGTGGTGATTTTGTCACCACTGTTTGACAGGAGGCATTCGCAAGTTGCTATTAGTGCACAGGCAATAGTCTTCACCTAAACTTGCTTCAACATGACATTCTAATTTCACTACGTCTAAATAGACTAATTAGCCGACACATCCCTTTATTGAGGTGGAACAACTGATCTCTGTAATATGGACATGCTCATGCACAGGTTGTGTCTCTCATTCAATGCTCCTATTAGCTTAAAGGGTTCCAAAAAGCACACGCATTGACTTTAAGAATGCGCAAGTCATGTGCACGAACATGGTTCCACCTCTAGCTTCCAATTTCTTTCACAGAATTAGTCCATAGGCCGATCAACATGTGCTTACTCTTCTCTGAAGGAATAACTCCAGCATGTTTCTCATCAAACATGTGTTAGCATACAAAGAGTGAAAACTGTAAACTTATCGTCTAACATATTGTGAGGATTTTTGATCTGCATTGCATTTCTTTAAAGGTACGTAGGATCATTTGCTTTTGTGTATTTTTTTTTATTATTTGAAGCAACAAAATTGCTTGACATCTTCAGTAGCTAACTGTGGATATTTTACATTTTGACAAAACAGAGAAAACATATGCACAATTTTTTTGGTCTCATAACTGGATTCCGTTGCTAATGTGTGTGAAAAGTGTGCCTGTGGGCACACTTTTTGAAATTACTTTCAGTGATTTTTTTCTTCCGAGACCATTTTAGACGTAATAATTTTACAAGCTATTTGGTACCGCCCCTACCCTCACTTTAAGCAAGGTTTTGCATATGAAAACGGAGAAGAAATATGCATAACTTTTTGGGTCTAGTATAAAGTGGATTCTGTTGCTAACATCAATGTTAGTTTTATTCCAAACAATACCATTTTAAGCTGAATAATTTCACCGGATATTTGATAACAGTCCTATATTTACTTTGAGCACTGTTTTCTGTCAGTACAACTTTCCGGGTAAATTGCAAATTTACCCGTGGCTTTAATATAAGCTGGGCATGCATAACTGGTAATTGTTTGACTCTATATTCAGATATCAGGGAGAAGTACTTACGTTGAAGGAGACGTTCAGTATACTCAACTTCACTGCCTGTGAAGAACAAGTAAACAGATGAGAAATGATGTGAATGGTGTTACATTCTGAGTGCATTTGGTTCTTTTCTAAAAGATGACCTCAGAATAGAAGATAAACTTCAAGGACATAAAGGTACAGTTTTGCTGGAAAAAAGGATATATTCCTACTAATAATAGACCTGATATCGACGTCACGCTTTGTTTACATATCTGGCTTTCTTATGGGAGCCAGCTGGGGACGAGAGCCACTGAGCTCCAATAAGCAAGTGTACATATAAACAAAGTATGAGTCTCAGGTATGTTTAACCTGCATAATAGGCTGCATTAACAAATACGTGAGACAGTTTACCCATTTCTATCGGTCGAGAGCCCATCACGTGGGTAGTTTAAATGGTTGATAAAACACCAACTGGTTTTAAACACTTTTTTTCTGGTGTCACATGATTTTGGACTGAAGTCTGGTCTCTTAGGCATGCGCAATGCCACCGATGAGTCCATATTTCATAGAGTCCTAAATGCACACTACACCGGCACCGCCGTGTTCTACGCCACATTGCGCAGTATGCACCTCGTGCGTGCCAATCTCCAAATAAGGATTATTTTTTGTACTACTCGCGAGAGGCACATACCATAGCTGGAGGGGTTTTTCACAAAAACATGAGGTAAGTTGTTGAACAAATCGTTGGGAATGTATTATTTTTTACTTGTTTTGACTTTTTGACCGAAAGGTATTTATGAATGGGAATAAATATGTGCTTGGCCTTCAGCTCGGGCTATTATTGGCATCCAGGCCCCTAGCCGGTTTTAAAACGTACTTGTTTAAAACTTGTCAAGCACTTATTTATTCCCTTTAAATATTCATAAATACCCAAGACAGTTTACCAACTCCTATTGGTTGAGAGCCCGTCATGTGGCCGGTTTTAAATGGTTGATAACCTGCTGGTTGGTCTTAAACACTTTTCCAGTGTCCCATAAATACGGTGCCTTTTACCATTTTATTGGTTGAACGGTTACAATCCTCACATAGGCATGCGCAATACAACCAGTGAGTCAATATTAGAGTCCGAAATGCACAATGCACCGCTGTGTTCTGCGCCACATCGTGCAGTACGCATTGTTTACGTCTACTCGCAAGCGGGACAATCCATAATAAAGCTAGAGGGGTGTTTCAAAAAACCAGATCGTTCGAATTTGATAATTTTTTACTTGTTTTGACTTTTGGACCGAAAACTTTTGATTTTTTGACCTAAAGGTAATTATGAATGGGAATAAATATGTGCTTGGCCAGTATTAAATATTATGTTTAAGACTGGTTGGAGTCTGGATGCTGATAATTACCCTCGCCTTCGGCTCGGGTAATTATCAGCATCCAGAATCCAACAAGTTGCAAACAGAATGTTTAAACCACCCAAGCACACATTTATTCCCTTATTAAATGTTTAAATCAATAGACCAATCCAACGAACCCTGCCCAATCACGTTTTGACCAATCACAGCCGTGATTAATGTCCGATATCTAAGCACAAATGTCTGACGTGCACATTCGCGCATGACGCAGATGCCACACATGTAGTGTCACATTGAAGAGTCATGGGTGTTGTTGCCAATGAGCGCAATGGGCGGGGTCTAATGAATCAGACTTTTGTGGTTGAAGAAGCAATCAAACCAACTTACAGACATGCTGCACATTGTAAAGCTTGACGATGGAATTATCCCTTGACAATGAGGCTAGGAGACCATAGCGGGATGGACTCCAGGCTAGCTTGACAATGGGACGGGATTCATTGATGGTTAATACTTGATTCAGCTCAGTTAAGAAAACAAAAGGCTCACCAATGGTTTAATGCATATATCTTAACCCTATCAGGACTGGGGGGGGGGGGGGCAATGTGCCCAAATGAAACTATTTGTAATAGCTCTAGGGGATTTGACAGATCAGCATGAACTTTTCTCAGTTGCCAATATGGTACCAAAGAAATTCTGTGCGATGTCCATGGTTGCCATGGTAAACAATTTAAAAACTTTAATTATCCTAAAATTTGGGTCATTTATACTCAAAATCATGGAAATATCCACTTTTTTGAGAGTCAAAAACATCTTTTCTTTGCCCAAACCTATGTATTGCGTATATTCGCATTAAACTAAATGCATGGTCACAACTGCAATACATGCTTGAAATTCAATACGGCAGCTGTTGGCACAAAAAAGTTTTCTGCACAATTTGTTGTGGGATACTTTTTTGACAGTTTTTTAATTGCATGAAAAAAATGAAAAGCAAAAATTATAACATTACCATAAAGACTTTGATGGGCCAATTTTGATTGGAAAAAATATCAAATTTTTACACAAAATTCAAAAAGAAAAAAATTTGGTGATTTTGTTCCCAGAAGTAGGTATAGCCCTCTCTAGGGGTGACTTAGGATGGATGCCAAAGGTTGTTTGACTGGATGAATCTTGACCCCAAAGCTAGCCATTTTTTAAAAACCTTCAAAGCAACTGATCAATAAAAATTTGTGAGGACCTATTAGAAAGGTTGAATGAGAATTTGCACAGAAGGTTTCGGTTACCAAACTGACAAAATACAAATGTTCAATCTTTCATTTTAAGTACACTTACTCAACTGCTTCACAAATTTTTCTGTGCACCCAGAGAATGGCGTCTCTTCAGCGACCTCATTTGCTAAAAAATATTGGCCTTTTCAAGTAATTTTCAAACAATGGCCGATCCCACTAATTCTCAAAGGATATTGGTTTATCGAAGTGTCTTTGGTCCCATATATTGACTTGTCCTTCATGATAAGATGCCAGTCGGTAATCCACCTGAGGGTCTGGAGTCACACCAAACACTGACTTGGTAGCTGTAGCAATCTTATATCCTGCCGTATCTAAAAATCAATCAAGAAAAACAGGACAACATATTAATGACTCGGCTTTCGCTGGTCAGCAGTGGCAGATCCAGGATTTTCCAAGGGGGGGGGGGGGGATGGGTGGGAGGAGGGGCTGGGTCGTTGAAGTGCAAGTTTTTTCCTGTGGAGGGTGGAGCTGGATGAGGCGTTGCAGTCAACGCTAAGCCCAGAGGGCCGAAGCTCTAAATCAAGGTTTAAAATACTAAGTGATGACATACAGAGAACTTTTGAAAAATTTGATTTTTTCTATTATGTGTATTGTTAAAATTGGCCATTCGGGAGGGGGGGGGGGGATCTGCCCTTGCCGGGGCATTTTTAAAATGACTTAGAAGCTGAAATGACTATGTTATATTGTTTTGGAATTGTCCAGACTTTATCTAGTCGAGCTACATGTACTTAACCAATAGCAAGCAATTCGCAATGATTTTCCTGATACACATGCCACTGAATTATATGAAATACAGCTTTTTTTCAACTGCTTCATCTGTTACCGGGGACAAGTTAGCTATTGACCTTGTGCGTACACTCGGAAATGTAGGTACATATAAGTAATTGTTTTCCCATGATACGGCCGGTACTGAGGCATTCCCTATGACCTACCGGTTCTACATTGTATGCAAGACAGATTCACCCAGTCGCACTTCAGTGGTTGCAAGCAACCAGCATTTTGTTCTTGTTTTTCTAATGAACCTTTGGAACTGTCAACTTCCAAAACCTTGGGAACTATCAACTACTTATAATCAAACCATGTTATATTCGTAAACTTGCCTCCAGTTAATTTAAAACAAGCGGATCACATTACCTCTTATATCAAAGATGCGAAGGTTCTTGTTAGCAACTCCAGCAACAATGCCATGTTGTTGATGAGGAAGCCATGCCATGGAGTTCAGTACCTCTGCTTGAACTAAGGAATCAACAACATAACAACATGGCTTAATTCTGTCCGATCAACTCTTTGCACAAGTACCCTTCTAAAAGTTTCATAGAGAGAGTTGAGGGAGAACACTGGGTGGGACATGTGAACGCATATAGCCGCTGTACACCTGGTGCTCATGCGAAGATGCCACGGGATTAAAAACTGGTTCAAACCAGAGTTCATCTTTTGTTGAAACGATCCTCGATTGTGAGTTTGTGTGCTTGGTCTATGGGAGAGTGTTATATTATAGGGACAAAGGGAAGACAATGCCTTGTCCTCGAGAGTAGAGTAAAACACGACTCTGTGCATGCACGCTGTGTTTCCTTCCCACTAGGACTCTTGAAACTGGACACAAAGTGGCATCTACCATTCATCCTTAAAATTTTTCTTCCATTAACCATGTCCCAAGACCATAGAAAAAAAAATTGCGGAGAAATTTGTGACACTTTATACTGGCATGATATTGACCCTCATTCCTTGAATTCATTTAAAGTTTGTTCAAACCATGCTGCAAAATATGCATGGAGTAATTTTGAGGTTCCCAATGCTGTAACACCACTTTCTCGCTCAAAACAATTTACAAAAAATGAAAAAATGAAAAAAACCTGAATCGGTAACAAGGACAGTGCTCACTCCAATGAAGCAAATACAGGTTTACTTACCCATTTCAGCAACAGGACGAAATCCTGATTGTGGAGCATTATGGGAACTTACATGACGTGACTTCTCCGGAGTCGCATTCAATTCTGATGTATCTGTAATGTAAGAATGTAAGAAGCCAAACTATTCATAACCAAAGTATGCCTACAGGTAGTATCCTCTTTTCCTATCACTTCCTAACTGACTGACTGTTACTAATGAGCTTGGCAGTGCCATCATATAGGATTACCCCGTATGCCAATGAACGAATCCATACGTAGACCACATGCATGAAAAGACTTTCAATTAATTGAATATAATGTTGTCACTCTAAGACCAGTTTTACTAAGCTTGCCTTGTCTTATTACATTGACTTCTCATTGTTACAAGAAACAATGTTTCGTGCAGTACAAATGTATTACAGGTACCACTCGCTCTTTTCACGCTCCGCCATTGGGCATGCACAGCCTTGATCTGGCAACTTTACACAATAAAAATAGCCCGTTCAGTGATCTGAACCCCGCCACTGGAATCATTGAACTGGCTATGTTTATTGTGTACAGTTGCCAAATCGAGGCTCTGCATGCCCGTGGCGGAAGTGTGAAAAGAGGGAATTGCAGAATTCCAGACAAGCAACAGTGTTAACTATACTCAGTGCAACAATTAGCTCTGTATTTTCTGAAAGATAGTGTTGAGCCATAATGAACAAATGGAAGGATGATGTTCAACACTCTACCTGTGCTTCAGATGGAGGGCACCTAGGCACCTAAAAATTGAAAACGAAGAAACATCTTCTCTCTTTTTTTTAACAATGTACTCACTTGTTTGGCTATTGACATCATAGACTGCAATGCAGTAATCCGTTCGGTATCTGTCAAAACCAGCAGCTAACTGAAAGTTAAGAGGAACGTCGTTTCCAAATCAAAATCTTGAAGGATTAATGAACAGAAATTGGCCTTGAGAATGCTATTTACACGCACCAGCGGATTACAATATGCAGTATGTTTCATCAGTCTAGTGACACTACATGTAGTTCACACAAACACGTATGCAAACAATGCAGAGTGCTACATGTACTGACTCTTTTTAAATGAAAATGGCAGAAATTTATTCAGTTTCAAAATGAAGTTACGAAAGGGTAGCTTGATTCTTCAACATGTGATCGCATTAAGTGTACAGCCTAATATACTTGGACATGGACAATTTCAAGTAGGTTTCCAAAAAAGTTTTCTTACAACTTTTCATGATGGTTCCAACAGTACACTTGAGAGCTCTGCCCCCTCACATACACATACACTGCTGCTGGGTGAGTATTACGAGTACTCATGTTTTTACGAGTAGTAATTTCAGTTATGAAGTAATGACTTGCTGATTTCTTCACCACACCCTGTTTGCCTTTTGTCTGAATTGTATCAAGTTGGTCTCTATTCAGGAGTACTTTCATTATTAATTATCCAGTTCAACGCACTTTGGACTTTGTGGAGGATGGTGAGGATGCACATGTATGAAGTACAAAGCAATAACCCCTGAACGCAAATCACAGAGGCCAGCTGTTATGTAATTATGCATTCTCGATCCTGATTGGTCGATCCATGGCTACAACAGTGTACGTGTTATTATCCCACATACTGCGGTCCATATCACACGCAGCGTATTGCGCTATTTTTAAAGATGCAGACGCCATTCCTGCTGCACACACATGTAATACGATAACAGCTGAAAAGTTTGTGTTCCATCTTTACTGTCCATCAAGTTTGCAGGAAGATAGATTTGTTAGCCTACTCAAGCTCATGAAACACGAAAAATGCAGTGGGTCTTTATTCCATATTTGGCCGAGTGGCATATGGGACACAGATGCACTACATTTAACAATTGTCGACTGCTATGCTGTGGGATATGACTTGCAGCTTCTACACGCGCGCATGCAACGCAAATTGTACATGAGATTAGCCTTTGTACATGCGTTTTTATAGGCACGTGGCTACTCTCGACCAATGAAATGACAGTATCCAAACACACGTTTAAACAATATTCCTTTTTCCACTCGTGCCAATGGGATAACTAATAATACCCATAGCTGCTTGCATACATGCACCTACCCATTTGGACTCCACTGTATTCCAAGCCAGACTGGTGCACATCTTTGTGTGTTTGAGAGGAAACTCCTTTCCCACTAACCCAGCCTGCGTCACGCTGGAATCCACACCAAAGCCAGAAAGGATGACTTTACCACTGGATAGGCCAATAGCGATGACATCGTCTGAGGAATGCTTAGGGTACCAGGCAAAACACTAAAGAAACAGAAAAGAAAAAAAAAAGATCCATTGTAATGACATAATATGTGCAGGTGAAATGGGTATGTCCATAACTACAGCGCTAAGTTCTCATTCCCTCGCATAGAGTACTTTCAGATGAAAACTTATCAATCTGAAAAATTTGACAAAAGCATTGACTCTCATAGAGAAAACAAACTGACTATGTTAATCGTCGACCAAGTCAAAGCTGGAATACTAACTTATTCGAAAATAACTATTCACTGAATGCATTTTATAAATACTGTATACTCAGTGTCGTTGGAGGGCTTGCGAGAATTTTTTTTAACATGCTTACTAGGGTGGGACTCGACCCACAACCTCCCACTTATTTGTGCAGGCCTTAATTACCCCCTCGACCACCAAGCTTGACAGGGTCGGCTGGCTGGCTAGATGTAAGCCTTACCCTTATTAGTTGTAGGTCTCCCTTGGAGTTGACATGTAGGTCTGCCTTGGAGGCTTGTAGCCTGGCATATAAACTGCTGTCCTGGCTGATCTGTTGCCATTGCGTTCCTGATGATGGTACTTGAGATTCTACTGTGTACAGGTTCAAATCGTAACGATCTGAGCTAAATGCAACAAAGACGCCTGGATCTGATGGCGACCATTCCAGCTCCCACTTTACAGCTGTCAGCAAAGGTAACAAAAGACGTCAGCTTTGTTTGTGCACACATACATACATGTGGGCATGCAATGACAGGGTGAATGCCAGTCAATCCGTACTTTTGTTTACAAATTTTTAATACAAAACTTTAGAAAGACCGATTCAAGCAATCATATTAGTTTTTATGTGTGAAGCCTGCTGTCCTGTTTTTCTCATAAGGGATCTGCCAAGCACTGTGAAATCTAGTCTAAGGAAGAACTTACTGCAAGTGAATATCTGGAAGTAGGCTTTTCTGATAAAATTCTGGAAGAATGCAAAATCGTGACTGACACCACTTTTAATTGTCACCATGACTATATGACCTAAATAATGGTCAAACATTGCAACTATAAAAAAAAATGACTTTGGACTGAGAAACATTTCTAAATTTGTTAGAAAATACTTGGAAAATTTGTCAAAACTCCTTGTAGCCTTTGTACACAACCACCAGCGTGGCATCGAGACAATTCATTATTTTCCAAAATCAACTCATGAAGACTGTACATGTGAAGTCACAAACAGAAACAAGAGAAAATGATTTAAGCAAAATGTTAAAAACTAATTAAAGTTATCAATTGTGCAGGTATCTCTACAATATTTTTTTTAATGGCCAAATTCACATCTGTACAAGTACAGGAATATGTCAAAATATATGTATTAAACAGATACAAGAAACTTTGCAAGTGGTTGTATGGGGAAAATATTTACAACAATGTACACATACCTGAAGAGCTCATGGTGGAATGTACTCAGAAGGATCCAATCAGATTGCTGGGAAAAAAAGACAACAAATGTACAATTGTTAAGCATTTTTATAAAGTTTACATAATTAGTAGGGCCTTATCTACAAAAAACACACCAATTTGTAGATATGCACACATGATGCACTAGAATGACTGACTATGGGCTTGAGATTGAACGTATATAGCTTGGACATGTTGGAGCAAAACAGTTCCTAGCAAACCATTGACTTCTACAGACTTTTTTTTTGGGGGGGGGTGGCATGTACACTGTCAGTATTGCATCATGATCTTGCACTACTAATAATTTGGGGGGGGGGGGGAGGAGAGGATGAGGTTTTTTTTTCCCTTTACTTTTTTTCCTCGCCAACAGGTCTACATTTTTGTCACAGACTAGCAATTGGTGCCCATGCATATGCAGATATGACATCCATAAATTGCTTTGATTGTCTTGGCCTTCTTTATTTGTGAACTAATTTTTATAGGAGTGCTCCCCCCTGGAAAGTTTTACTGTGATTAGTTTAGCTGTGTGTCCCCTTGTCTGTTTATTCATGGATACACAGTCCGGGATTTTCGGGATTCTTACGACCCGGTGATTTTAACGTGTTGTGACTCCAGCTCTAATGCGATAGGCATTAGAGCTGGAGTTACTCAAAGCTAGTATCCCCGTACCTGCATAACCACTCCCTTGGGACCGGCCGGCCTACTTTGGACTTGGGACTTTTTCCAAAGGCAAGCTTTCTCATTCAATTTATGTTTAATGAATGGGCCATTCTGCAATTTAAGGGGCCTACTCTGACTTTTCTCCTTCTTCCCAATTTAATTTAAGTTTTATGTACTGATTGATTCATCCCCTTGCCAAAGCAAGCTTGGTAGATTTTGTTAAAAGAAGGGAAGTACTATTAGTACAAAGTTATAGCGCCCTCTTTCGCTCCTCCCCCGACTCAATCCACTCCGTGAACTTCAACTTGTCTTGGACGAACGCGCGTGAAAAGTGGAGATCTGGCTGTTTACTAATCCCTTACGCTAGGCTAGGTACAAGAAATTTGACATACTTGTTGATTACTTACGTGTGAAGCTATCCTCAGAATATAATTGACAAAAAATGAGTCTTTCCCAAGAAATAAGCAGCAAATTTGCTGTGTCTGTCGACTGTGCACAACATCCGCGGACAGAATCACGCTCTGTACCTTGACTCCTTCACGTCCTTTACGTGCAAAGGAGCCTGCGAGTATGAGGCACCCGTCTAGTTCATAAATTATGTGACGTCATTTCTTTTTATGTAGGACTGTAGAGAGTGTAGCACAAACACAATGTGGTCAAAATGTTGCCGCACTCGTCGACGTCTTTAGTCTGGCGCTTCTCTTGTTTACAAATTAAACTCCGAACGTTCGAAGCAAAAATTTACTGGCCGATTCAGGGGATCAGACATTGTTTTTTAAGCGCGAAGCATGCTGTCTTTTTTTCGTCTGGCATGTGTCTGGGGATCTGCCAAAAAGTGTCAAACGCTTTTAAATCTCGACCTACAAAGAAACTGCAGGTGATTATTTAATCTGATGTTGTATTTTCTTGAGCAAATTTTACCACAAAATGTAATTTTCCAAAAAGCTTGTAATGTCGCCGTATATTTAAAGAAAAAAAAGGGAAAAAATGTTGCAACCTGACGTGCGCCACATCCGCGATTGTGTACAAAGTCTATGGAGAGTCTAGCCCCATAAATGTGGCCTATTTACTGGACTGCCTCCGTAAACATAGGCCACACATCCACATGTACAAAAAACGTGTCGACTTTGCCAAATTTTGATTTTCACATTTAGGCTTACTTTTTACGTTTTTTTTGCTTTAGAAGCATTCTCACCCTCTATATAGGCTAATCAGAAAGTGCTGCCTTTTTCAGATGTCCATTTTTCGTGAAATTTCCACATACATTTGCACACGTTTACGTATCAAAATTTCAACATGAAATTTCACAAAAATTAAACATCTGAAAAAGGCAGCACTTTCTGATTAGCCTATATAGAGGGTGAGTATGCTTCTAAAGCAAAAAAATCTACAAAGTAAGCCTAAATGTGAAAATCAAAATTTGGCAAAGTCGACACGTTTTTTGTACATGTGGATGTGTGGCCTATGTTTACGGAGGCAGTCCAGTAAATAGGCCACATTCATGGGGCTATGGAGAGTCAAGAAAATTTTCTAAAGTAGGCCTAAAGTATTTCCTAACAAAATTGGAAATATTTCTCAGTCCCAGATTCATGTCTTACCATAATTTTTGCAATGAACAACCTTCATCAGTTCATTGAGATGATAGGCCCTATGAAGAAAAAAAGTGGTGTCACTGTCAGGTTGCAACATTTTTTCCAAAAAAAAAGATTAGGCCTACCGCCTAAGGCCTAGGCTAGCTGGAGTTACCTAGCCCCACTAGTGTGGCCGTCGGTATGCTGCGCTGAACCAAAGGCCACACACCGTGGTACCGCGCACTACTGAGGACGTTTTCATAAAATCTGCGGTCCGTTTCTTACATTCTCAGTTTCTTATTTTCTTATGGTTGTATTCTATGATGTCTCACCTATCACTTCTGGATGCTTAGATGTAATGATGTTCCATTTTCCGAGATATTCTTCAATCTTTCTGGAGCCCATATGAACTCGTGAAACATCTGGTGATGGCAGCCATTTTGAATGTGACAAGAGATGACCTCAAGCTGTGACGTCGCGTTTATGCAAATTGCTTGTCGAGCGCGCGAGGGCGCGAGTTGCAAATGCGACGGCTGTTTCCTGTACCATGCATTTATCGTCAGGGGGCCACGTGCACCGATCTCCCCTCAGGATCTACGGCACAGGAAACAGCCGTCGCATTTGCAACTCGCGCCCTCGCGCGCTCGACAAGCAATTTGCATAAACGCGACGTCACAGCTTGAGGTCATCTCTTGTCCCATTCAAAATGGCTGCCATCACCAGACGTTTCACGAGTGCATATGGGCTCCAGAAAGATTGAAGAATATCTCGGAAAATGGAACATCATTAGAGACCTAAGCATCCCAGAAGTGATAGGTGAGACATCATAGAATACAACCATAAGAAAGTAAGAAACTGAGAATGTAAGAAACGGACCGCAGATTTTATGAAACTTCGTCCTCAGTAGCGCGCGGTACCACGGTGTGTGGCCTTTGGTTCAGCGCAGCATACCGACGGCCACACTAGTGGGGCTAGGAGTTACCCAGCCCTAAATTTTATCATTGGGTTGTCATTTAGGGCTGGAGGACATTTTTCACGTGAACCAGCAGAGTTGGCAGGTCCCCCCAAAAAATTCGAAAACATTTCGAAAATGTGCAATTTTGTCCCTGTTAGTGTTACACACTAATTTCAACTGGAACTCACCTAGGCTTGCCTGGAATAACCATTACACAGGTCCTTGAAGTAAAAAACGATCCACGATGAAGATTCAGCCTACAATTGCAGTGAAAAAAAACGAGGCATAAACCGACAACCGTGCGGTCATGGCGAGGCCCGCAATTGGATTTGTGCACAGCGCGTTTACCAGTTCGTTCTTGCCGGCTGCGCTGGCTGAAATGCAAAATGTTGCTGGACAAAAAAACCCAGCAGCTGGACAACTCGTCTAACTAGGCCGTACCACGTGACCGGCCAGCCTTGCGGCATGCATGCACGACGAATACACGGTGCCAGCGCCACGGAACATAATCCAACAAGATCTATCAAGCATGAAGCATCCGGCGCAACTCCAGTCCTAACTATAGTTGGACCGACCCAACTGCCGCACTATAGTTGGGACAGTCCCAACTATAGTTGGGACCGATGCGATAGTTTGGGAGTAACAGTGACGTCATGATTCAGCGCGCCGTGCGTGCTCACGGTACATCACGCGGTGATCGCCATCTTTATTTTCGGGTCGCGTGTTGTCGCCGCACTGTCATCGTCATTTTACCCCCAAATTTCCCTCAAAAAATCAAAACCCTGCCCTCTATCTACGACATTCCTGTTTATTAAAGGGAAAATACAACATTTGCAAACATCAAAAAATAAAACTACGAAATCATTTTGAAATACCTTGCTGGACTGTTAGTGAATGACAGTGTAAAGCATCCTGTAAAATCATGGCACCTGGTATACTGTCATTTACAAGAAAAGTGGTATTTTTGTATCAATTTCCAACGCTGATCGGCTGATCAGCGTTGGAAAAACTGGCTTTTTTCAAATACTGGCCCCAGTTGACCATCGCACTTGTTTGCAATCGATTACACACCTATGAACGGGTACAAGCCAGCTAGACTGGTTCCATGACCTTACAATTCCCCAATGTATGTAAACTGCTCTGTTTCTTCTTAAATAGAGTCAGGGAACCAGACTACAGGAAAATGATTGTTTTTCTTGGTTTTTATAGCATTTTCGAACCCAAAACCTCAAAAAAGTCAATGTAACTATATTTGCTATATATTTCGAACCCCCCAATTCCATCCATTTCTGAAAATTACAGCAAAAGCAAATGATGTATATTCCCTTTAAGAATGTCGCCAACTAGTTTGGCTTATTCCTCCATGGTAGGTCCAATAATTTTAAAGTGGATTTTGATCCCTTATAGGAACCGGGCCCTACACTTCACGATCGCCTAATTAAGGAACTTTTATTTTGCTTAGATTATCCTCGTGTGACCATTTTTCACGCACTTAGTATTTTGACCGATTTTTTTTCTTGCATAAACTAAATCCTTCACAATTATGGACTTTAATATTGTAAGAATGACTAACAAACTACATGGAAAAATAATTTGAACAATATCGAACGTCAAGGAAGCACCAAGAACGTCGTCGTCTGCAGATGAGTCAACTTGGCTGCCATGAAAGTTTCGTGCCAATAATTCGCACACGAACGGAAAACGTCTTTCAACGGAGTCTCCATTGTGACCTACTTCTGAAAACAATGTGGATCAATGTTTGTTGAATAAAGGATAAGTTTATGTGCACAACTTTGGTCTCTAGTTTGATTAACTAACTTTTGTTTGCCATCCGACATTGTTACTAAGAAAATACAAATGTACACGTTTGTTTAAATATGAAATAAACAAATTTCTTTTGATTTTGGTAAAAACAACTGCATGCAAAATATTATATCATAGTTGAAAATTTGAGGTAAATAAAATAAATCCACAACTAATATGATATACTTTTGTTGAAAGTCTAAGAAGCTTAATTAAATCCTATGCATGGAAAGAGTTCCGAGAATTTTTGTTTTGCTGAAAATCAACCATGTGCCAATTACATAACATTTTACAAATGTATACAGATTCTCCCAAAATGGAAACATTTGCAATATAACTTTAGAATGCCGTGGGCGGCTGTGGCTATATTTTAAAGTACCCTTTCATCAAAAACATAACAAAACCACCCTTCTGTAACAATGTTCTCCGGCATTTATTGCTCATTCTTATACACCTGCGATCAATCAATCAATTATACAGACGCGCGCGCCTGCACGCGGTCGACCATACCGTGGCCGATCATGCCACCTCGACACATAGTTGCGTGATACACATTTCAATAAAAACAAAAAACATTGGCCTACTTTTTGGGTACTTTAAACATTACGATCAGGTCTCATTCCGACATAAATATATTTTAAGGCATATTCATTCCAACAAACAACTCGGTACCGAAATCTGCATCTTGGCGAAACAGTTCGTAAAATAAAAACGCGATATAAGGCGCACGTCGTATTTCGTTCTCCTTAATTCTGATTACGCCCTCTGTTGTTTAGTGAAAGTCAACCGAAGTTGTCTTTCACATTTCATGGTTGGACGACGACACTGATTGGAAATTTGTAGAGATGTTTTTATTAGTTTTCTAGGCCATTCAATAATGTTACGTTTTGTATATAGTCAGTATGGCAATAATTTACACTCTCTTTGATTTCTTTTAAATTACTTGTCGGAAAAGCTGTTGATTTCCGCAAAACTGCATCGAGAAGAAAGGCGATGTGACGACTGATCATCAACGGTGATTTGAAGTCGGTCCGTGTTGTGTGAAAAAAGATACGAGCCGAGAAAGTTGGTTGCGCGAATATTGGGCAGCGCGAATTTGGGGCACCGGACGAATAAACCCCAGTGACATGCATGATTTACGCTGATGAGCGGTGTAGCCGGCACGGCTTTTTGGTCGGTCGGCATGCGCATGGTCAACGGTCAATCAATGTGGAAAGTCTGAACGTTTTTTTCCTTTATTTTTCAGATTAACGATTGTGAAGGAAGGATAAAGTAACTCCAGAATGCCCCGATACAGGAGATGGAACAATTCCTACAGCTACAATTACAAATGAAGTCAAAGTGGAGGACGTAGCTCATGGAAGGGCAAAAGTAAATGTAAGAATTTTTAAACTTTTAAAGTAAAAATGGTAAAGAAATTACGGACACAAAAAATCAGTGAGCGTCTGCTGAAACATGTAAAACACCGTGTATTTGTACTTCACTTGTAAATATCTGGCTAGTATGACATGCTTATAAATATATACATATTTATTTATTTTATTTATTTTTCTATATATATATAGAAAAAAATAAACCCGGTTCTCGTCTCTGCCCACTTCCTACCAGCCTTGCCAGCTGCATCTTTTTTTCTTACCTTGTCCTTTGCAATATATTTTGTCTTTTTTTATGTGTTTCCATTGAAATTGTAGTCCTATCTAATATCTAGTGTTATACCAATTTCAAAATCTTAGAAAATCCTCCCATTTCCAAAAAAAAAAGCCCTGACAAGAAAATGTGTGTTTTTTTAATTGGCCTAACTGCAGTTATTTTTTTTTCTGTGTAAGGCCAAGTAAAAAAACAAAACCAATGTTTAGCATCCTGCCTTTTTGAAAAAAAGGAAGCGGGAAGGCCCTTTTTTCCCCTCCAAAATGGCCGCCCCACCGGGCTTTTTGTCAAGATGGCCGCCAGGTTTTTTTTTTAAATGGCCGCCAATGGACTCAGGAAATGACATAGCAGCTTTATATGGGCTAGATGCAACAGACAAAGAGGCCAAAATGATGACACTCTTTCAAATTTATAATTTTTCGGTTAAAAAAACAAAACCAAAAAATTGAGGCATCCAAAAATGAAGCGGGCAGGGACGCTAAAGATGTTTTTTTTTTATTTGGCCTAAACACCATTTTTTTTGGGGCATGTTTTGTTTTGGTCATTGTGTTGGTTTCTTTTGCTTTGGTTTTTGAGCCATGTTGTTTTGTTATTGATTTTACATGTAGCTGTGAAGTTTGAACCATAAAACATTAAGGTTTATTTACACATTCAGGGTTCGTCCGTAATTTTTTTTTTCACTAGTCAGCTGCAGACTAGTGAACCAGACTCTTACCGTAACCTAGTCCAAAGGCATTTTCACTAAAGGCATTTTCCAAAGGCCTTTTCGTCTGCAATAGCATTTTAAAAGTTTTGCACCAGAATGTCATACACAACGGTGGTATTTACAATAATTTCGATTCGCCAGGCGGACTACAAAGGGAATGGTTTTGACTAGTCTGCTGCTGTTTTTAATCGCATTTGGCGAGCGAACTACCGCTAACCTTGACATTGCATTCTTTTTGGTCTTACAAAAAAATATGTAACAGGCTATAAATTGCGTGCTAATGCAAAGATTGATCCGCCTTATTCAAACTGAAAATTATATTTACTAGTGTGCCACACCGAAAAAGCAAAGACAAGACATTATAATCTTGATCTTGATTAGGAGATACTTAAACCATTGATGACAACTTGAAATTATGATTTAACCATACTAATTATTATTCATACTCACAGAATAAAACTTTGAAACAATCTTTCATTTTCAGTACCCAAGCATTTATTTGTAAAAATGTTGTGTTCTTCATATTAGGGAAAGGAAAGGCCTACTATCCAACCTTTGACCTTGAGTCACTGACCCGTAACACTTGGGCCACAGATGACTATGACGACAGTGATTTAGTGGATGTGTTGGACCGGACGATGGCTGCGTCAGGCCGTCTGAACACCAGCGGGGACGGCAGCGATGATCATGAGGATGGCATGCTGTTTGGAACAATACGTGGTGCCATCGTAGGCATTCAGTACTACAAAGGAGAGGTGTGGTATTATGCAAATATGCCCCAACTATAGCAGTGAACCAAACTACAGCTTGGGCAGTACCCACTATAGTTGAGGAAGTCCCAACTACAGTTAACCTATCGCTGTTATGTAGAATAGCCTCAATATTGTCCAATTACATGATATACAAATGGACGGGGAACGCGCAATATTTGAGACAAACAAAACTTGACGTACACAATTTCATAGTGTTGTCTAAGGGGCTTGGCTAACTCGCAAACAGCGACAGGTCAATTGGGGCAGTCCGAACTACTAATGGGGCAGTCTCAACTACAGTTGGGTCAGTCCCAACTTTGGGATGATCCCAACTACATGTGGGCTGATGCTATAGTTTGGGCATAGCAATATCATTACAGAGTCTGTGCAGGGACATTTTATGGCATATTATGGCTTAATACTCATAAGAACTGTGCATTGGTTTGGTGCATACATATTTTCATTTGAATGTTACACCAGCAACAGTTACTTGACTAATCAATGTTTACGTTAGTTACTTGGTTTCTCGGTTCAATTAATCAAAACTGATTTGTGTAAAAATGAAGGATTACTTTCAGATGGTGCTGGAGCAACTGCCCCTCAAAAAAATTCTCGAGCCAAAAACCTAAAAAATACCACTCACACAAGTCAGTTTTATGTTGGTTTTACAGCACGACCTACCATTTCTTTTCTTTTTTTAAATTGTGGGAGGAATTCTTGGAAGTTTTCTATGGGCTCGGTAATGCCATGCTTACATGTAGATATAATTGAGGACATGAGAAAATAGTAGGGAAAAGCAGGAATCTTTGTACTTTTCAAACATACACGTAGAGCTAGGGCCAAAGGAAAGTCATGAGAAGCCAAGTGGTAATTTCAGAATGCTAAAGTGTTTGTCTCCCTAGGTCAACAACAACGAGATGGTTGCCATGGTGAGAGAGCCTGAGAATAACTACGACCCAAACGCTATCAAGGTGGTCAATATTTGGGGTCAGCAAGTCGGCCACATCAAACGAGAAATGGCTTCAGCCTTGGCTCCAATTGTTGATGGCAAACTGGCTCGTATTGAAGGGTAAAGAATAATAGAGTGTATCCGTGAGCGAGTGAGGGCGCTATTATGACGCCATTTAAAGATACAAACAGATGTTAATCCAAGGTTATTGATAGTGGTGGGATTAAAATCAAAATTTTTAAAAATTTGGTTCGACTTCCACTATTCTGTTTGAATTTTGGAAACCGGATATCCGAATCCTTCCTTAACCCTTACTCGATCCCTAGGCAGTTTTGCTAGGATACAACCTCAATCCTGCAAAATCCTCCAACTGCCTCCATGTAAAATTGCATACAGCCTCATTCCTCCAGGATCATCCGTTGTTTCTTGATTTGGTCCTTGGAGGGGTGACCACTGCCTCAGTCCTACAAAATCCTCCAGCTATCACTGTCAATAATGTTGGGGCAGAGCCAGTGACATTCTGGAGCAGTGCGGAGGTTTATGCACGGCTGAGCATAAACAACATAGGGTCCAGCCTAAGACCTTGACACAGTGCATCCTAGAAAATCAGCCACACATTTTTTTGCCATATAGCCTCAATCCTGCTAAATCCTCCATTTTATGTTGGGGATTTTGGGGGATTTGAGAAGGTTAAGGTTAAAAAACATTAAGCCTTCCATTTTTTGTAACACAAGCTATTTAAAGCTATAGTCCATCATTTGTAATTAGTGCATTTTGTTCGTTTGAAGCAACAAAAGTGTTCAAAATCTAATGAAGGATACTGAGCAACTAACCTGATGAAGTTTCAGCTAAGCTTCAGCTGTACATTCCGAGAAAAGCAGCATTCTAAGATCTCAATTTCAAATCAAAAGTTACTGAATCATGTTTTGAATTGCAGCTATACGCGGCGTCGCGCACTGATCCGACGAATTATAACAACCGCGCGCGCGTGTGCGTCGTTCTAATACTTGTGCGCGCTGCGCTGAATAACAAAACGAACTACTAATTTAAATTTTCCTACGGTGCTTCTTAAGAATCACCGTTGGAAATGCCTTCTTTCGTTGATTACTTCAAAATGATAGCTTGCCAGAAAGAGTAATTTCACAGGGAGTTTAGTTCCTTTACTGTCTTTCAACCAAGTATGTTTTTCAACAATAATTACGCCAGTTACTTTTCGGATGGCTGCAAATGATGGACTATAGCTTTAAAGAAAACAACTGGAACATCTTCATGGTTGCTTGTTATTGTAACCCCTTTCACTCACCAGCGGTCTTCGTGGTTTCATGAATAACCTGCCCGTATTTGACTGATCAGAGAGTTCCCACCCATTTTTTCGACATGACAGCTCCGAGGTGTTTTTCGTAAAGACCCAGTGTTCATTGAATCCTACAAACTATACCCACTCATTGTGGATGGCATTGCATACGACACCCCCACGCATCACCTTTTTTTGGTAAAACCGGAAAACTGTTATTCTGTTTGAAAAATTAGAACAACCAGATTTTTTAATATCTGAGTTCTCACAGAACTAGTTATTGACTTATTTTTATTCGCAATGATTGATCAAAACGACTGGGTTTTTTTTTCAGTCTACAATTTTTAGATTGAAGAAAGGGTGCAAAATTGCTGTAATAAATGTGATATTTCTGATTTTGGTCAGGGGGAAATGGCATTGTTTCAGCGCCTCAGTTGCACAAAATATGGCCTACAGATTCATATATTTATAACTATTCATGTGACAGGCCAGTATTAATGTTAATGTGATTCACATGTTCAGTGGCACTTATTGGACTCAGTCCAACAGTTTGGTAGATGTGACAAAGTGGATAGGAACTCTGGGTTCTGTCAGTTGACTCCTTATGCATACTGAATGGTTACAGAACACAATGACTGGTGGACCTGTTTTGTTACAGTGTAATTGCTGTGACTCAAAACTTATTTTTCTCCTTTTGTTTTAATCACCTTTAATAGAAAAGAAATTAGTTCCTGGTGCTTGTGTCGCTAAAAAAACTCCAGCTTGTTTGCAGTCCTCAAAAGATGCATGGAATCTTCTGGCCTCACTAATAGTTTCAAGTCAGCACTTTCGGAAATTCTTCTACTAGATGCAGTATAAACAGGGTGGATAAAAATATGAAACTGAGATATTATTGCTAATTGGAACAGAAGTAGGGCACTTGTGAATCGAAGGACACCCTGATCATGTCCTTAAATTCACGGTTGACTGAGCGGTGACCAATTTTATGAAAGGGTCTATTTAGAGAATGGCGCCACTTGTCATGGTGAAATCTCTTTTTTCCCCACCTGCCTTGATTGGCAACCATAGCCTTTCACTCTGTGACAAATGACACCACAAACACCACAATTGAGCCCTAACAGAGGCTATCAACCCTAACAGAGGATATCTCCCTTTGATTTACATATGCCCTACTTCTGTTCCAATTAGCAATAATATGTTGGTTTCGTTTTTTTTTTAACCACCCTGTAATTTAATTTTCGAGTATGGAATTATTCAAATTGACTCGCCCTTGTTTTTTTCTTTGACAGTGTTGTGCCCTTTGGCAAGAACAACCAGTTCCGCATTCCTGTGGACATTTCAGTCTGGGGGCAAGGTGACAACAAACCCCGGGTTGTTGACATGTTGGAGTACCGGGGAGTGAGGTTTGATCCCCCACGCACTCGGTCAGAGCCGTGGAGAGGGGGCATGTCACAGTCCGGTCCCACTAAGGTCTACAAGCCAAGAGCCTCGGCTGCAGCCCCTATGGAGCTCACGAAGGCAGAGGTGGGGTGATTTTTTTCCCCTCAGTTTTTTGTTTTGTTTTTGCTGGTCCCACAGAGTTAAACCACAGAATTGATCTAGCTTGTCTGTGTATGTATTTTCCGTGTTCAAGAGTTCATTTTGTGATCGCACTACTCGTATTTGGAGTGATACAATGCAGCGTGTTTCCCAAAACTTTTGACCGTAAAAACGAGGTCTATCGGCCGCGGGCCACACATGCACAATGCATCACACACTTTGGAGTTTTGGCCAGCTTCCCGTCTTGACTAGTGTTGTGCATATGGTGCGAACGACCTGAATTTTATTATTTTTAAGAATTATCGAACGTAAGTATATTGGCAATAATTAAGGTAGGTTTTATTCACTTTTTGTGGCCATTTTATGTATAGCTTTCGTAGTGCAATGGAAATAGTCCAGGCTAAAACTTAGCATATAATTGAATACCCCATTCAATCTGCATAAAAAAAATTGGCCCCCCAAAAAATTAAAATTCCGACCGACCGACCCTATTTTTGAAAGGCATGTAATCGGAAGCAGAAGTTGTTTTTTTTTTCGGCCTAACTCACTGTCACTTGTGAGCTGGGCAGTGCTATCATATCAGATTGCAAAATCCAGCTCATATTCAAGACCAGATGCACGAAAAGACTTCTTGGAAATTTCCGTTAGTAGAAAAATGCCTTCTTTTATTGTTTTCTTCAAAATGACTGCATGCCAGAAAGAATAATTTCACAGGGAGTTTAGTACCATTACTATCTTTCAACCAAGCATGCTTTTCAACAATAATTTCGTCAGTTACTTTTTGGATAGCTGCAAATGATGTACATTACCTTTAAGGTCTCGGAATCTGCCATTATTTTTAATTTTGCCAGTTTTAAATTATTTTTTATTTATTTTTAATTTAATTTTTTTTCTTCTGTTTTCATGGTTATATATATTTGTTGTTGGGTCGTCTGTTTGCTTGTTTGTTTTTTAATCAGTAATGGTTAATTTTCCTGTTGATTATTAAGTGGGCCATGTATATTTGTTAAATTTTGATTGTAATTTTAAATAAATATATGTATATTTATATATCTTTGTGATGACTGTAAATGGCAGGTCTCCGCTGTTGGGTATCGAATAAATAAATAAATAAATAAATAAATGTAATTTAAAACATACAAGCAATATTTTCCATTGAAATCATGCCATATGTCAAATAATCAAATTCTCTTGTTTGGCAAAACAAAACCAAGTCTTTAAACTGGTTAGAATAGTAAGCAGACTATTGAAGCCTATCAGTTTAATTTGGAATTTCAATCTATGGTTTTGACTTCCAGATGCACAATGAACTGGACCAACTGTTTGATGACCTCAAACAAGTGGAAAAAACGGTCATGATGGAGCCAGCAGAGGTAAGCAAAGCTGCACCCACTGCAACCTCCCTAGGTTCTGCTTTCAATCTCAAGACGATATAGTAGACCCTGCGAGGGATCTCACAATACACGTAGTAAATTACAGATTTATATCTGTATTTCATGATTTTATTTGCAACGTGCATTTTGGACGTGTATTCCCTGTTTTCGTGTTCAGTATGATTTTTTTGCCCAATCCTTTTTCAATTCAATTCAAGGGTTTTATTATTGATTAGTCACAGCCCAAAGCCTGAATTGTGAATGATTTACAGTTAAGTACAAATATAACAAAACATTTGAATTACTTCATACAAAAAATGAATCGTCATCAATTATTAGCTATCAAATAGGAATAAATAAATATGATGTCAAATGGAATAGCAGTATAAGGACACACATAAAGAATGTGTATTTTATCTTCTAAGTAATAGTGAGGTACCTTAGTGAAAATATCGTGACACAGTGGACAAAAGCACCATTTTTTCACCAAAGCATCTCCATGGTATACCTTTTCGAAAAATAGACGGACGCAAACAATTGGATGATGGGAAGGGCATGTATGACGTCATTATGACGTCATCAGCTAATTATTACATGAAATATATATAAATTGATAATATCTTCTGAACTACAAACATCACAACAACAAAAGTCACATCAAATGAAAGGGAACAACAAGATCTTTCATTTAAGTGGTATGTCAGGGGCGTGGAATGTAGTAAAGGGTGTTTTTTGGGGGCCAAAAAGCACTTTTTTGGTCAAAAAACCTGATTTTTTGGCACCTTGTTTAACATGCAAACCGTATTTGTTATTGTTAGATTTTGTTTTTAAGTCAGAGAAAAAGGTTCAAATTCTATACCAAAAGAGTTTTTGCAATTGATTATTATTTTTTATAATTGATTATTAGTATCTTAAATGCTTACACTTGTTCCTTAGATAGGTGGAAAAACTGCAGTTACCGTAAGGAAAATTATCACCATTTTAGGGTATGGGCCAAAATGGGACTTAAGATGTCCTGTATAACCTTGATAAGGCCCAAAAAATAGTTCTGCCTCCCATTACATGGCATTTGAAAACAGGGTTGGAAGGTAAGGATTTTTTGTTTGTGTACAATCATATATGGAGGCGTCTGCGTGTAGTCAAGGGTGAAAGGGAGAAATTGATTGTTTGGGGTTCTTTTTTCTCATTTTTCCCATATAACAAATTAGGGTAGGGGCTGTCAGAATAGGGTAGGTAGGGAAACCGGAAGCAGAACAGTTTACTATCATTTTTTTGGGGGGGGGGCCTAATACATAGTTTAGTTACCAGCAAATAGATGGTGTGCATTACTTTTATCAATGCATGCCCAGTTTGAGGAGACTTTTGAATCAAGACCTCCAACAAATCATGCATAGGCCTACGTTCTTTTTATATATCGAGAGTAAAAAAGCTTAAACTGTTGTGCAACAGCCCACAAATAAAAGCTTACCACTTTGTATTCATTATGTTGAAATTGATTTTTGAAACCAATGCAATTAGTGGTGAGACTCCTTTTTGCGTCTCAAAGTGCCTGAAAATGTAAAGTTGTCGTGGAATGGCCCATAAACAATCAGAATATGTCAGGAGTAAGCCTAATCCATTTGGGGTCAAATCGGTTAGGATGTGCTGGGATGAAATGGAGAAATGAGCAGCCCTATCTCCACTGAAATATTCCATTACGGAGCACAGCGTCTAAACATTAGCCTCTTCCAATAAAATTCTAAGGACCAGTTCTACGAGGAACTCAACACCACCATCAGAGGTATCCCTGTCGTAGAACAACTGTACCTCCTTGGCGAATTCAACGCCCGAGTGGGATCTGACCACAACTCCTGGCCCAGCTGCATTGCTCACGTTGGCGTTGGCAAGCTAACTGAGAATGGGCAGAGGCTGCAGAAGCACCTCAGATCCCGTCACTTGCTTCAGCTTCATCTCATCATCACAGGAAGACCCTCACGAAACTGCGTTCTCATCACACGCAGCGCTGACTGTAATACAGACCACTCCCAAATAAACAGATCCACCGCTCAAGGCAAAAAAGACGCCCACATTTCAAACATCGCCAGGACGTCAATCCCAGATCTGTGCAACACGAGGAATCTCCCTCCTCGGTATCGTTAAGAAGGCCTTCGCCCTTGTAGTGCTGAACAGATCGCAGCTGCTAGCTGAGTGCATATACCCTGAGAGGCAGTGCGGTTTCAGAGCTGAAAGATTAAAGATCGACATTATCTTCTCCATTGTCTTCGACTTACGGCAGCTCCAGGAGAAGTGCCGAGAGTAGCGAAGACCGATGTACTGACCGCGGACCTAGCCAATGAAACCCTTTGACCTTCGTCAGTAGAAATTAAAGGCCTCTTCAGGCTACTGCAGAAGATTGGATGTCTCCAAGTCATCAAAACATTCAACTCCATTACCTTATCAGCATCGGACATATGATGTGCACAACAGCTGAGCACCGCCGAACACTGGATGTGATCTGTCCGGATCATCTCTAGCAACATGTCTGCAACGAGGTTAACACAAACTCGAGTGCAAATACCTTACCAGTTCGTTGATGCGTCAAAAATACGGAGACAATTGGAGAAACAACCCTCCCAATGAAGGCATATAATGTTTCCGGAATCATCTGCCATGGTTCGATACACCTTATGGGTATACCAGCAGAATGACTGGCAACGTGAGAAGTTCCAAGTAGTCAATGTGCCAGGACCAGATATCAATGGGCTCCCTACTATACGAGCCGCACGTACCCTACGAGCCGCACCCTACACTTGGTCAAAACCTACACTGGCACACTGCCCCAAAGCCTCAGGCCCCCACAGGAACCAAAGGGCTGACCACTTCCACTCCGGTGAGAGACATACAAGACCTGAAGGATCGGCTCCCAACGCAGTTTGATACTTTCGACGACTTAGATACGCGCTCTCCTACACCTCAAGCCAGATACTCAGTCCCACATAAATCCGCCACATAGGTGCAGCTTTCATGCCAAACCAAAACCGCAGGCCGAGCTGAAAAAGACTGAGACAGGCTGGGTCGTACGAAAAGTCTCCCATCACACGGACGGGTGCAGCTCTATCACAGCAACTGCCAAAAAGACGGCCCGTTCAGGATGTGTCCGGATCCCAAGCAGCTAAACACTTTATTTTGTTTTCTAAAGATCCCCACTCTTGAGGAGCTCAAGCCAGAATTTGCACTGGAAAGGTTCTCCTCCAAGCTAGACGTCAAAAACAGGGTATTGTCTGCTCATCTAGGGCAGTCTGAAAAACTGACAACATACAATTTGGTTGTTAACAGCTTTCGTCGCCCATTCATCTACTTATCAGTAAGCCAAGATAATGGTCCCAAAAATATTGATGGCAAAATACGCTAGATGCCTTGATGCGTTGGAACAATCACCGTGACGACATTGCAGTATTCGGTCTCCCTTGAAGAGCATGACGAGCGGCCGAATGTCTCATCGCCCTGATAGAAACTGCTGGTTCCTTAGCATAGTAAACAATGTCTCATTACACTGTACACCCCAAATTGCGCAGACAAAGTTGCTCCCTACAGCGATCTTCTTCGAAAAGAAGTACCATTTCTCTGGGAAGAGGACCATCAAGCTTGTTTTATAACCCTTAAACACTCCATCTGAACTCAGTCCTGGCTACGATTCTCCGACACACAGGTATAGAAACCATCCTCAAAGTAGATGCATCTGAAAGAGGATTGGGCAACACCCATGAAGTTAAACCCATCGCATTTTCCTCAAAGAGCCTATAGATCCTCTTCCCAGAGCATATTCTCGAATACCGAGAGGAAACCTGTGGCACTGCTGCAACTTCATTTGGCTCCAACTTCATTGTTGTCACTGACCATTAAAATCATTGGTTACGATCTGGCGCAAAATCCTAGCCAGTACACCACACCGCTTGCAGCGTCTTAAGCTACAAGGATACAACTTCGACGATGTCTACAAACATTGCCCAACCCCTCCAAGCTCGACAACGAGACATGTGATGAATCTGTAACTGAGATCCACTGGGATATGGGCACCCGACTGTAACTTATGTTACATTTTTTGTCCGCCTATTTTTGGAATAAGTTTAAACATTTAAGATACCAATAATCAATTACGAAAACTCTTTTGGCATAGTATTTGAACCATTCTCTCTGACTTAAGAACCAAAACTCACAATACCACTTACGGTTTGCATTTTAAAACAAGGTGCCAAAATGATTACCCCAAATCCATCCCACTGACATACCACTCAAATGAAAGATCTTGTTGTTCCCTTTAATTTGATACCACATTTGTTGTTGTGATGCTTGTCGTTCTGAAGATATTATCAATTTATATGTTTTTCAAGTGTAAGCATTTAAGATACTAATAATCAATAACAAAAAATAATAATCAATTGCAAAAACTCTTTTGGCATTGAATTTGAACCTTTTTCTCCGACTTAAAAACAAAATCTCACAATAACACATACGGTTTGCATGTTAAACAAGGTGCCAAACAAAACTACATGATTTTAGCCAAAAATCAGGTTTTTTGACCAAAAAAGTGCTTTTTGGCCCCCCAAAACCACCCTTTACTACATTCCACGCCCCTGACATACCACTTAAATGAAAGATCTTGTTGTTCCCTTTCATTTGATGCAACTTTTGTTGTTGTGATGTTTGTAGTTCAGAAGATATAATCAATTTATATATATTTCATGTAATAATTAGCTGATGACGTCATAATGACGTCATACATGCCCTTCCCATCATCCAATTTTTTGCGTCCGTCTTTTTTTCGAAAAGGTATACCATGGAGATACTTTGGTGAAAAAATGGTGCTTTTGTCCACCGTGTCACGATCCTTGGCATTTTTGTCACTAAGGTACCTCACTATAAACAAAAAAGTAACATTCATGTTGATGAAATTGAGGTTTTTAATTAAAGCTCAATTGAAAATAGAAATTTCGATTTCTATGTTATAACAAATTGTCATACCCACATTCACGTATTACCAATCCTAGCAGAAATTAATGTGGAGATTTGTATATTATCAAGATTGTCACTTTGTTCTTGTCACACAGTGTTGAGTATTGGTTTAACGTGATATTGCCACATATATTTAAGAAGGATCAACAGTTCAATTTCAAGGCCAAAAATTGACTTATGTATTAAAACTGTTAATGCATTTACTTTCAATCTCATTAACTACTATAGGCAATAGCCAGCACCCTATACCCACACCAGAAGCAAGCTCTGAATTGGATGTGTGCTCGTGAGAACTCAGACGACCTGCCTCCATTCTGGAAGAGCCAGGGTCGCAGCTTCCTCAACACGGTCACCAACTTCATCAACCCGACCAGACCACCCACGGTGCGGGGAGGGATCCTTGCTGACGAGATGGGACTCGGAAAGACTTTAGAGATGATCGCACTGATCCTGACCAACTTCCAAGGAGGCCAACCCCTGGCTGTGCCCAATCCAGAAAGTACCCAAGTAAGAATTCATTTTACAGTGGCTGGAGCCAAATTACTTGTTCGCCCTGATCCTGTTCGAGTCCTTTCCAGTGGCCTTCCCAACACTCTCTTTGTAAACTCTTTGCTGTGCCCAATCCAGAAAGCACCCAATTAGGAATGGTTCATGATGATTTTGCAGCGGTTGGAGACCACTGAAGTGAGATGAATCAATGAAGAACTCAGAGGAGATTATTCTCAGGTTCTGTGCCACTGCAGCTTTATTCATCAGACATAGTGTAAGAGAGAGCGCGGGCGAACTGTTCACCTAATGTGCTTGCGCGCATACAAAGTAGTGCTCATGAAGTATCACAACATCCCTCCCCTTTTGAAAGTACAATTTCAGGAATAATTATTGGTGTACACATAAAACTGGAATTTACTTAATTAGCAAGCATTTACATGAAATGTGTAGTGATGGCTTTTCAATTGACAGACATATGAAACATTGGTGGTCATATCTTACTGACAACTACAACTTTTGTTTCTCTGCAATAGTTTCTCTGCAATATGTGGCACACAGTCTTAGTACCTTCTTTTCGAACGGTAACAAATTTAACTTTAACAGTAACAAGTTAACTTGAACAGTAACAAAGTGAACTTTTGTACTTTCTTTCTTTTGAAATTTGACTTTGGTACTTTCTTGCTTTCTTCCTTTTTGAACTGTTAACAAATTTAACTTTAACAGTAACAAGTTAACTTGAACAGTAACAAAGTGAACTTTAGTACTTTCTTTCTTTTGAAATTTGACTTTGGTACTTTCTTGCTTTCTTCCTTTTTGAACTGTTAACAAATTTAACTTTAAACAACAATAAATGTACTGAAACGGGTTTAATAAACATATGAAACTTTGAGTTCTGTTTCAAATCGTGTGGGTTATTTTTTGTTTCCATATGAAATTAAATGTGAAATATCGTTTCTGAACCAAATTGTTTGAAGTATCTGCTATGTATAATCTGGGTGTGTGATATTATTCAGTGTATCTGGCTGGTTTACGGATTGTGCGTCCAGATTTTGTTTTGCGAGTGACAGTCGGAGACATGTTTCGATCTGTGTTGTTTCGGTCTGTTTTGTTTCGGTCTGTTTGTTTCACAGCTTCTGTGTCTAGCTTCTTGTTGGACAGTGGAAGTGATTCATCAGCGAATCGAACTCGTTTGGGCGTAGCCAGGGATTTCATCTGGCTGGGCATCTCACGTAGGTGCGAACGGTTGCGACGTAGTCTGTGTCCATTGGGTGTGGTGACTTCATATGATCTAGGTTCCTTACAGACTGTTGTGACTTCACCAGGCAACCAAGTGTGGTTCTGCTGGTCCAGGATTCGCACTCGTTGGCCAACATAGAGTTGTGGGAGTTCTTTTACTGCTTGTTTGGCATCATGGTCGGTCTTCATCTTTTGTCGTCTTGCCTCTAGCTGGTCTCTGATATCCTCAGCTTTCTGGGGGTTTGCTTGCAGGTGGTTGTTTGGCAAGGTAGTTTGTATCGGTCTGCCGAAGAGAATTTCAGCTGGTGACGGTAGTTTGGAGTCCACAGGGGTTGCACGGAGGTTCAAGAGTGCTATGTCGACATTTTGTCCAGACTTCTGGCATTTCTTGATCACTGACTTGACGGTTCTGACTGAACGTTCCACGAAACCGTTTGAACGTGGATAACGTGGAGACGAAGTTGTGTGCTTGATGCCCCATGTGTTACACATGTCTTCGTAGTGTTTGCCTACGAATTGGGGGCCGTTGTCTGACATAACCTCAGCTGGTGCTCCAAGGAGGCTGAATGTGTGTGAGGTGATGCCAGCAACTGCTGCACTGGTTGTGCTGTTCAACTTGTGAACGACAGGGTACTTCGAATGATAGTCAACTATCAGTAGATAGTTGTCTCCGTGGATTTCAAACAGATCAGTGCCAAGTTTGGTCCAGGGGGTCGAAGGTACTTGATGTGGCTCCAATGGTTCCTTTTGCTGTTTGGGTTGGGATTCCTGGCAGTAGGAACACGCTTTGACAAGTTCATCAATATGGCGATTGATGTTGGGCCAGTAGACCGACTCTCTGGCTAGACGTCTTGTCTTCTCTATACCCATATGTCCTGTATGGAGCTGTTGTAAGATATCCGTCTGAAGTGAGTCTGGAATGATGACCTGTCTTCCTTTGAAGATTATTCCCCAGGAGATACCAAGCTCATCCCTGTATGGCCAGTAGACCCGTAGGTCTCGAGGTAGTTCCTTGACGGACTCTGGCCAGCCACTGTATATTATCTGACACAGTGCACTTAGTACAGGGTCTCTTGCTGTTTCTCTCTGCAGTTGCTCTTGCTTAGACTGCCCAAAATGCACAAGGTCCATGCACATGGCGTCTTGGCCTTCATAGACATCAAAACTGCCGACCAGTCTGTCTAGGGGTATGTCATCACTCTTTGTCGGGTTTGGCAATCTGCTCAGGGCATCTGATAGCGTCATTGTTTTCCCTGGTCTGTACTGTACGTCAAAGTTGTATCCTTGCACCTTAATTAGCAAGCGTTGCAGACGAGGTGGTGCACTCGAGAGGGGTTTCTTCCAGATCATCTCAAGTGGCTTGTGATCAGTGTGGAGTGTAAACTCTTTCCCGAAGAGATAGCTATGGAACCTGGTGATGCCGAACACTAGGGCTAGTGTTTCTCTCTCTATGTTAGAGTAGTTGGCTTGTGCCGGGGAAAGACTCTTCGACGCAAATGCTATCGGCCTGTTGTTTTGAAGGAGGCAGGCTCCCAGACCCTTCTGTGATGCGTCGACTTCCAGCACAGTGTGTATCTCTGGGTTGTAGTACTGGAGACACGCTTCAGTGGTGATGGAATATTTCAAGGCTTCGAATGCTGCTTGATGGTCATCCTGCCACAGATATGGCACATTCTTCTTCAGGAGATCCCTGAGGGTCGCTGCTTTGTCTGCCAGGTTAGGGATATATGCAGAGACGTATGTGATCAGGCCTAGGAATTTTTGCAGGTCTTCCTTGTCCTGAGGTGTTGGAATGCTGTGGATGTCCTCAATTCTGCCTGGGTCCGGCCGGATGCCGGTGTCGGAGTACAGTGACCCAAAGAAGTTGATTTGGTTGGTCTTGATGTGGCATTTGTTGCTGTTGAAAACTAAGCCTTCACGGCTGGCTGTTTGAAGTAGATTCAGGAGGTTGGCATCATGTTCATCCTCAGTACGGCCATATACAGCAACATCGTCAGCAATGCCGACGCATCCTGGAACCTGTTCTATGATGTCGTCCATGCACTGCTGGAAGATGTCTTGGCTGATGGAGAGACCAAATGGAAGGCGCTGGAAACAGTACCGGCCAAATGGCGTTCGAAAGGTGGTCAGCTCTTGGGATTCTTCCTCGAGCTTGACGGCCCAATACCCAGCTTTAGCATCAAGCTTCGAGAAGAATTTGGCTTGAGAAAATGCTGGGTTGAGTTCCTCCAGTGTGGGTATTTTGTGTGGACATCTCTTGAGGCTCTGGTTCAGCCGCTTAGGATCCAGACAGACCCTAAGTGTCCCATCTTGTTTCAAGCTCGTGGTTATCGAACTACACCAGTCGGTGTGATGGGTGACCTTTCTAATTACACCTTGCTGTTCCATCTTGTCGATCTCTATTTTGAGCTTCGGCTTCAGGTGTATGCTACACTTCCTGGGCGCGTCAATGCTCGGTTTAGCATCCTCCTTTAGATGAAGAGTTGCTCTGGCTTTGAAGTTTCCAATTGTGTCAAATTGGTTGGGGTACAACCTCACGAGGTCGTGGACTGACTTGATGGTGTCATGTGACAGATTTTGGGGTTCACCTACTCCTGGTTGTTTGGGTGATGCAGGGGGTTGAGGTGACGATTCAGTGGAGTGGATGGTGACCACTTCAAGCTCGCTGCACATGGGCAGGCCGGCTATGGCTGGTCCGGGGACATCTACGACGTAGAATCTGTTCTTTGTCCACTTCGGTGTCTTGTAGCGGCATAAAAGCTCAATGCACCCTAGGCATACAATCTCTGTACCATTGTATGCCGTCAGCTTGGTCTTCACAGGCTGGACGAAAGACTTCCATCGACTTCCATACATCTGTTTGATCGTACGGAGTGGCAACGTGTTTCCTCCGGCTCCAGTGTCAACTTTTGTGATTAGTCGGTGTTTGCCGATGAGGTCGGGGCAGATAACGTCAAGCGTTGTGTATGCCTCCCTGTTGTTGTCTATCGAGCTCATGCAGAGGTTCGAGACAGTAACTGTGTGGAATACTGTTTCATATTCCTCTGAAGCTTCTGCTGAATGGATGGGTTGTTCATCTCTGTTGGTGTCATTTGGCTTCTGTTTGCCGGCATTGGATCGACTTTTGGATCTTGGTCTGCGAGTTGTATTTCCTCGCGATGGGCTGCGGCCACGTCTGGACGGAGATTTGCCCTTGCGTTTACCCTGGCTTCGGGTCTTTCTGCAGAATTTGGCCCAATGGCCCTTGGAACCACATGATTTACATGTGTCCCGGTAGGCAGGACACCGTCTTGGTGGGTGGGATAGACCACAGTTGCCACAGGTTCTGCCAGTGGGTCGGAAAGCATGGACAGCTGTATGTGACGCCTCCAACGTCTCAAGGCACTTTTTGCCAGCAAGGATGGCTTCGTACTTCCGTCCCTCTTGTAGCATGTCATCGATGCTAAAACCAATGGGTTTGTCTAGAAGATCTTTCTGGAAAGATTCAGATGTGGTAGACGCAATCACTAATTCGATGATGCGTTCCGTCATTTCCTCTGGTCCGAAGTTACATTCGTGTGCCTTTGCTCGGCATCTGTTGACGAAGTTGTCCAGGGATTCATCTGGTTTCTGGCGATACCGCATAAGCTCCAGGCGATGTATGCGGAAGTTCACTTTGATGTGTAGCTGCTTCTCGAACAACTCCCATAACTGGTTGGGGATCAGTTGTTCTTCTGCTGACAGGCTTGAAGAATTTATCATTTTGAGGCCTCCAGTTCCGACTGCTATTTGTATCTTAACAGCACGCTTGGCAGGATCGGTGATTTCCTGGTCCCTGAAGCTCAGGTCCATCCGTTGTTTAAAAAGCTTAAACTCTTCTGCGATGTCTGTGGCACCCCAGTTCATTTCTGGGAACTTGGCCATGATGCAGGGCTGTGGGATAGAAATCTCTGGGATACAATTCAATATGCTACAGCACACGAAATTGTAAACAATAGCAACTGCAATGTAGCTTAAAGGTAAGTGCTACGATTAGTGATCACAATAAATCACAACAATATAATTATTTCAATAATAATTTTGACTATTCAACAATATATTTGTCAAAACACATATTATTGTTCATATATGAAATGTCCAGAGTTCTTTTGGTGAGCAGTCCTTTCTCCAAGAATGTCCAAACACAGTTTGTCCTGCTGTTCCACAGAAATGAGCGATGTACTGTCAGATTTCCAACTTGACTTGATGTCCCGTACAGGCCTCCGTAGATATGATTGATGCACAGTTCCGGCACTGGCGGATGAATACGGCGAATGTTCACTGTAATGAGCGGGAAGCGCACAGTTCCGGCGATGATGCGGAGTGATAGGGTCAAAGGTCACACTTGACGTAAAGATGCGTGAAGCGGTTCGCAGGGCTTGTGATGTTCACGGAACTATTTGTTCATACGCACAGCTACAAGAATGTGTGCACGATAGCGAAACAATGTTTAACAATATGAAGGTGATTCAAAGGTGTACATTGTTACGTGAACTGGCTGGGTGGGGGGGGGGGACTGATGATCACTCCCGTAGATCAAACTTTTGACAAAGTTATTGTAGTGACTTGCCTTGGTCACGCGATGGTGCGACGGGCTGGTCCCTGACCGGTCGGTCGACCGTGTGTACCGGTCGAGTAAGCTCGGTCGAGTCCCGGTGCGGTCGCGTCAAATCGGAGCTCGATCAGCTTTCACTCAGCTCCACGAAAAAGACGAAAAAGTCCTCTGTCGCTATGATGCCGATGGTCGACTCGTGGCGAGGGGTTTTCTCTTGTCCGTGCTGTCCACAGCACGGTGTAGCGGTCCGCTTATCAGCGTTGGCTCGGTGATGGCTTAGGCTTGGCCTCAGTCCGGCGATGACTCCGGGCTAGGCTACGCACGCAGCTGAGTTTCAGTTACGTTGCGTGCGGTGTGCAGTGGGCTTGGCGACGGTGGGTGTGCGGCATACAGTGTGTGGTGTGGTGCGCTGGATCTATGCACGCAGCGATGTACAGTTCACACTCAGGCAATCACAGCGGAAACGTTGTTGTCGCGAAGACAATTTCTGCTGCTTTCCGGTAGTTTTCAGTTACTCTTCTTGGTTGAGAGTGATGGGTGTTCTCTGGCCTTTTTCACCACCGCTGCCACCATGAAGTTTTTAAGGATTTTTAATGACATGGCAAGTAATCCATCTAATTTTAGGCAAGTTTTGCCCTAAACCAAAGAAACAGTGACAGAAACAGTAAAAATGACAGCCATATTTATGTACCAACTTATTGGACTACAGGCAAAATAAAAGGATCGGGTTAGGAAACTGGAAATTCTGTCTTGGTACTCTCTGCTTATTTATTCTGAAATAACTCTGCAAAATCTATAAAACAATCACTTACATGTACAAGTCCAACGGTATTGTATTCGTGTGATCCTACTCAAACGCTGCCCAGGCTTTGTCTAACTAAAGAACGGTGTGCATTCTGCGCGCCAAAATGTAATACAAATATACATCTAACCTAAAAATAAGCAATGCGGCGCACGCTCTTTCAAGGTTGCTGCGTGCAGCGCCCCCTAGTGACAGAATTTTGTTACAATATTAATGGACAATATATTCTGTATTTAGTAAAGGTGACTGTTTCTATATTTGTTTGTTATGATTGATTACCAGATTTTCACGGTCCAAATCTCATCTTTTCAGGATGTTGAGTGCCTTGATTCTGACTCGGATTCTGATGCCTGTGATGGCAATGCCACGACCGTCACAGAAAAAGAAGTTCTGGAAAGTGCCCTGGTAGTCCAGAATACCCAGTCCAAGTTAGAAACAGAGTTGGAGAAATCAGTTGAGCCTGTAGTGATAGATGATCCCGTGGTTGTTGTGGAGACAGGGCAAATCCCACAACTACGAAAAGATGATACGATAATATTGGAAAGTGTTCCGGACAATGAGGTGGTCATGTAAGTTAGAAGTGGTCTCCTAGAGACTCTCTTATATATGATATGATAATATATGGCACTCCAATATCAGATATATGTGATATTCATAAATACCTAAGACAGTTTACCCAATCTGTAATGGCCGAGAGCCCGTCACGTGTCCAGTCTTAAACGGATGATAAAGACATGGCTGGCTGGTCTTAAGCACTTTTCCATTGTCACATGAAATTTGGACTCTATGAAATCCAGCGCCTTTTACCATTTTATTGGCTGAATGTTCTCAATCCTGTCATAGGCATGCGCAATACTACCAGTAAGTCAGTATTTCAAAGTCCTAAATTCACAACGCACTCACCACAGCTGCATCTGCGCGTCATCGAGCAGTACGCGCGATGCGCGACGCGCGCCAATCTCCATAAAAGGAGTTGTTTACATCTTACTTGCGAGCTGGGCACTCCATTATATAGCTAGAGGGGTGTTTCAAAAAACAGAATGTAAAATTGTTGAACAGAATTGTTGGAATATTTCAACTTTTGACTTTTGGATCGAAAAGTTTTGATTTTTTGACCGAAAAGGTATTTATGAATGGGAATAAAAATCTGCTTGGTTGGTATTAAACACTATGTTTCAGACTGGTTGGAGTCCGGAATGCTGATAATTACCGGAGGCGAAGCATTCCAGACTCCAACCAGTCTTATACATAGTGTTTAACTCATTTTGAGGTAATTCAATTATACTTTACACAATGAGCATGTTGTGGACAAACATGTCTGCAGATTATTTGAATACATACTCTTCCATCACCACTATACTATAAAACAGAAAGGGTGTGTATAAGTGAGTGTGTGTGTATGATCATGACTTCTTCACAGTCACGATTGATCGCGTGCCAAGCACATGATTTTTTTGCAAAGCGGGGACATGAAACCTCGTCTATTTAATATGAAATTATCGCTATTTTGATGTTATTTCATTCCAAGAAGTCCCGTTTCCAAAGAAAGGATAAAACCTCCACAAATTTCAAACTTTATTCTGGGGCAGTGAATAAAACAAGTTTCAATTTTTGTGGCTGTTTTTTTTTTAATCAGTGTTCTGGATGACGAGGAAGAAAAAGAGAAAGTGGAAGAACCAGCACCTGAGCCAGAGGTTCAGATTGTGACAGGAAGTGCTCGGCCTAAAAGGTATGCATTTGAATCATGTATTGGAAGGAATGAACACACCCAACAAACTGGAAATGTTAGATTTGTATGCCAGATACTGTGAAGTTAACTCTCTCTCTCATGTCAGCTCACTGTGAAGTGCATGACCAGTTATATCCATTAAGTAGTGGTGGGAGAAAATGGAGTTTTCAGAATCAGGTTATCCTAATTTTTTTCAGTTATGGATAATACATGAGGAGCGCATGCCGTTCGTGGGTGAGAACAGCCCGAGGGCCATTATGCAAGCTGTTGCTCAAAATGCTGATGCCCGTGTCTGGTCTGTAGGAAATGACGTCATTTGAGAGAGACATATTAACCTTCAGAATATTTTTATGCCCCGCGGCGAAGCCGAAGGGGCATACTGTTTCCGCCTTGTCCTTCCGTGGGTGGGTGGGTGTGTGGGTGTGTGTGTGGGTGGGTGGGTGTGTGGGTGTGTGTGTCCGGACAAATCTTGTCAGCGCGATAACTTGAGAAATACTTTACATATGAACTTCAAATTTGGTTTGTGGATTGTCCTTGGTAATCCCAAGAAGCCTTTTGCATTTGGGGCCGAAAGGTCAAGGGTCAAGGTCACAGTGGCTGAAACAATAGAAATTTTGTCAGCGCGATAACTTGAGAAATACTTTACATATGAACTTCAAATTTGGTTTGTGGATTGTCCTTGGCAATTCTAAGAAGCCTTTTGCATTTGGGGCCAAAAGGTCAAGGGTCAAGGTCACAGTGGCTGAAACAATAGAAATTTTGTCAGCGCGATAACTTGAGAAATACTTTACATATGAACTTCAAATTTGGTTTGTGGATTGTCCTTGGTAATCCTAAGAAGCCTTTTGCATTTGGGGCCAAAAGGTCAAGGGTCAAGGTCACAGTGGCTGAAACAATAGAAATTTTGTCAGCGCGATAACTTGAGAAATACTTTACATATGAACTTCAAATTTGGTTTGTGGATTGTCCTTGGCAATTCTAAGAAGCCTTTTGCATTTGGGGCCAAAAGGTCAAGGGTCAAGGTCACAGTGGCTGAAACAATAGAAATTTTGTCAGCGCGATAACTTGAGAAATACTTTACATATGAATTTCAAATTTGGTTTGTGGATTGTCCTTGGCAATCCTAAGAAGCCTATCGCATTGGGGGTCAAAAGGTCAAGGGTCAAGGTCACAGTGGCTAAAACAATAGAAATCTTGTATTTATTCTGAGATCATAGGGATTAGGGATTAATTCATATAAAACCTACAGAAGACACTAATGCTGTCAATGAACGTTCCATTTGACCAAGGTACATGTAAGTTGATGTTAGAGTGGTGTTATGTCATGGAAACAGTCACGGTTGCGGGGCATTTGTGTTTGTAAACACACCTGACTTGTTTTTTCTCTGGGATACCCTTTCAAGCCGTTTAATTAATATAACTGTTTTCACTTGGCAATTTGATGCGCTCTTAGACTGAAGTATTGCGTCCCCTTTTAGGTATTTCGTGCTGCGTTTGTGGTGCACCCAACACTTGTATGTGTTTCTTTTGAACATGTTTCAACAGAGCCAGCAAGAAACCTGTGCGTTATGTATTCAGTGGCTCGGATGCTGAACTCGAGTCTGATGAGGAAGTACCTAAGAAGAAATGTGGGTATTCAGTCAAGCCCTCCACAATTGCACAATTTCTGCTTTGCACTTTCGTTTTAAAAATATAATCAACGTCGCTGCCCCAATTTAATCACTGGGAAAAAAAAAAACATTTTTGAGGATTGTCTACTTTGAAAAGAGGGTTTTATCCGTGATTAAACCATTGCTATTGACGTCACACTATTGTTAAAAGTGTGGATTCGGATCTACGAATCTCTTAACATTGGTCACAAAGTGTGGATTCGGAACTACGAATCTTTAGTAAAGTGTGGATTTCGTAATTCGGAATTACGAATCCACACTTTGAACATGTCAGACTATTATTCTCCATCATAACGAGCATGAATAGGACCGTCTGCGTGAAAACTTGCTTTCCGAAAATTACCAATGCATCTTCACTGTCAGATTCTCTGCCGTCACTGCAAAATCTACTTTAGTCAGAAAGAAATCGTTGTCTGAACTGTACATTTTGATGTAAGGAGCCTATACACACAAAATGACTTGGTTGTACGGGTGTGGCGATACACTTGCTAAACACGCCAGGAAAAATGTTGCAACCTGCACCACTTCCACGCTTGTGTACAAAGTCTATGGAGAGTCATTTCAAGTATTTCCTAACGAAATTTGAAACATTTCTCAGTCCCAGATTCATGTCTTATCGTCATTTTTGCAACGAATGACCTTCATTGAGATGATATATGAAGAAAAAAGTGGCGTCAGGTTGCAACATTCTTTCCAATACTTCTGTTGACGCAATGGTTCAAGTCGAAGAATACACTCGCAAGTGTGGATTCTTATTTTACGAATTCACTCGGTGCTTCGCGCCTCGTGCATTCTTAAATTACGATTCCACACTTTCTCGTGTATTCCCTTAACAGAAAGGTCTTCCTTAATTAAGTTTTTGGCTTTTTTGATTGTTTGCTTGTTTTTAATTTCTTTTTTTTTAAGGCTATTGCATAAAATGTATTTTTACTGCGTTTATTATCTTATTGTATTCAAAACGAGGTAGAACAAATATAAATTTGCTGGTGCAGGATTTTGAGCTGGAACCACCAGAACACTGTGCTGATGCTCCACCAACTGAACTTAGATATCCCATTCTATTTTGGTAGTTTCCCAATTTGTCAACATATTTAAACACAAGCCAGTGATCACTCCCGGAATCACGATGCTAGTGACATGAGCAATGCTGCAAATCTGAAAAATGGCATTTGGGGTTCAAACAAACAGGATGCGGTTTGAGACTTATTTTCAGGTTTTGTTTTAATTGTGTACAGCAAAGACAAAGTCAAAGAAGGATGAAGTCAGGACTCCGCGAGCCAGCCAGGAAGGTGATGAGGAAGAAGGAAGCCAGAAAGTAGTACTCAAGTCCAAAGCAGCTGCTAAACCCAAAGAACCAAAGAAAACTCAACAGAAGAAGAAAGGTGGTGCTAAAGCCAAAGGAAAAGTCTTGCCAGGTAAAAGATATCCACAGTTAAGGACAGGGCCTAATTTTATGGCTCTGCTTAATGTGAGTAACAACTCTCTGCTTACTGTAGCAGAAAATTCTGTGCTTACTTATTTTACGGGTTTAATTGCAAGTTATATAATAAAAGTTTGAGGTCTGTTGGTGACACCATATCAATATCAAGCTCTTCTGAGAGCTGCTGCAGAACAGTGGTCTCATGGCCTGATGATCAGGGGTTATAAATGTAAGTGATTTGATTCCATGGCCCAATACCTTGCCGCTGCTTAACACGTTTAGCAGAAAAGTTGTGTTTACCATAGCAGAATTGTGTGCTAACCTTAAGCACTATTTCATGTCGGGGTTGTGCTAATGGTTGTGCGCGCATGGAGATTTTTATTGTTACATCGCTGATTTCAGCAACTTTTTCCTCTGGGTTTGGGTGTGCTTTTGCTGTGCTAACTGCCTTACGGTCTTCATGAAATAGATGGAAGCTCTGTTAGCAGATAACCGTGTGCTTAGCAGCGCCACGAAATTGGGCCCTGGTATAAAGTGCCTTGTAAGCACCACATTTTTATTAATGAAATGAATTAATCCACACCATGAAATAATGCTTAATGGTTAGCACCATTTTCTGCTACAGTAAGCACAACCTTTCTGCTAACTGTTCAAAAGTGCTATGAAATTGGGCCCGGGTTGTGATAGTTTTCTAATCATTTTGTGTGACAAAGAGAGAGTTGGACAGGCTTGTGATCGCAGTTGTTGTCTAATGCCTCGTGCTCACACAAACATGCTATGGATTTGTGCGCACTTAGAATAAAAATAAATCTTGTGTTCTTTGTACCATATGCGTGGTCATGAAGCGCCATGAACTGTTCATGCACGGACTCCACACTTTGTCCGTTCTCAAGAGAATGGGCCTGAAGACACATGGAGCAAACTGTCTGAAACTTCGGAAAAAAAAAACTCTCACAACGGATTTTTTCAGATACAATACCTCTTTGTAGTACTAAAGGCAATGTTTCAACTCGTTCTCTAGGACAGGCTTTAAACTGCCAACAGAATTTAGGCAACAAAATTATCTAACTTACCTCTCGGCCTGTGACAGACTGCTTTTCATTGTTATAAAACTTTATATAGGGATGGCTGGGTAGCTATAGTCATGATAGTACACCAACCTAATCGAGCCAGGCTGCCAGCCTATGTCCAACTGATTTAGCTTAAGTGAATCTGAACTGGGGGATATGCTGAGATTTTAAAGGGAATATACATCATTTGCTTTTGCTGTAATTTTCAGAAATGCATGGAATTGGGGGGTTGGAAATATATAGCAAATATAGTTACACTGACTTTTTTGAGGTTTTGGGTTCGAAAATGCTATAAAAACCAAGAAAAACAATCATTTTCCTGTAGTCTGGTTCCCTGACTCCATTTAGGAAGAAACAGAGCAGTTTACATACACTGGGGAATTGTAAGGTCAGGGAACCAGTCTAGCTGGCTTGTACCCATTCATAGGTGTGTAATTGATTGCAAACAAGTGCGATGGTCAACTGGGGCCAGTATTTGAAAAAAAGCCAGTTTTTTTCAAACGCTGGTCGGCCGATCAGCGTTGGAAATTGATACAAAAATACCACTTTTCTTGAAAATGACAGTATACCAGGTGCCATGATTTTACAGGATGCTTTACACTGTCATTCACTAACAGTCCAGCAGGGTATTTCAAAATGATTTGGTAGTTTTATTTTTTGATGTTTGCAAATGTTGTATTTTCCCTTTAACGAGAATTCCAAAGTCAAGGATTATTAACACTGCGATACCAGTGCTTGTAATGCGATACCTGATGACATCATGATGACAGTTATTTGCACACCCCGAGATAAGGGTTGATGTTTGTTCCAAGTTCAAGTTCATGCTGTGTACTGTAAAGAAGAAAAGTTGCAGAAAAAAACCCACAATTGTACAAAAAAGGGGTTTATTGGGGATCAATACTGATGTCTTGACACTGGTATTTGCTGTATGTTATTTTCTCAGACATGCAACTCCCAAGTCTTCCCAAGTTGCCAACTCTACCAGGCCTGGGCCAACATGTGCCCGCTGTGGCATCAACCTGCACCGTCACCACCTGCGATGGTCCCCTGGCAGCACTCCAACCTCAGCCCCTGACTGGGACCTCAAGTCATGGCAGTAGGTTTGCTCCCAAGGGGCCCAGGCCTACCCTTATCCTATGTCCGCTGTCTGTGATCAGTAACTGGTTGGTGAGTCTGGACTTCAGTACATCCTTTGCAGTGTTGTAGCCAAGTCCTTTTCCGAGTCCCTGACTATGTTCCCATGTTTGAACCGTAGATGGTGCCTTGTGATCACTTTGGAGACCAACTGGAGAGGGGGGCGGGGGAGGGGGAACAAACCCCGTTCGCACAATGGTTTATGTGTGTATAAACCATTGCTAAGTATGCACAACTAATTTTATACTGATTGTGTGTGAGCGTCAGGTGTCGTCAACAGGGTGTTCATTTGTCCCTCCCAGTGGACTTCCCCATTTCTTTTGTAATTACAAAGGGGGTACTTGTGCACATTGCGCCAGTTTGGTTTTCTAACTCTGTATGTACAGTAAGATTTGACCATTTCCTTTTTAGGATAATCAATTTTTTGTATGTGTGCAAAATCAAAGAGGGAACCTACAAAGTTTCTTACCGTATTTTTTACTCGCCGACTTCGTGGGAACCTTTTCGATTGCATGGAAAATGAAGACAACCACGTCACTCATACACTTGTGTATGTGTATCTGAAGTGTTACTGGCGTACTACAGTTTAGCTCGACAGCCTTGAAGGCTAATCTAATGGTTTTTCGTATTGACAATTAATAAATACCTTGGGGAGTTGATCGTTTCTGATTGGTCGAGACTCGATCACGTGGCCGGGCATTAACGGTGATAATGGACCGGCTTCAAAGATCAAGCGAATAAATGGCCCCTGAACCAGCATTGATCCAGCCCCGTTCAGCCCCATGCAAGCCAATGATTGGTCAAAATATAGTAACAGTCCTGCGGTAGCTTGTAACAATAGAGCACTGCACATGCGCTCAACCCCCATCGCGTGAGACTGACGCGCGTACGCAACACAGTTGCTAGGGATGCGTGCGCGCGCGCGCGTAAGGAAGTTTTGAAACGACATCGTACAGCAGTGCAGTATATACTGAGGATGTTTACGACGAAAGTGTAGATCTACGATTTATTTTCTTTGAACACTTCACCCACCGACATATTTACCTTTCCTAAACCAAGCATCTTTGTAATTCCGGACACAAGGACTGTGTAAACGAGATTTCAGCTTCCTCCATCAGGTAAAGATATGAAAACATTGTTGTAATTTGTTTCGCTACGGCAGCAGTTTCTGTTGAGTTTACGTCGTTATAGCTGTTAAGCTAAAATATGGCCCATGAACATGAACACAAAAAGTCTGGAAATATCGCCGAAAGAAAGTCACAAAATTGGAGCATTTTAACTGTTTATTTCGTTAAAAAGGTATTTATTAATGGGAATAACAGTGTGAGGATCCGGTCTTCACTGCGTGATAATGACCGGGTGTGGGGGTGACCGCTGTTAATGGACCTCGACTTCGTCTCGGTCCATTAACAGCGGTCACGCCCACACCTGTTAATGGACCTCGACTTCGTCTCGGTCCATTAACAGCGGTCACGCCCACACCTGGTCATTATCACGCAGTGAAGACCGGCTCCTCACACTGTTATTCCCTTATTATCAAATAGAATCAATTCGAGGAACATGTTAGACCTGACGTTGACCTGAATGTGTACACTCACTACGGCGCAGACAGAGCCAAGAGCCATACTAAGCTGGTCAGTGAAGATGTAGTCATCACCACCTATAACACCCTGGCACATGAGTATAAAACCAAGAAGGTAAGACGCTGTTTGGTTTAGACCATGGCCTCTATGTAGATGGTGTTTCGTGACCATTTTCTAGAGCTCTAGTGGGTGATACACATACTGCAATATTACCCATCCACTGGGACTTTGACATGACATGCACTAGTCAGTTGAATGAGAATTATGACGCAATTCAACATAAAATGTCAACTTTTCTTAATCAAAAGTGCTTGCAACAGAATCTACTTTTGGATCAAAAAATTGTGCATAGGTTTTCCATTTGTTCTTTAAACATATAGTATCTGCTCAACTGAGACTTCAACGGGTTAATTGTTATGCACCCTGCTCAAGATTTTGTGCAATTTTTGTTCCTTCAAATGAAAGTAAATGCAGACATAAGTGAATAAAAGGCACAAAAAGCAAGTGATCCCATGTACCTTAGAGGAAATAGCTGGTTCTAGACCAATTTGGTGCCAGACCAATTTACGTTCAGATCTGAGTCAAAGTTTTGAGCCAAGCTGAGACTTAAACAAGTGTAATTGACCGATTGCGCTCACGAAGTCACGTGACCTATAGCAGGTATCAAACATCAAGAAACACGCCATTCTCCATAGCAAAGTGCATGCCGCTGTTGTAAAGTACATGATGATTGTTGCATTTGTTTGTCGGATCGAGGTTTTTCTTTCTCAAAATCTCTGAAGAATACTCCAGAGTTCGTACCCAAGACCTTACCTGAATGGCTGCATAAAGCCAATAAATTTGAAGCTGATATTACTTCTTCTTTTTCTATTTGGTAGGGCAACAGTCCCCTTCACAAAGTCGAATGGTTGAGAATTGTCTTGGATGAGGGTCACATCATACGCAACCCCAGCGCTCTCCAGACTAAGGCCGTGCTGGACCTGAAAGCACAGCGCAAGTGGATACTGACAGGTGGGAACATTTACAAACTTTGCCTTTTTTTTTTTTATAGAAAACCATTCCTAAGCATATTTGCCTAGTTATTGTGACATGTGTGAACAGGTTCATAAAAACAATCGAAGGTATGTTAGCAATATTTTAGCTAAATTCATGCAAGGTCGTATGCTAGGTACGTTTAAAACTTCCCAAAAAATAGTACAACTCTCCTTCCCAATTTGCCTGAAAAGTAATAGTGCTTCAGGAGTCTTGTTTCTCTCTGAATTGTGTTCATTTTTACTTTGCCTCAAGACGGAAGTCATAACAGTTCCATCACTAGTCCATATCCAGTTACATGTAGCCTACTCAAATGAACCGTGACAAAGGCATTCCTCTGTCATTCTTCATCCCCTTAATTTGTAACCTGACTTTATGATTTGACTGGCTTTTTTTTATTTCTGATTGAATCGTCATTGACTTGATTAAACTCTGTATTTACCAAGTTCATATGATGAAAGTTTTCTCTTTTTTTCATAGTTTTTTCCAGAAGTTCTTTTTTTTATCAATATCTCACTGTTTGAAAAATTTAAAAGAAACTCTACAGTAAAGTGTTTTGCTCAAAGACACAAACGCAGTATCATGTCAGTCTATTACGTAATCATGTTTTGACAGGAACCCCCATTCAGAACAGCATCAAGGACCTGTGGGCCTTGATATCCTTCCTCGGCCTGGAACCATTCAAGTCCAACAAGATGTGGTGGCAGCGAACCATCGTCCGACCTATCAACCAGGGCGACAAAGCCGCTGTGGCGTAAGCTGTTTTTCATCTCCTTTAACCAACAAATAAATATGTGATGGGTTCTTTCATGTGTTCATCTTTACTATCCATCAAGACCCATTGATATCTAACTAAATAGAATGACAAATATTGACATTATTTTTTACATTACTCTTGTGTTCTCATCCTGTGACATGTGCTTGTACTCTCATAGCCGTTTCCGTTCAGTTTGGTTGGCAACAGCATGTATTGGAAAAGTTGACAAAAACAGTTGTATCAAGTCACTACATGTCAATTACGAATCATAACAGGTTCACCATTAGTCAATCACAAGTCAACCAACAACCTATTCAAATGAACTACTACAAAGGCATTCTTCTGTTACGTATGATTTGACTTTGGCCTTGTGATTTGACTGGTGATTTGACTTGTGATTGACTTGTGAAGTTGTGATTGACTTGTGATTAAGCTGTGATTGACTTGCGATTGACTTGTGATTGACTTGTGATTGACTTGTGACTGACTTGTGACTGACTTGTGACTGACTGACTTGTGACTGACTTGTGATTGACTTGTGACTGACTTGTGACTGAATTGTGACTGAATTGTGACTGACTTGTGATTGACTTGTGACTGACTTGTGACTGACTTGTGATTGACTTGTGATTGACTTGTGATTGACTTGTGATTGACTTGTGATTGACTTGTGACTGACTTGTGACTGACTTGTGACTGACTGACTTGTGATTGACTTGATTACAACTCTGTATTTTTCAAGTTCATCTTCAAAAAATTGTCACTTTTCCATAAATTTTCAAGGGAGAAAACTCAAAAAACAAATTCTCGTTTTTTTGGGCTCACCTTTTGAAGAATTTAAATTTAAAAGAAGTCTCATCAGGCACAAATTGCAGGGTTTAATGAGCCTTAATATATCAAAATTCCTTGTATATGTAAATGACAGACGAATCTCCCAGTTGATGGAACAGCTTGCCCTGCGACGCACCAAGACCCAGAAGGTCAAAGGTCAGCTACTGGTTGACCTCCCAGCCAAGACAGTCTTCATCCAGAAAGTGGAGCTATCTGCAGAGGAGAGAGCCGTGTATGACAGCATGGCAAAGGAAGGAAAGCTGGCCATTGGCAAGTAAGTTCTCAGCATTCTACCTTTCAAATGTCTTTAAAGGCATATAGGATCATTTGCATTCATCCCAAAAGTAACCAACCAAGTTAGTATCAAAAATCTTACTTAAACATCGTACTGGTACTAAACACCCTGTGAAATTATTCCTTCTGGATTGCTGTCATTTAGAAGAAATCAAGAAATGTCGGTGATTTCCAACAATCACTCAATTGACCGATCATTTGAAATAGATATGCAGACAAAATTGTGTTTCGTGATCAAATGGTTGTGCATGGTTTTTCACCGTTTTCTCGAAAGGTATAATATCCACTGAGCTGAAATGTCATCACGTTAGGTTTTGAACACTCTTCTTTGGATTTTGAGTGGTATCATAATTGGAAACGAACAACATGCGTGAAAAGCAAATAATCCTACATGCCTTTAAAAAACTGTATCCACTCTGAGTGATCCCTGTTTGCCATTTCCCAGGTTTGCAGCATTGCTAACATTGCTAGCATCTTGATTTTGGGCATGCTCCCAAGCTACATGGTATATATGCATTAAGTGCTTCTGACTACTTCCCATGAACAAATACATTAACAAAACAGGAACCGCCAACATAGGGCTGAATGGATGGTTGGTAGAATGGTAATCTGGAGGTTGCAGGTTCAAACCATACTCTAAGCAATTTCTGTATTCAAATTTTAAATTATTTAAATGTACCTAGTCGATTTCCTTTTGTGGTTTATTTGATTATTTAAACATTTCTCTGCACAAGATTGCTTTCCCGTATCTACCAAATAGTCAAATATTCGATTATCAACCAAATATTCAAATAGCTTTTTGCCAGTTTGAATATTTTGAAGAAAAAATTTCGCACATACACACACAACTGTGATGTTATTTTATCGTAAAGTTGCGGCGCTTTATTGTCAGGTGCCACTTTTTTGTTGACTTTAACTTTTTTTGTTGATGACGGTTCATTGTTCACATCCTTTTAGCAGGTTAAAAGCCTTTTACAGTTAAAAAAAATATACTTACCGCAAAACACACCAGCGCCCCATATCAATTGACGCTCATAAATATAACCGGCACACAGTATTTAGAAATGGGGGCCATGGGAAGGGTTTTTGTTTTGACATTTTCTTATTTGCTTTTGAGTTTTTATTTGTGCACAAGTCATTGGGAATATCTCCCTAAGATATCAGTCTCAATATTATAACCTAAGTCATGTAAATATTTTAATAATTCCTATGTTATAATTAAAAACAATGCAAAAGGCCCCTGAAGCTTGACCTATTTAATTGTGGTATACTCCTTGTCACCACTGACATCATGCTTTGTCAGTTGCTGACGAGCACAACAGCCACTCAAGTGTCCTTTTCATGTCTCTTTATTGCCTATTGTCGTTGAATCTTCACATTGCTGGATACAAATCATCCATAGGACTCAGGACAAGTTTTTTTCAATTTATTAAAAAGAGGGGGATTTTTGCAGTAATAATGGAGTTTCAGTCTTGTCTGATTTTGCAAAAACACATCACATGGATGCTTCTGAAATGCTACTTTTACTTTCTTGGCAGATATTTTAAGACAGGAACGTTGTTGACCAATTATGGCAATGTCTTGGCCATCCTGTTGCGCCTGCGTCAGTTGTGTTGTCATCCAGCTCTCATTGCAGCAGCCGTTGCTCTCAAGGAAGGTACTTGCACTCTGGTTTCATCGTTAAGTGTTTCAGCCCTTTTCAAGTTACACCCAATGAACTTCCAGCAATATTAGGAATTAGAGCAGTCATTTTTTCCTGCTTGAATTTTGTACTTGCTATGTAGAATTGTTGAAATGTGTGCAGATAACAGCCTAAAAATGACAGTTGTATAATGATCATTATAACACACCTCTTGCTTGTTCTTTATCCTGGTTGGCTGAAACACGGTCACGTGTGATTCACTAATATGGGCTAGTGTATGAAACTTGCATCAGCGTGAACTAGACATGCGTGTTTCATCGTTAAGTGTTTCAGCCCTTTTCAAGTTACACCCAATGAACTTCCAGCAATATTAGGAATTAGAGCAGTCATTTTTTCCTGCTTGAATTTTGTACTTGCTATGTAGAATTGTTGAAATGTGTGCAGATAACAGCCTAAAAATGACAGTTGTATAATGATCATTATAACACACCTCTTGCTTGTTCTTTATCCTGGTTGGCTGAAACACGGTCACGTGTGATTCACTAATATGGGCTAGTGTATGAAACTTGCATCAGCGTGAACTAGACATGCGTCGAGACATCGCGTGCGCGTATTTTTCAGAGTATAGTGCCTGATCAGGCACTATACTCACAAATTTTTGACTGGTAACAGCGCCCTCTGACAAAACTCAAACTCAAAAATGTAATCTAGGGAAACTAAAAGCGTTCCTTCAATTGTTGAATTGCTTACAGTTTAATTGCTTGAATTAATTGTTGAATTAAAACAGTTCAATAATAAAACCCTGAAAGGTTTCTTTTCTTATGTTATATTTTGGACAGAGTTGAGTTATAAAACACATATGGACTGGCATAATTCGGTCCCTAGTGCACGTCTATGCCCCCCTCGGGTCTGTGAGTGACCAGAAGAGGGTCCGAAGGCCTCCGGAAATAGGACCCGCTTCTGGTCACTCACAGTCCCTCGGGGCGCATAGACATGCACTAGTGACCTCATTGCCAGTCTATATGTGGATAATATACAACATCTGAATAAATCCCCATCATCTGATTGGTCATTGATCAAATTATTCATCCCAATGCACAGCCTGGCCGCACAGCAAAAATAGAAGTTCCATTTCAAGGTAAATGAAAGTTCCATTGCACAGTCACAGTTTCGGCGGTTCTGACCAATCAGATTACGAGGATTTGTTCAGGTGGTGTATAAATCAAATAATGAATGTTTCACATTTGTACAATGGAAAGAATAATTTCATTTGGTGACGGTTGGAATGTTCCATTCAACCTCGTCTTGTGGTATGGAACATTCCATCTGTCACCTCATGAAATTATTCTTGCCATTGCACTCACAAACATTCACTATTTGTATACTGTTTCAGTAGTTTTATAAGTCCAAACAAGAGAAATGTGTGTGAGAGAAATCCTTGTTAAACTTTTTATGGACTTCCTCGCCTGTCTTTGTCGATTCTTTGTAAATCGTGAAAAAGGTCTTCTAATCTCAAACTGTGAGACTCCTTAAATTTCTTAAAATATGGTCTCAGTGTTGAGCATTCTATGCAAATATTGAAACATAGTTGTGGGTACAGGCACTGAAAATCAAAATCTCTTTCTCCATGTTTTTAGCTGAGAATTCTGAGGGAGGGGAAGGGCAGGACGAGTTGAAGAAGAAGCTTGTTGAGACCTTACTGGCTGTGCTCAGTCAGGGAGCAGATGAGGTGAGATAGGGAGATATGCGCCTTAGTTATTGCAGTAAAGTGTCTTGCTCGAGGACACAAATGCAAAAGCAGGCCTCGACATTAACCACAGCCACCGCGGCCATTGACCGCATGCCCTTCTGAGTAGGCCGCAATGCCCCTTCAAAATAAGCACATTTTATGACCAATTTGGCCAGCATGCTTTTTTTATTCACGACACTATGTACCATTGATTAATAAACATTAACAGACCCCAAAACTTAACGGTACAAAACATTTACAATTGCTAAATGTGGAAGGAAAAATTGTTTTTTCCTCTATCGCGCTTGTTGACTGACGTGATCAGCAAGTTACTTACTTACCTTTGCATCAGCAGCATGCATGCTGATCAGTACTACAGTGCAATCAGTATAGACTGGTTTCCGCTGCGCACTAGAACAAAGTGATGATGAAAAGACCAGGAACAGTGTACGACCGACATAATAGTGTCAATCACGGTTGAATTCGACATAAAAATCGCAAGCAAACATTGGTACAGACAGAAGATATCTGCAAGTTTCTTAACAGAACTTGATCTCTCTTTTCTGTATAAATATTTTCCGTTTTCATGTATTTATTTTGAGGTTGTACCGCTTGTACTTGAAGCGATACAGCATTGCGGGTTTCCTCAAAATTTTCTCCCACAGCATGTGGTTCATTGCTGGCTGATTCTGCGCGATATACAGTGTTACTGTGTTGGCCAGTTGGCGTGGCGTTATACAATCGTTGCCCGTGACTAACGTTTTGCATAGTGTGGTGTGTTTAAAGAATCATCCACCTTAACCCTAAAAGGGCCGGGGGGGGGGGCGGAATCCGCCCCCCCCTCAACATTTTCCGCGATAGCTTCTAAAAAAAATTTTTTCGCGACCCAAGCTGTTATGACTTTTTAGCCTCGAGCTTTGCGCATCTTTTGATACCAAAAACATAAAAATCGGACCACGGGTTGGCCCGTAGCGAAAAATTTTCCGGCGCTACGCGCCGTGAAAACTGAATTTTCGCATATACATCGTGTACATCGAGCAGAATTGCCATTCATACATATGAATAATTAATTAGCCATAATTCCAAAACCCTTTGACCTATAGTCATGAAATTTCTTGGGCATGTTTAGGAAGAGTTGCTCTATGCATGTGTGGAGTTTCAAAATTTTTCGTCACTCGATGGCCGAGATCTTAGGGGGGGGCGGAATCCGCCCCCCCCCCCCCCCCCCCCGGCTGAGAGATGGTCAAAATAACCCGGCCCCTTTAGGGTTAAATATTTTTACATTAATTAAGGCAAGTTTTCATCACTTTTTCAGGGGCGTTTTGATAGCTTTCAAAGTGCAAATGAAATTAATTTTGGCGGAAAATGGTTTGCACAATCCACTAAAATCAACACACGCAAAATTTACGGAAAAAAAATAAATAAGAAATTCTGATAACACTTAGGCCAATGTGGCCTGCCCCATTTTTCCTAAATGTCGAGGCCTGCAAAAGTCATGAACAGAAGGCACTGCTACTTCACATGTAGGTGCCAAAATATGCTTCATTTCATGAGTAAAGCCCACATACATTCTCCTTTAACCAGCAACTACGTCATTTCTCCATTAGTAATTACCCAGAAAAGCACCTACATGTACTAATGTAATGTGAAAAATCCTGCTGAAAGTGAAGATGGGGCTGATACGCAAATACCCTGTGGATTTATTCCACCAGGTTTCCAAATACCAAATGGTTTTGCTCAAAAATAAACAATTATTGATGGAATGAATTAGCAATAGAGGCCAGTTACATGACCTCAAAAAATGTGCATACGTTTTCTCTGTTTTCTTAAAATGTATAGTAGCTACTGAGCTAAACCTTCAACAGGTTAGTTGTTATGCACCCTACTATTTAATGTTGAGCCTTTTTGTTGCTTCAAATGAAAACAATGCATAGAGAGCAAGTGATCCGGTTATGTACCTTGAATGAATGAGTGGTTTCTGTTTTTAAAACAGTTGTGAATTGGTGGTTTTTGTTTTACGGTTGATTAGGAATGCTGTATCTGCCTGGATTCTCTTTGTGGACCAGTCATCACGCCCTGTGCACATGTCTTCTGCATGCGTTGCATCAATGAAGTCATTACTGCTGGGGTAAGAGATTTTTTTCATTTGCAGCCGTCTCCTTTCTTGCCAGTTAACCCAACTCTGAAAGCGTTTTTCTGTGGAACAGTCAGATATCCTCTGAAATGCCGTGTAGGAAACCAATTTTTACATTCTTTGTGCTAACTGTTTTAAGGCAATCGAGCCCCATTGAAAGTAATGGGGCTGAGCTTTATCTTCCCTTGGCATGCCAAATTCCTCTAAAATTGTCAGTTGTAATTTTGCAATCTTGTCCCTGAACCTTGACCTGAACTTACAAAATGGCATTTTGAAGGTCGTTTTGTTTTTCATTAAGTGAATTGGTTTTAACCACTTCGTGCCGCTATTATTTTGATTGACCGGACCAAGGCGCGGGATTGTTTTGTTTTACGAACCTCGATGCCAGACGTGTGCAGGCAGTCATCTGCGGGTAGCACACCCTGATATTTCCGGCCTCGCTCGCTGCAAGCGGGTCGCTGACAGATATTTCCGGCCTCGCTCGTTGTGTGTTTATCCATCATCCGTTCCGAATACCGCAAAACGTTTGCATGTATACACGTCTTCCGACGTGAACTGTTTAAAAGTAAACAAAACAAACTTGGTGATTAGCTTGAAATAGACTGATCCATTAACCCTTTAGTCACATTAACCCTAATAGTTCGAAACTGCTTGAGCACTCTATGGTTTTATTGATTTTTCAGTAAATAAGTGTAATACTGTGTAGTCCAGTTGCTAATGGATTAAACCCTGCCTACTGTGCACATGTGCAGCATTACATGGGCCCTATCAATGCCACACTGCATGTTCTAGTCCCGCACATACATGCAGGCATGTCAGACTTTTGTACATGCATATCGGACAAGAATCATGGCTTTTTCATTAGTATTTCATTATTATTTTTGATTAATATTTCCATTGCCTAAAAGGTCGTAAATGTTGTATTTTCTAATTCCAGTAGATTGGCTTATAAGTTAAAGCCCAAAACTTAGCGGATCCATAGTCTTTAATCATCGGCACTGACGTCAAACTTTCATTTACTAGATCTAGTTATAGTGTAGATGATGCATTCATTTAATTTTACGATGTTTTGAAACTTGGATTTGTCAACGGGAAAAAATCCAATATGGCGGAGCCCGCGAAAGTTTTGGCGGGAAATATGAAGTAATTGTTTAGACATATCGTTATCATTTTTTGTCCAGAACGATCATTAAGTAGTCAAGTTAATGTAATAAGCACTTTATTTACCTTTCGTTTAGTTTTATTAATGCTTTGTAAATATTTAAAAGTCATTCACTCATTGTCGAAGACCAGCTAACATTGTCTTGTCATTTTCTGTCTTCGCCAATACAGAATAAATTTGTTGCCGATATCTACTCAAGAACATTGTCCGGTTCCTCATTTTAAAAGTGCCACACATTGATCAAACACCATGGTGCAGGGTTAATGAATCAGTCTATTATTTTAACACTGGACACCTCCAATTATTATGTTTTTCCCTTTCTGACTGATGTTCAGGTTGGTGGCAAGTGTCCTCTATGCCGTGGCAACATCAGCAAAGAGACCTTGGTGGAGGTACCCAGAGAGGTCCAGCAAGACAAGAAACAGGCTGTAGATGCTGACTGGCACTCCAGTGCTAAGGTATCGTGCTTGTGTGTGTCTTCAGCTGCTATCCAGTCAGCCATTAGGGGAGTCAGGTTGGCGCAGCGGTTCTTTCCTCGGCATTTGTCCACTGATGTCAGACATGAATCACTGGCCGTTGCATTGGTCCATTGCATAGGTTTCATCTGAAGAAGTATCTGGGACGAGTTGAGGACAAGTAATCCGCAGTAGGCCGATAACATCGAGTATTAGTTGCAGGATTCTGACCAACTTTGCTGGAATCATCTCACAATGAGTCAGCTTGTAAACAATGCTACCACATCATTGGGAGAACATTCCAAGGAAATTTTCCCAAATCCTGCAACCGATTCCTGAAGCAATGAGACTATTACAGTTAAAGTTGTCAGCAACTGATCTCAGATATTCAGTGAGATGACCCCTTATCCCGTCTTGTTTACCACCTGTTATTTGTGCAGGTTGATGCCATGATGGAGTGCCTGATCAAAGAACGAAAGAAGGACCCGTCCACTAAGAGTATAGTGGTCTCACAGTTCACCAGCTTGCTAGACCTTGTCGAGAAGCCTCTAAGGTGAGGCATCTGCTAGGAACACAAGTACCCAGTTTTGTTGGCATGCTGAGCAGAAAAGGAAAAAAAAGCTAGTTACAAAGAGAATTACAAAGAGATGTGGGCGTAGGAAAGTGGTTTTGCTGAGTAAATTAGTTTTTTTTGTTGGCAAAAATATGTGCTTGCAGCCTTATGAAATTGGTTCCAGGTCTTTGTTGGAAGTACCACATTACCAACCTTATCTCCTGTACTTTGGGATATAAACTCAGAACTTTGTTATTCCGTTGAAAGTCATGACCAATTTACAGAAAAACACAAATAAAATAAAACAAAGAAATAAAAAAAAATATAAAAATTCAGCATCCTAAGTTGAAACAGTTGTATGGTATCGATATCATGCGTTATTATTTATATCAGGCTTCCAGTGGTAAAAATAAATCAGCGTATTGTATGCTGTCATAAAAAGTTCCCGGATGACTAAAGTAACCGGTTGACTACAATAACAATATTATCATCCGGGCATTTTAGCTGGTTCCCGCTTGATCAAGAGCATAGAAAGTCACAGTTGTCAACCACTCAACAGAGCGTAGCACGCTCGTACCGTCGAACACGGAACACGCAGCGCGCAGAAGGCCAGGTATACGCGCACTGTTGTCAACAATTACAGTGGCAGCTTCAAAACGTTTGATGTAAACATAAAGATGTAATGAAGACAGTGTCTTGAATTGTGCTACTTGCGGATCAAGTCAGCCTGATATAAATAATAATAATAATATTGGATGGCTTGTTTTCGGTGGATACAAGAATATATTGCACTCGCTATGACAATATTGCCCTCGTCAAAAATATTGTCATAGCTCATGCAATATATTCTTGTATCCACCTCAAAGCCATCCAATATTATATAAATATGTTGCAGTAGAGTCTGTCATTTAAAAAAACACTTCAACAAACATAATGCCGTTTCAGTAATGCCTTATCCATGTCTGGTTGTCAAAACAGAGACAGCGGTTTCAATTTTGTGCGTCTTGACGGTACCATGAATGCCAAGCGTCGTACGGAGTCAATGGAGGGATTCTGCAATCCCAAGCCTGGCTCACCCACCGTCATTCTGCTGTCGCTCAAGGCAGGTGGCGTTGGCATCAACCTGACCGCAGCATCCAGATTGTATCTGCTAGATCCCGTAAGCCCCTTATGTGATAAACACATGTACACAATAGGCTGATGCATTAAGCATCCCCCCCCCCCCAACTGGGCACTTGGGCAATAACAGGTTTTACTCTCCCATGCCACATTGCTTAACTTAAAAGGGGCAACATTTAATGCATTGCTTTGTTTGGTCAAAGACATCGGCACCTTTCAAGACATCGTGGTCTTATTCTAAGACAATATTTCAGCTGCCAGTTATGCAGGGTTTTTTTTCAAAGAAATTTGCCACTTTTATTTAGTTGACGCATATCACCATGAAGGTCGTTATAAATTTTGAAATAGAAAGGTGCCAAATACAGAAGAAATATGACTGTGATATTATTGAGTAAAACTTTGGGTCTCCGGAAGTTAATATAAAAGACTCTATTAGTTAACTATTTCTTGTGGCATTTTTTACTTAAAATTCTTATTTGAAGGCCCCCGATTTTACAGCAGGAAATTCTAGAAAGCACTCTTTGCCAGAAAAGTACAATTGATTAAGATTTGGCATGCACGTTTTTAAGGTCAAATAAACAGAACTGTTCGCAAAAAAGACTCAACGAATAAATGATGCTGCTCTTGTCCCATTTTCAGGGTAATTTGACTATTTGAGTCTTGTCGTGTTTGATATGACTCTTTCAGGCCTGGAATCCTGCATCTGAAGATCAGTGCTTTGATCGTTGTCATCGGCTGGGACAAACCAAAGATGTTATCATCACTAAGGTCAGAACCATTACACAGGCTGACTACACTCTTGTATTAAAGTGGTAGATGAACTGCTTTGATAAGAATTAAGGCCAGTTTATATGGATATCATTATACATGCTAAGAGCCCTTTGAGAAAATGGTGATCATTCAGCACAGTGATAGATGCTGCACCATTATACAACTGGCCTGTGGCATTTTTATCGCAGCATTTTTTTTTATCACTGAGAAAGCCGATGGCACCTGAGGCAAATGAAAAAAAAGAAGGCTTCAATAATTTGATAATTTCAGATATTTGATTTAATTTTATTTAGTGATGTTGGTTGTAGAGTACACAGTTTCTATTCATTTGATTCAGAATTAATGGCTATTCACTGGAAGCCTTTTCATGCATCTGGTCTACACAGTGACAATTCAGCACGTTCATTGGCGTTACTGTATAATCCTACAAGATAGCACTGCCTGACTCACAAATGACAGTGGGTCAGTCGGTAAGTCGGTCGGTCAGTTAGATACAAAGAAGATTTAGGCTGGCCCTCTGAAGAAAGTACAACAGGTACAGACAGAAGTAAAAGTTATGTGGCTATCAAATGGCTAAATGAACTGATAAGCATGAAAACTTTATAGTTTTGAAAAGCCGTTGTGTCTGTGTATAATAGTTACTTGTTTCTTCATCTGCAACCCTAGTTTGTCGTGAAGGACTCCGTAGAGGAGCGCATGCTGGAGCTCCAGGATAAGAAACGCAAGCTGATGGCCAGGGCCTTCAGCAAGAAGCTAACCACGGAGGAGAGACAGCAAGCTCGCATCAACGACATCAAGACACTGATGGACCTGTCTGGCATGGTGCCAGGCACTTCAGCCAAGTAGAGGGGATGGATGCAGTGGGATGAAGAGAGTGAAAGACCTGGATTGGACACACAAGGTGAGCAGTAGTTGTTGTGTTGAGGACGGGGACTGCCAATGAAGCCTGGAACAGGAATGTCAGGACAGGGCCCAATTTCATAGCACTGCTTAACAGCCGACTTTGTGCTTACCGAGCCTCCATCTATTTCATAGGTACTGTTAAGCAGTAGGCACAGCAAAAGCACGCTTAACCCCAGAAGAAAACTTTGCTTAAATCTGTGACGTAACAATACAAATCTCCAGGCGCGCGCAACCGTTAGCATGAAATAGTGCTTAGGCAGCAGCGTGATTTTCTGTTAAGCACAACTTTTGTGCTTACTGTTAAGCAGTGCTATGAAATTGGGCCCTGATCCAAGGGGGCTGGTTGGGGTGGCCAACCATCCATCTCCCTTCCCTCTAACTGACCAAAGTGAATAAGATGCATAACAGAAGAACCCCTGTTTTCTTGAAGTTCCATGTATAACGTCATTGTAGCAAATCTTGATTCACTGCTTCAGGCCTTCGGTCTTACATGTGTTGACTGCCGCACCCCCTTTAAAAATCTTTTACTTTGACACCTTAACCATCTCTCTTTGGAAAATCCTGGATCTGCCATTGATGTGTTACTTCTACAAGTTACTCTGATTGAAACACGGATCCTCTACAGGGATAAACGACTCATCTGAGCTCGTGTACAAAATGTACGGAACAGATTGTCTACATGCGTGATATGCCGCATCCGCGCATAGAACAACAAATAGAACATGTAGAACAATTAATCCCGACATGAATCCCCACAGCTGGCGCCGGCCTACATGAAATCTCGTTGAAACCCATCAGAAATTTGACTGCAGTCGCGCGCCGAGTCTCACCGAATTTGTTTATCCTTGTGTAAAGGATCCATGGTTGAATCTAGGTCTATGTTCACAAGTGATTGAGTCCTGAATTTGCTGCATTTGTCCGATGTAAAATCTATACAGTATTTAACAAAGCCAAGGATGACCAAGTTCTGTGTATTATGCATTGTTCAGTTTTATGCTTGCCTTAAATATTTTTTTAAAAGTTTAATTAGAGGTAAACAGTTTAGTAATAATTTTGCAGATCACCATTCAGCCAATTGATGGTTAAAAACATTCCGCCCAGCATTACATTATAACAGAGCTTTGGTTATTGTTGCTTTTACCATAAAAAATAACATTAAATAGTCATCTTTTTGTCCCGCCCCTAGGAATGAAGTACTTGTTCAAGTTGTTGCTGGATTTAATTATTCACATTGCAATTGTTCTTTTGATTGCCAAAGAAGTGCCTTAATCTTCATTCCTCGTATTTGAAATATATTCCTCTTCATTCATTTTCAGGGTATATTGGTTTGATAAAAAGAAATACCAAAGCATAGTTTATTTTGTAACAGACTTTGTAGTTTTTTTTTCAAATACACCACAAAGGGAAACAACTAGGTGCATTAAAATAGAATAAAATTCAAATATAAACAAAGAAATTGACTGGAGCAGGGTTTCAACCTGCAACCTAGTTGTTAATTTAGTTATGTTTTGTTACATGATAACATGTACCCTGATTCTGAAATAACCAGTTGGAGTAAACTGACTCTTGGCAGAAATATACGTGTACCTTAGCTTTGAGGTCTACGTGAGATTAAGGAGCATCTACATGTAGATTTGTTTTCCTGGTTACCCAATGGTATCACTGCTCACTGTCAAGACAGTTTTCAATTTTATCAGAAACAATGATTTCTCTCTATTTTGAATCATACAGTCACAGACATTTGAATTACATGAACATGAAACCTCTTAGGTTAATTGGCTTCTGTAATCATCTACGAAAGTCATTTTGCAACTGTTATTTCCAAAGTAACTTGGATCACATTTGATTATAGTTATCTTCCACTTTTTAATAGAGGAATTTCTTCAAACTACTTTGTTTTCCATGTTTCTTGTTGCTATTTTTCACATGTATTCATTTTGATCAACATTTATATGGTACTTGTTATTTTGTTAAAGATATCTTATGATTTTATTCATGTTTATATGATTTTTATTTTTTTGTACTACTATACTTTGTTGAGAAAATGTCATTAAATTTCCATTTGTTGAAATTTGTTTCCCTGAGTTGCTTGGCTGTTACTTGCCTTTTATTTGTATTTAGATCAATATTCATATTAAGTTTATTGTTTTGTGATGTTTTGTTTGTCTGTGACCTCTAAATAAGATATGTTGCTACAATTAAAATGCTTTCTTTACATTTATGTGCACTTAGCAAAAATGTACGCGTAGAAAACAAAACCGACCATTATTTTATGATAATAAAATTCTCCATGTCCGACTTCCCATAGAGTAGAAAATAGTTGGAAACGAAAGAGATTAACAATTCAGTTGATTAGACAAGACAGTTAGCTTCCAAAGAGTAGAAGATCTAGGCTCTTTATATTAAATGAGTGATTATAAGCATTTTAAATTCTAGCCTGTTTAGTGCCCTTAATGGAACTTTGGCTGATCACGCCGTGTGTCACTTTCTCAGGCTGTCAAGTATTCCTACTTTTCCTACTTTTCTCCTATTTTTGTTTCACCTTGTTCCTACATTTCCTACTTTTTTCTTGAAATTCCTACTTTTTTCTTCTTTTTCCTAGTTTTTTTTTGTGTCCCACAACTTCGAAAAATGAAATCTCATTGAATATTTTTCATAACAGTGTTACATACTGTCGTATATAAATCCCACAATGAAGGGCTCGGGCGCAGGAGTACTGCAACTGTACTTCCAAGAGCTTAGTTGAGGATGGAGCACAAGTGTTGTGAGTATGCCACATGAGTCTTGTGATGCTGTGGACATGGGTGAGTATCCACAAAAAAACTACTCCTGAAAGCCTGCAAAACTTGTACATGTATCTTGATTTTGTCGTCCTATGTCCTACTATTGTCTTTTTTAAATTTTTAAATTTTTGATCGTACTGTTCTACTTTGTCACCTGGGTCTGCTTGAAAGCCTATTTTCTTGCTGATTGTGTGGTCGAAAATTGTGACGTTTGGTATGGTGATGTACTGTCTCAGAATCGCAGAAAGTTGGCCAGACAGACATCTTGACTACTAGGCATCAGTGTCCAGTTGACATTCATGCCAGTACCGTGCAGGGATGAAAAACTGAAAGCACTAAATCTGAAGATAGTTGCCTATCTTGGGCTGTATTGAATTTGGCTGAAGATGTTTGGCTGACTACTTGGTTGTAGTTCATTGGGAAGTTCACTCCAGTCCGCTGGTCGTTTCTTTTGGGTTCTTTCTACCGGGTTACTGTAGTGGGGATATCAACTGCAATTTCCTGATGAATAGAGCGGTAAAACAGTGTGAGTCTGCTGATCTTCCTACATTGCTGTAGGGTGGGCCATTGAAGGGATTTTTTTATCATGCCATTACACTTCAGGGTCTATTGTAGTTTACCCGAGTTTAACCGAGAATTGCATTTTGAGACTTTGTGATCCAGTGGCCTTGTGGATCTCACATTTATTCTGTGTTTAAATTTCATATGCACCGTAGAGCTTACCTCTATCTGGGCTACCGCAATAACTCTTACAGTACCTTTGCGTGTCTGTAATATAGCATTGGGGATTGTTGGAAATGTCAGTGACTTGGTATATTACATAATACATGTACATATATACATGTAGACCACCGACTATCCCAATCACATAGTATCACTGAACAAAGTGAGGGTGTACATGAAGACCATTCGCTCTTGGTACGCTTACGCCATAAGCACGCAGAGCCTCGTTCTGGCAACTGTACACAAATATAGCCGGTTCAGCGATTCCCGTGTATACACGGGAATCACTGCAGTCATGTGGTTGCTAAGGCAAAGCGTTAGCCGTTGTTAAGCAAAGCTCAATCCGATTACGTACTTACACGCTATAGCAGAGCAGTGAAATTCATGCACCACAAAAAAACATGGCCTTTTGAATGTTGTGTTTCTCAGACAATATGCACAGTATGATTGAAAAGTTAAATTATAACGGAAGAAGAAATTCTTAGTTTTATGTCAGTGAAAAAAATCGCCGTCATCGATGCCGAAACGTCAATACTGGTTACTGGTATAGCTGACATTCAAGTCGGGAAGAAATCGTTCGAAAATTTCCCCAAATCTCTGTATTTATATTTATTTCTCAACATTGTTATTTCACGAGTAGTTGAACACTTATGTCATCTAGGTATACTCCGAATTTCAGCTTAATATGTTGTTGCAAACGCTAGTGCTACAATTTGAACTATCTCCATATGGAAAATTTCGACGATGATTTCTGCCGACCCAAGTCACATGCATTGTTCAGCATAGCGCCTTAGGCGCTACGGTTGGCCTATTGGAGATTAGCATGTTCATTAGCGTCACTCAGCGTGTTTGGCGTGGGTCTCGGTATCGACCAATGGAAGCCGGCAAAAAGGGTGATATTAATCGTTTAATAACTCGTGAATGAGGCTTTTCTCAAAAGTTTTACTGCACGCCATAATGGATAGGAATCTTATTAATATTGGTGAGGCTTCAAAAGATTGACAGCTGTTGCAAACGTTACTGTTACAACTTTCAATGATGTACGTAGCCAGGCCTATTTTTCCAATTTCAACGAAAGTAATGAACACATCACAACTTTTTAGCACATACTCGGACCATTATGAAGAAAGTAAATCCTGAAAGTTGCATGAAGATACGGTCTTCCAAACGGGAGAAATTAATTTTCAACAAATTTGGCCCGCCAACGTGAACATGTGTGTGCACATGTAGTTTCATTCAAAATGAAGGTTTACGTAACCTTTAGAAATTGCCCTTCGCAACCACATGACTGACTGAACCGGCTTTATTTATTGTGTAAAGTTGCTAGATCGAGGCTTTGCATGCTTGTGACGTAAGCGTGCAAAGAGCGAATTCCGATCATATATCACTGAACAAAGTGAGGCCCTTCAATGGCGAAATCAAGCTATTATTCAAAGCAACTGCATAGCCTTGTGGCGCTGGCACAATGCTTTCGCCAGTAAAGGGGACCTCCGTGGGTGTATGGTGATAAGGTTCTCGGAATGGTATAAAGGCGACCTTTTTTCCCCAGGTGATCCAAACTCAAATTTGTCTGATATTGTAGGCCGCAAGAGGGCTGACAGCGTGGTTTAATAAGCACTTGATCTTTAGGTGCAGCCATTTATACAAACACATTCCCGGAAACCTAAACCGGTCCGCTCGGATTTCAAGGCTATTCTGCGCCGGTTTTTTTTTTTTATTAATTTCATTTCATAAATAATCAATGACAATTGGTGTGAAGTTACAAGATCGTTGTTGCTCACTTGCTTGACATTTCGTGAGTGTAAAGAAGCCATCCATGAATAATCTATGGCGATGCGGGGGAGGCCAGGGGCCCGATAGTTTTTGCCTTGAAACGGTAAAGTTGCTGTGATCGTGCTCTTCAACATACTCGATTATTGTTCTAACGAATTTTCAAATGATATATATTTTATTTAAACGTTTTGGTTTTTTCCTTCCATTTAAGACGTTTTCAACCCTCTGAAAATACGTTTTTACTTTGGTTTACTGTAATGCACACAAACATGCGCTGCCTACGAGTAGGCTGGTTTCCAGTCACTACATTATTAATTGTGATAGGGAGGCGGCAACTACTCTACCCTGCGAGAACTAATTGATTTATCTGAGAACAATTTTCTCCGTCTTAATTCTCATCAAAAAACTCTGCTCTTTGTGAAAAAAAATATTTTTCTCCACAAAAACCGTTTGGTATTTCCTCGTGTACTGATGACATTTTCAACTTTCCAATCAGCACAAAGAAACGATAGCGCCTCTCCTCCCTTGAGATCGCCTTGAGGACGATCCGTTTCAACAACAGAAAACGCAAAGCTTCGATTCCGTCTCTTTGTTTGCGTAAAATTAATTTGCCTCTCGGTCGAGTGAAGGACAGAGAGGGGAGAAAGTTGTAAAATAACTGGCGACAGCCAGCTTGTCACGTCCCCGTCTAGCTGAAGAACTAACAATCATGGGTCGATGTCAATTACGCTTAATGAAATCAAGAAAAATTCTAGTGATGTATCAGGCATTTCAGCGTATGAAAAGCACTATGAAAAGGGGCATACAAAAAATAAGGTGCACAAACCATTAAAATATGGGGTGACTGACCGCTTGTACATCTCTTTTAAATGTCGTATACACTATAATGCGTTTGCATGATTATTAAGGGAAGTACCAAACGTTCAAAAGTGAAAACATTCTTGCATTTAGCATACTAAATTCACCAAACTACAAGAAGTGACAGGCAAAGTTTGGAATAAATTTTCAAGGGAAAGTCTACAAAGATAAGATAAAGGCCATAGGCCCTTTTTGTTTGGCTTATGAAAGTATGTATGACAGTTACTGGGACCCAGCTTTCTAAATCCTACAAAATCCTCCAAGACTTCCCGGTAGATTTTGAAGGATATATGAGAGGGCTTGGCTATAGATCAATAATAATTTGTTCCCTCATTTAATTCTATCTATTGTATCTGTGGTCTTTCATCAATTGTTTCTTACACCTACACTGGCGGTATTTTTGTCGCTGCCAGTCTCCCCTCACCCTGTTATCTGTTGTCAGGTTATCTGATCAGAATAATTGTCCGAGATGTTTCCCAGAAACGTCCTTATCTGCACCCTGTTTTGTTAATATTCAAAGGGTATTTGTCGTTGGAGCAGATTTCCTATATCGAGCTGTACATTTCTCTTTCTTTGCAAAGATCTGGGCCACCATTATTTTAAAGAGTCATTTTCTTCTTAGTAGGCGAATTTGTTGTTTTTCTATATGGAAATTCATGAGATAACATTTTGAACAGTGACAACAGTCACCTTGTTTTCCCGTCCTCTGTTTTTCCGTAGACTGTTTCGTAGAATATGAACTTGATTGAAATCAATCCCGGATAACTTTTGCGAAAATATCCCGAATTGGCTTGGCCCGATAAGTTGTTGTTCGTGCCAACTCACGTTTAATTTTTCTCTCCTCGTTATCAAATGCAGAGCTATAAATAAATCACTGCCGCGATTGATTTGCTGTGGGGTGCAGTGCAGTTTCAGACACGAGGTGGAGACTATGACGTAGCCTCCAC